TTAATCCACAGTATATAGTATATGCACTAATTGCCTTCAGGGGTCGTGTTTTGCTTACACATTTGGTAACTTAGAATAATTGTTTACGCACTTAGATTTTTTGGAAGACAACTGATCATATGATCATTATTGTGACTACTCCCACTTTTATTACTATTTTTGTAACCTGGAGTTATTATGGCGCACTCGAATATATTTTAGCTGAATGGACGTTTTGTTCAATCTTTTTTATTACTCGACTTATAATTGCAGTTTATGATTAGTGTTTTGATTACTTCGTGCTATTATTGCTCCAACTGATCTATAATAAACTCAGTTGACATAATTATTTTTCTTTTGATTACTTCGATGTTACTTTTGACCCATTGGTCATAAGTTCGAATTGAACGCAATTGTATCATACTTTCATTACTTTCAGCTAATATTCAATAAACTGATTTTTTGTGATGATTATTGACATTATGATTACTCTTGATTACTTTGAGTTACTCTCAGTTCAATTAACTTTAATTTGGACTAAGTGGAATTTTGTGACTCTTGTTTACTTTGTGTAATTATAGCGCCAATTTATCGGTTGTGAGCTCAGTCATTATTATTAGTCTTTTGATTACTTCGAGTTACTTTTGATCCAGTAATTCGGCTTCATTGATACTGCGATGACTGTTATAATTCTTTGGGGTTAATATTTAATAAATTATTTATTATTCGCTCAACTGACATTGCAATTACTTGCTTTATGTAATTATACCTCCAAATGATCTATAATGAACTCTGTTGACATTATTATTACTCTTTTGATTTCTTTGAGTTACTTTTAACTCAGTGGACTTGAATTAGACCGAAATGAAATTAAGACGACTCTTGATTACTTTGAGCTTATATTAATACACATATTTATTATGAGCCTAATGTATATTATGTCACTCACAGCCAAAACAACAGAACTTGTAGCAGCCTCAAAAGAGTGCCGGCGCCCGCGAACCAATACATCACCCAAGGCCGCTCACTCTCCTGCAGACTGCCGCGCCCCTCGCGGTGGCGAAGATTTGCATCGCAACTCGCGCCCCTCTCTGACATGGCGCGCATACGGCGCCCGTCAGACTCCCCCTTCTAGCCACCATACTACCCATATCGAGCAGAATACTGGTAATGCGAGTACACGCGCGGGTTCTCCTTATCTGCATAAAATATTTAAAGTACGCAAATAACCAAAATAAGCCGTTGAAAAACGTGCGTGCAAAGTATTTCCTTTTTTTAGCCCTGGAAAGTTATTTTGCAAACGCTAGCACGCGCACGCTTCTTGGCACTTGGGTAATTTAGGAAATGGTTTATAATATGTTACTGTCCATACAATGACGGAGTTCCCTTATGCCTAAATACACCCTGGTGCGAGCTTTTTCCTGAAGGGGAGAAAGACCAGTCTCGATCGTAGCTTCTAGGGATTCGAAAAGCAACGATTCCTTTCCACAGAAACATACCCCCAGAAAATTGCATATAATAACTGCAAGAAACTGCTATGAGCGATTTTAATCAATTAACTCTGGGATAGAAAGCACTGAGTGTGGCCATGGATTTTTGTTTTACAAAATCTTCGCGTTGAAAGACCTGTATCCCTTTCCAAGTGAAAGTTATTTCATCGTCGCCCGAAATCGTACACACTTCCCGTTTTACTACCAAAATTTCTTCATTTTTTTTTAAACATTTTTAAGCAGCATTTTTTTTATTTTTTTATTTAAGCTTTGTATTTTTCGAGACTGCTAACAATAACCCAGACTAGTCGGTCTGGAGCACGGCCAATGACTTGTCTTTCCGTTCCCCTTTCAACAATGACTCCAATGTGATATATCCCTCTGGGGAGACGAATCACTGAGATCACTGAATCTGTCTAAATAATCATCAAGAAAAGGGGTCCGAGCTTCTGGTACATCAAAACAGACACGTTTGCGTTGCGGAAGGTTTGCCAAACATATTGAACAGTGTATTTGTGTGTACGTCCCGCTTTACGGGAGACATACTCGTTGCTATAGATTATTTTAAGTTTATCTATGTTTCTTCATTGCCCTAACTTCTGGTTTGGTGTTAAGCGGATTGTAGTAAGAATAAAATTACGGGGGGTTTTGTCAAAAGGAGAAATATATGTGAGCTCTGTTATCCTTGGGGGATGTTTTCTTGTTCGGTCTTTGCGTGCCTATTTTCTGTCTCAGTGGTGTGGTGAACCTTGAAGGGGATCAGCCAGCCGGACTAGTGCCCGTAGGCACATGTTTTTCTCCCCCTACGCGTTTTTTGTTCAATAAACCCCCAGCTGCGTTTGCGATTCGTTGCCTTGTCCCAGGCAACGAATCAATTATGAAGCCATCTCAGGCTTCATAATTGTGTATGTGCAAAATGTTCGCTCTGTCAAAAAGTAATGTTTCTTAAATGAAATGAAAGGCCGCGAAATCGGAGCGACCGGAGCACGCTGGCAGTTCACGCCGGTAAAATTGTACAGGGAAAGTCGACTACAGCGCCATCGCTATCCTCTGCTTTTTTTCCACGTTTTCGGGTCCCCTCGCCACCCCTCGCCAAGACCGGTTTCGCGGCCGAGTGAACCAACTACAACTGTAGTTACTTCAGTCCCACCATAGTATAGTACAGCTTCGCTGGTCTTCCTTCTTCACCAAAATGAAAAGACTAAAAGTTTTTTTTTTCTTTTTTTAAATAAAATTATAGCAGTGTTTGAGACTTTTGAGTTTGTGTGTCGTTGCCTGCAGACTCAGGGTTTTTAATCATACATACTTTTTTTTTTTTTTTTTTTCTTTTGAGGGGGGGGGGGGGGGGCATTCGGTGATTTGGTGGTGCGGCGAGACGCCGCGCGGCGTACGCTGCCGTCCCTTTGCAAGACGTAGCTGCGCGTCGCTGTCTGGTCCGAGGTCCAGGTGCCGGATGTGCTGGTCGCACATCCCACCGCGAGCGCCGCAGACGCAAGCAACGCGATTGTTCTCCGTGTCGTCTGCTTTCCAGACTTCGGAAACATGCTTTAAAACATCGCTCGCGTTATAAAACAAACAAATGTGTACCCAGTGGCTACACATACTTTTCAGTGGTCAAGCAACCTTCCAGCTCGTTCTATTATTGTGTAGGATGCATATTTCGCAAATGCAAAGCGAACAACATGGTGTGCCCAAAATTCGGCGCCAGCAAGGTCACTTTCCCGCATGAAGCTTGTCTCCAGCTCGGCGCACGTGAAAACGAAAGGCGAGGGTAAGATAAGCGGGGAGGAGGAAGCAGACGGAACGCTGGAGAAGGGAGGGGGAAATTTCCTTCTCTCTAGCGTTCCGTCTGCTTCCCCCTCCCTGGCCCGTCTTACGCTCGCCCTTCGTTCTTAGGTGGCAACGCACGCGCGTCCCTACCAAATTAAATATATATATATATATATATATATAATATATATATATATTCTTAGTGGCTTTTTAACAGAGGCTTAGAGCATGCTCATCACGTGGGTCCGGAGAGTCACTCACAAGCTCTGTTGGCTGTCAGTCAATTGCTTAAGGCCTCCGCTGCTGTTCACGACCCCAAAACAGCAGAACAAATGGACAGGCAACAAACAGGCACACCATTGGCAGTTGGCGTGTGACAGCACCCAGGTCACAAAAAAACCAGAAAAAGCGAAAAAGTCGTGATTTGTTTTTTCTTTTTTTTTTTGTGGTGTTTAAACAGAAACCGGACTGCCGGACTTCAACCACTTCAATTTCCACGACTTTAAAAAGAGTAGTGTCGCGTAACGATTTCTGAAGTGTCCTGTTTGGACAGCCCTTCAAGCATTCTGAAGTATTCTGTCTGGACAGCCCTTCACGTGTTCTGAAGTACTCTGTTTGGACACCCCTTGGAAAAATCTTGCGAGCATTCCGTTCAGGAAGTTATGCTCAGAGGAACACATAGAACCATTAGCGAGAGGCCCAATGTAAAGTCAGCGGCTATTCCTTACTTGCACTTAGTTTCACACAATTTAAAATGGCCCAGCATTTTAACGTTCTTCTGGTTTTCTCAGCTCCCAATTGGATGGTTTTACTTTGCGATAATATTAACAGCCCCGGGCAGCAGTCTGATCTTTGCATTTAGTGCAAAGATTAACAAAATATAAGGCAACAGGCTGGCAAAGTTTGACAATTCTGGCATTTAGAGATGAGAACAGTAACTATAAATGCTAAGCATTATTGCGCAATGTGCAGTGTATGCATTTTTTTTGCATATTAGCAACATTGTTTTGTGTTAAATACTGTGGGCTGATCTTCCCTATGCACAATTTGTCTGTAAATATCTCTATATCTGTAGCCACCGTAGTAGTTTTGGGATATGTGGTGAAAGGCCAACTTTGCACAACCTGCAGAAAGCGCTTTGGAATGAGAGTGTGCTTCCAATCTTTTTCTGCAAAGACAAAACATTTTTTCGCAAAACAAAAGGTGGTTTCAATCTATTAGCCATTAAGTCAACAAAATGTTTTTTCGTAAAAATTTAAAATAGTCATTGGACATGGTCAGCTGAACTTGTCTGAAAACACCGATATAGAGCTGCTTGCAGCCTTTGTATAGAGGCATGAGGGATCATCCAAATGGTACAGCATGAGAGTGGCAACATATTTTCTAAAGAATCGGCTCACACTGTTCATGCTGGCAACTCATTAGCCAGCTGAGCATTCGGCTCACTCACCAGTCTTGCCAGCCTTTCAGAGGTACCTGATGGTCATGCTCATCTGACCATGTCTCCAAGGGAATGTGGCACATGGTCATACAGAAATTTTCCCCACGAAGGCAGTAACAATCAAGAGTCACCTCCTAGTGCCTCCCTGATCACTTTCCTTAATCCTTTTACAATTTGTCTTCACTCCAATCTTGATGAACAGGCATCTCGACACCCAGGCATGTGAGCTAACGCTTGCCTATCAGCTTGCATGTTCTTGAATACCTCTCAAAACAAAAGAAAGTATTAGTCACTTGCATCAATAAGCACAGAAGGCTCAATTTGATCCAATAAATGTAGCTCGCTTTATTAAAAGCTCAGTTACACATAAATACCGAAGCATGCTTCTTCTGAAAGCTGCCAGATACACAAGTATGTCACCATTGTCAAACATATCCCATGCCTCGCAAAGTAAAGTGATAAAAGGTTTAAGAGATCCTATCTGAAGAAAAAGGCAAGGTCTTGACCCTCTACACAACTAATATGATAAATGTTCGCTAAACCCTACTTAGCCAAAGCTACCTAAAAAGTGGATTAATATGTGCGAGGACCTTCCCGAGAAAAAGCACATAACTAAGGTTGAAATGAAATGCCATAAAAAAAAATATTAACCACCTTTTTCCCTTTATGAAACCTTCGAAGTGGCTAAACAGGTAAAAAGCAATGCAAGGCTATTCTCCGTTTTTGTTTCCTTGCTCTAGCCAAGCCTTCATGCCAGCACGTTCAGAAGCTTGAATCTGGATTTTTTTCCTCTTTTCTAAATATTTTAAGGGAGACAACACAAAAAAGGCAGTGCTCAGTTTTGGAACAAGGTGCGAGTGAACTCAATATAGTCGTACGCTCCGGAGATGGAACGACCACTTTTCGGGTCGACGTAGGGCTTCATACGCGACACGCAGTAGTCCGCCATGTCCTTGGTGAGGTTCTGAAAAAGCCAAAGACATGTGCAATATATAACTTTTGTGTCACACAAAAACTACACAAATAAACTTCATCATACCTGCCAACCCAGCAATGTAGAAATCAGGGAGACAAAAAAACACAAAACGGGGTGGGGGAATCCCCCATTGATTTTTAAAGGGGGGGTGCAACGATTTCCGGACTTCGGTCAAAGGTTTCTGGAAATTGCCCTCTGACACTTCTGAAGTAAAGAACAGAAAACAGATTTTGACTGAGTGTCCTAGTTGTTGCGTAAAAAAAAGATAAAGATTGGCATTTCGGGCACCCCTCAACTCACTCCCAGCCTTCAGGGTCAAAACTGGCGCCCCTCCTAGTGACGTCATTCGGAGTGCCGTGTAGCTTCCCGTGTACTATCTCGGAGGACGCTTCCTCTCCCTCTCTCCGCTGACATTAGCGGGTGGTATGCTGCAGCTTAGAGCCGAGCGAGGTCACGTAATCTTTTCGCCGTAGTTCCTTCGGCTGCCGCTTGGGGCTGCAGGTGGGGGAAAAAGCTCGACTTTTGCTTTGCGATTATGCAGCGGAATCGCGACATTTTTAATGAAGGAGGTGTTTTCTCTATCCTCCGAGACACGATAAACAACGTAAAAATGCCGAAATGCAAATTGTTTTATTCGTAAAATCGTTGCACCGCCCCTTTAAGTGATCTGGCTGTAGAACCAAATTCTTCAAAGTATGATCGTTTCTAGCAGCCTCTGGACGACTAACAAAAAGCCTCCGATAGTCTCGTAGTGGAATGGAGCTCAACTTATTTACTTTTGAAAAGACCTCGCCGTCGCAGATTTCGCCGGCTTCAGAAACTTGTCGGAATATATTTGTTCATAACAATGTTCAGCTTTGTGACCCCTTACCATGTGGAGGTATCCAAGAGTCGTTGGAGAAAGATGAGCTAAATTCGGTTCTTGCCATTTTCACTTTGCTGAAGAACCGCTCACATTCAGCATTGCTATGTGGTATGGGGAGTACTTGCAGCATCAGCTTTGCCACTCTGCCAAACTTCAGTCTGCCATCAATGCTAATCATTCTTCCCACTTCTGATAACTGAATGTCACTTCTTTCTTTATTTCAAGATGTCTTGGGAAAGATCAAGTGCCTGCAGCTCCACAAATTCTACTTCCAGGGCATCCAAAGCCTCTTCTCTTGACTCATTCTTCTCCAGGGGCAAAAGTTGTGGGAAGGACTTAATGAAGAAGACTCCTAAAAGATGCACTGCTCATCAACTTTAATTTGGCAACTTCTGCCTTTTTCAGGGTTTCATTCTCAAGTGAAAATTTGTGTTGGATGTAGTCGCATGCCACAACAAAGTACTGACAAACAGCAGAAAAAAACTGCTGCTTCTCGCTGGTAGGCAGCCTCTCCACAACAGACAACATGCAGCTCCCAAGGACCATATCTTCGTTGGCTTTTCGGTTGTTAACATACTGGTAGGGAACTTCCAGTGGTGAACCACAGGCCTTCATGGCAGAGGGCTGAACAAACCTGGTCATAAGGTCCCTCAGGAGCTGCACCAACAGGGACTGCAGCAGATGAACTTGGGGTGCCTGTGACTGAAGTTGGAAGTTGGCTTTTTCATGAGCAGGTATCGCACTCTTCAAGAAAAGGCCATACGTTAAGCTGATGTCGGTCATGACAAAGTACAAAAGCCACTCCTCACAGGTCACGCTGACATGCCCAGTACTCTCACATGAAAGCTTCATTTTCTTTGTCGGTGGAGCATCCATCTTGCCTTTTGACTCTTTGCATTTTTGGCGATCTTGCTCGACTTCGTCCCGCTTGTCTTCTCCCAAGGCTAAAGCTTTCTTAGGGATCTGGTACGACTCCAGAAAGAATGGACGCAGCTTGTTCTTTAGTTTTGTCTCATTTAGGAAGAAGCTAGTGAAGGGCTGCCACTAATCTAGTAACCTGTTCAGACCTAGTAATCCCAGCAATAGCCATCGCGTGGGCACACGTTTCAAAATCTTATGCACCTCAGTACTGTGCATCCCTTGAAATCCGACAAGCCTGTCCTTTGTCTTTGCACTCTTCTCGAGGAAGTACCTAGATGACGTCCACAAGGACCTCGTCAAATTCTGCTGGTAGGCATGCGGCTCCTTTCTAGGCCGAAGATTGATAAGGTGACATGGGCAGCCAACCACTATCAAATTATCTTGAACTTCTTTTACCACAGCTGCCACACCATTCTTCTTTCCAATCATGACGTTCGCGTTGTCGGAACCAAAAGCGATGCAGTTCTTCACTGATATATCGCGTGACTTCAGCGCATCCAGAACAAGGTTGCCGATCTTCTGCCCAGTGGCCTCTCCATGGAGCACTTGCAAACAAAGCAGCTGGCTTTCGACTCTCTGCGATTCGTCCATGTAGTAGGTTGCTACGACGGGATACAGTTGTGAAACCTATCATTGGTTCCATCCACAGCGATTGCAAATGCACAGTGCTTAAAATGCTCCAGCAATATCCCATTTTTCACGGAACAAATGATGTAGTGTCTTTTAGTATTAGTGATTTTTAATGTGAAATCACTCATTATCCTTAATTTCTGGAATTGAGCAGAGTTGCCCTTTAATGGCTCACATTAATAATTTAGTATTTGTTCTTGCACTAGCATCAACCTCTCCGCCACTAGTTTTATGCTTATAATTCTATGTTCTGTTGTTGTTTCTTTTTTAATGTGCCTGCACTGCAAGCTGCCAACCACCTTTTTGTTGCTTTCAGTTTGAACGTTTTTTTTTCTTAATATGTCAGCACTGTTAACTGCCATCCACCTATCAACATAATGTTTCCTGTAATTTTTTTTTTTCGTGTATACTTTTTTTTTTGCAATGTTTTCGAAAGAGGTGCCTTTAAGGGTATAATAAATGAATGATTGAATAAATGCTTAATTTGTGATTGATGTGAACCTACAAACAGCTCCACACAAAATATATTGAAAAGTTAAAGCAGTTTTTGTCCACATTAAAAAAAAAAAAAAAACGTTTGCACCACATTGCACAAAGCCGGCTACATGCACTAAGTTCCTTGCTATGGCTGAGAGGAACATCCAGCGCGAGAGAGAACAAAATAAGGAGGGAGGGGGGATAAAAAAATGATAAAACAAGTGAAAACCCACTTTGATGCATGTCATCGTCATTATCCAGTCTGTACAAAAAAGGAATTCCAGAACGGGAAAAAGAGGTAACACGGTCGTAGAAAAAAACAAGAGATCAAATAGGTAGCTAGTGAGCAAATTTGTCATACACGACACCTGCTAAAATACACTAACGTTGGTGATAAGCGGCGATTTGTGTTCCCAATATAAAGAATATTGATGTCCACCATGATATTTCAAATGTAATCTTCCTCACAGTCATTCAACCACATACTTCACAATCACATAAGCAAGCATCTTTCATAAAGTGTGAAGCTTAGTGAGCTCATGAGCAGAATTCAAGTAAAACAGCTCTCACAAACATTCACCTCGACTTTGCCAACCAGCCAGAGAAATACCCTGCGCACACCGCCAAATAATTTCATTACTGGCCACAGGATACAGTCAGCAGCAATATGAGCCGGCCCAGCCGAAAGCCAGCTGAATGGGGTAAAATGCTGCAGGGGCACTTCCAGCATGCCGAGCTACGAAAGCAACCACCATATTGCGAGAACAGGACACGTGGCAGACAATACCACCCCTTTTACGACAGATCCACACACCAGGGGTTCTTCGAATGGTTTTTGTGCCACCCTCGCCCGAACGCCGCTGGGTCAGCTCATACTGTCGTGATGTGCACCGTACCAGCTCCAGCCGGTTCCCACGCACTTTATTTTATTCGCATCTTCGACGGCTGTAGAGGTGGCAAAATGTACTGCTCTGCTTTACGCCTTACAGCATAGGTTCTGGTTTCCCAGGAACCCTCCCCGGAGTCCAGGGTTCCTGAGCCCCAAGTTTTTCTCAGTCATCCCTACCCCAAAGTAATGTGTTCTTTCCACTTCAAGCACCACCTTAGCAGATCTGAGCTGCCACTGATGCATAACTACTATGAGCCATACACTCCCTAGTTTGCACATTACTGTTTACAAGGTCTTTAGGATACTGCGCTGCTTTACTGCCTCAATGTCGAGGACAGATAAACGTTCTTCATTATTGAAAAGCTTAAAAAAACTCCGCTTCACAAAAGCCAAGGGACAACAAGGGTGGCTCACCGCGTAGAGCTCGTCGGCGGTGACGTAAGGGCGGTCTCCCGAGGTGATGGCGCGGAAGGCGTTCTCAATCTCTTCCGACGAGCGCACGTTCTCCGTCTCCCGGGAGATCATGAAGGCCATGTACTCCTGCAGCGACACGTGTCCGTCCCGGTTGGGGTCCACCGTGTCCAGGATGGCCTCGAACTCCGGGTCCGGCTGGCCCTCCTCCACCATGGGCAGGTCGTAGCCCAGGGCCCGCAGGCACGACTTGAACTCCACCTGGTTCAGCTTGCCACTCTTGTCCTTATCAAAGTGCCTGCGTTGTGGAACGGGAAGCGAAGCGAACCGTTTGGAACGAGCTCTTCGGACGGAAGCGCAAACCTGCCAAATTGCCTTCGCTTGCAGGACTCGTTCTTGCACTCTCGAAATTCAACGATGCACGATTGTGGTGGTAGGGGGAGAGGTTTACCATCCAAAACTGGGTGCTAGCTTTACTACAATCACATATAAGCATGCTTTTAGTATGGTCTCTTCATCTTTTGAGCCGGCAAAAAGCGCTGATGGACCTTGCCGTATTCAAATAAATGCTTATTCTTTCTCTCTGTCCAACCTCACACATTTTAATACGGATGTTAGTACAATTATCTATCGGGCCACGCGCAGGCTATAGTTGACCCGATGCAGTCTATTATTAGTAGTACTTTTATTGAATATAAGTTTCTTGGGAGGTCTCTCAGCTAATAGGAGGTTCTCATCGAGAGCAACTTGGGCACGGGAAAGCAAACAGCTGTTTGGAAGTAAGCCAGGCTGCCTAGAAGACAGCAGAAAGGTAAAGGCCCGTTCACACTCTTGCGACCTCTTAAACCTGGGTTCCTTAAAACTTCTTAAACCAGAGAACACACTGGCGCCATCTATTGAGAAGCAGTGTAAACTCGGCGGTCCGACATATTTTTTTTTGTTTCTCGCGCATTATCCTTTCTTTCTTGGCTCGAAAAACTTTTGTCAATGTTATAAACGAGTCTTTCTATGGGTATTACGCACATTTGACCTCGGAAATCCCGCAAAACCTTCGCTCTTGTGAAATGCAGTTCCTGGGTCACCGCATAGATGGCGCCACAATGCCAGTGTGTTCCCTCATTCTAAAAACATTTAAGAAGTTTTAAGAGATCTCGTCGCTCTCAGTCGCAAGAGTGTTAACGGGCCTTAAGGCTGAATCAATGCACGAGCAAATGGTTTTTAATGTATCCAAATGGAAGCTATTCTTAAAAGGTGACTCCAGTACATTTTTTCGACTTCAGGGTTACAACTGTTTTTAGTGAAGAATCCCTGAATAATAGGTGTCACTCTTTCTCAATGCATTGTGCAGTTTTGCAGATATCTGGAAGCTTTGTTTCACGAGTCTACGGCTAAACCGAAACTACCGGCTCAAGCGTGACGGCAACCCTTGGGATCAGCTGCATGGCCATCGTGTGATGCAAAGTTTGTACCGCGGTACCGTAAAACGTACGACTGGCATAATCGCAAGAGCAGTTTTGATCAGTCGGGCAAGATGCTGCAGCTGTTTTACTGCTTTGCTTCATAGATATAAACATCTGTAGCAAATATTTATACACATCCATAAAGTTGCCGGACGAAAAGCGAGTATGTCATGATGAACGCAGGCTCAGCGCCGGCTCAGAATGAGCCCCACTTAGCTTCTGAGAACTACCATCCTTGTGGTGTGCAAGGTTGCAAAAGCATTGTGGAAGCTATTTGTAAGCTCGCGCTGAGCAGGAATGAACTAAACTATGTGAATGCCACCTTCGGTACCACGACGCGCTTGAGTGAGCAGGGAGTCAATCCTTGTGCGTGATCGTTGACGAACACTTATAAACAACAGACGCAACAACATAACAAGCAGAAATCGTCTGCTGAGATGGCTGAAATTGCAACAGAAAAACACGGTGAAAGAAGTGGCAGTACAAACAAGTAACCTCCTTGGGTATGAACATGATGTCGGGGTAAAAGGTTGCTTGACGAACAGCCAACCCGCTGAATGCCTGGCGAGAAGCTGGTGGTAGCATTTTTATTATTGGTTTTAGATTGGATCGCAGTTTCCAATTAGTGTAATATTTTTGCAGTGCTCGTATTTAATTTCTGAAAATCTATATCGGTCATTTATTTTGGTTCAAATTTTGACCGGAGTTACCCTTTAAAATAGCAATTAGTAGAAGAAATATTCTGACAAGAACAAAACTGGTACTGACTTGAACATCATGCTGAACTCCTTGAGGGCATCCTCTGTGACTCCACTTTGGTTCCTGAAACAGAGAAAACGTAGGAATTTAGGGCAGCCACAAAAAAAGATCTCCAGCAGCACTGATCAAAGCGGCATTCAACTTTTTGTAGCAGGATTTGTAGCAGGCAAAAGTTTGGTTTGGGGCAGCTACTGATCAAAAAAAAGAACCACCCCGTCTAATTCTTAGAATGGACAAATTTATTTCAGCTACCAGCAGCTGCCTAGAGGGTTTGAGGTACACTCCATTTCGGATGGACGTGAATTTAATCCTGAGCAGATCCCATCCACCTTGGCCACTTCCTTTCCATTCATTGTATCTACGGTAATCACTAAGCTGATATCGCAAGATCCGAGCTGTCAAAGGCTTCAATATGTCAATGCAGATCTCAAAACAAAAAGATGCGAGTGGTTTCTAGCGTACCCTCCCTCCCCCCTCACCTGGCCTGAATCTGTTGCTCGAGGTTGTGCTGCATGCGCATGCCCAGCTGGTCCAGCTGGTCCCACTGCTGGGCCAGCCCCACCGTGCCGTGCTCCGTGTACCGGTTGTCCAGGATCAGCTGCTCCTCTAGCATGGCCCCCAAGTCCTCGATGCGCTTCAGGTCCGCCCGCTTGGCACGCACCTCCGCCGCCTTGCGCTGCATACGCCACGTCAACCGTTACGGTAGCTGCCAAGACCGTGGGCGAGGCACAAGCCCCGAGTAGCACATCCTTGTCACATTGCTTGTTGGGAGCACGGTAGAAAAGGCTTCGTATCTCGTGGATAGAAACCGAGTGGCTAATTTAGAAAGAAAACCTGGACATCAAGGTGAAACTTTCCGAAGGATCACACTTGCCGTGTGCGCTAGGACTGGCCAGCTTACTGAGAACGACGGAGTTATACGTCTGTGACTCAAAAGGCTTCGCTGTATGTTGATCCGACGATGTTTCGATAACCTTTATCACTTGTGCGGTCTCATTGGGGCATAGAGTGCCACATTGGCAAACTTGCTGACGCACGAAAAACGAGGGGTACTCCCAAGCGCTACCCGTCGGAAAGCATGTATAAAACCTTTTCGGTCCTATGATCTAGGAGATGACTGTCACTGCTTACTAATGCGAATTCTGAAATAGCTACACATACAAGTACGCAAAAAGTGTCTTCCAAGCACCTTCGTAGCTTCCAGCTGTGCTTCCAATGTTCCCGAGCCTTCCATCATGGAGGACCTGCCGAAGAAAAAGGTTTGCTCAAACGCTCCACCTTAACCAAGGTGAAAGGAATGGAAGGGGTGCAAGTAATCTTTAGAGGTACTCACCCATCCAGCAGCCACATTCTGCAGGAGCGGGGCAGGCCGGCAGAAAGAAAGGGGCACAGTTAGTCACACTTGTAATCGTGACAACGCTTCACTAGGCTTTGCCCCACCTACAATGAACTACAACCAAAACTATGATCCATCAGGTCTAATCATGGGCCAGTTAAAACCACATGGTGTATTGCTGCACCACGCGTATAGTTGGACCAAAACACGAAAAATGGGCCGACATGGACATCTAAGCTGTATACCACATGGCTTCCGATTGGTTCGCGATTGGACCTCACGGTTTGTAGCTTCGACTGTAGTCTGTCAGAGAGCGAGAAAAAGTTAGAGGGCAAAGCTGAGCTCACCGTGTGTCTGTGAGCCACTGGTGCAAAGCATTGGCATGCTTGGCAAACTCTCTGCGAAGGCGGTCGTTCTCCTCCTGTCGCTGGGCCTCCTTAGCCAGCTCAACATCTCGTTCCTGTCGAAAGAGACAAATGCTCCAGTTTAGCGTCATGGCAACAAAGCCGATCACTGCAAAATGATCTCAAAAGAAAAACATACCCCAAAGGTGCTGTAAATGTGTTGCATTTATAAGTACCCTGTAAGGTCATATGTCCCTCGACGTCATGGTGTCAAGTGATCACGCCGGTCAGGATATGTCACGTGACACCATGCCACAGTGTCAGTGACATCATGTGACTACCAGGAAAGCATGTGGTCAAGTGACCTTTAGACACAATGTAATGAGAGGTCTTAGTATCATGTGACTTCCCAGTGTCATGTGACATCATGGTGTACCATGATGTTACTGTGTCACCCAATACCACAATGCCAAAGCAAAAAAAAAAAAAAAGTTGACAGCGTAAGGCCTTTGGAATGCTACGACACTGGTTTAGACAGCAGATGAGAAATTTAGCCAGTGCAGTACCAATGCTAGCCTGGGGGCCTTTAACGTGCACCACGCAGTAGCGATACATGACCTCATGCCGGTACAATGCTCATCCAGATCGAAACGGGAAGGGGCACAGATAGAACCCAGGAGCACTGGGTTCCGCAGCACGAGCTTTCCCTCCACAGGCTCCGAGATGCGGTGCGCGAACACACTCGGCCACCGATACCCCTGCCACAGTGCCACGTGATGTCATGGTGTCATGGGACGACGACCACATTGATAACAATACATGAGCACCGTCTGCTAAATTTAGTGGGATGCTTCCCTTCCACCGAGGCTCACCTCCTCTATCCACCATCGAGGCTACAGCCCAGGGACAACACAGTGCTAAGAGCAGGCCATGCACATTAAAGAAAAAGAGTAGGGGTGCCACCTTGATGATCTTTTGGAGGTTGCGCCAGGTGTCCTCGAGGGCCTCCATGGTAAACCAGGTGTACGGGTTGGGCCCCACGTTGAAGCCCTTGATCTTGCGGTCTAGGGTGGCCAGGGCCTCAAAGTCCGCCTGGGCCGAGCCCAGGGAGCCCTGGAACTGGGCGTGCGCCTCCCGCAGGGCCCGGATCTCCTCCACAGAGTTGCACCGCACAGGGTCCGTCAGGTCCTCCTCCGCATTCTCAAACCAGCTGTTGAATGCTGACGCCTTCTTCGCAAACGTCAGGAACAGGTCCTCAATCTGCACCAAACGCGAAGACAGTCGGTTCATTTCCATTATAGCACCACCCCATCTAGTGCTACAATTATTACCGCACAGCTGGGTGTTGTGTTTTAGTTTTGATCACAATCTCCCTCGTGCAATCTGCGAGTCTGGTACTAGTGTTGTCACGTATATAAGTATGTATTGTTGGAATAAATGGTGCATTCGTCTGGGTCAACAACCGTTTTCATCTCTTCGGTTGTCAGTCGACACCGCACTGGGTTCCAGAGCAGCAGCTTAAGTACCAAAAGAATTCAAAGGGAGGTGCCCTTTCAATCGATTAAGAGACATCTCCGTTTGTTTTGTGCTTAATTAGCCATACTCAGACTACCCTTTAATTGATAAATCCGATTTTGGAAAGGAACAAATCATTGGAAATAATAAAACATTTCGAAGGTTTGTGATCTAAACGAGAACATCTAGCACCCCCCAGCAGAAGACAGGATTCATTTAGATCACCCGGGGATCTCTAATGCACAAGAAAAAACTCAATTACTTGGCACTTGCACTGCTATAAGACAGTTTGTCACCAATGTATCTGGGTCTTCTGAAAAGTTCTAGCGACATATTTTGTCTGAGCTTTCGAGACACCCCAGGCAAATGTCGGTCATCAAAACACTCGTGGCACAAAGCATGTTAGCAAAATGACATGCTCTCCCAATAGATATAAACCAGGGGTGGCCAGGCTGACCCGGTCTAAGAGCTGCAAACATAAGCTTGAAACTTCCAAGAGCCGCGGGGGGAACTGCGGGGGGGGGGGGGGGGGACTTTGGTTTAGAGCAATTTAAAAAAATCTAGCTACTTTCAATCTTTCCAAGTCAAAAGCAGTCCAACTGTACGTAACGTAGCAGTAGCACCAGACTATTAAACCGCAACCTGTCTTTTGATTTAAAACGCATTCTATTTTTCGTTTTTTTGGGGAAGTGCTCGTGTGACCGAGAGGGAAGCGGCGAGTGGGGGGGGGGGGGGAGGTTGGGGAGGGAGCCGCGAGCCGCACTTTAGCACGCAAAGAGCCGCATGCGGCTCGCAACCCGCAGCTTGGCCACCCCTGATATAAACCAACAGCCACACATGAAAAGTGAGAAAATCCGTGGGAAACCGGCCAACCTGCTTAAACTGCTCCAGCATGTGGAGGAGACGAAGCTTGCGGGCGTTGGAAGCTGCCAGCAGGTTGTTCCACCTGCAAGAAATTGAGAGCCATTGAACGATATGTTATCTGTACAAGAGGCAGTTGGCTCGCTTGCGGTGGTACCTAAGAATCACAAAGTTAATGCGACGGCCATCAAACCAAGAATGACAACACAACACTTCCTAGCATAAAAGTCTAGAAGTCAATAATTGCAATGTCCTCTTTTGGTCCTGTCCCACCTGGTGAGGACATCGTCGTGGCGTCTCATGATGGCGGCCGTCTGGTCGTGGTTGGCCGCCACAAGCTGGTCCTTGAGCTGGCTGATGCTTTGGATGCCCTCTTGCTCAAAGGCCCCCAGGCCGGCGTCGAAGGTCTCCTGCAAGGAACACCAGCAAATCATCATTCCGGTTATCATCACCATCGTGGGTGTGCAACCCGCACCTTGCACTCACAATGAACACGAAGGTCAGAGAGGAAACAAAGCTGAGTGGTAGTGAAACAATTCCCCAACACACCTGCTTTGTGAGTAAGGTCTGCACAGATGACAGGTCTCGGCCAAAGTCCTCCGATCGAACATGGGTCTCTTTGTCGGCTATAAAATGAAGATGAAAGCTCATTAGGTTGCCGCCAATGACACTGATAAGATGCGTGTGAACACGCAACATACTATTAAACTATGACAGACATCCTAATAGGGCCTCGGAGCCTAGATGCAGCAACCGAAACATTAATGATCTGAGATTGATGTATGGTTAGCATGAAAAGAACAATACGTACCTTGCTGCCTGTCCAGAAGACAGCAAGCAAGGTATGGTGAAACATAAAAAAATAATGGGCCCTATTGTTTAGGAAACTACAGCTTTTGGTAAATGCCCATTAGGTATTGACAAGATTTACTTCGTGAGTTTTGACAGCCCATCCAAACCGAATAAGCATCAAAACAGCATCGACAGCTCTCAGTGGTGCCACAACAGTCGAGAATGTGAGCGGAGAGAATGACGAAATAACAAATTCATGTAGTCATGAAAATGCACGATTAGAGCTCTTCAGGTAATTAGTCAACAAACAGGGAACAAGCGGTGCAACGAAAAAAGAAAAATGCTTATTCGTATCGCAGAACTACAACTCTTTTTCAAAGCTTTCCCCAGGGAGCCACTTAGCTTCTTCCACTAGCACGAGAATGTCAGACTTAGTCCTCAAAGTTTCTCCTATACTACGGTGACAAAACAAAATAAGCTTCGAGACAGTTTCATTTCTACAGTCACGACCGGCTCGAGAAATGCACAAGGCACAACTTATCATGTTCACTCTTCCTGCAATGTGATTCACTCTTCGCTGTTCTTAACAGCTAACGCTGCAATGTCATTGGCTATGCAGCCAAAATGAGGTCATCGAGACTCGCCACGCTCTGCATTCCTTGAGCCGTCAAGTACCATAGTATTAACGTCTTGAACACCTGAGACATGGGAACAAGAAAGGAGACAACACGGGAGACCCGTGTGTTGTCCACTCTTTTGTTCCCAACTCTCGGGTGTCCAAAATCACCAGCTGGCCTGCATGTTCTTCGCCATTTCTTTCAGACTACAGTCTAAGCTCGTTATAACAGACCTTGATTTTGACCAAGATTTCCGTCTGTTGTAAAAGGAGTATGTTGTATACAGATATGAAGTTGAGTCAATGGTATATAGAGGAAAACCAACCAAACTTCACAAATCGGTATGTTATATCCAAATGTCTGATGTAAACCAGGCCTGTTGTAATGAGCTTAGACTGTGTAGCCTGTTCTTTCAGCAAGTAGCCTCCTTCGACCATGTCGACTTTATGCTGCTCCACACAGTTGCTCCACTCAGTTGAGTAGCGCAGATGAAAACTGGGAAAAACGGGGGGAGAGAAGGGGGGAACGCACCGATCCAGCTCTCGACCACGTCGGCCTTCCACATGAACTGGAGGTAGGCCGAGTTGTCCTGGAGCTTGGCCTTGCGCCGGGCGGCACTGGCCTCGAGGGCGTCGAGGCGCGAGACCAGCTGGTCCAGGCGCTGCTGAATCGAGTCCCGGTGGTGGTTGCCCTCCTGGACCAGCGTCTGGCCCGCCGACACCGTATCCCCGCAACGCTCGCGGTGCACCGCAAAGTCTGCCTCAAACGCTTCGTGCTTCTTCAGCAGGCCCTGCGCAACCATCACGAAGGATGTTTGCCTCGCTCGAGAGAGGAACAACTAATAGTTCATCTTGTTGTTTTACCAAAGAACTAAGGAAGATGCCGAGACTGCCTTCGTGGCCAGTACTTACTCGCGAGTCAGTTGTGTCTCATACATGACATACGATGCAGACCGTATCATTTTCGTGATTGTAATGCACTTTTTTACAAAGTGCATTAGATACCAGTTATGTTTGATCAATGCTTATTTGAAAAACCGACCCCTGCAATAATGCCTCACAATATAGCAAGTTTCTTTGCAGAAAAACAACAAAACACAAATAGGTTGGAAATTGCGTGCTAACCACAGTCGAATCTAAAGTCCGAAAGTCAATTTAAAGTACAATGTGCTCTCGACTCCCCAAAAAAGGAATTCTGTGCAAGTGTGTTTGCCTCATCATCCGTTTTGTCCGCTCTTGAAGAAGTTAGCAGAGTGCTACCTTTTCCATACACTGCTTGTACGTGACGCCGCCGCGCCGTGCTGGCGGTGATGCCTGCTTGTTCACGCCGAGAAAAGCAAATTCTGCGGTGTTAAATGTGCGCAGAAAAAGATATGCACTCGGCAGCAAGGCCACCACAATGGCCACTGACGCAACGTCAACGCGAGCCACGTATTATAAGCGTGCTATCTCCCCTAAGACAGACCAGGCTTTTCACAAAGGTGGTCGAGCCTCAACAGTTCAGTGTTTGTCGAGCACCTGCACGGCAGCCATGGTGTCTCCATAGTCCTCGACGGACAGGAGCTGCTGCTTCTCGGAAATCCAGGCCTCCTCTTCCTCCACCTTGGCCAGGAACTGCTGGTACACCAGCGACTCGTCCAGCTTGTGGCCACGGTCACCGGCCATCTGCGAACCCCAAGGTTACTTCGTGATTAGCCAATAACCCTTACCAGCAGAACAAATGTATGCTGAAATGCACACAATCAAGAACCAACCTTTGTTGAACACTGCATTCACACAATCTACAGAAGCGATGCACGCCATCCAACCATTTTTCCGCAAAGAACTATTACGACGGTTGCGCCTTTGCAAGATCAATAAACATTCCTTTTTTGACCACCCCTTTCAAGAGCTCTACAGTTTCGTAGCAGCAGCAGGCATCGCTGAATCTACCTGCACCAAACATTCGCGAGAGAGTAAAGCGCTCTGCACTACAGTGACAAAGTGGATTTTTGGGACCCGTTTTGACCGGCTGGAGAGGAGATTCCAGAATGTTGTGAAGAAACAAATAAAGAGCCATCATAGTTGAAGAGAGCCTCAGAAACACAGGGTGTGGCTCATTAGCCTCAGGCTTCTTGTTTCGTGATTTGTTCTTTGATGTTTTTATCAGCTAATACTGCAATCTCATTAATTGCAAAAAAATAAAGAGCTGCTCAAGACTTGCCAGTGACAACGCAGCATCCGTTACCCTCACCCTTCTGCAAACATATACTTGCCAATAATATTTTCTTAGACTAAAATTTATGGACCTTTAATCGCTCGATGCACGTGGTTCCCGACCGTCACAAACCATGTGACCGGTGATCTTGGCAGTTTAGGGCCAAACGCAAACCGGGAGAAAGGAAGACCGACCTGCTTGAGCTCCCGCCAGGAGAGCTCGAGGGTCTGGAGGCGCTGCTCAATCTCGGGCACGCCCAGGTTGGACTCGGCCATGAGCTTGTGGCCAGCCTCCTGCACCGCCTGGATGGCCGGCTCGTGGGCCCCCAGCTCTGCATCCAGGCGCTTATGCTTCTTGCGCAGGTTCTGCACCCCGGTCAGGTCCCTGCCGTAGTCGTCGGACCCCACCAGCAGCTTCTTCTCTCTATAAGCAGAAGCAAGAAACTCCGCTTGTCACGACGAGGACAAAGATTGGACTTACCATTAAAAATTTTTTTGCGACGTGTGACGGAGAAAACGTGAAGAAGGGCGACGCCTCACGAGAGATGCTCGGTTCTTTACATTCCTCGGTCTTTTGCCACTGCCAACACGAGCTTGTATGGGTACCGACCCGTGGTACGTATTACTTGGCGCTCTTGATAAGTGGAAATTACCGCATATTATTGAAGCTCCCTGTGACTATACATTGAGAGGTCTTCAAATTGGACCAACAAAACTGCCAAGCGACAACCACATAAGCTAATACCTTCAACGGTCTTCATTATCCAGTGACTGAAATTTGTTCTGGTAACACCAACTTTCAAGGATATATAAAGCATTTTTTTGATGCACAACCACCAGACAAACCATTTGGAAAGGGACAGCCCGTTTTCCCCCGATATCTACCATCCGCATAAATCTAGTGTTGCTAAGATCCTCCTTCTCCCTTGGCATCACAAATGATCGGCATTGAGAAAAGCCGAGAGGCCAAGCTGCAAGTTCTTTTACTCTTCCATGACGGAGGAGAGAGAGGAGAGCCCACTGGGACGCTCACTTGATCCAGGACTCCTCGTCGGCAATGTCCCTGAAGAACTGGTGCAGGGTGTTAGCCTCGTGCAGGCGGGAGCGACGGTAGGCGGCCAGGGTGCGCAGCCGCTCGTAGCGCTCGTTGATGGACGACCGCTTCTCCTGGATGGGGCCTGAGTGGAACTGGCCAGAGTCCACCAGGGAGTCTGCCAGGCCGTTCAGGTCCTTCACCCGGTCCTCGTGGGCCAGGATGTCTGCCTCCACCAGCTGGTGCTTCTTGGTCAGGTTCTGCACCGACGCCAGGTCCTTGCCGCTGTCCTCACTCTTCAGCAGCGACTCCACCTGCACCCCAGGTTAGAAAGAAAAACTTGGAAGGTCTGCATTGCCAAACCAACGAAGGGCATCTGGCACGCCCCTACGAAGAACCGGGGGTCGATTACAACCAAGCGGGGACCTTTTGACATGTTTCCGAAATGTCGGTAGCATGTTCGCCAGATTGCTGGCATCTCGGCCGGGAGTCGAGTCCGCCGCCTTGAGATCCATGGGCCAACGCTTTGCCTCGGAGCCATTGAGCCAACATATGAGGATGAGAGACTATGAAATGAAGGGCAAAGAAAACTGTGTCTCTTTACTATGAGCAGGCTCAAGAAGCTAATGTAAAAACTAAATTTTGAACTAGGCAATTTGCAAAGAGCTATTACTTCAGAATTGATCCAAAGCCTAAACTTTCAAAGTGGAAAGTTGGGCCAGTTAGTTTCATGGTTCTTTAAATAATTAAAAGCACCGAAAAAGACAAGGACAAGGGACTGGAACGACACAAGGCGCCTTGTGTCGTTCCACTTCTTTGTCCTTGTCTTTTTCGGCGCTTTTAATTATTTAAGGAACCTAAACTCTCCATTTTACCCGCCCTGAACTGGGGTTATGAAAAGTTCACTGGCATCAAGGCACAAGATAGCGGCATGCCCCAAGTAGCAGTGCTCAAAAAACCATTTTTTCACTATATGCTATTGTTCTTTATTAGACAATCTTTTTTTCTTTTTAAATGTTGGCATTGTTTCAATTAAAATTTTTACCTATAGGTTTGTTACAGTCAGTGTCAAAGTTACCCTCTAGTGCCATTTATACTTCGCTTCACCCAAGTCAGAGTGCAGTTAAAGACTAACAGGCCATCATGGGCGCCGATTTACAGCAGTAGACGTCAGTGCCCCTTCCCAACAGAAACTGCTCATGTACAAATGCAAAACCCTACCCAACAGCAGAGGCACTGGTCTCCCTCCCTCTCTCCGTTGTTCCTTACACATACGTACACGCCAAATGCAGTAAAGCTCTCTCTCGCTTCTCCTCCTCCTATCTCTGAGAAAGGGTGTTGATAACCATGTCATTTTCTGGTGCAATGCATACTGGAATACCTGTTGCCAGTTGCTATGAAAAGAAATTTGAGAAAATATGTATTTTTCAAATTAAAAAAAATATATATGCATTTTTCTTTTACATTTACAGTTTTGCACATTACAATTTTTCCTAATAAAGGAACTGCAAAATCTAAATTCATAACTGACCAGGTCCATAAAATAAAACTGAAACAATAGTTTTATTACAGTAAAATTTATGCCAAAAAGTGGAACGAAGAAAAGCGCATTCAAAGTGCTCAAACCTCTACCTCTTCTTGAGCAGCAATGGACCAAAAATGATTTTAGAAAAATAACTAGTATGCAGTGTAAACACACAAAACTTTCTGGGAATACTATCTAGGTGTTAATAGATGTAAATATGTAATTTTTCAAAATCAACTTTTTTTGCAGTATTTTTTTTTTCTGGGTAGTGTCTCCCATTTGAGGCCAAGTATAGACCTTTTCGGTTCACCTGCCTCCCCAGCCACATAGTTCAGATATCTGCTATAAGGGATAAAAGTCAAACCCTAAAAGCTAAAAGAAGTAAACATTTATAAAAGAGAAAAAAAACAAGAATGAGTGACAGACGCGATTAAACCGTGAACAGTCCCCAGTGTCATGGCAAGAACAAAAACAATGTTTCCTTCCATACTGGAAGTTCAGCAATCTAAGACGCCGATAAACGGGTAGAAAAAGTATAGCAGCGGTTCTCAAGTGGGAGTCCGCAAACCCTTTGGGGTCCATGAAGCCCTCTTGGGGTCGTTGAAGCCCGTAACTGTCAAGACGAGCAATAACCTTTTTTTATTAATGAGCCATCCCAAGACCAAGCCATGTGTAGGGTTGATTATGCTCCCTTTCAAAGTTTCAAAGTTGGTTTGCATGCATTCAGTTCTCTTCATATACCCTTTTGTTGTAGTAATCATTCAATACCTCCCCCTACCCCCTAGATGACTGGGTCCCCCATAACTTCTGCCAATCCAGAAGGAGTCCCCAAAAGGATCAGTGGTTGAGAACCACTGGCCCATAGCAACGGCTTCTTTGTAACATAGGGACGTCTGCAAGTGGATCGCTCCCGTGCAAGAAGCGAGAGGGACCTCCTCACCTCGCCGAGCCAGAAGTCGATGTCCTTGACGGCAGCGTGGAAGGTCCGCTGCTTGTTGGCCTCCTTGAGCTTCATGCTCTTCTCCGAGGACTTGGTGGTCAGGTGCTCCCACTGGTCGGCAATGGAGCCCAGGCGGGCCTGCACTGCGTCCTCGGAGCCCGCACACTTGCGCTTGTCAATCAGGTTCTGGCCCATGGCCAGCACTGACTGGATGCGGTCTGCATTGGCCGCCAGCTCCGCCTCAAATGCCTGGTGTTTCTTGTGCTTGCTCTGCACAGTCAGAGTGGGACGGGTCACAAAATTTGCTTAGTGTGTGAGGGTTTCGGGACGTGTCTAGCCTCAAAGCATTGGTGGTGTCTGAACAGGAAGGCAGACGGGACAACCGTGGCCCCCTCTCCCCGTTGGCTCCCCAACTCTCAAACACTTTTGACACGGCTAAACTGCACACCCAATTTCTTGACTCATCCAGCAGTTGCCTGCAGAGCAATGTGAACGGGTGACAGGGCCTCATCAGGAATAGCAAATCAGCCTATTGCCTTGCTACCCTAGACCTTGTGTCTAAACAAATAAACAAGCCAAAAAGAATTCCCCGATTGACTAACTCGGGAAAAGGTGTCTAGAACCAGGAATCAGGACAATAACGGTATTTAAGACTTCAATACAATCATGCCTCATTATTCAATACAATCATACCTCGTTATTATGAATACCTTGCTACATAGACAAAATATTAGAGACAAACTGGGAAAATACGTGCACTTTTGTTTCGTTACGAAGGATTACTCACATTATGAATAATTTTTCGGGGGAAAGGAGGTTTCATATTAACGAGATACGACCGCATCGTGAAACTCGTTTCATTGCTCAAAGTAACGAGCTAACTACGTACCAATGCACCAATACCACGAAGACGTAGCCATGTGTAAAATTGTCGTAAACAATGCTGAAGGCTACAAGAAATGGCAGAATGGTAGCTTCTAGGATAGAAACCAAGCCAACAATGTCCCACATACGCTGAAAAAGCGGTTAAATTTCTCTACTGGGCACAACAGAATGAATGTAGCAGGCTGACATCCTCACCTGGATGTTAGCTGGGTCTTTGTACGACTCGTCCATGGCCATCTGGAGCTTCTCGGCAATCCAGTTCTCAATCTCGTCGGCATCCCTGCTGAACTGCTGCAAGGTCTGGGATTCTCCCAGGCGAGACCTCTTCTCGATCAGGGCCTCCTTCAGGTGCTTCCACCTGAACATAGAGACACAATCAACGTCTAACAGTGTTAGGGACCAAGAAAATCATATCCTAGCACAAACAGCCGTTTACTTCTTTATCTAATGTACACAAAAATATATATATATTTAATTTTTTTTTAAATTTAGACCAAATTGTAGCAACAGTGGCTTTTATGTATGTGGGCAAAATTACCAGGTTGTTCATCACTGAGTACTGCAATCCTAAAACAAGTGTCAGTGTCAGGCTGTGGCCTCAAAATGACAAGAGCTGTTTAATGTTTGCAAATAAACAATTTCTGAATTCTAATTGCAATGTGCAGGCAAACTTGAACCCAAATTCTCCAGAAAAAAAGTTCGACAGAATTGTGCAGGTACAGTATAAAACACTAGGTACGTAGCCTGAAGCTTAACAAGAACATTATGTAAAGGGTTGAATAAAAGCAACCCCTGTATGAGTTATACCAACCAGTTAATCAAGCTAATGGGCAAACTTCTTAACACAATAGTTTAAGAATTTTCAGTTTTCTACCATTTACTACTACTGTTCAGCAGCAAAGAACATTGCCAGCTGGCACACAAGCATGCCAGGTGCATATCCTTACAACAAACTCCTAAATCCTGCAAAATGCAATAATGACCTTGTAAATGACCATGGTTTTAGCTAAGACAACATGAAGCTCTAAGTTCTATACTGAATAGCTTCACTGCATGTCTTAGCCTTAACAGTAGTCTGCTAAAAGTGGGGCTGTTATTACAAGAGGGCTGCAATACACAGGCAAAAATTAAACGAGCTAGCAGCAGAAACCACTAAGGCAAAGAGATCTAACCTGTCCAGCACTTGGTCCTTCTTGTCCTCAATGTCGTTGCCAGCGTAGTGGTTAGCGGCAACCAGTTTGTCAGCCAAGGCAGCCAGGGCAGCAATCTTCTCCTCCTAGTCATTTGTAAGTCACAATAAAAATATATAGTCAAGGCTTGCTAAGCATTCAGCATATTTGAGGTAAATACCTCCATATGGCAGCCACTAATTATTCCATTAAAAAAAAGAAGGCTAGACAGATCAAAATTCTTATGAAAACAACCCAAGATTTATGCCATGAAGTTTTATACTTTCTGTTATACTTCTGTTTTCTGTTTTATACTTTCTGTTATCTAGGGAAACTGAAGTTTGACCATCGCTGAGAAAGGCAGCTTCTACGAGCTGTAATTTTGGAGAACGAAAATTTGAGGGCTTCCCAATGGCTGCAAGAGTGACTGACATGAGATGGACATCAAGGCACTCTAGCGAATGCTAAGAGTACCTAAATGCTTACGTCAGGCGTTCTTGCAAGCAATAAAATACCCAGAGACCTTCGTTCGCACATCCTAAGGAACGGTGAATCTCGAAAATCACCATTCCCAGCGGTGATGGTGCCAAAATTTAGCTGTCTCTACTGGCATAAATACATAGTTGTCTCAGAAACCTTAAAAGGAAACTGCAACGAAATTCTAGCATCTATTTTATTGTCTAAATGTCAAGCATGTTCTGGCCACAACACAGATACACCAATTTTTTGCTCAAGACACCACAACATTATTTAAAGGGAATAAACCAAATGTTGTTACGTCACTGCTCCACAGATGTACGGTGGCAAGCTGCGTGCTCGCGAGCCCTGTCAAGCCAGGTATCTCTTCTCTTCCGGCCTAGTTAACTCTTGCGGGGAGTGAGGAGGGGAAACCAAAAACGGACCAGTTGTAACGCATCGACAAAGCCAAGTGGCATGGCAGAGCTCATAACCAAGCCAGCCCCTGAGCAGCTTCGTCTGTGTTGGACTAAGTGACGTCATGTCTGCTGCGACGTCAACTAGCTCGCTCCCACGATGCATCGCGCTCTTCGGTGGTTGATCTTTGCGCGCTTGCTGGGATTGGTCCTTTGGAACGAAAAATGTAGCCATTCGCTCAAAGTTCAAGCGTGCAATTATTGCTAGCAGATCGAGTTGATAGAGTTTAACTTATTTCTGGACGTGAGTGGTATATTTGAAGTTTCCATTCAGTATCCCTTGAACGGTCACAATTTTATTTATTAGAGAGACAGAAAGAGATAACCGATTATGTATGCACTTTGGAGATTTCAGATTTCAGCTAGACAAGAAAAAAAAGAAAGGATGTCCACCGAGCTCCTCGACCCACCTGGGCGCTGATGGCTTTGTCAAAGTCCTCGTGCTTCTTGATGAGGGCCTCGACGTTGTCGCCACCCATGTCCTCTGAACCGAGGAAGGCCTCCCGGCTGCCCATCCAGTTCTCGGCCTGCTCGCAGTCCCGGTAGAACAGCTGCAGGTCCAGGCACTGGTCCACCTTCACCCGCCGGGCAATCCAGGCCCTAAGAGAGCACAGAGTTGGGACACCGCAACAACAGCGACGCTCCCATTCGCTCTTCATTTCTGCCGGGGCTTCTAGCTCCAACCACCAAGATCGCGACATCTAACAACGTGACATGCAGACACCAGCGACGTCATTTGTTGCCACTTCGGGACCACTTTGGACGTGTGGGCGGGATGGGCCGTTAAACACACCGGTCATGAACGCATTCCAAGTGCCGTAATAGTATCGCAAGAAAGTATGCCATAAATACCGAGCGAGTGCCTGCCCATAATTGGAGATAATTGTGGCAAACTGGGGGATGGGCGCCTGCTAGGTCCAAGAGCGAAAATGTGGGAGCACACGGTCGGGTGGGCCCCTTGCTTGGTCTGACTGCTGAACTCGGAACGGCCGTCGTTTGCCGAGCTAGCCAAGCGCGCCGGCATGTGAAAATGAGACTTTCGCATTCTTTGCGTGGACAAAAAAGCACCCTGCGACGCTCGAGCAGTTTTTGGGTCGGCGGCGCTCGGCACCAAAAGTGACGCAATTGTCCCTAGGCCTAGACACTTTCACGATTTCACCGCTCAGTTGACATTAATATGTTCGATGGACGAAAAATTTCCGAGGGCCAGGTAATTCCTCAACCCCAATTTTGTTGGCCCTGTGCGTCGTGCGGTTCTGCCGCTGATCTCTTCCCCAATTTCCCACTTGAAGCCACAACTCGCGCGCCTGCTGCCACGCTTGGTTTGGCTTTCTCGGCCTCGCCACTTTGCGACTTAATTTCTCGGCAGCTGCACGGGAAAAGAAAAATCGGTAATGGCGACCATTGTTGGGGGTGCGTTCATTACGCGAGTAATAGGGTAAATAGTTTATTGGGAAAAGTTAAAGTGACTGATTACGGGCCTTCTCACCTTCGTCACTATAGTCACTTCACCCGTGCTATGTGTCCGCCAGTCCCAGAAACAACGGCCGCCCACTGCGACTGGGTGCTTGGCGAGTCTTTCGCACATTTTTTGATTTGCATAAAATTGGGGAGTGGCCGCTTGATATCTCCTTCGATGATTTTTATGTTTCAAAAGTAAAGGGTGGCCACTTATTGTGGCATGGGTGCATGCTCTATATTTTACGGTCGTACAATTGAAACCTGAGGCTCTATCCAAATGAAGCGCTACGACAGGTGATAAGATGCGAAACAGGGCAGTGTAAAGCTAAAATTTTGGTGCAAGTCACGTTTCTTGATAGGGTGATGCTCGAGAAATTCTTTTACCAATGTGAGATAAAGCGGACTATTTGAGTATGTTCTTCTTGAAGGATGCCTTCGACCCGCGCATGTCATTACTGCCATGAATGTCACGTTTAGGCATTGTTTCAGTTTTATCCATTCCACTTCCTTTATGTAGTGGAGAAGAATGTAGCACTATTTTTCTTCCCAGTCACACCCAATACACCTAGGTATTTCTACAGCTTGCCAACTTGATGTTGCAATCCCTGCATGCAGGATCAAGAGAGCGAGACAGCAAACACTCGCTGTGCACTGCTGCCACCTACTAGACACCTGGTATTAAAGAAAATTTGTAAAAGCGTGACATCTTGATCATGCTAAAATTTCCAAGGCATATGCTAGTTGCATGATCCAGTACAGACAACCAAAGAACCAAATGTTTGCAACAATGCAGTAAGGAATATGAAATCAGCTGGCCCTTACTTTTCAAGCTCCTTGCGAGCCTCGGTCATCTTGTCGAGCTTTTCCTGAATCTCGACGCTTGCGTAGTGACCGTTCTGGAGCAGCTGTTGTCCAAACATCTCAAAGGCTTGGAAGGTTCCAGCACGAGCGTCAATCTCAGTGCGGTGCTCCTGCAGGCACCACAGAAGGGGCTCAGAAAGTATTTTAGCCAAAGTTCACTCACAGCTTAAAAAAATTAATGTCTGTTCTCCTAAGCTTTTAGAATGGATAGATTAGAAAGCTATGCAGAGTGACATTGATAGCTAGTCGTTACGGTCTCAATCGTACACTGATATTCCCGTAAATTACTATAAACTGAAAAAAAGGTTCTATACAGGACAAGAAGTTGCACTAGGTTTCATACTCATTGTCTTTAAAGCAACTAAAAATGCTGTAAAATTTGTTGATTACATGGGAAGGGATGAACACTCCGTTCATCAGACAGTAGAAAAAAAGGTGCAAGAGCAAGCCAGTTGGTGACTTCAAGGGGTGGTTCTGCTGGGAACACCTATGCAGGTGCATACAACAAGAACTCGCGGTCGCAGGCTCGACACTTAACCCCTTGTTAATGATTGCTGCCTCCAGGCAACAAACCACATAATAATTTTTCTTTCTTCTACAGTTTCGGCTTTACAGTAGAATCTCGTTAATTCAAACACGAGGAGGACCGAAAACTGGTTTCAATGAAGCAAAGTTTGAATTACCGGGAGTTCTTTTTCATAGCGACGCATGGGATGGGATTTGCATGTTAGTTTGAATTATCCACAAGCTTGAATTATGAGTTTGAATTAACGAGACTAAACTATATCATGTTGTTTTTTTTTTTTTATTTATTTAGTAGTTTGGAAACAGTCTTGAAGATTGAAACTACGGCGCCATCTAGTGAAAAGATGCACAAATAGTTGACGAGAAAAAAAATGTTTGGCGCGCTAATTATGCGGCGACTGAGTACGTTTTCTCAGATTTTCGGGCGAAAAATATGGATAAGTGCTTTTCCTCTTGCCATTAATATTTTACGATAGGTGACCGGTTTACTTGAAGCTATCATATGCGCAGATATTATTGACATTCCGTAGTGACCCGTAGAGGTTACGCAAGGGAGCCACCTTTGAAATTTTGTTTGGTGTTTCCCACAGGCAACAAAACTAAGTTGCAAGTTTACCTTACAATTTCTTTGTAAATTTCAGCTCTGTTGTTTCATTTGATTGTGATAAGCATTAATATCTTCAAAATAAATTTTTAAGCAATTTAAGCAATGAAGGGTCAACTAATTCTCAGATGCCAAGATTACAAACAAACTGTTTAGGAATTAAATGCAACATAACCCATTTACTTACCTATTGACAAAAGCAGCCACATTACAGAAGCGTGTTAACAAGTGCAACTTCAGACGTTTGTCCACAAGTGACTTTCTTATGCGTGCCTAAGGGTACACTGTTAGTTTTAGGAAGTTCTTTTCAATTAGGAAAAACGTTCCGAATCCGTAAGAGTCTCAACAGCAGAACGCTGATGGTCATAAAAGTGGACACTATATAGGTCAAAGGCTTCCCTGAAGATGCACTTGTGAGAATGCAGCGAGGCTGGTGCGGCACTGTTGCATCAATGCAAATTAGGTGCAAGGTGGTACACAAACAACAAAATAAAGAAAAGGCAGCTCATGCTGTGCAGTTGGACTGTGCTCCGCTCAAAAAAGGGCAAAAAAAATTGCCGAAATGTGCGCACTGTGAAATAGAAATGGTGAGTGGTGCAAAGTTCCGTTTTGCTGGAATGTGCTTCCAAAGTGGGGAATAAAAAAAGAGTGACACCATCAAAATAGCTGTGCACATACAAATGTTTTTAAAAAATGTCAAACCAATAATGCTTTCCAAAAAAAATTGAACTAACAAAGTGGTTTTGTAGTGCATAAACATAATGTGTGAATGCCATAAGAATGAGCAATTCACAGGCGCATCAGGTACCAGACAGAAATCTGGTATGATTTCTTTTTGATTTAGGAACAATAAAATTAAGAGAAAAGTCTAACAAATGGCCAAGAAGTGCCCAGTATAAGGTTCCCTTGCAGATATCATAAAATATCACCAAAAACATGAAAAAGTGGTGTTGGTATCCAGTGTCGTGGTATGTTCGAAATACCGATTTTAGTCACACCAGAAAACACAGCGAATAAATATGTCATAGGTATGCTTTAGTCACAGCAGCAAATCTTTCCAAGTTACACTGCAAGAGTCAGCAAAGCTGAAAAACTGGCCGAAATTTCACAAAACTATCAGCTTCGTGTCCAGGAAGATATGCCAACAAGGCAGAAAATCCAAAACAAGGAAAGCCGTAAAAAAAATCTCGCCGGTTATGGCGGGAGTCTTTGTAAGCAAGGACTCTCCATGCGGTAGAGTGTGCATGACTTTGCAACGACAGCAGCGGAAGCAGCTGCGGTTCAAGCCCGCGAGATTACAAGAAGAAAACGAAAACGTAGTCGAGTAGTGAAGCACATCACTGCCACAAACGGCTCAGGATGTTAAAGTGGCAAAATGGGAAGGGGGGGGGGGAGGAGGCTGCCAGACGTCGAAGAATGGAGAACAAAAACTTAGAACCGGGATAAGGGCTGGGGCCGCCGTGAGTTTTAAAGCGGGGGAGGCGGACGAAATGGCTTCTGTGTCCGCAGATAGGTAAAGCGGGGAGAATGTCCACAAATGAGTTGGGCTCGGGTAAGTAAGCACGCCAAGAGTAAGCACGCCCTTGGAAAGAGTTCACCCTCTGAGCAGAGGAGGCTGGAGAAGTTGATGTACCTGGGGAATGCCATACCGGGCGTCTATTTCAGAGCGGTACGTCTGTCGTGGAAGAGAGAATTCAGCGGCAAAATATGTCAAAGGGGAGAATGTGAAGGGGGGGCAGTACATGACAATGAAAGGGCTTTGGAAATTCGCAGAAGACGGATGAGGGGCTGGGGACGGTAAATGGAAAACTGGAATGAGGGGAGGAACACAGTGAAAATGTGAAACACTCCACCGATTCTCTATTATCAGCTGACTCGAAGGTCAGGCAGTGATATAACTTAAAAATGAGTACCTTTGCTAAAAATACTTAGATTAACATTTTTCGGCAAATTTATTCCACATGACAAAAACTGCAATTGGGACATAACGATGCAGTTCCTAATCGAGTTGAAACCGTCTGATGGTGTTAACACTCATGTCATCCCCACAAGCAAGTGGAATTAGACCATGCTAAAGCTGTTGACTTGCACATCAAGAAAGGCTCGCTGTTATCATACAAGAAAAGGACGTGGCTTCAGGTATCACCCAGAAATATTCACGAAGAGGTTACATCAACAAGCAACTGAACAATCTCCAAAACAGCAGTAGAGAGAAAAGTATGGCAAAAGACCATAAAGTAGAAATCGCTGAAAAGAGGAACAATTTAACAAACACTGATTCAATCTAGTACAGCAAGAATATAAAAGTAAAAAATTTGAAGGGCATCCTACCAGATGTCTTTCAAGCAGAGCTTCAGCTCCTGTCACATCATTTGCCAACTCATCAGAGGACACTAGAGCCATCATGCTGTTGATCCATGATGTCAGGTCTCTGCAAGAGGGTTCAGATACAGTCATGAGAAACAAAAACTACTACATTACTACGTACTTCCTTACCCTTTTGATGGCCGTCGCCGTGTAAGTATGGCGGTGATTAAACATTTGAAAGTGACTGCCTGAATGCGAAATTGCATGCACTATGGGAGGTGCTACTATTTTTTATGTTATTGGCAAACTATAAACATTATATTCGCACGGTGTCTCGCTTGGCTGGGCTATTTCCAGTTTTTAAATTAGGCGCTCCGTTCACGTGACGCTCACTTCGCATACCGGCTGCTCTGGTGATAGTGCCAATGAGAGCACAGGCTCTTCTTAGTCAGACTTCCAACGTTTAAAGAAATTAAACTCAAATAATGAGAGCTCACCATCCAACAAAGCAGCTTTGTAAAGAACCTCCAGTTTAGAATCTGAAGCCGCTGGAATGTCACGAAACCGAAAAGAAAACCGAACGAAGAAAGGCGACAACTTTTCGCCTTCAATATTTTCATTTGATAATTCTAAATATGAACAGTTTGCAAGCACTCTATGTGCTCCCACAAGATAACGACAAAAAACCTGCACATCGAAACTTTCTTTATAGTATTCCCTCGGAAACAAGACCCCTCCACCGGGAAGCATCTTAGGGGCGTAAAAAAACTCAACCGTTAAAGGGTCGTATTCATAGCAAGATGCCTCAAGAGGGGACTGCCTCCCTCATCATTAGACTACCGTAATATCCCGAGTCATCGCCCACCCCCCTACCGCCTGAAATTCGTTAAAAAAGTGGGATGGGCCATGTCTCGGTGGGTGAGCACAAACACTTGAAAAAAAGCGGAAAAAACCGCCTATTTTTCTCTGCGTATCTAGCGCTGATGCACAAGAGATACATCAAACTCAAAACTCGATTTAGTTTCATTGTTTTATAGAAAAAATGCTCACAGAAGAATATTTTACTATAGCGAAGTCCGCTGCTTGCATACGCGCTAGAAACACCGCCGATCTGCATATACACTCCGTGCGGGAACTATAGGGGGCGCTTTGAAAAACGCGCGCAGCGCCGCTAGCGGAGGAGCTGGCGTTCGACTGCGAGGCGCGTTCAGCAGCCTGCGGCGCCTTTTCGCATGCCAAGCTGTGGCGGCGGAAGCGCGCACGGACGAAACTTTTGCTTTTTGAGCCGATAAGTTGAGGGTGACGTTGCATGAGTACTGGGATAGACCTAAGAAGGGCATCTAGCTGTTCTCCATTTCTCATATATCGAGTTTGAGTCGTTATTAGGGGTAATTTCTCTAGTTGCGGCCGAATTCCGAAAAACAAGACGGCCGCCACCTTGATTGCTCTGGGTGGGAAATTTATTTCGCTTGTCGCTGTAAACCTAGGACTGCTGGAACGATAATATCTGGAGGCGAGTGAGATGTTCACTAAGTTTGTGCACGAAGAGTGCCAAGTTTCTTTAAGACAGCAGGTGTGAAAGTTAGGTTTCTAATGAATAAAGAAACAAAGCTGTACGGGACATCCAATATTCGACCCAAAATGTTGTGTTATAGTGGGCTGTGTAAAGCGCAGATTTGGGCACACAGGTGCTTGGTCTTGCCAGTAACATGACACAGCACTTATTACAAAAAAAAAAAAAAAAAGGTGGCGTAGGGAAACCAGGTGAAAATTTGGTTTGGGCGGCGTAACTCAATGGGAACCGGTTTTGACCATGAAAAGGCTGTCAAGAGAATATCACTGGTCGGGGGAGGTGGAGACTTTAGAGGTAGGAAGGGACTAGGGTGGACTGTACTTCCAATTGAAACAACTTTACGAAAGGTGGTTCCAAAGCCGAGAAAACAAAGTTGTCGGCCAAAACACGGTTTGGCCGCCAAGGGCTTTTGCGGTCTGCTGTTGTGTAATAACCTGTTGTGCGAGGTGCTGATTTTCGGCGCACATGTACTTTGACATGACCGTCACTTGGCACAACACTTATTATAACAAAAAGAGTTGGCATAGCGAAACCAGGTGGAAATTTAGTTTGGGCGGCGTAACTAAATGGGAACTGGCTTTGACCGTCAAAAGCTGTCAGATAATATCACTCATCGTGGGAGGTGCACACTTTACAGGTAGGAAAGGACCAGTGGACGGTAATTCCACTTCGAACCACTTTGCAATAGGTGGCTCTAAAGCCGAGAAAAAGATTGTTGTCTACAGAACTCGGGGTGTCAGTGTTTCCACATCCAAAAGGAGGCTGATCAAGAAAGAAAGCACCCTACATAAACTTTCATACTCAAACGTCAATTCTCCAGTGATTCCGAGTTTCATTGTTGTTTTCTTTAGATTTACATTTGTTTTTACCGTTCGAATCTTTCTTCACGGAGTACAGATTGCGTGCCATACTTGTCCGGAAATATCATTGACACGGACGATGGGGACGAAACTTCTTTGGAGGGCATTCCTCCAACGAAATTGGCACTGCGAACCCGCGAGTGTGGGATGGCGTTTCCGTTCGTCCCATCGGCGCTAACATATGTAGGCGTTACTGGTACGAAAACAAACTCAGAGCGAAAAGCGGCAGTGTAGCTAGAATATGTCAGCCGTGCCGACATAGGTGCAGACATGATCGGGAGACCAAATTTCTCGCGTCGTACGGCACGGCTACATCGTTCTCGCTTTTCCACAAAACATCGGCGAGGTGAAAAACTGTGAAACTTTGTCTCCACGAGATATGACGCATAACTATTGAAGCACTTAATGACGCAGCACAGGCAGCAAGCACTTCGTGCTGTGAACCCAGCGCAACCGCACCACTCCGACTTCAATGCGTACCAACGTACGCGGCGTGGTTTCGGTTTCGTTTTCTCTGGGGTTCTCACTGCCTACCTTCGGTACCGGCCGCGCGGCGGCGCGCCAGTCGCGTCGCACGGAGTGTATAGCGCGAACGTTTGTTCCGTGAAAGAATGTCACCATTATGTTCTCCTAGTTAGTAAAAAAAAAAAAAAAAAGTCTACAAGAAAATAGAAAAACCGACCAGGCGCAACGAGCGAGCGGACCAAAGAAGCGACCAAGAGCAATGCTGGGAAAGCCGGCGGTCGCGTTGGCAAATACTTTGGCGTCGGGCCAAGTCGGGCGCCTTGTCAATTGCAAGCTCTTGCGCAACTTGTTTGGTGCTTACATACGTGCGTCCGTGCACGGCGGGCTATCAATGCACGGTTGGGACGCTCTGCAAACGTCTGTGTAGGACGTTCCAGCAAAGCTTTATTTACGCTTTGGCTTTGCCTAAAATATTGCACAACCGCGGTCGCGACAGGCGGGAAGAAGGAGCGGATTCGCGGTGACCTTACTTCGGCGGAGACAGACTTTGACTTAACACTCCGCGGTTACGTTAACAAACTCTTATTTTGTTATCTCCATCGTTTTCTTTTCGCACGGATACACGACCACTTTGGGGTCGCTCACGGAGGAAATCCGTAAACAAAAGGAAGCGTCTTTCCCTCCTTCGTTTTACTTTGTCACGGACGTCCTCCAGCAGTAAGGTCCGCGACCGCGTCATTCGGGTAGGATGAGTGTTCGCGGATCGCAGAGTCCGCGCTGGGGTATTTGAAGGGGTGGGCGATGACTCGGTGTTTTTTCGGAAATCGATATTGGCCCAAAAACTGGGGTGGCCGATGGCTCGGGGATGGGCGATGACTCGGGATATTACGGTAATCCACAAAATCTCCACAACAATCAGCCCACCTCAGGATCTCTGCAGACAAGATACATCAAGATTATTTCTGCAGCATTTTGGTGGCCAGCACAAAATTTAAGGAATGTACTTCAGATTAACTGGGAATTCGTACGCCCCTACTTTACCTTGAAGCTACCGGTTCAGCTAGTCGGCACCAGAGTCCGAGCTTTAAGAAAAGCCGTGTTCAGTAAGAGCGAGAGTATACGGGCGAGGTTGGTTAGGAAACATTGTAATCCAAACCCCGAGACGCGGGGGTTTAGATTAGGACATTTTCACCGTTCCTTCGAAAACAATTCAAACGTGCAGGGCACAGGGAGAAGAGCCGGGCAGCCACCTGTAGTCGGCAAGGAAGCGCTGGAGGTCGTAGGAGTCGAGCAGCTTCTCCTTGCGGGCCTTGGCCTTGGCCGTCAGCCGCGTCCACTCCTGGATGATCTCCAGCTTCTTGGTCGAGGTGGTGTCCGACGACTCGGGGTGGGTGTTCACCAGGCGGCTTGCCGTGTCGTCTAGATGGCGGATCTGTGGGCACACCGACATCATGTGCCACGACTAAGCACAGATCCAGCTTGGAAGGTTTTCAGTACATAATGTGTTTTATAGGTCATCTACGAGAGAACTGTCAGGTACGAGCATCGTAACGAGTGTAATGAACGACTGACACGGCGGTGATCGAACCTGGATAGGTGAGGTAGCGGCCGAATACTATGGCCACAGAACCACTAGCAGAAAAGGTCTGAAAGGGTAAAAGTTTTTTTTTTTTTTAATGCAAGTGTGCCAGCAAGATGGACTGGTTTCGGGTGCAAATAATAAGATTAAACAATAAATAAAAACTAAACAAAAAATAATAAAAAATAAAAGTAATAACAATAAACAAATAAATATAATACAACAAAATAATTATAAAATAAAAATAAAGAAAAATATATAATATTGAAAAATGTAGAACAAACCACTTGGAATGTGGTTTGTGCAGGACACATTCTGTACTTTCCGGTCCTTGTCATTATGATAAAGCCCAGAAAATTTCTTCATACTTTCAAATCTAAAAGGAGCTTGAAATATCACAAACACGAGATCCACAATAGACCTTATGCCAAATTACTGAAACGTAAAGGAGAATGCTGGGAATGTAGGTACACACACTGCACACGCTCACCTCATCTGCATAAAACATTAGAAGTAACCAAAATAAGGCATCAATGAATGTGTGTGCAAAGTGCCATTTGTTTTGGGTTTTTTCTTTAAACTACTGCAGAAGGCAGCATGCACAAGGTGTGGCACAACGCGCGTGACTACACTCACGCACGCTCCCTTGGTGCGCAATTGAGCGAAAGGTCTATTCTCTACTACACTCAAGACTTTCCGTATGATTGGAACACATAAGCCTTCTACGAGTTGTCAAAAGAATTCTGTAGAAAACGGTGTCTTATAAGCAAATAAAAACTGTGCTTTTCGATAGTTTGTTGCATGCAGCGGCACTGTCAGTTGGTCTCACTTCCGAGGGGAGAACTCCCAAAGTCGGAATTTGGTGAATGCCAAGCATAAGGATTCTGGAGGCCGGGTTAGTCAGTCAGATTTTCAATCAGGCCCAATTCAATTCAATGTGACCACGATAAAGTCGTGTTCTACATGAGTTTTTGCAAGTAGAGCAGTAACTGACAGCCCATGCATGAAACTTTCGTGTGGCAGAAAATTGTGAATTCCAGTGGATCTTGGAAAAAGGCCATAAACTCACCTTTCCGGGCAGATCAGCCCCAAAGACCTTTACCATATATAAATGAAATCTTTGTTACACGGTGCCTACACCATAATAAAAATTGAGAGCACTTCCACCCCATGAAGAGGGAAGTCCAGCGAAGCTGGCACTCTGGTGGGATTTGCTGTGTCAGGCTGGGAGCAGCGGCAACGGCGGTTTCACGCTGACAGCGAGCCCATTCTCGCTTCTGGGCGCGCCGATGCTCCTCACACTCCCGCTGCTCCTTTTTAAAATGTATAACACGGGTGCGACCCATGTGAAGTCTGAAGTCCAACTGATAAGGACAGTGGCACGATCTTCGGCAGGTGGCCACTGACGAGCGCGCAGCATTGTGCAATATCAGGGGGGAGAAAAACGCTGCACTAAGAAAGGCGTGCACGTGCGGCACCGGCGTCTGCAGCATTAACTGTTCTAGAGCAGAAGGCATCTAGCATGCGCATTCGTCAAAGGTTTATTTTTAATTATTTCCTTCAAATCTTTTATACAGGGAAGGCGCGCATGCGGCGCCAGCGTCTGCAGCATTAACTGTACAAAATTGTTGGTCTACACTCGGTCTCACCCTGGAGTCAATCTGCCAGAACCTAGCCATAGACAGCTTTGCTGTAAAAAAAAGCTTTTCCCAGTTTGGAGACACCATGTTGGCAAGGCTTTGAACCTGTTAATGAAACTATGCCCACTGAAGTCGCCGACGGGACAAGAGGGGCAGGGCGTCTCTTTCGGCTGCCCGGCCTCAAGCACATGCTCATAGCCTACCACCGTGCTATGGCTGCGTGTGCACGCCCAAGGATCACGAGGTGCCATGGCACGACTGAAGGCTGGAAGCTCGTGCTGGAGAAGGGACAGCTAGAGGCCTTCCCGCCGTCCTCGTCCTGTCAGCGACTACAGAGAACGGCAGTAGCCTGGGAGTATGCGAGCAAAATTTAAGCATGTCTGGATCAAATCTGATAAACTCTGATACACATAAAGTCTGCTGTGTATGAGCTAGACACAAGCTGTGTGTGTTTGACACCATGTGACATCACGTCATGTCATGTCACGGTCACGTGACTTGACAACAAGCTTTGGTATAATGTGCGTCATGTGCCACCGGGGCTCCTGTGACACCCTGACATCAAAGTTACACGAGCAATACACATTGCTCGTATGACCTTCACTTGCGTCACTTAAGGGTAAAGTGTCGCTTTTCCCGGAAAACTCGGCCCTATAACGCATTTTGCATTAACAGGCCGGCAGTAGGTTGGCAGCGGGCAAGGGCTTCTCCCGGGCGTCCTTGAAGAGGGGCAGAGAGGGTGCCTACCCGGTCTCCCAGTGCGGCCAGGTCCCTCTCGAGGCCCTCGTGCTTGCGCTGCATGGTCTGGACCGAACGCAAGTCGTGGCCACAGTCGTCCGCCAACAGTGCATCATCTTTCTCCTGGATCCAGTCCTTCGTCTCGTCCACGTCCCGGTGGAAGCGTTGCACCTCGTGCGCCGAGCCCAACTGCTGGGCCCGCTCCTGCGTCACCTCCTGCAGGTGCTGCCACTTCTGGTTCAGGTCCTGCATTCGGAGAAAAGGAGGAGACTGACGCGCGAGGCTCACCCAAACAAAACAAGGAGACCACATCCCCCCTTCTGTGCAGCTTGAAGGGACAATCAGCACACCTGAAGCTCGCCGAGGCATTGGCGTACAACGCTTTGGGAAGCCGTCAGTTACACACTTAAAAAATTCCAGAAGAAGGTCAACTTTCAAAGTTTCTTTCAGAAAATAGTATTGAAATATCTGTCAAGCGAGTAAGATTCTGCGAATTTAGGGGTGGTGTTCACCTTGCGAATATTGATTTAGTCACACCCGGACTATATTTCGTCGGACAATGTTTTTGGGAGGCTTCGAACAACTCCAGATAGGTTAAGCGAAGTGTCCCCTAAACAATAAAATATGCAACTTTGCAGTAATCTAAGTTTGGCTGAACAGCAAGTAACCCTAACTCACAACCTTGTTAAAGAAAGAGCCACAACAGGCTCTTGTCAGCAGCTTAGCAATGCCATATAGATCAAGGTGTTTCACTTCAATTATCAAGCATCAAACAAGAGGACCGGACTTACACTATGGACTGCATGCAAATGTTTTAGTTATATACTAATTTTTGTATTTTAGGCGTTGAGATCTAAAAATTGTTTCAAAACAACACCACAGCAACTGCTCAAGCATTAGTGTGCCACCTGCCCACTACTTCAATGCACCAATATACCATATTTTCTCGCATATAACCTGCATCAAAACTGATAGAAAATGAAACACAAAGTAGGGGAGCGGGTTATACATGAATTTCGGCAGGCACTGTGGCTTCATGGCAATGCGCACAAAGTTGTAAGGATAGATTCCCCAGAGTCCCCTTTCTCCGGTCTCTCCTAGCAGTGGTGCAGCTAGGAATTTTTTTTAGGGGAGGCTGAGGTGGCTGGGATGTCCATGACTTGGGGTGTGGAGGGGATGGGGGGTCAAAATGCCTGTTTTAATTATAGGATCGGCTAGATTTTGGGAGGGGGGCGGGCTGAAAGCCTTTACACTGGCTGTGCCGCTGTCTCCAAGGGACTTTCTTCTCTTCACCTTCTCCTCCTTTTTTGGGGTAATCATCGTTACTTTATTTTTGCAGGCTCTGAGACGTCAAACACCGCTCCGCGCTGTGGTCAAATCTGCTGCCGAAGAGATAGGAAACCGAGCGGCAGGCCGAAACTATGACCACTACGATATTGACTACCACATTCACTCGAGTATTAGCCGCACTGTTTATGAAGAAAATCCGAAGGTTGGCTTTTCCACAGGGCACGCAGATTGCCAATCACCGCGATTGACAGCATGATTCCAACGGTTTACAGGACAGAGATAACGTCTTCGTGCAAAGATACCATCTGTGGTGATTGCATTTGTATCGAGAATCGTATTCTCATTCTGGTCATTCGCTGTGTTATTTACGGACAACGCTATGATTGGCTATATATGTGCTCTGTGGGAAAGTAGATGCCAGGTCCTTGTCCATAAATAGTGCGGCTATTACTCGAGTAAATACGGTAGTCAAGCATGCAAGAACGGAGGAAGAATGAGAACCTACAAACTGCAAGCCGCGACCGAAGATCATACTACGGTCCGAAGACTGGTGCACACCCAGAGCTTGAAAAAGCGCTCACGAAGTCTGTCGAGAAGAGAACAGGTCGCGGTCATGCCGTATCTACAGAAATCCGACGTTACCACGACTTTACTAGACGAGATGGTCTGGAGCAGTTTCGAAAAGTGCTGAATTAGCAATCAACTTGACGGCACGGATGACAATGCTATCTGCGGCAATGAAGGCATCAGTGATCAGGATGTTCAAAACAAAGGTATGGTTTCTAGCAAGATCTGGACATTACCTTGAGTGACCAGTGCAGGTACCGTATTTACTCAAAAATAGGTCGACCCCTATTTATTGAACCCACCGAGAATAAAAAAAAAATAATTCAAATATAGGTCACCTTTTTTTTTTATTTTTAAGAACAGGGGAAAGTTTGGGCAAAAGAAAGAAACAAACAATTATTTACAGCACTCTCAGCTAAATCACGGGGCGATGCCAAAAACTTATTTAACCGTCAGAACTTCTGGACGTGTCATCGTCGTCCGAAGATTCGTCAGCTTGGTGGACATCCTCGCAAATTCGCAACAATACCTCACTGACACCGTTGTAAAACAACAAAATGACTACAAGAAGAAACGAAAGAAGGTGTAGACAGGCAAAGCGACGAAAGACGAAATACAGACGCAAGCAACGCCGCGAGTCGAGTCGCCGTGAGCAACACGCGAACAGAGCTGCCTCAAGCAACAAACAAAAGTAACCTCAGTTTTTTTGTTTTTTTGTGTGTGTGCGCGTTTGTGAGGATGGAGGTCAAAGTGCATGGCGCATTGCGTTCCTCTCCTTCCCCTTCCCCGTTGCCCGGCGAGGGGAACGCTACAGGCGCGATGGCGAAACCCGACGCACGAGGGATGCGCGCGAGAGCGGCAGCGGCGCGGCCATTGCAGGCGGGCCGTCGGCTGCCGCTGTTTCGGTTGTTTTCGTGCACCCAAAGCTTTTTGAAACAAGAAGTGGCGCGGCTCTACGGCAACGCGGGCTCGGTGACTCGATAGCTCTATGCCTCCGGTAGGGTCGCAAAATTTGGTCGCGAATGTAGGTCGAAACTCTTTGATCACAATTTCCGAAAAAAAAAAAAAAAAAAAAAAAAAAAAAGGTAGACTTATATTTGAATAAATACAATAATAAGCGAAGTATTTTTTTTTCTTTTTTTCTGAGAGTGCTAGTAATACCCTAGTTACACGGGCGCTTTGAACTGTCGTTCAGTTCAATCACAGTTATCGGCGCCAACTGTGATCGAACTGAACTGAACTGAGATGGTGCTACACGGCTCTCTAGAACCCAGTTGAAGCTAAAACGAAACTAGCTCTTGTGCCACATGATCAGTTTAATTGGTAAACTAATTTACTCGGAGACACACATTTTATTTATAATAAGTATATCGGACAATATGTTCTATATCTTGTTGCTTTTTAGCGGCGTTTACACCGGTACCAAAGCAGATTCAGGGCTAGATTGCGCATATTTTAGGATAGGTGGCGCAAACTACCGCCCGCTACGATCGGTGCAACTGTTACTATTTGTCCATTCATACAGCCGGTCCCACCGCCATCTTCGCTCGTTTGATGGCTTGCCCGCTAGCCGGGATCGTTTTAGCGGCAGCTCGGGCGCCTAAACCTATTCCTTCCCGGATATTTTGCTGCTACGATTCTTTCTAGACGCCTACCCCCGCATTCCAAAACAGTAAGTGCCTCGCAAACGATGGTCGGCGGCAGCGGTCCCGCGAACAAGCGCCATTTTACCTCAGTTGGGGAAGTCCGTTCAGTTGAACTGAGGTAGGGGAGCTCAGTTGAACTCAACTGTCATTAGCGGCTCGATGACAGTTGGCGCCGCCGTGTAACTCCGGCCGATCGCGATTGAGTCAACTGTCGTTGACTCAATGGCAGTTGAAAGCGCCCGTGTAACTAGGGTATAAGTTCGGGTAGGGGTTATTCGCGACTCCAGCGACCTATAGGGGGCGCCACCACCAAACAAACATGGTATTTTCTAGGTATTTTCTAGGTATTTTCAGGGTATTTTCTTTCATCTAGGTATTTTCTTATTCACTGATGGCAAGGGGGTTTCATAGCCTCACTTTCTTTGCACTGCGGAGTGAATATAGATTTCACATTTAAATATTCTAAGCTTAAATGGTAAAACAAAATGGCTAGGTGGCGTAAGCTACCGCCCGATCCAAAGGGCTCAGCCGTATTCATCCATCCATCCATCCATGGCGGCTGAGTCCAGGTCGCGTCGGCTCGGCCGGGCCGCCTGAATGGGTGGCGCATTCAATTTAACGATTATTCTTTTGTTGAATGCCCAATTTTATGGGTATTTGAACTGAGACAGTTAAGTTTAGCTGGTGCGCATAAACTTGCCGAGCATAGTTTTGTTTTGCCGGTGTTTTTTTGTTCTTGTCATGTCAAACTTTCGCTGCGGAGACTTCGATCAAAACCGAAACTATGGGCTCCGGAGAAACGGTAATAGACTCTAATTAGTTTTCATCATCTAAGGAAAGCGGCGAGGGCTACAAAATTGTTCCACCAAGAGTAATGTTTAGCTAACTCGCATGCCTCGATCATGCGACTTACCTGTCCGCGAAATTGAGCTTTTGTGCCTGTCCGCGTTTCAAGAAACAGTTGGAGTCGTGTGCTCGGTCAAGAACACAGGCTGCAGGAAAATTACGAAAATTAAGCAAGCGCTTCTTGAGCCAAGGAGCATGTCAACTCGCTGGCACTTCACTAAGCAGCTGATACTCGTATTTCAATTCAGGTTTTAGTAGCAATCGAAAAGTAATTTTGATGAATATGCGGTTATGTATTATATTACGTACTATGGTCCCACTAAAGCGATATTATTATGTTCTTCGGGTTGAAATATGAACATAGTTGACTAACTATTAGGGTGAACTGCTGAATAAACGTATATTTGACAGACAGAGAGATACTACTTAAACTTAGCCAAATGGTTCTAGCCGGTAGAACGGGACGAATGCGGACAAGCTGAGGAGAGTCTTCATCGGAGATTCACTCAGACCTCTCTGCATTGAACTTGACTTCAAATCCTAAACGGAAATTTTGTTTTTTTTTGTTTTTTTTTATTTTTGTGGCCGGTCAACTTGAGCAATGTAGACGTATATTGCTGCTGGATTCGACAGGGGTTATAAGTATTGGAGGCGCGATAGATCCTAATGACGTGACAGCTTCTATCTTTGCGAGACGCGTCCCCCACCTTTTGAAAGCAGATAATTTCCCTCATTAATCATGTGCAGCGAGCAGGTTTTCTGAATCAAGTAATTGCGAAATTAGCCCAACTCCTTCAATGTGGTCTTTTTCGGCGAAAAGCCGCCAAGATGAATAGCCAACGCACCGACCGGCGTTAGTGGCTCAAAATAACCTGAAGCTAATCCAGCACTACCAAACTCAAGGAAAGCAGCTATCGAACCTTCCCATTCACTTGACTGCAACATTGGTGTCCCCTCCACTAAAACACTTCGTCTGTCGACCTCAGTCTACTGTTCTACATCCTTATAAAGAAACCGCTTATCAGTTACCAAGCAGTCGTCACTTTGAATGTGATTAGAGACAGACGAGAAATCAAAACGTTTTTCCGTGATTCCTCCCCATCCAAAAAATTGAAAGCACGCGATCGTGTGTTGTGGAATAAACGGGCTTTCAAACACGTGATGGAAAGAAACAATCTACTGAGGCTTCACCACACTAATGAACACTCAGGCAAACTTAAGAAATTTTCGGACCTTCATCAAAAACATTGCTCGCCGCCGCGCCGACAGCACGCGTCCGCGAAAGCCACCAGAGACGCGGCGGGGCGCGGAGCGACCTGGACCGGCTGGTTCCCGGTTTTTTCCGTTTGGCGGCGTCCGTTTCGCTGGAGTCGCGAATAGCCGATTCACATGACGGGCCAAATCGCAATTTTCGTCTACGGACCGTGTACCATGTGACCATCGCGTCACCGATTCCTGCGATCCGCACCCCGTCCGCGGACTGATAAAGTCTAGCGCCTTTTCACTTGCAGATTTTTGCCAGGAGATTGACTTGAAAAGTGTTTAGTCAGGCAACGGTAAAAAGTTTTCTTTTTGTTTTCAAAAATGGCAAATCGTTGTGTTTTGTGCATTCACCAATTCATTTTGTCGAGTGATTCTTGGTTCTACGGGTGAAAGAAACTGCAGAAACTTTGTCCGGCTGACAAGACTCAGGTTACGGTACACCTCCGGAGGGAGGATTGGTGGCCGAGTCGGCTAGAGTACACCAGCTCGGAGCACATGGAGCGAAAGCTCGCATTGCAGAACCCAAGGATCCTGGGTTCAATTCCCACCCCTGCCTGTTTCTATCTGGATGAGCATCCTACCGGCGTGCGGTCGTGTATCACTACTGCGTGGTGCACGTTAAAGACCCCAGGCTACCAGTCGTACTGCACTGGCTAAATTTCTCATCTACAGCTGGGCGACAAGGCGCCCGGTGAGGCAGACTAAGTTCTAGGCTGTACAAACATTCACACACCCCAATATTTCTTTTTGTACTCCTCCGGGTCTGTGCCAAGAAGCTTCCGTCAAAACTCATCTAGCACGCCGCAATAATTCTTACACGTCCCATCAGCCTTTCACCAAGCAAGACCTTTCCTGTAGCTGTGGTGTACTTAGGTGTTGTACCCAAGCACGGAGTGCGTAAAAACATCTTTAAACGCCCCTTTGCGAGCTCAGAACTTTGTTGCTTCTATGCAAAAGCTTTCTCAAGCAGGACCATGCCTCTGTCACTGTCATGCCTTGGGTTAGGAAAGGTAGTGGCGCGTTGTGCAAAGCCTATCACGGTGTTCTGTCTCAATCTGTACGTAACAGCAGCATAGGATTCTTTATCGTGGTAGCAAACATAGATTTCTCTCTCAGACAATGGTGCAATGTTGGAGTTTCGCAGCACTGGAGTGGCAAACAGGTTCAGTTTGTCCTTGCTGGCATCTGCTCGTCCTCTCCCTCGTGTGGATGCGCTTGGGAGATGGACGAACCGCGGAGAGCTCGTCACGTGATCAATCCGCCCACGGATCAGTCCGTCGTGTGAGTCGGCCATATGCAGGGGCGGGTAATGTGCGCAAAATAATATGAACTGCCGCATCCACATGAACGCCGATGCCTGCCAACTTCTCCGATTTCCGCCAATTTTTAATGCAAAAGCATTAACTGTCTCATGAAGCGAACCGTTGTCATCAGTTTGAAGCGCGAAAATGGGACCTTAAATCCTTTCTCCAAGTGTAGCCAGCTCCCAGCTATGAAACCACGTGAACACGGCACCTAGTTTCCCTGATACCAAAGGAGCGAAGTAAAGCTAATGAATTTTTGGCTTCCATCCCATTGGCTGGCGCACGTCAACGAGGTTCCCATTCGCCACTGCGCGTCCGTTTCAATGATCGCTCACCCGATGGCGCTGCGGGTCCGATGGCACTGAGTGTCTATGTGCAAGTTCAGCGCGCCGCACGCCGCAGACGAAAGAAGGAGCGAAGTGCGGCTTGCGTGTTTTCGCATTCACAACTCATAAGTGCTTAGGTGTACCTTGAGCCTTTTTTTTTTAAAGAAGCTGTGGAAATGCTTAATTTTTTGGGGATCAATTTGCGCCACCAATAATCCAAGTGACATAATGGTAAAAAAAGAGCGTTCCGGGAAGGGACATACCTCGATCTGAGTCTGGATCTTGACGGCGGCCTCGGTCTGGCCGAGGGTCATAAGCTTGCTGGCGATGTTGTTCATCTCGCCCAGGCGCACCTCGTTGCCCTTCAGGTCCGACATGAAGTCGTCAAACTTCTTCTGGAGCACCTCCACCTGCTCCAGATCCTCCCCAACCTCCTGCACCTGGGCCACTTGCTCCTGATGAAGCAAGTGTTTAAAGATGCACATGGGGGTTTACTTTCAGGTAGTGCGCAGCACATTCCCATAAAATGCGTAGCAAATTATTTCAAATTATTAACAGAGCAAAAAAAAGTACTTGTAAAATTAACTTGTAAAGATTGCTCTAATGTAACTATTGTGGCAAAGAGGGAAAAGAATGAGAAGCACAGAGAGAGAGCGCTCCCTGTATACTACTCGCTGATGTCCCATGCAATTTTTTTTTATTGTTTATATATTAAAGGGGCGGTGCAACGATTTTATGATTAAAAGAATTTGCATCTCGTCACTTTTACGTTGTTTATCGTGTCCCAGAGGATAGAGAAAACACTTCCTTCATTAAAAATGTCGCGATTCCGCTGCATAATCGCAAAGCAAAAGTCTAGCTTTTTCCCCCACCTGCAGCCCCAAGTGGCAGCCGAAGGAACTACGGCGGAAAGATTACGTGACCTCGCTCGGCTCTAAGCTGCAGCATAGCGCCCGCTAATGTACGCAGAGAGGGGGAGGGGAAGCGTCCTCCGAGATAGCACACGGGAAGCTACACGGCACTCCGAATGACGTCACTGGGAGGGGGACCAGGTGTGACCCTGAAGGCTGGGAGTGAGTTGAGGGGTGCCCGAAATGCCAATCTTTATCTTTTTTTTACGCAACAACTAGGACACGCAGGCGAAATCGGTTTTCTGTTCTTTACTTCAGAAGTGTCAGGGGGCAACTTCCAGAAATCTTTGACCGAAGTCCGAAAATCGTTGCACCGCCCCTTTAAAACTATGCATAACAAACTACCTACTAGCTCCACTTCCTAAAGCACTACTACAAATCGCAGTTGCAGGTCAAAACTCTTGGGTTATGATTATAGGTCGACCCTTAATTTTGGAGTACAGTGCTGTAGAACAAATGTTAACCCTTAGAGCTTCCCCTCCTTCGTGCAACCAAATCTAGCCACAGAAATGACTTGTTTCATACCAAAACTCCACTGCAAAATCCAACCAAAAAAAAAAAGAATGGGACTTTCATATGGCTTACGAAACATACAAAAGACAAAACAATTCTCGCGAAAGAGGACCAAGCATCTGGCTACACCGCTACTATGGTGCCTGAACCGTGCATCTGACTGGTGTGATCACATCCTCAAATGTGGTCCCTTAATTTCCGCCCCATGACAACACGAAAAAATAATTCTGTTGCCTGCTGAGCTCCTGGCAGTGGTACAGCAGTGGAGATGTATGCAACAACGTCTGTTCTGCCGCAAATCACTCTACGGCTTAATAATCTGCGGAACCTTTGGCAGCCGAAGGTTGGGGCTCCACAACGACGGCAACAGTGGCGTTCGCTCATATTTTTTGCAGGAACTTCTACGACCGACCGCCAGGATCGCAGTGTCCGACAACCCGACACTCCGGCCTCTGCGACGCCATTTATTGCCACTTCGTGACCACTTCCAACATATGGGGAGCATAGGATTTTAAACACACAAGTCGAAGACGCGCTCCGGGCAGAGCGGTAGCTACAGTTGTGAGCAGGGGAGGGGGCACACCTTGTCCTTGATCCACTGGGCGAGCTCCGCAGCCTCACGCACCAGCTGGTAGGCACGGAGGGACTCGCCCAGCTTGTCGCAGCGCCCCCGGCCAAGATCCATCAGGTTGCCGTATTGGTTCTCGATCTGGCTCTGCCGGGCTCCGATGCTGTTGCCCTCGGCCAGGTGCTGCTGGCTGGCAGACAGGCCGGCCTCCATCTTCTTCACGTAAGCCGCCGGCACAAACCCCTGCCGGTCATTAACCTCTACTTTCCACCAGTCCTGCAACGATTCAATGAAATGGGCACTGGACGTCAGGGGCATTTCCTCCAATCCCACGAGCAATGCGAGGAGACGAAATGCTTGCTTATCTTTGTCACGTAAAACCGGGAAGATAAAGAAAAAAAAGAAAAAGTAGAATTAGGGGCTCTACGTGCTAAACCAACAAAGGGCATCTGACCTGCCCCAGTGGAGGATTGAGAACTCATTTTGACCAATGGCAGACATTTTTCTCTAGATTTATTACACAAACTCTACAAAAGGTAGCCGTACCAGAAAACAAGATCCTCGGAGTCTCCTGAAACGCAGCACGTCTCCGAACCAAGTTAAACTTATAAATCTGTTACGGCGAGGAGTGGGCTAAAACAGGGATGTAGCCTACTGCAGCGTTATCCGGAATGAAGGTTCTGGAATTCTGTCCTCGGTGAAAAGTTTATTTTGTAAAGAAAGCAGAGTTGGCCAATCAAACACACCTTGTTGTTACTGTTCAGAAGTGTGAGGACGTCATTCTTCTTCATGGACACCTCTCGCGGGCTCTTCTCGGTGTAGTCGTACAGGGCCATGACAAACTCCTTGCCGGCCTGATCTACCACGGGGGCTTCTTGCTGCTGCCATTTTGCCCCCCAGTGAAAAAAAGAAAGCAAAAACAAATAGACTTAGCTCTTAAAGTCCAAGTAACTTGGCACACACATAATAATGCTCAAATCATGCAAAACCAAACTCGGTGAGGAAAGTCACAAAGGAACTCACTCTGCATGACTGAGCCTGTTCCTTGAGGGCTTCTACAGAGTTTCCAAAGGCCTCCAGGTCAGCCATCAGGGCCTCGTGTTTCTTCAAGAGAGCCTGAATAACAAAGTAGGCACAGAGACCATTCAGACAAAAGAAAATTATTTCCACGGCACGGACTCTGGGCTAACAATGCATCGATGTGGGCGCACAGAGGCTTGGGGGGGAGATAGTGCCCATACCTCGGCGGAGTCCTCATCCTTGCCGTAGTCCTGGCTGCCCACAATGGGCTCCTTCTCCTTCATCCAGGACTCGGCTTCGTTGGCATCTGCAAAGTACTGGTGCGCCTGAAGGGAGTCCTCCAAGTCACGCTTACGCTGCAGTGCCTTGTCCTGGAACAAAGACAGAAGAAGGCTGAGTGGGCAATAATGTCGATAGCATTATCAAAGACAAAAGAGAGACAAGCTGTGACTGGCAGACATGGATGACTCCAGTGTGGAGGTGCTAACCTACCTACAGTAAAAAGAATGCAGAACAAACTTTCAATAACATTATATTTATATGTAACTACCATGGAGCAAGGTGAAATTCACTTTAGGAGGAAAAAAAGCAGTGCTCAACAAAGTGAGAGAATACTGATGATATACTTTCAATAGTGCCCCAATATAACCAGTTTTGATTAGGCACACATGCACATACCAAAATGGAAAAGTGAACAAAACTGGTGAAGCACCCTTCTACATGAACAAGAATCCAGTACATATTAATCTCTGTTATTTATTTTAGGTGTAAAACTCCATTTTAGAACTAGTACTTGTCAGAATCATACACATTTTCCCTTCTTGTCTCAAGCTGAAATGCAGTGGCACCTGCGTCAAAATATCCCTAAGACACATCAGGTTCAAAGCTAGACAGTTGGTGTTGAGTAAGCCGAAGCTTCAACCTGTGAGCTTTCTTTGAGAAAGAATAAATTCTAATATGATAAAAAAGTTCAACAACACAGGTGCAAAAAATGTGCATAAAAATATTAAGTAGACTATGCAGATTGGAAATGGACTGGGGACAGCTGATAAATGGCAGGAGTGAGCCAGTCGATGACCACAAAAGAGGGAAGCACTGCGGCAAGGACGCATCTGCCAATCCCGAGGCAGACGGTAACTCCCACCTTGAGCTGCTGCCACTTCTCGCTGAGGTTCTGGATGCGCTTGTTGATCTCCTCGTGGGCAAAGTGACCGTCGGCCACCATGTTCTCCCCAGCCTGGCAGACGCCCCGCACCCGGTTCTCGTGGTTGTTGATCTCAGCCAGCACCGCCTGGTGCTTCTTGATCAGGTTCTGGACCCCAATCAGGTCACGTCCTGCACGCGTGAGGCGCCACGGGATTGGCAAGCAGCCCCGACACCGGATTTTGCTTTTGAGCGACTTTCGTAGTGTCCCTATACCTTACCACGCTGCCTTCTTAATACAGAAGGAGCTTTAGGGCCGGTTTCAAAGCCCAGAACGTCATGGAACGTTGTTAGGCTAAAACGGCCGAATGTCTTTACTAAACACGCTTTGTCCCTTGCCAGGAATCAAACCTTGGACTCCATAATCTGATGCTCTGTCCCTAATATTTGTGGAGCGGCTTGGACGTGCGGGGTTAGTTGTTAATTCTGTACTCTTGCTGCCAAGCAGTGTCACCACAAACTTTATTAATATATATTATAAGCATGGCTGCCCCCAGAGTAAACTTCACCTGTCATAGATGCACTTACTCAAACATCAGTCGACCCCCCAATCATCAAAAACCAAAAAAAGAAAAAAACTAGGTACTTTTATTCTGGTCAACCCTTCCAACTAGAATTCCCAGATTTTTGGAAAATGAGTTGTTTCATGTGCAGGTAAACGTGACAAGTTGTAGCGAGATTATCATGCCTGGAACGCGTCTCCAACTGGTGCATTTAGTGTCCCATTCTGCCTACGCATTGAAAGTGGCCCCAATGTGACAACAAACGACGTCGCAGAAGCTGAAGTGTCGTGCCGTTGGATGTCGCAATTGTAGTAGCTGGGCGTACCGAAAAAAAAAAAAAAAAACAACGAAAGGATGTGAGCGTCGTCATCATCATGGCGTCCCAACTCCCGGCTGCCAAAACTTCTGTGGACTTTCAAGCTGGAGAATGAACTGCGGCAGAACAAATGTCTGCCACATCCGGCATCACTGCCACAACACTGCAACACTTTTACAACGTCGTCAGGCGAGAATCGAGGGAACGCCTTTAAGGACGCAGTGCACGGACCAGTTGGAGAAGCGCTCCAAGCACCGAATAAAGGCCGGAAGCCAACGCACCGCGGTTTGTGGACGCTGCGATGGGTTCCTTCTCCCTGATCCATGCCTCCTCGTCTTCCACGTCGCGGAACAGCTGCTGCACGCGCAAGGAGTCCTGCAGCTTCTGCCTGCGGTTGCCCATCGGTGCCTGCAGCCTGTTGTAGCGCTCCACCAGGGCCGCCTTCTTGGCTATGATGGCCGGGGCATCGAAGTGGCCCTTGTCGGCAAACTGTTGGGCCTGGATCATCACTCCGTCCACTCGGTCCTGAGGAGGAGAGGAGCCGCCACAAGTGTCAGTGCTCGTGGCTGTACTTTGCTTCGCCTTACGTTGGCCTGCGGAAGACGTCCCAAGCCACTGAAGTCAATCCAATAATGCGCGAGTGTTGCGCAACTTTTCAGGAGAGGTGCGGAGATGTGCGGGGCACTTAATCAAGTCGCACATTCGCAGCGCTGGATTGGTTGGGATGGTTCGTGGCCTCCGCTGCGGTCCATTGTAAGGAAAAATGGAGCATAGGACAGCGCATTTGGGGCTGCAAACTAATGTAGGTGAAAAGGTCTCTACTAAACTTGACAGAAAGAAACGAGAGTCAAAGAAGAAATGCCAAAAACAGTGTTGAGAACAGTCAACGTTTTGCATATTCAGAAAGCTTGAGAGGTGTACAGGGTTTACCGACAATCGAGCCGCAACAGAAATATTAGCCGATAACCATGACCGTGCGCAAGGGAAAAAACAAAGGAGAGATGTCGAGAATTTTGAGAATATCTAAATGTTAGTAGCCATGTGCGAATAGTTTCTTCAAGCCTTTCACTACCGTGCACCATGCTTAACCTAAAATTCAGCTGGACTCGTGAAGTTTGTTCTTAACCTTTCCCTCGTCCACTTCTAAGCTCAGTTAATTTTAATATTAATATAACTACAGGGCGTTTCGGAGAAACGAGAACAGTGTTTTTCGACCCGGGAAGATAAACTGTGCATCACAGAAGGCTCACCCACCGTGAGAACATGATGCTGGCAACTGGGATATAACCCCAAAAGTTTGAGAACATGGTGTTACCTGAATAAAAAATAATCGAGAAAAATAAAATTTCTCTTTGGGCCAATGTCCATCTAAGCCTAATGCTGTCAAAACAGAACTTCAGATTGTGACTGCTTGAAGTTGTTGGATCTATATCAATGGAAAGCACTTGTCAGCAAGAAGGAGGACATTACTTCCTTTCTTGCTGACAAGTTTTTCTTACTGAAATAGATGCTACAGGCACCCACAATGTCAGTTGACAATATTAGACTTAGGTGGACGTCTGCTCATAAAGAAATTTTGTTTTTCTCAATTATCTTTCGATCCAGGCAATGCCATGTTCTCAAACTTTTGTGTTCTATCCGAACCGTTCGCGTCACATTCTCACATAGTTTTGAGCTTTCCGTGATGCATAGTCGACTTACCCAGGCTGAAAATCGTGGTTCTCTTTTCTTGGGAACCCCCTGTATATTTATAAACTGTGTCCACATTCAAGATCAACTTTGGTACCCTTAAGGGCATTCTCGTGGAATGCATTATATGAGGGGGAAACAAGAATTCATAGCGACAATAACAACATACTTAATAGATTAAACATTAATTGCACCTACACAAACAATACGTAAACATACAAAGGAAAACTATACACGGGGATTGGTAGCACTGGTAATTGATACTAATATAATAAGGCAAATATAGTGTACATTAATCAGGTCAGTAGAATTAAACATTTCTCGCGAAATACAGAAGGATCTTGCTCTTTAACAATATTGGCAGTCAAGGAGTTCCAGTTTGTAATAGAAAGCGCAAGTGGTGAAAATTTCAATTAATTAGTGCGACCGAATATTGGCTGAACTTTCAGGGAATGATCATGACAGGGAAATGTATGAGGAAGGCTTGCCGTACACCAGCATGAAAAATGGCATATTATAATTTATCTGATGAAAAAGAGAAAGACGAGATACCGTATTTGCACGAATATAACGCGACCACGAATATAACGCGAGGGCAGTTTTTGATGCCCCCAAAAAGAAAAAAAATATTATTACTATTATAACGCGAACCGATGCCGCGTCAATTTCTCGCACTCGGGGGCATAGCAGAAGTGAAAAGTCAATGGAAATGGAAGAAATATCAGTTTATGTTCTGACTGCACTCATCCTCACTGCTCAGGTCCTTCCGTTTACAATCCACTTGGCGACTACGCAGGTATGCAGCAGCACGGCACCTGCTTGTCTGGTAGTTCTTTTTTCTTCCGCGGGAGCTCCTCGGCAGCCCACAATCCAAACAAGGCGCGGAAGCAGAAGCACCAACACACAAACACCAGACCACTCTGGAGCAGAAACTAAACAATGCGTTGGCAGAAAAAAGACTGCTGAACCCGATACACGATCACACTTCTTGTTCTGGTCGCTCTTCGTAAACAAATGCCTCGTGTTGCACGATTGCGTAAACGCGGTCGGTGGTCTTGGCTTGTGTTGATTTGACTTGGCCCGGCTTGGCTTGGCTCGAATTGGCCAATGCCCGCATTCCCGCATGGCGCGCGCGCGTGCGGCGGGCGCGCGTTGTAAAAACACAAAAGCGATAAAAATGCTTTTTTATGTTTTCTATTCGCCCCTTCACGTGGCCCCATGGCTAGAAAATGCCCCTCCACACCCCCACTTCTTTTTCCATTGGATCTTTTGCATTGAGCCGGAGGGATGACTTTCTCCTCTGGCTTTCTCCAGACTCGCGCGCCTCGTGGCTGAACTCGATTCCGAATATAACGCGAGGTGCGTTTTGGAGCACGTAATTTCGGAAAAAAACTCGCGTTATATTCGTGCAAATACGGTAGTTAGCGACATACATCAAGGGAAGTTAGGTTTGAAAGATCCTTAAGTTTGAACAAGCTGCTTTTGAAAGAATAGTTAAAATGAATGAATCGGGCTGCCCTGTTTTGAACTGACTTTAGCCTATTGATCAGATAAGACTGGTGAGGGTCCCGTATCGTGCTGGAATACCCAAGTTTAAATCGAACGAGGGTTTTGTAACACATTAACTTTACATCCTGTCGAGCCTGGCAAAAGTGCCTCCGAAGAAAACTGACAGTTCTAGATGGTTTGTTAATTATGTTATCAATGTGAGTAATCCAAGAGAGATCCTCCGTGAAAGTGATACCTAGGCATTTATAAGAGGGGACAAGTGAAATGGCAATGGAGTTGTAAGAGTAGGATGGAATACATGTTCTTGAACGACTGAAAGAGATCATATTTGTTTCCACAATATTAATATTCATTTGCCATGTTAAGCACCATTCCGCCAGAATGTCTATGTCTCGTTGGAGAATTTCCGAATGACTGGGATGGAAATCTGGCAGTATATCACACAATCATCGGCGAAAAGTCTTACGGATGACGAAATTAGTGGAGGCAGGTCATTAATGTAAACCAGAAAGGGCAAAGGCCTAAGATGCTGCTCTGTGGTACACCAGATTTTACAGAAGTTAGATGGGATGAGGTGTTGTCTATTGACACAGACACTTGGCAATTAGCTAGAAAAGAAGAAATCCAATTGATAACGTCGTTGTTTATGTTTAGAATTGAAAGTTTCTGTAGTAACCGTTGATGGGAGGGACAGTGTCGAAGGCCTTAGCAAAATCGATGAAGAGTGCATTGGTGGTAGAGGAGTCGTTAAAACCCGTCATGCAAGTCTGTCACAAATTCAAATAGCTGAGTTTTGCATGAAAGGGTTTTACAAAAGCCATGCTGATTGAGGGGATGATAGCTGTTATCGTTCAGATAGTCCATAACTTGAGAGTAGATGACGTGCTTTATTATTTTGCAAGGAACTCTGGTAAGAGAGATCAGCCTATATTTGGACGGGTTATTGCAATCACCCGATTTAAAAATAGGAACAACTTTTGCAAATTTCTAATCGTCGGGTATTAGTGAAAATTCCAAAGAGGCGTGGAAAAGGCATTTTATCTTTAGATAGTTTCAAAACCTGCGCTGAAATTTTATCGTCACCACAAGCAGAATTTGGATGCAAATGGTCAATGATTTTAGCAATTCCACACGGAGTGAATATTATTGAATCCATATTCATACTAACAGGATGCAAAGCTAACGGTAGAAGAAATGACTCCTTGGTAAAGACTGAACTAAAATAAGAGTTAAATATGGACGCAGAGTCAAAGGGCGACATTATTGTTCCACTACTGTCGTTGTGAATGGGAGATGGATTTTGACGTTTAGGCAAGAATGTCTGGCAAATCTTTCGAGCGTTAGTAGATAGCATATTGATTTACTTTTTTTTATTTCTGATTTATACGTTTTAGCATCTTCCTTATACTTAGCCCAGGATTCAAGAGAAACCCCTGTCCTTGCCAAAGAAAACAACCGGTATTTTTTTTTATTAAGGAGCTTTTTAAGAAAGCTATTAAACCAAGGGCTCGTTATATTCTTTCCTATTGACATTGATGGGACAAACTCCTTGAAAAGGGAATCGATTTGATCGTTCAGCACAGCCCAAATCTCTGATACAGATTGAGTGTCAAAAAGATCCAAAAAGTTGTGAGAAAAAGAGTTGAAGGAGCTAAGCAGTTTGCTGGAATCAGCTTTGGGATAGTTTAGAAATGTTCTCTAACGACAGTACGCTTAGCAGGAGAAAATGTAGAGTCAATTAGAATGGCGTTGTGTTAGCTAATGGTTTCTCGAACGTGGCAAGCGGAAATACAGTCAGGCTGAGACGAAAAAAAAAAAAATAGAGGACAGAATCGCCACGCGTAGGATTTGTGACCATCTGAGTAAGGTTGCAAGATTTAGACACAGACAAAAACTCCCTGCACTCGGACGAATCATGACAGCCTGGGCGGATAGAACACACTCTCCACTTGACACCCGGATAATTAAAGTCGCCACCCAAGACTATCGGGCTTCTGAGATAGCTGTTGATTATTCCGTTGGTGCACTCGCTCAAAAGGTCGCAGAAGTGACGGGAAAACGATGACGGTCGGTATACTCTATTTCACCTTATGATGTACCGCAGGAAAGGCTACGAGCGCGAGCTCCGTGCTCTAGGGCGGATCTTGGCGGCACAAGATCTCGTGCATTAAGGGCAGCTGTCAATGCTATGAGCTCGCGCTTCCAGCCTTCACTGCGGTACAACATAAGGTGAAATGGAGCATACGCCAATAATAAGAAAGGAACATGCAAGTTTCACACAAACCCATAGTAGTACCTTCTAGTTCTGGGTTGATAGCTAGATGATCACATGAGAGGGTACTTTTCACTCTAATCATTACACCTCCCCCTCTTGACTGCAGTCTATTTTTCCGAAAAATGTTGTAGTTTCCAAGAAAAGCCAGCTCCATGTTGTCTACATCCTCAGATAGCTAAGTCTCGGTTCAAAGGATTATGTTAGGGCTACACGTGTCAATAATGAAAGAGCTTTAATCCTGTTTAGACAAGATGCTACAGAAGTTGCACAATAAAAAAGAAAGTGGGTAGAGGAACTAAGTGATATATTTTGACTGTGCCAGTCGTTAAGGAAAGGGAGGGGGGAAGGCTTCAGTTGCTACCGCAGACAAAAAATCCTGTGAAGAGGCACCCTGTGCAGATCACACTGTCTTTGCATTTGTTTTGGAGGAAACTGCAGATAGTGCACAGCCCTTCTGCAGCACAAACATAGAACATAGCCTTTGTGAAGCGATGTGTATCTTAATGTCGGCCTTACTGCCACGCGAAACGCTCACATCCCAGGTGCACGTGGTACAGAATCCATACTTGTCACCTTTCCGCGAAGTGACAAAGCATGGAAATTCAGCCGTGTATGATCTCAGAATTTTTTTTTTTGATATATGTTAACAGCTTGTTTTCAATTTCAACTAGCGGCCCCATAAAAATAAGAATGTTTGCAGATGACTGCGTAATTTACACACCCGTATATTCAGTCGAAGACCAGATAAATTTGAGCAGCACATTATCAGGCATTGCGTCGTGGTGCCAAGATTATAACATGATGATTAATGTTCACAAAACGCAGTACATGCATGTTTCAACTAAAAAAAACTGTATTGACATTCAACTATGTTGTTTGTGGCTTCAAGCTGACGAACGTTGAGAGTTATAAATATTTAGGAGTGATTATCGCAAGTGATTTAAAATGGAGCAAACATGTGGAATACATTCGAAAAAGGGCAACTAACAAGCTATGGTTTCTAAAAAGAACGCTAGGCGGAGCTCCTCCCTCGGTTAGACTTTTAGCATATAAAACCATTATTAGGCCTATCCTTGAATATGCGTCTGCGGTCTGGGATCCTTGGCAATGCTGTCTTGTTAAGGAACTCGAAGATGTACAATCACTGGCGGCACGTGTAATCTTTTCGGATTTTAGACGGACCACGTCGGTCACGGGACTTAAAACAAAAGCAAATTTACAGCTTTTAATAAACAGAGGGGCATGTCAGCGGGTGAAGTTGTTTTTTCAGATATATAATAACCTCCTAAAAATAGATGGCTCAAAATACCTAAAGCCAAGAACATTTCACTCTCAGCGCTTACACCATTCGAAGATGGTAGCACCCATTAATGCTAGAATAAATGCATTCAAACAGTCTTTTTTTGTGCGTACAATTGAATTATGGAATAAACTTCCAAGTGAAATAGTAAATCTTGATTCTTTTTCCATTTTTTCAAATGCCTTAGATGCGGTTTTTGAGTGTTAAAATGTTCTACTTGCTGTGTTTTTGAATTGTATAAGGAGACGATGTTTTGTATTAAGTGATATTGCTTTGTTAGAAGTTAAGCTATTGTTATGGTTGTGTGCGCTAGAAGGAGAGTGTGTGCACACAAGTATTGTTGTTTTAATTTGTATCAGAGACAAATGTGCCAATATTTCTGTATCATCCACTCCTGCTTTGGCCCTAAAAGGGCTGGCAGTATTGATAAATAAAATAAAAAAAAAAAAAAAATACTTGCAAGAACTTCTTCTTGGCTTTTGAAAGCGCCATTGATCGTTCCAACTAAACTAGGGGAAACAGAGTAGTTTGGCGTTCCGCACTTCACTCGACGACCTGACAAACACCCTACAGTGGCTATTTCTTGGGAGATTTGAGGTCGCTTTCGTACAATTGGGAGATGTGATCAAACTTCGGGAGGCTCCTGGGAGGCTAACTTGCCGCAATCGACACTTCTAAAAGTATGAATATTGCAGATCCATCTCCAAGCGAATATCGAATAGCGCATTATTTAAAACTTTTATTCGAAAATTCACACAACCCTAAATATTAAGTAATATAGAGAAAAAAGCACGTTATGGTTTACAATGAATTGCTTAACGCTATTTTGCTTGAGCTTCACATCACAAAACATCCACAAGAACGTGCTTTTGCTAGTTTCATATTCCATTGCAAGTTTTTCAGTAATGTTGCAGACTATAGTGTTAGTTAACTAAAGTGGCAAAGCGGGCAAGTTGGTTCATGACTTATAAAATTTAAAAGCGCTAACAAAGACGTCTTTGTTAGCGCTTTTAATTTTTATAGTGTTAGACAGGAAGCTTTGCCAAGAACAGCCGTCCTTACTTGAGCTGAGAAAACATGTCAATGAGTGAAAAAATTTCCAAGAACTGTAATGATCAGTTGGAAGGCTATCCGGTCAAGATGGCTTTACTAAAATTTAACCGTTTCTACTTGCTGCGCTCAAAGCTGAAAAAAGCGTAGACAGCCACTCACTTACAGTCAAGCTCAACACCCCAAAAAAGAACAGAAATATTTCGAATGACAGACATACCGCATGGGAGTTGACATCCGTCTCTAGAAGAGCATGTTTCTTCAGCAGATTCTGGACACTTGTCAGGTCCTACAAAGCATCGATGCAACACAATAAATCTCCACTCTCAAAAAATGCTCCAAACTTCCGACTGCCCGAAACAATGAACTGACTATAGTGACAAGCCTTGAGCGTGAAACAAGGAGAGGCGACATACCTTTCCATTATCTTCTGACATCAGCTGGCCCTCGACCTCAGACAGCCAGAGCTCGATGTCTTCCACCCCGCGGTTGAACTGCTGCTGAGCCGAGGCCTCGTTCAGCTTGGTGCCCTTGGTGTCTGCGGCTTCGGTCAGTGCCTGCCACAGCGTGATGATGTCCTCCATGCGCTGGCTGCGTGGGAAAGCACAAGGCGCAGTCAAATAGACAACATTCTCACGTCGCATCACTCTCCTACAACTTTCTATGGCTACGTAGCGAAAGCCACGGGCATGTGGGCACTTGAGCATTTTGAGCGCCAATCAAAGATGTGCAAGTGCACCCTTCACTTCTAAAATGCCATAGAAAGTTGCCCCGAGCATACATTCAGACGCTTTCAACCTCTGGAATGATCGCTTCTCTGTATTTTATCATTCAAATTTTTACCAGCTTCAAGAAAGGCAATATCAGGAAAAAAAACAAAAAAAGGTGGCAACAACCAATACAAGCTTTCGTGTTTATGCACAAGTATGAATTCTAAAGTAGAAGTTTTGGGAACATTGCTAAATGATGAGAGTAACGGACGAACAATTTTGAGGGTCACGACAAATGCAAAAAACCTGATGGCCTACGACCCAAGGTCAATGGCAGAGCGCAAGAATGGCGCATTTTAAAACGGCCGCCATGAGAAAACCGAAGGACGTACCCAATGCGGTCCGAAGCGTAGTGCTTGGCCTCGATCAGCTCCTGGCCCGTGCTTGTGATGTCTTCCACGCGGCTGCGGTTGGCGTTCAGCTCCTGAATGAAGTTCTGGTGCTTCTGCACCTTCCCATTCAGGTTGGTGGGGTCCTTGACAAGACGGAGAAAAGTCAAGAAAAGTCAGACACGGCTCTGGCCCCCCTACCCCCCTACCCCCCCCCCCCCCCCCCTCCCCCCCACCCCTCGAGCCGCACGGGCATACCAGGTAGCTCTCGTCGGTGGCCGTCTTGAGTTTCTCGTTGATCCAGCCCTTGGTCTCGTCGCAGTCTCGCTCAAACTGCTGCAGACGGTAAGACTCCTCCAGCATCGTGTGGCGGGTGCGAGAGCGCTCCAGCAGGGCGTTCCTCCTCTCCAGGAGCTGAAAAAGATGGTCACGCCAGTTTTGACAAGGGCCAGAGAATTCGCGAGAATTGCTGCACACGAGTCACGGAAGAGAAAGGAAGGGACTCGGGGTGATTCGCAAGTCACCCAAGATGCAGTCATGTCCGGGCGAATGGGGTACAGGAAAACGATAAAGGAAGGAGGGGAGGAGATGGCAAGCCATTTACAAAAATGCAAAGCTGAAAAATCACGTCAATCAATCCCCACTTTCAAAGACCTCAATACACTCTCGTCAAGAAGACACGGGAACAGAGGAGGGTCGTACATACCGCAGCTCTTCTCTGAGCGACGTCATCCGCCGCGTAGTGGTGCCCTTCAATGAGCTTGGTTGCAAATTCATCAAGAGCCTGAAAGCAGAAAAATTAAAAAGCCTGTTAAACATTAAAAAAAAAGTGTAACGCAGTAAACAGCTGTTACCTCCAAGAACTGCGATACTAGACTGTGGGAGAGCTTCGAGCAAGTTAGTTTTTCTTGCAATGCAGCTGTAACACCTTGTAAAGCTACGCTCAGCCATGCTAGTACTTCCAAACAGTTTTGTTTACGTGCATTGTGTGACATCCCCCCCTCCCCCCCCCCCAAAAAGCTTCCCAGAACATTAAATATAATTGAAATAAGAAAAAATGTAAAGAACTGTCCAAGCCTACACAAAAACCAGTCAAAGACAGTGTAGGAAATACACTGTAACTGCTCAGGCTCTGTCTAATGAAATGTGTTCTTTCTGTTACATTCTCTCTTTAATATGATATGCGTAGAATTTGTTTGAAACTGACAACAGTGTATACTAACGTGTGTAAGATGTATATACTGAAGCTTGTAAGCTTTCAAGAAGGAAGAGAGCAAACTTCGCAGGCTCCACCATCCCTATGCTTGTTGTGAAACTAGTCTCTCATAAGCGGACTACAATTTGCATACACAACGCTTTGTGGCCTAAAACTTGTTGGTTACTCAATATGAACTTTTTATCGCAGCCTGCTCTTAACAGCTAACGTGGCATTTTAGGTGCCAAAGCACCAACTCTACTGCGTTTCACCTTACGATGGACCACAGAGGGCATTATAAGCCATCTAGGCCAATCCAATGGCGTGTGAATGTCGCGTGACCTTCGGGATTGCCACGACAACGCGTGGGGCGCGTAGTAACGTGACACATTTACAGCACTGGACCGGCTGGGAGGACTCGTAGCGTCTGCCGAGGTAAATCTCAAGGTGAACCAGAGTATGTCTGCTACGTTCGATTTGCCCACACTCGGGGCACACGACCATATTCGATTTACAAGTGCGGCCTATATCAGAGCACGACCGGATACATTGCACTGCACTTTTCTGCATTATGCTACACTTTTCTGCACCATGCTGCACTTTTCTGCACCATGCTACACTTTTCTACAATGGTGCAGGTAAACTGAAAGGACCCAGTATCTCCCTTAAAGAGCCCAAGCACACAGTTGTGCGTGCATGCACATACCTTGATCTTCTCCTCCTGGGCGTTGAGGGACTTCTCAAAGTCCTCGTGCTTCTTGAGCAGGGACTCGACTGAGTCGAGCGAGTCGCCCAGGTCCCTGTTGGCCAGGAAGGCCTCCTGCTTGGCCATCCAGGTGTCCGCCTGCTCCGTGTCCCGGTAGAACAGCTGCAGGTCCATGCACTGCTCGTACAGGATGCGCCGTTCCTCCCACAGCGACAGCAGCACCCCCTTCTCGCTCTCCAGGGTTGTCAGCTGCAAGGACGTGAAATATGTTTGACGACACTGGAGCCTCGCAGCGAATATGCACGCAGCGACTCCGACTTTCATGTCTAGCAAGCTTCCTGGCTAGAGTGGTAGAATGTTGATGCCACGCTTCTCCGCAGATCTTTCTTAACTAAGGACTCTCAAGAAGCTGTTCCACCAATATTATCTTAGACACTGGCATGATGGTCACCATTTCCTAACTAGAAGAAAAATTTTCTGGAACTGTAAAAGTCAACCTTAAAGGCCCGTTCACACTCTTGCGACCTCTTAAACCTGGGTTCCTTAAAACCTCTTAAACCAAAAAACACACTGGTGCCATCTATTGGGAAGCAGCGTAAACTCGGCGGTCCGGCATATTTTTTTTATTTCTCGAGCATTATCCTTTCTTTCTTGGCTCGAAAAACTTTTGACAATGTTATAAACGAGCCTTTCTATGGGTATTACGCACATTTGACCTCGAAAATCCCGCAAAACCTTCGCTCTTGTGAAATGCAGTTCCAGGGTCACCGCATAGATGGTGCCACAATGTCAGTCTGTTCCCTCATTCTAAAAACATTTAAGAAGTTGTAAGAGATCTCGTCTCTCTCAGTCGTACTCGGTCGCAAGAGTGTGAACGGGCCTTAACAGGGATGCACATTGCATTCCTGCAGTCCTTTTTTAAACGTAGAGGAAAAACCTCTTCTTCTATAAGAGTGCTCCCACTCCTCCAACAAGCGTCCCAGCGGAAATTGCCCATACACTGTGGTGCCATTTGTGGCAGGCTGGTGATGCGACTGCTAAAACCTAAAACCTTTCAGCCTTTCCACTCTGGTGAAGAAGGAAAACCAGGGGAACTGTACTATGGTGAGACGACCTCAAGGACGACCTCAAGGACGACGTCTAAGACGACCTCAAGGACGACTTCTAGGACGATGTCTAGGACGACCTCAAAGACGACACCCAAGATAACCTCAAGGACGACTTCTAGGACGATCTCGAGGATAATGTCTAGGACGACCTGAAGGACAACTTCTAGGACGACCTTGAGGACGACGTCTAGGACGTCCTCAAGGATGACTTCTAGGACGACCTCTCGAACAACCTCAAGGATGACGCCTAAAGAAATTCAGCCTTTCCACTTTGGTGAAAACCAGGGTGGAAAGGTTGCTGCCAGCTATAAGCGACGGTGGCAACCAGACAACCGGCAAGTCGGTTGTCTGATTGCCGCCATCACTCATTGATGGCGGCAGCTGTCCAGAGTTTTGTGTCATCATTTGTTTGCTGACGAACACGATACTGAAGAAACTAGCCCTTAACAGCTCTGTTGTAAAAAAGCAGGGGTCCAATCTCTCGTCCGCCTCCTAACAACAGCTGCCTCAGTGGCTCCGAGGCAAAGCGCCGGCCTATGGATCCCCAGGTGGTGTGTTCGAATCCTGGCCAAAGTGACCACAATTTGACGGAGGCTTATTGCGGAGAAGGGGCCGTGTAATCGAGCTTTCAGTTGCATGTCAAAAGATCCCCAGGTGGTCGAAATTAATCCCCAGTCCTCTGCTGGGGCGTGCCAGATGCCTGTTGTTGATTTGGCACGTAAAACCCCCAAATTTGACTTTCGATTTTTTTACCACCTAACAATGCACAAATAAACCGGCACATTTTCCCGCTTCTTACACCGTTTGGAAGCCCTATCGTCCCACTTGACTTTTTAATTGAATCAGAAAGTCAATTTTTTCATTCAAATAACGAGCATGACTCGTTACTTGAATGATTCAACTCCTTCACTCAATGAGTCTTGTACCGTTTCACCTTCACATAAAGGCACCTTCAAGGCGCCACACGACTCACTTACTTTTTCTTTGACCTCGTCGACAGCATAATGCTTCTGATCCAGAAGAATCTGTCCTGCCTCAGCAGTGGAGCGGAAGCTGTCTTCCCTGGCATCAATCTCGCCCTGAGCAGAAAAAGCAAGTCAATAGTAAATGCCTCAAGTCTCGGGGCAGAACACCAGAAAGGGTGCCACAAAGGCATACCTTGTGCTCCTGGTGGCGTTCCAGCAAAGCTTCTGCTCCGGCGACGTCCTTAGCCAACTCGTCCGCCGAGATGATAGCCTTCATATCATGGATCCAGGACACAAGGTCCCGGAAATCAGCCAGGAAGCGGTGAAGCAGGTACGATTCGTCCAGGCGACGCCTTCGCTCTTGAGCCTGCAGGCAGACAGGTCCATTTCGACGAGGCACACTTGACATAGGAAACAAGCGGGCTTGGCATATCATCATTATCAATGACAATGTAGTAAGCAATTGCGCTTGGTGTATGTTGATGATCATTTACAACTGGCATCCCAAATGCCAGCATCACGGCACAAAAGTCTTCTTTCCTTTGTTGTAGGCTGACAAATCTGCCATTTGGCTAAGATGTGGCACTTGCAAGTGTGCCATAGAACTGCTCCCATTCATTTGAGATGAGACTGATGCTACTAACTCCACAACACTGAATTCTTTGATTGACAAATTGGCAAATAGATGTGGAAGCAGACACCTGCCTTAAGTCAGGATTTGAGATGTTGGCAAGTTTGGCTACTTGTAAACTCATTGAAGATTAGAAGTCTATGCAATGCAGAATCTTAGTTACAGAATGCATGAATAGAAAATTCACAACACAGAATGGGCCATAAAGATCAGCCACTAGAAGTAGCAAGCAGATATTTCTCTAGAATGTATATTTTACTAATCTAATTGTCACATTTTCAAAGCTCTCATTCTGTATTAAAAATTAAAACCAGCCATTCTTTGTTGCAGGAAAACAGCCAATAAGACCAAAGTGAACATTGGCCAACCTCCTTTTAAACGTCTAAAAGATACCACCCACCCCCATAATAAAATAATAATTTACTGCTCATAGCCCTTGATATACTAGCACAATATCTGGTAGAACATAAAAAAATAATAAAGAGTGCTGTTGAGAAAATCACATTATAAGATTTTATAAATATTTGGCCAATAGTACTGAATTCAGAACTGTTACGTTTGTCGGTAAACCTACATAAATGAGGTAATATTACACTTGCCAGTAGATTTCATAACGAGAGGCGCGCCGTGTGCATAACTCAACTGGATGAGCGCACATTGTTCTTACATCAGGCCGTGAAACAGAAGCTCCAATGTAACCCGAAATACAACACCTGCCTCATGGGCACTGGTCGCTTCTCGGGAAGTATTCACTGCATCCTCCGCATGCACACCCGCTGGCAATATGAAGGTGAACGCCGGACCGTCGACCGCTTCGTGCTATCAGCACCATGACGCGGCTGCCGTGGTGGCTCGTTTTTTCATCGCGATATGAAGGTGAACGCCAGACCGTGCGCCGCTCCGTGCTATCAGCGCGATGACGCGGCTGCCGTGACGCCTCGCTTTCTTATCGCAATATGAAGGTGAATGCCTAACCGGCGGTCGACGGCCCGGCGTTCACCTTCATATAGCACACAACTGTACCTTGGTCTTAATCTAGACACATATACAGACACAGAGACTACACCTTGGAACTATTGAAATCAGATCATTCTAGAGATATCAAGATGATTAAAAGAATGTTTATTTTGTAGAGAAGCTTGTCAGATTTAGCCAAATGCTGTCAGCCAGAGGCAGTTATACTTTTAAATATAATTCAACACTTAAAATGTTTACGATAATGCAAAAAAAAAATCCACCAGCAAGTTTTCTTAGTTTTAGAGCGCAGCTCTTAGACGTCCGTTTCCGGCTTGAGTGGCGTCGCCGTCGGCATACTTGTGAGGCCACGTGACACCCCCCCCCCCCCGCAGGTCACGTGACACCCCCAAGGTCACGTGCCCCTCCCCCCAGATCACGCGACCCCTCCCCCAAGAACACGTGACCCTCGGTACCCTTTCTTCCTTCACCTCAAGAGCTGCGCTCTAATTCGGCGTTACAGGGAGTTATAAACGGCTCTCTTTTTTTTTTTTTTATTTATTAGTCAATACTATTACCAGCTTTCAGGCAAAGGCAAGAGTATGTACTACCTTCTGATAGTGTTACAAGCATAAAATTAAAACCAATAAAATATTCAGAAAGAATGGCTAAACAGGAACGGCACAAATGAACCTGCAGCATGTCTGCACCTACAACAATTCCTTGTGGAACATTTGTGCAATATACCATTAATATTTACAACTCAGCAGGGACTTTGTACCACTTATGAGCATGCTTACAAAAAGGACAATGTTTTTTAATCTTCAGTAAAAAAAAAAAAAAAAATGCAGCGGGCTTCATTTAATTTATTGCAGTTATAACAAAATAAGCTTGAGCAGCTTGAGCCCATCCATCGCTGCCGCCATATTTCCACAGAAGAGTGACTAGCGTCAGAGTCTGTGACAGAGCACCTTTAAAACAAGAGGCCGCAAGCACCCACATACCCAGGTGGCTTACCTTGGCCTTCAGCATCTCCCAAGTGGCCATAATCTCAGCATGCTTTCCTCTAATCTGATCTCCATGGTCACTGTGGATGCTGCACAGCCTGTCAGCCTCTTGACCCAAGGTCATCACCTGAGGCAGAAGGGGTTCACAGCAGCCTGGTTAAGTTGCACACCAAACACGCAGATTCGCAAGGCGTAGCCTTGCACGATCAGAATACTACAACTGAAAAATACCCTAATAGCAGTGAGAGGCATTGAATAATTGCTCAACTATCGTCGCTGACAAGGTGGGAAGAGCAGGGCGTTTTTTTTACAATGCCCAGCCTCCAGTGCGTGCTAGAGCCTTGCGAGACGCCCAAGCATAATCGAAGGTACGTAGTTCGTGCCAGGAACAAGACAATTAAAACTCTTCCCTGCCGTTCTCGTCTTGTCAGTGGCTACAGTTCACACTCATACAAAGTGAATAAATAATAAGACTCTCGTCATAAGAGTGCCACAATGGCAATTCACACATGCTGCGTCAAAGGGTTCGAGCCAACCGAGCCGCACACAATACCTTGTCTTCTAGAGCAGCGAGGTCCCTCTCGATGCCCTCGTGCTTACGCTGGAGAGTCTGCACGCTCACTAGGTCCCGGCCGTAGTCATCCGATGACAGCACCACATCCTTCTCCGTGATCCAGGTAATGGTCTCGTCAGCATCCCTGCAGCGACGGCACACGCCCTTCAGAGAAAGTTCGACACCTTGCAATGTTTCGTGGATGGTGCGCCGTTCTGTGAAAACCGCAAGAACTCAACGAGCATTTGTTTATTGATGTAGTTCGGCTACCTTGTATGCAAAGGTAATTGGACAGGGTACTGGAGACAATTAGCGAGCCCAATAAAAAAAAAAAGATGCTGCGCATACGTATCTACCGTAAAATACCATGAAGCCGGCCACCCCACTTTCAGTGAAAACTGGGTTAATCGAGACATGGGCTCTTGTCCGGTCAAATCGGTAGAAACCAAGGTTGCAGCCAATAAAGAGCTTTGAAGGCAGAGCGAATGGGATCGGAGAAAACAATAATGTTCACGTAACATCCCCATCATCGCTGCTGGCGGTCTGATGGCCGCCGCAACAGGGTAAACTATTTTGGCTGATGCCGGCGCTTTGGAGGGCGTGGGCACTATACTCCGCGACAACTTTTCTTGGCAATGCAGTGGAAGGTACAGGCCCGCTTCCCCTCTCCCATTCTGAGTGTACGCAGGCTCTCCTCCTCCCCCATTTCCGGGGAGAGGAGGAGAGCCCGCGCACACTCAAAATGAGAGAGGGGACGCGGGCCTCTACCTTCCACTGCATTGCCAAGAAAAGTTGTCGCAGAGTATAGACATATAATTTTCAGAATTCCCAAGTTTGGGGAATGTTAACAGCGGGCGCTTGTCAGCTAAAAAAAAACTTCAACCTTATTATTACGAGGCAAATGCAAATATTTGAAACTTTGGATAGTGATTTGAATATTGGTGTCTTCAATTTGATCTTCAAAACTAAATAGTATTGTTCTCTAAAAATTTAGGATCTTTTCTAACAATTTTGCTAATATCTTAGGAACGAGGAGGTGTATTAGCTCTGCTGTCGCATTTTCCCCGGCTTACTGGTGCACCAGAGCAAAGCACACCCACCGTCAGTGGTGCTGTAGTGGGTGCGATTTGCCTGCAGTAAGAGAACTGGCACCAATGCAAAGCATTGGAAAGTATCCGCAGTTTTTATGTAGTGTGAATGCTCTACCAAGCAGCACGTCTTCTTGTGTTTTAAGATGTGTTTGTTGTAACTTAATCCTGTTCTGGTTATGTTTGTGCTCATTTATTGCTAGGACTATAGGTCCTACGTGTGAAGGCTGCTGCCATTACAGGGCATGTACAAAAAAAAAAAAAAAAATAAAGTTAAGAAAGCATGTCGCTGTGAACAGTTTGTGTACATATTTGGTAAAGTTATTTTGCATGTGCTACAATTCTACTTTTTTTTTTTCTCGGCACATCAAGGACCCTTCCTGCCCTTACACACCATGAATCTGAGGAGTCACAATAGACCCTTTCGAAAGTCAGTGCCAGCGCCTGTCCGCTACTGCTTGCTCACATACTCCGAGCATGTATTGAACACGAGGGCTGCGTCAGCATTCAGCGAGGACTCGGATCCAATCACGCGCTTCGGGAGCAAACGGCGACCACCAAGGTTGCTCGACTGACTTCTGAAAAGGGTCTATTGGTGCCAGGAAAGTCTTGATACAAAAAAGTAATACACAGTAATCTGATTGCCAATTCAGATTATAATTAGCATTTCTTTTATACTGACACGAAGTACCCGACCGACTGACTGACAAGAAGATATCAATTAGTTTTGATTCCAGAGTGGACAACTACAATGCCATGCATGTTGTTAAGAAAACATAACTTCCTTGCTTAGGAACCATATTGTTCGCGCTGCGCCAGCACGTGGTCACCAACCGCGAGCAGATAAGTTCTCGCTGCTCACTGCTGGCTCTAGAAAGAGATCTTTACCGAAACTCCGTGCGACCCCCATTGACGTCACAGTGCACGTGACTCGGAAGATGGTGAAGGAGTTGAAAGGTGCCGAAAACCTCAATCTTTGTCCAATTTTAAAATAAAAAAACTAGGACATGCAGGCAAAAGCGGTTTTTTGTTCTTTACTTCAGTAAGGTCGAGACACAGACTCCCAAGTTATTTAAGCAAAGCAGTGAAATTGTTGCAAAGCTCTTTTAAATTTAGCATAGAAATGGGATGCCTTCTTTCTTGAAGGGCCCATTTTTTACACCTTGCAAACATCATTCAATTTGATATTTGAAGTTTTTAAAATTATATGATTAGTCAGTTTGTATGCAATTATGTTTTAGACACAACTACTTACAAAACAAAAAAGCAACATTTTTTTATTTTGTTAGCTAAAAAGCTAACAAAACACTTTTTGGTTTGTCAGCTACACTTTGTTTTGTTAACTGAAAAGCTAAAAAAAAAAAAAGCCACTTTATTCTGACGACATGCCAGCTAGATCATATAAGATTGGAACCACAAATCCCGATCTTGATTCAGCGTCTAGTGAAAGTGAACGGCCTCACAGACCTGTTGAACCGCTGGATCTCGTGCGCGCCAAACAGCCTCTCCTGTCGCAGCAGGGTGAGGGACTTCAACTTGTTCCAGGCCTCGTTCAATTCCTTGGGAAAAGAAACAGGGAAAGGCTCACCAAGAGAGCATTTCCAGAGCAGATTGCCAGAGAGGCAAAAAAAAAATTTCTGCTAGCAATACAAGAGAATTGCAGCAAAAGCATAGAAAGAGTGCAAACAACTTAATTAGTGCACATGTCAAGCATTTTCTTGCATTGACAAAAGGGCATACCTCCCCTTTAAATACTCGCACAATACTATTAATTAGTAATAAATTCTGCATAAATGTCAATGTTTACATTTAGAAAGGTCAAATTCCCACAACAAAAACTTTAGGCCAAAACAAGAAAACAATATATGCCCCTCTATGTAATATCCTACTTGGGGCATCTAGGGACACATAAATAAACAATAAATAAAAAAAACTAAGTATGATCAAAGCACCCACCTCCCTCCGTTTTCGGATCGTCTCTCGTTCGGGATGATCACCATTGATCAGCTTCTCTGCCTGTTCGTTCACTTCGGTCACTCGGAACTCCTGACTGGCCATGTCCTGAGGGGGAAAGATAATAATACAAACGTTAAGGTCACATTCACAAGTTTAGAACCAAACTGCACAAAGAAAAAAGACTAAGTGGCACTAGCATCATACCTTCTGAAATTCATCAAACTTGCGTTGAAGAACTTCAACATGCTCCAAGTCCTGACCAAACTCGTCAGCCATCACAAAAGTTTCCTGGAAATCAAGTGTAATACGCAAAACTAAGAAGACGAAAAAAAAAAATTGTGCATCAAAGTGATACAAAGTTGATTGGCACAGGTTAGTTCACTCATACAATAAACCAAATAGATATAATGAGTTTGTTCACCTTGTCGTTGATCCAGAACATGACCTCATCACAATGGCGCAGAAACTGGACCAACACCAACGCTTGCTGCAGCTTCTGTCCCTTGTCCGCCAATTTGCTCAGGAGGAGCTCCCAGAGGCGATGAAGCTCATCAAGGCATTGCTGCATCATCAAAAGAGTAGCTGACACAGAGGTTCCGATACACACACCGCAGCTCGTTCAGAACATGAACGATCATGGGATAAAACGTTGGTACCACTTATTGTTAAAACTGCGGGTCAGTCTTGAAACCCGAAAGGCAAATAAGTATGATCCGTTGCCTCACCTTGATTGTGTCGGAGGCGAAATGACCGTAGCCAATCATCTCCATTCCGGTGTTGTCAAGCACCACGATGGCATTTCCGTGGGCTGCTACTTCTGCCTCGAAGGCTTGGTGCTTTTGAATTTTTGCCTGGAAAGAAAACGAAGTTTGTGTATTGTGCACCGTATACAAGTTCATCTGTAGAATTGATTCATGTTTTTTGTAATCAGTCTATATGAAATGAACAAGCAATGGCACATAGAGAGAATAGATTAACAATATTCTGGAAACAAGGATGTGGCTATTTATGGCAGTGCTTGTCTAACGACCTGGCACTTCTTGTAAGCCATACAATGCTGTGTTTTCTTTAGAATAAGCTTGCATTAATAGCAAAGCACAAAGAATAAAAAGACAACACAAAATAAAATCCGCACTGATTCTAAGAAATGGAACAGGTAATAAATACCGTGTGCATAATTGTAACATAAACAACAGAAAACATATGGCATTTCTTCATTTTCTTTTTTTCCTAAGCAACCTCACAAACAAAGTACCATGGATGCCTGGCTCTTCAATTTAAGCGGACACTGGAAGACAAGAGGGAAGTTACCAGTTGCATTACCAGTTATTTCAACATCTCCTATCCCGAGGCAAAGACGTGGAGATGCAAAGGGTCAGCCCCAACGAAGGGGGGAGGGAAGCTGGGCCCACCTGCAGGTTGGTGGGGTCTTTGTAGCTCTCGTCCGAGGCAGCCTGCAGTTTCTCGTGAATCCAAGACTCGAGCTCGTCAGCATCGCGCTTGAAGTACTGGAAGCGGCGAGACTCCTCGAGCCGATCCCGCTTGTGACGGGCCTCTGTCTTGAACTGCGAGTAGCGGCCCAGAACTTGCTCCCTCCGGTCCTGGATGTCATCCACGGTCTCCAGGACCTTGATGTCCCTCGGCTGGACATCCATCGTCGCCCGCTCTCGGTGGCGTCAGCCTGCACGGCAGTCCTGAAAAACGGGTGCAGTTTTCAGCAACCGCGAGTCCCTCATAAAGAGGCTCAAGACTTGAAAATTTTTGACATTTCTTTAGGCATTATTCTTTCTCTCTCTAATCTCCCTCTCCCTTCTTTCCTCCTCGAGCGTAATGCGACGCCTCTTGGATCTGTACCGATTATTCCTGCAGTTAAGACAGGCCAACAGCCTCCAAATGCTGTGCCGGTTGGGCAGAATGGCATGAGATGGCCGAATAACTCTCACATTTAAAAAAATCTGTAAGGAAAGCGAGATTTCATTGTTAGCCTGAGTCCAACCCTTGCTTTTGCAATATTCTTGTATTGGTCTCATCAAGATCAAGCAGTGGCCACGATATGGGTGCATGCTCATGGAATAAAAGTGCAAGAGTTGTTCAATTCTGGCTTCCATGCACTGTGAACTTTGGACTTTGAGCAATGTTGATCTAAATCGCCGAGAAAATTTTGAAATAATGCAAAGAAGTCAGTCAAAAGGAGCTTTTAACGGTACCCTACTATAAATGATGTTTTCTGGGCAGCAGTGTTGTTGCCTTTAGAAGTACAGTGGCCTGAATAGTGCCTGAATTGACACTAATTTAGACCACCTTCAATTAATACATTTATTTAAACTTTATATGCTCTGGGTGGGTCCCTATGGGTCTTGTTTGTTTAAACATGAAGCCATGTACAAATGACTTAGGTACTGTAAAAGGCAGAGGCCCCAATCCTCTGTACATAAACGGGACAAGAAGTGTGTTAGAAGTGAGCAGTCATGGCCAGGCTCCTGACTGTATCCCTGCTTTTGCAAGATCATTTAAGTTCTCCAATAACTTCACGGGATCTCTGTACATGAACAGCGTGGAGATAAAAGTAGCACTGCCCAAAAGGCTCAAGACAGGCACTAAAATAAATTGCAATGACACCTTCTTTAATGCAAATAATAATAAAGGGCCCTTTCCAACTATTTAAGGCTGACTGTGGATCAGAAAGTATACTTGCCCTCTCTTTCTCCTTCTCTCACTTGGTTTTCTAAACACAACAAATTTACAATAAAAGTAAAGAGCGTTATGGAGCGACACTGACAGGAAATTCATTGTGGACCACACTGTAGTGGACAGGTATGCATTTCACATGGCAAGCATTCATTACAGCGAAATTCCCATCAACGGGGTTTTGGGTGGGGCAGGTTGTTTAAACCTGCCAGTAACTATGCTGTATCGCAGAGCATTTCTATATCAAACAAAATTTGCTCACAGAAAAAAAAAAAAAAAAAAACCTCTATGATTAGTATGAACTCAATTTGCTCCCTCCTAGTCCAAAGCCATGACCACGCCCATGCACTTTACTGATGAGGTGCGTTGAATGACAAAGTGATCTAGCTCTCCAATTTGAGCCTTTTCTTTCTTAATCCACTTTCAAAAAAAAAAAAAAAAAAACGCACAACACAGTTAATAATGAGACGAAGTCTAAAAAACACCAAAATGACAGGGTGTCCTAGAGACTTATGCAGTCATGAAAATTATGCTATCATGAAATTTATGCAGTCATGAAAAAAATTTTAATAGCTCCATCATGATAGATAGATTATTATACCAAAAGACACCGAAAAAAAAAAAAAAAACGGGCGCTTGCGAAGTGTTTAGCTACAGTGGACCGAGCATAGCCCGTCAGGAATGTGGACGATTGCAGATAAGTTGCGCAATGTTATCTGCCTGAAACTACAAGGTCAGCAGCAGCAGGAGCTGCATATCTGGAGCATAATGAATCAGCGACACTGTGCCTACTGTTCGCTAGAAAAAAGAAGAAAACCAATAATAGCCGGGGAAGGAAGGGAGGGATCCGGGAGGGAGGGAGGGAGGGAGGGAGGGGGGGGGGGGGGGGACTAAGCTTTTTTTTTAATTTTGTATTTTTTATATATATTTATAACGTTATTACAGCACTAGACAAAACTAAAGGCGCAGTTCTTCGATCTAGGAAAGTAGAGCCTCCACCGATCTTTCACGCGTGCCTTTACATCCGATTAAATTGAGGGAAAGAAGTGTTCAGCTCAAGATAGAAATGCCAGATCTAAAAAAAAAACAAAAAAACGAGCACGACACCAGAAATAGCAGCGGAAAAAGTGGAAACCGGTAGTGACTTCTCCGATCGCATCTCTCATATCGCATCGCGTGCGTGGAGTGCGTAAAGCCTTGCAACGTGCCCGACCGGCCCCTCCCCAAATGGTAGCACGGTACTAGTACAGCACGATCTTGCCGGTCAATAATAAACATAAAATAAATAAGGCGTAGATCTGTTTAACACAAATCGAAGCATATCACGACTGAGGTACGACAAGCCCAACACTATTTAGAGTATGAGTGAAATATCTGAAGCCTCACAAAGTGATCTCAAAATGTCTACAAACGTGAAGGAAGGTCGTTAGGATGCCTCGGGTACCGGTCACTTCGCTAATGTTTTCAAACGCACACTGAATGCTTCTGTATTTGCGTTAAGCGATCGAGTAGCCAAAACGAGAAATGGATCCCTCGGGATTTCGGTTGTAATAAATACGAATGAATCAGGGCGCTCGCGTGAGAACATCTCCGGGCCTGGGCGTTGTCATCCGGCAATTAACCTGCGGCTGTTTCTGAGAAGTGCTCACGCACGCGATTTGGTAACAAGTTAAGATATTTCGGGGCGGATCGTTGCTTAGCGTTGTTTGGAAAAGAATGAAATCAAATGCGGACTTACTTTCAGAGAAAAAAAGTTGGATATCCACCGGACGAGTTTACGTAAGATGGCGACGGCTTGACGAGGTCAATCCGAGTTGCCGTCACTGGCCGTGCAGCGACGCTTCGGTGCAGATTCTTTCATTTTTCGGAAAACTTCCGCCGAACGCTTCCGGCAGCACCCTCTGACAGCGACAAAATATAATAAATATTCGTTAGTGTTCTTAAAGTTTACTAGTTAACTTTTTTGAGTTGAAGTTTACTAAATTTATACAATTTGTTCGAGCAAACGTTGTTTTCAATGTGTAAGCCTTGATGTATTTAGAGTTAGAACTTCTCTAGCTTCACGGAGCATGCGTGCTAAAAATAAAACAAAAGTATCAAAAACAAACGTGACAAAAAGAGTAGGAATAATTTATGCGCATGCGCTTGAGATATGGAGAAGTTCTTGATTGAGACATATCTCACCAATCGGAATGAGGGACAGTGAAGAAGCGTTGAAAATGTTAGCGATGTTACGTTGATGAGTATGCGGTCTGGCGGTCTGGCTGTCAACAAGCCACCTTTAGCAATAAGTACAAAACCGTCCTCGCGATAACTACTACTACTAGCACTACTCGCCGTTGTGCGCACGGAGCATTTAACGTTTTCAACGAGCGATCCGTCAGCTGCATTCGGGTCGTGGAAATTATGAGGCGTTGACCCATTCCTGGTCTTTGCACCTCCTCTGTTCCGTGCGTGAGTTTTTTTGAACCCGGTGCCCTTTAATCGCGGAAAAGGGAGATTCAGATACACCGAGTTCCTTCTGTAACGGACTGCGAAGGCGATCGGATGACTGGCAAGACGATAACAGGCGAGCTTGCTCAGCTATGTAACTCCCGAGGACTATGAACGATATTCGTTGCTTTCGTAGCACCATGGGCGAAATACTGCATACCGATTTGGACAGTTCGGCCTCGCCCGCGAGGCTGGAGTATACGTCCGAGAAACATTCACGACACACCCTGGAAGCCGTCAACTTGCTCCGGTTGCACCGAGAACTCTGCGACGTCGTGCTCCTGGTGGGCAACCGAAAGATCTTCGCGCATCGCATCGTCCTTTCGGCATGCAGCCCATACTTCCACGCCATGTTCACGGGCGAGCTGGCCGAGAGCCGGCAAACAGAGGTACCGAAAACGCTGTCTTCTCATTTTGTACATGGCTTATGCTTATCTAGGCGACATGCTAGATTTTGGGGGTCTTCTTTTTATATAGATTTATTTAACAATACTGCACGCTCCACAGGGGCAGGAGGAGTTTACAAATAAAACAAAGCTAGAACAGTTACGAAATGCAATAGTTTGTTAACAAACATGTTAACATGTAGAACACAGCACATATGGATATGTCAGTCTTGCAGTGTGGTGAGCCAACAACTCCATTAGCAAAGCAGCAGTTGCACATATTGTTTGCAAATTCCACTTACGATTAGTCGGACTTCCGTTTGGTTATCCTCATAACAAGTTTATAGGAGCAAACATGGACATAACTAGCTCTCTCAAGTGTTTTTGGTCAGTTTGCGGTATTTGCCTTATTAATTATGTGCCACATATAACCCCTGCTACATGGCAGAGTTGAACATAATTCCCATCTAATGGCATAAAATGATCGGCGAACTAGCTCGTGTTCCTGACTATGAACATTGCGTCTGCACTGCATTGAACCGAGAGTGGCGTGCACCGATTGCCAGTCAGGTAATGTCATTCGATGGAAATTACATTGAATGTTTTCCTGTGGCAGGGGTATGAGAAGCGCATGGACCTCAGTTGTCATGAACCTGTTTTTCATATTCATTGCTGCATCACGCACATTGCTGCACACTCAGATCTGTCATTCTGAGCAGACAGAAAAGGTTCAGTTTCTGCAGCCTCAGGACCTGACATACATACAACTATTCTGCAGACAACGCAAGATTTTTTTTGTACATATTGGCATTGTTATTTTAGGCATCTGGCGTGTAATATTAAGACTCCGCTTACAAAATGACAGGCATACCTATATCTCAGTGTGAGTCTGTGAGACGGCCTACCGTTACCCCTGCACTTTCTTCTCAGGTGACGATCCGGGACATAGATGAACACGCCATGGAGCTGCTGATGGATTTTGCGTACACGTCGCACATTGTGGTGGAAGAGGGCAACGTGCAGATGTTGCTGCCGGCTGCCTGTCTGCTTCAGATGGCGGAGATCCAGGACGTCTGCTGCGAGTTCCTCAAGAGGCAGCTGGACCCCACAAACTGCCTGGGCATACGGGCCTTCGCCGACACCCACTCGTGCCGAGAACTGCTACGAATCGCCGACAAGTTCACCCAGCACAACTTCCAGGAGGCACGTTGGTTACTCCCCTCTTTGGTGGAACTAGTTCACCGATTTTCTTGTGTCTTTCTGGCAAGTGTCTTTCTGGTAAGGTACACCTTAGTAAATGTGCAGGCATCAGGTAGCTGTGACAACAAATCAAACTTTCGAGGGTCACTGACATAACGAAAACGGCAGGGCATCTTTTTTGGACACCCCGCTACTCGCCCGTTATCTTATGTTGTGCTCTGGACTGTGCGTGCATGCTCGAAGCTCCCGAGTTCCCAAAGCATTATCGAAGGTAGGAGGCTCATGCTCAAGATGGGACAACTGAATCCCTCCTCGCAGGTCTTATCCCGTCACTAACTAAATTGACCTTGGTTGGCAGTTGTGCCAAATGCTGAACAGGCGGGTTTAAAACGAAGACTTTGCTGTCCCGCAGGTGATGGAGAGCGAGGAGTTCCTACTCCTGCCCGTCAACCAACTGGTGGACATCATTTCTAGCGACGAACTGAACGTCCGAAGCGAGGAGCAGGTCTTTTCCGCGGTCATGTCTTGGGTCAAGTACAACGTCACCGAGCGAAGACAGAATCTCGGGCAGGTGAGTACTTGTGGCCGTGGATCGCTCTAAGCTTTTCCCGCAGAATTATCTGCGAGGATGAGAAGCTGGAGATACCCAAGTATGGCCTAGCGTAAAGCTTAATACGATGGACTCTCATCCATTTAATCTCAACGTGGGCTCAAGAGTTTGTGCGTTAGAAGGAGTCAGCATAGGTTTTTCTAGAAGTAGTGCCATGTAATAAAATTGCATATATAGTGCACAGTGAAAAGTCTATACTCTGTTTCACAATAACTTGGCAAACTGTGGAGGCTGCGGCCCCCGAAACCCAATAGGGGCGCCGAAGCAAGGCACGTGATAACACTCCATGGTCGAGGCCACCGGGGCCTCGTTACCGCAATAGCAACAGAGCCCTCCACGACAAAAAGTAGTTCTGGGCTTCTCTTTCTTTTAACAACAATTGAACCCACGCGATTCTATCTATAATGAGAAGATATGAAGAATAAATAATCACAAGTTTATAACTTTCAATTATATTTACACCAAAAAGTATCTCACATCCGTATCCACTCGATTTTTTTCGCCTTGTAGCGCCGTGGCCATTGGCGATCGCAGCTGTGTGATTGGCCGTTTCCGCTCAAAACTTTGCTCTGTGCCCTGGCATTAGCACTCGTCACAGATTTGCATCTAAATTAAGGGGTAGGGAAACGAAATTCTAGCACTCATCTTCTAGCTTGAATGTGTTGCATGTTGCACTCTAACCTCAAAAACACCAGTCTTCTGTTGAAAGGCACAAGAAAACTAATTTTAAAGCTAAATAAACAATCTTTCAATGTGCACCTGGTGGATGTATGCAGAGCCTATTTGGGAAGTAAGCAAGCAGCGTTGGGGAACTTGCTACATAGTCTTGACGTAGCACATCTCTTTGGAGCAGCGCCGCTCTTTGGAATTTCAACATTTTCCTTTAACTTTCCTCCTCAACTCACAAATCGCGCATTGTACCAAATGGCCCAAGAAGACTGAAAGGAAGGACTCCCCTCTTTCTCGGACCCTAGTTCATGCAGCCAGACACAGCCATTCTCCCCCTAGAAGATTAGCCCGTCGCTCAAAACTCAAACAAAAGTTGCTTTTCCCTCCCTGTTCAGCCCTAAGCTGACAGTGTTGTGGAAGCTACGTGCTCCTTGGGCCAGCTGAACGCTCGTCACTTCACGGCTACTTCAAACGGCTCGGTTGTAACGCGCTGACGCTATTGACACCACCACAACACTGACAATGCCACCAAGGGCAAAGTTCATAATCACGCAAGCCTTTCTACGTCACGAATGCAAGGAATCTCTTTTTTCTGTTTTTGTTTGCGCCGGATATTCCATGACGCATCACATACTCCATTCGCTTATCTTCGAGCGCTTGTTCGAGTGCACCGTTTGGAATGAAAAGTATAGCCAGTCGTTCAAAATACAAACGTGCGGTTATCATTTACGGTTATTATCCGTCATGCTTGACTCATTTCCGAACGAAATTTGAATATTTCAATTTTTGTTTCCGTACCCCTTTAAAGGGACAATGAAGACGCTTTTGTTTATTTTGTTTAAATGGTGTTTAATGCATGCTGCCCAATTTTTTGTAGACATTTGTGACGCGTATTTATGTGCCTACGAAAGAAGTGAAGAAACCGAAACTGAACAATCTCCATTCTCGTTTCTGGGCCTCCGAAGACGGAGGTGACGTAGGGAGTGACGTCAAGTGTGAATAGTCGGTATCGGTAGTATTTAGGAGATTGAGACTCTGGTTACCGCGGTGGGTTATAGCAGCGCGGTGGCACGGTCGTTTCGCCGATTCGGTCAACATGGACGGCAATACCGCTCTCGCGAGCGAGTTCGAGCTTTCGTTCAGTGACCGAACACCAACAGAATGGGAGTATGTGTGTGGTGGCCTCTGCCATCACCCGACGGAGACCACACAGCCGGCAACGAGCGGCCCGCATGCCGAAGGACGGACGCGGGGGAGATGCCGAGGGGAAAGCGGCAGCGATCCCGCCGTTCCGGGATTCGGTTTCTCCGCGGACGTCCTCTCTTTTCATCGTCAAAGAGCACGAACAGCAACCCACACGTGAAAACCAGCGTCGCCCAAACGAATACTGCTCTTCAGTCGATCGTTAGAACAGCCATCTACAGCTACCATTTTTCAAAATCCTTCGAGTGCCGTGTTCTTTTTTAATTTTATTTTGTTTGCCCAGGGTTGCTCGTTGCCGGTTTCGTGTCCAGCGTAGCAAGGAAAAAAACAATGATGCTGCTTTATTTACGGTTTAGTAATCATTTCCGGTCCGATTTATACTTTTGATGGTTATTGAAGCGGAAATTAGAACGTTATTTCTAAAAATCGCGAACCAAAACGTGACCGAGGGCACGTTTCTCGTTTCGACCAATCGCTGACGCGTCTCTTGTGACGTCGTGCTTCTTGGCGCCGCATCGGTCACGTGAGCTCCGCTTCTCCTGGCTTCTCCCGCAACTCTTGGGGCGTCACCCCAGTCGATCCCAGTAAGATTATTACTGCGACTGTTTAATAGATTTGCTCGGCACACATGCGCCGGTTTCGGCTGAAATTTGGGCAACATGGCCTGAGACGTGCCTGGAACCCAGTTCAATCGCAAAAAGATGTCCGAAATTGCCTTCATTGTCCCTTTAAGCGCATGTTTGTCTTATGAACTGTTGCTGAAGTGCTCGCTATTTTAGCGGAGGGAAATGTTGCTGCAGTGGACGTTATCCGAAGTTGGTTGGTTTTGGAGCAGACGATTCTTGGATAGCAGACGACAGCCGGTTCTTCCGGGCCTCGCACCTCGCATTTGGCATGGTGACACAAATGCTCCCATGACGTTGGGTCACATGCCTCGCTCCGACGCTCTTATTGGGTCGCGGGGCCCTAGCCTCCACAGTTTACCAAGTTATCGTGAAATGGAGCATGCCTAGATGCAGTTGTCAAATGTTTTATTCTATAGTCCTGGTTAACAGAAAAGCTTAATTGGAGGTTCGCAGTACGCCCTTGTCGGCCTCTTTCAGCTGACGGCAGTAAACTTCGAGGCACCCAATATGCACACGGGGTTCTCGCCACGATGGGTAGCAGTGGTTTTGCCGCCCACCTTTCCGGTTGACCATCCATTTCTACGATGTCCCACCCACCTTGTATTTTCCCACCAGGCACCACCGATTTCGCAAACGTACAATGTGCCAAATACTGTAAACGACTAAATTTTCGCAAGGATCTCATTTTGGCGAATTTCGCAAATCGCCTACTATTCGCGAAAAATAAGTCCCGCGAACAATTCGGGCCATATGTGAACGCTACAGAAGCTACACTTGATTCGCGAAAATTGGAACCCGCGAATAATTTCAAATTTCAAGCTTTGGCCCTATTTGCGAAAATTTGAGCCCGTGAAAATGAAGTCTTTTACAGTAGTCGTGTTTGACAGACTCAATCTCTGCAAACGAAATTCCTGCTGTGCAAGCCATTTGGTGTACAAACCTCGGCATGTAGTTTGCTGGAGGAGCTTTTAGGTTATTGCTGCTACTGTTCATTTTTAAGTTACCTTCTTAAAAAGACACTGACACTCCCCAAAGATCTTTCTACATATTTTGCCAGGTGATTTATTATGATATCAGGAGACTGCCCAATCAATATTTTGCTACAGAGTCGCGTAAAGGCAAAACACTTAACTGCTCGAAACCGAAACATGTGCAGGGAGGCTCGGAAAAGAGAGTTGCCAAAGGTCATGTGGCTATCGTCCCTTACCCAGTTTTTTTGCGTTCCTCTGCTGCGCGGGCGTGTGAAGCAGACGACGACAAAGAGGATGTTGCTCAGCCGTTTGCCGTGCGATTGTTTCACACTTATATCCCTTCCTATTGCTGTTCTGCGCTTGAAAATCGATTGGCCGGTACCACGAACCGCAGTTCTGAAGTAGGGGTCCTACGTCCATCGCAACGTTGGTCCGTCGTGCATCGCCATTGCGTAGTCCAGCCCGCAGTACGTCGCCACATTGAGAATGACATGTACATGTACTTCCTGTGATCTGTGCAACATATCTTTTTTCAATCAATGTATTTGCAACTTCTTGGAAGCCACAAAAAAATTTAGTTAATATTCTTTCCTATTTCTAATATTGAATCTGTGCCTTATGGTGAATTCGGGTGGTCGCCTCTCTCCCCTGGCCTTGATTCAGCAGAGCACACCCGTTTCGTCGCCAGAGCTACTCGGGATCGTTTTCAACCAATCACAACTGCTGGGTTCAGGGCACTCTGACATTCTCAGACCAGTCATGGAAGTAAAACTTCTTATTTTTAATAATGCAATGAAAAAAAGAAAAGATTTTACAGTGTATGATGGACGAGTAAGCAAAATTTACGCTCGCAACATGATGAAATAACGGATGTGACGTAAATTGTTTTTCAGATCGGCATGTGAAAAACAAACAAAGAACAGCAGTATGCGAATTGACTTTTGCAGAACAGAACGAAAGCCAATGCTTGGAAAGAGTTGTCAACTCATCGCGTTTTCGACAGTGAACGCGCTGCGATAGCGGTCATGCGTATGGCAGAGCAGGCAAATATAAAATGATTAATAAACCACATTTTTCTCACGGCGAAATATTGTGCAAGCAGGATATAATACATATCGCCATGTGACACAAATGACTGTGCATTATATTCGGCTTTCCCTTTATTTTACAACACAAACCTTTAAATACACTTTTACGAAACCTGAAAATTTCTTGAAGCGACCACAAAACCCGGTAAAACAGTGGCGAGCTCTGCGGGCTGTTTCGTCGTCGGATAGGCTCAGCGGAATCACGGCCGCGAGATTTATCATCTCGTAAAAGCACTGGGAATACTTCACACGTCGACTTTTCCTGTTATGGTCACAAACAAACGTCGTCCCATCCGTTTTAATCCTTGCACCGTCGAATGCAGAAGCACTTTGTAGAACCAGATATCAATCGCCGTCATACCGTACCCCGCACACCACCACAGACCACTGCCGGCCATCATCAACAAAACCACGTGATCCCCGTCCAAGTACCACATGACACCGACGGCTACAGACGGAGTGCTAGAGAGCGCTCAGAGAGGAAGAGGCGCCCTCGGAATGAACCAGCCGATCAGGCCACAGCACTCTCTTTCCACCAACCGATCTCGCGCGCTCTGAAAAGAGCGCTGAAGAGCGCTCAGAAAGAACCACGTGAATTCGCCATTAGATAACGCACTACTTTGAATATATTTGGTACGCATCGGTTTGAACGGCACGTGACCGTGGAAAAGAGGCTGAGCGCGCCTGAAACTGGGCAATCCTCGACCGGCGGTTTTCGGGCAGAAAGAATATGAATTCCGAGCCGCAAATTGCGTACACGTTTTAATAACATTGTTGTCGCCATTCTTTCACTTTATGCTTGAAATAATTCCGACAACATTATAAGCGACCGTTTCTCAAGGATAGTGCGTAGATTTGACCTCGCAAATACTGCAAAACCTTCAGTCTAGTCACACGCAGGTCGGAATCGCGTTCCAGGGCCACCCAATCGATGGTGCCAAATTTAGACGATTGCTTTATATAGCATTCCACACATTATAGGATTTGGAAGAGAAAGGTTGCCAGTCATTTCGTTGTAGTGCAAAGGCCCACAAGATTTGCGTGCGCGGTGGGGCCCACGGGCATGCCTCCGGTTCCCTTGCAGGTGCTGCAGCACGTGCGGCTGCCTCTGCTCAGCCCCAAGTTCTTGGTGGGCACGGTGGGCTCGGACCTGCTGATCAAAAGCGACGAGGTGTGTCGAGACCTGGTGGACGAGGCCAAGAACTACCTGCTGCTGCCTCAGGAGCGGCCCCTCATGCAGGGTCCCCGCACCCGGCCCCGCAAGCCCGTCCGCCGGGGGGAGGTGCTCTTCGCCGGTAAGCGAGGGAACGCCGGGGCGGACGACCGCCGAAAGAAACGCAGGGCCTGTGAAGGCCTGCTAGAGATGCAAGAGGTTGTGCACACCATACTGGCACCGTAATGCAAGACTGCATTTGTAATACATACCTCCACTGGAATACTCACGAGGGAAAGAAGTTTGGCTCGACGTGTGGCGTCGTCTTATGCAGAATTTTCGCAACTCCGAGATGGCCCACCACCATAGTCGTTCGACTTGATCTCAAGCTCGATCGTCCAAACGCACTGCCGTTCGACGATGCGATAGTCTTGCCCGATCGTTCACTGTTGTTGCTCTTTTCAACCATTCGTGGGGTCGACTGGTAGCCGACCTAGGCGCCTCCTTTTCACTGTCCCGGGGTTATGGTCTTCACGCAATATCAGCTTCTTTAAATTTCAGATTCTAGTTGCTCGAGCCGGAATCAAATAATTTTGCACGTGCCAGCGCCATCAGCGAACGTCCCAGAATTACGTGATTCTGAAGATTCTCACCCTCCAGTCAAGCTGACCAGGCGCACATGCATTTGGCAGAAGTGAAAAAAAGGAAGGGAATGGAAGTGTGCGCAGCTGTGGCGGCTGGCACTGCGCATTAGTAGCACACGACGAAACAGGTTGTACACAGTCAGTGCAATCGAGGTTCCCAGCACCGCATGAGGGCTTGCACTACTTTGTTAACGGGCCCATCAAACTGTTACCCCTTCGAGTGCAAGCCAGCAGTTCTCAAACTTGGGTTTGTGCTGTACATTCAGGGGTCCCACAGGGTACACGTGGGATTTTATGAGCACTTTAAGTTTCTTGACACTTACTGCATGGAAAGACCCACCGGTCAGGAAATAATTCACTCATGGATGCTTTTTTTTTTTCGAGGAAAAAGAGCCCCCCGCCTCTTACTAAAATGAGGACGATACTGCATCATGAATAAGTGTGATGAGCAACTGCTTTGCAGATAGCGAAAAAACATGCTTTTGGGAGAACGTTGGCAGTTCTTGGAAGGGCAAGGTTCTTGCATCATCAAAGTTTTGAGGGCCCCTTTCAGATTAATGCCCCACAATGCATTCAGGGACAGATACAGCTGTTTTCAGAGGGGGAATCTGAGTACCAAATACATGAGGAACCGCCCCCCCCCCCCCCCCCTTTTTTTGCCTACTCTAAAATTTTACACATGCGGAATTTAAAAAGGGGGTCAGGACAACTGGACACCCCCCCCTCTCAATCTGCCACTGAATGCATTTATGTTTCTCTTTCAAGTAGCAACAAATGCTCTAATATGTGAGGCCCATGCCTCGCAGCCCTGGGAAGCAAACAGTGGCGCAGCAATCGAATGACTGGCTCTTGGAAGTAATTGGTGGCGAAGCACTCACTTTTGTGCACAACAACGGTTGTCAGTACTTGTAAGAAATTCAGAGCATAGATTTTTATCAAGGGGCTTTATTTCAGATATTGGATATGGTTCCCAAGGTGAAGAGAAGGCTTGGTGTTCCAGACACAAACTCCCTCTTCTTCCTTCCAGTGGGTGGTTGGTGCAGTGGAGATGCTATTGCCAGTGTGGAGCGGTATGATCCCCAGGCCAACGAATGGCGCATGGTGGCACCAATGAGCAAGCGCCGCTGTGGCGTCGGTGTCGCTGTGCTCAACGACCTCTTGTATGCGGTCGGAGGTCACGACGGCCAGTCTTACCTCAACAGCATTGAACGGTGCGCGAGTATTTCTTCAAAATTTGTTCTTGGCAATCCTATGGATTAATGAATCATGCAGTCAAACACATTTATGATGATCGCTTTACACAGAAATGCCCGTTTCATAAAAGAAAGCCAAACTCCTGACTTGTTTTCTCGTAATGTCAATGTGTAAAGCTATACAAGGGTGCAATATCTGCTGCACCAAAAGTGTTGGTAGTTATTTTTTTCGGTGCATCGCGAGACCTGTCTGGATGCTCCGGTAAACACAGGAGGTTGAAGCATTCCTTGGTGATACCACAACATAAATGAACCTGGGGCTGTAGTCTAGCAAATGAAAGATGCAAGAAGTAGAAGAGACAAAAAAAAAGGGGGGATGGACATTGTCTTGATTGGGAGAATTAAACATTCAAATTTCCTTATCCTGGTCTGGGGTAAATTTGCATCATGGTTAGCTTCTCCATCAGCTGGTCTGCACTCTGTTGCTTTTTTCTCAGTAATAGTCTAAGTAGTGGGTGCCAACAAAATGTGCTACTTGAGCTTCACACTTACGTCACACTGATGGCAGTATACACGAGGATTCAAAATAGCCACGTGAGCCGAGGGGCAGTCTGTGCTAAACAAAAGAATTCCGACCTACAGGTACGATCCCCAGACGAACCAGTGGTCAAGCGACGTGGCCCCAACAAGTTCTTGTCGCACGAGCGTGGGTGTGGCCGTGCTCGACGGCTACCTGTACGCAGTGGGTGGCCAGGACGGAGTTTCTTGCCTCAACTTTGTCGAAAGGTATGCCGCTCTAATTGAACATGTCGGCGTTCATTTCGAGTCTCACGTCGTCGAGAGTTTGGTTTCAATAGACCTTATTCAGATTCGCCCGCCATCTTTCGGACGTGGCGCCGACCTTCCTTTCGACGCCATCTTTGAGGCGACTGGCAAAGCGTTGTGGCCGTTTGCGACGTGTGAAAGCGACGCGCAGTGTCCGCACGACTGCTCTGTTGTTCCGCTACGTTATTCAACGAGGAAATAAAATGAAAAACAATCGATGTAAAGATTTGGATTGTAAGTCAAAGGTATTATTGCCAACGTAAAACAGCCGTAGTGCTTTCCTGTACTATTCATGCTCCTAAAAAAAATCACCCGCGCGTTAGTGTTGTGTGTTTTTATGGGGCTCGTAATCTCTTCTTAATATATGACACTTCCCACAATGGCATGAAGGGCTCATGATATTTGTATGTAACATCAGCGACCACCTATTATTTTATGTAATTTTTTGGGAGCTTGGATGTTGGCTAGCATCGCAGCTTCGCTCGTGCAGAGCAATGGCGAGGTCCAGTCACCATCACTCGGATAGTGAAGAAAGATATAAAACGCAGGCGAGCTGGTGAATGACATTCATAGTAACCCTGAAACGTAGGAACAATAAAAAAACTACGCTGAAGATCTACACTAGCATACTCACACAAGCGTATGCGAGGCACACAAGCGTAGAAGGAAATGACCGGCGTGTCGCCGTGGTGTAAGTTTTCCTTTTATAATCATAATATATACTTGTGCATATATACTTCGTTGTTCTGTCTGTTTTCTTATTGTTCCTACGTCGCAGGGTTACTATGAATATAACTCAGATGCACTGTTTTACGCTTGTTGTATTCTTCTCACTCAAGAAGGTCTTTTACGCCTGATTGAAGGTATGATACAAAGTACAGAAGAGCCCATGCTCTTCTGCACTTTATGTGCGAAACTTCGTTTCGCACATAAATAATAAAGACAACGGTGCTAAAAAGCAAAGGTGAACGCTTGCTTACTTTACTCTGTATTATTATCACGCGAGTCTTACATTTCGAGAAACATTTTCGAGATGTAGACAAAAGCATAAAAGCGGGCTCTTGGCTGCTAACCTGGACCTGTCGGCGAGTCGCACTTGTTTTCTTCCCAACAGATTGGGTTTGTGCTGCGGGAGAAGCCTTCTTATTTGTAGCTAATCCTGCAAGAAACCACTTCTATGAGCACTGGTCATATTCTATTGCGAGTTATAACTCGCAATAGAATATTGCGGTCACATAGAGTCTCAGAGTTAAATGTGCTCCTCCTGGTAGCGCGGTCACATAAAGTTAAATTTCATGCTAAAACTCTATGTGACCGCGCTACCAGGAGGAGCACATTAAAATGTTGCTAACATTTATTCATGCATTTTCTCTAAAGGGGCCGAAGAGTATATATGCCCAAGTATTGAATTTATTTGTTAGTATTATTATTATGATTATAAAAGAAAAATGTTCCGGCTTTCAGTAAAATATATATTTTTTTTAACACATTATATTCTGTGCATACTTGCACCGCAGCGACACGCCGGTCATTTCCTTTCACACTTGTGTGCCTCGCATATGCTTGTGCAAGTATGCTAGTGTAGATCTTCAGCATAGTTTTTATTTTTTAGCTGCAATAAAAATACTATTATTGTAAACTCGTGCTGCATCACACGCACTTCTTATAATGATGTTTTGAGCTACCATTCGGTGATCTCTCCAAGGAACGGAATAAAAATATATGTAATAAGTTTAATTTGTGTTTTCGTTTTTTGTGCGTGTGTGTGTGTAAAACCATATCTGCAATATTTCTCAGGTTAAGACAATGGGGAACCAAGATTTAACGTTCATAGCCCCCATCGTAGAACTCTGCATTTCGGGTCTGCACACGCTGGGTCAAGGCGCCCTCGGTGAAGAACTGCTCGCATTCCTTAGACCCGCAGCCACGAATGCCAAATAAAAACAAACTGTCACACAGGGGCTGATGGCCTGCTAAATATATCATACAAATTGTCCTAGTGTGAACAGGCATAATCAGCTGACCTGGCAAGTTAACGTACGATTTTAAAACAAGTGCATAAGTCAGCCTGCTCTAATGCTGGAATGAAGCTAATTTTTATAAAAAGGGATGCTTGGTGAAACCACTGAAAACAAACTTATTCACAAACGGCTGACACCAATATAAAAAAAAAAAAAAAGCAACATGCACGAAACCTGCGCGGGGAGAGGGGTTCATACTGTGGCGGCGACGGGGACGGTGAAGAAGCCTCAAAGATGGCGCCGAGTCTCTGATAGTACCCGTGGCTGCCAAGAGGTGGCGCTAATAATGAATAAGGTCTATTGGCGTCGGCATCTGCAGTGGCCATGCTATTATAAAAAGTTTGAGATCTACACTTCGGTTGTGTGGTTCGTATTGCAGCTAAATCCCCTATCACCCATAAGTTTTTTCAAGCCCCTCCAGCGCCGAGAGCACACCCCCAATTCCGCTCTGCTTGTCGTTACGCCCAATTGCGAGAAACCGCACGACATGCCTGCTGCACCAGATCAATTTGGGTGGCTCGTAGCATCTGCCGTAGTCCACTTTATGGTGAAATGGAGCATTGCTAAACTCCTCATGACCCTTACAAATATGTCTCAGGTTTGGGCTCTAGAAAAGCGACTGCACCGCGAAAGAGTGAAACTCTGGAGCTGTGTGCTACGCAAGTGCCTCAAAATGCCGTCACCGAGGAGCCCAATGTGCAAGAGGTTTTTTTCTTCCCCAGGTACGACCCCCAGACAAACCGGTGGACCAAGGTGGCGCCAATGAGCACCAAGCGGCTGGGCGTGGCAGTGGCCGTGCTGGGAAGCTACCTCTACGCCATGGGGGGCTCCGACGGCACATCCCCACTCAACACAGGTGCTCTTAGGTCCCCCTGGTTTATGCTGTAGCATGTTGAGCATGTGCCTGTGTCGCAACAAGCGGCCGCCATTTACTTAAAACATTTGAAATATGGGCGATGAACGTTTTGAACACTCAACCCAGCAAACTCTTGTGCCCGCCGAGCCAGCAGAGATGCTCCTCCGCGTCACCTGCTTTTCCGAGAAGCCGGTGCTAAGTCGTGAAGCCTTATGTGCACGCGTCTGTGCTAGGTGGTAAAGATCGCCGCGAGAGCACCGGCACAGAGTAGGCTTGTTTGACGAGAGCACCGAAGCTGCTGCCAAATTAAGAGCTCCCCCAGACTCCTTACTACTGCTGTACCGTCCCGTCGGATGAAATCGGGGCCTACCCTACCATGTGCCTCTTCCGCTTTTTCTGCTCTCGTACCGAACAAGCGCCCGTAGCATGTTGAGCATGTGCCTGTGTCGCAACAAGCGGCCGCCATTTACTTAAACATTTGAAATATGGGTGATGAACGTATGGAACACTCAACCCAGCAAACTCTTGTGCCCGCCGAGCCAGCAGAGATGCTCCTCCGCGTCACCTGCTTTTCCGAGAAGCCGGTGCTAAGTCGTGAAGCCTTATGTGCACGCGTCTGTGCTAGGTGGTAAAGCTCGCCGCGAGAGCACCGGCACAGAGTAGGCTTGTTTGACGAGAGCACCGAAGCTGCTGCCAAATTAAGAGCTCCCCCAGACTCCTTACTACTGCTGTACCGTCCCGTCGGATGAAATCGGGGCCTACCCTACCATGTGCCTCTTCCGCTTTTTCTGCTCTCGTACCGAACAAGCGCCCGTAGCATGTTGAGCATGTGCCTGTGTCGCAACAAGCGGCCGCCATTTACTTAAACATTTGAAATATGGGCGATGAACGTATTGAACACTCAACCCAGCAAACTCTTGTGCCCGCCGAGCAGTCTTGTACACGTTACTCAAAAAAAGTAATCGATTACAATTACTATTACTCTTGGCTAAAAAGTATTCGATTAGATTACTTGATTACTCCACGGCAAAAGTAATTGGACATTACTTAAAGAAGTAATCGTTACTTTTCCGATTACTTTATTGTGCTAAAACACATCTTTAGCGCTCATAACAATGAACTACTTCCAACCTATATTTCACATTTTCACAAGTATTGAAGAAGAAAAACTGGCTCCCTCTTCGTGGTTGTTGCACCTTCACGATACGGACACAAGCATCGAATTTTTTTTAAGACGTTTAATGATTTGGGCGTTCGCCAGTGTGTGTGTGTGTGTAGGGGGGGGGGGGGGGGGGCGGGGGCGGAGGGGGTTCTAGATCTTGTTAAGCTTGAGCAAGGGTTGTCGCTCAAAGTTTGCGTCGCTCGTTTTATTATTCACGTGTGGATGAGCTCGCATGTGATACAAAAGAGCAGCAGCTCCAGGATTTGAAACGGATCATGTGTAGTATCCATTAGTGGAAGAGATCGCCCCGACCACTTCTCAACTCGAAACATTGCTTGTCACAAAGACCACACAAGGGAAATGGGGAAATATGTCAACTGCCTTTGATGCCAACTGCCTCAAACTTTGCCCTGAATGACCTTTGTCACGCACTGTGGCTTCCCTGCAGCTTCCCACTCGCAGTCCCAGCTCGAAAAAAGAAAAACGGACATTCCACAGAAACTGTACATAGAAAGAGATTGACCTCGCTTCCTACAGCTCCGCAAAAATCTTTCATTTTTTCGTCCAAAAAAAAAAAAGAAGCAAATTTTATTTTTGTAATTTCATAAAAAAAAAAGGCGTGTGCCGGGGGGGGGGGGTTCCGTGGACAAATTGTAACGATTACAAGTAATTTTATTACTTCAAAAAGTAATCAGATTACTCTTGTGATTACTGCCTAATAAAAGTAATCAACTGATTACAAAATTACTCCAAAAAGTAATCGATTACAAGTAATTTGATTACTTGTAATGCGTACGGTACAAGTCTGCCGCCGAGCCAGCAGAGATGCTCCTCCGCGTCACCTGCTTTTCCGAGAAGCCGTTGCTAAGTCGTGAAGCCTTATGTGCACGCGTCTGTGCTAGGTGGTAAAGCTCGCCGCGAGAGCACCGGCACAGAGTAGGCTTGTTTGACGAGAGCACCGAAGCTGCTGCCAAATTAAGAGCTCCCCCAGACTCCTTACTACTGCTGTACGGTCCCGTCGGATGAAATCGGGGCCTACCCTACCATGTGCCTCTTCCGCTTTTTCTGCTCTCGTACCGAACAAGCGCCCAACCCCATTTTCGCCCGACCCCATTTTCGCCCGACCATCTCCAACTTTCGAGCGGGTGGGTGCTCAGCATTTTTTGTTATCAATCAAAAAATGAGAATTGCATACACGTCATTCACATATTGTGCCAAAGTATGAATAAGCTTTTTGATGACACACCTATAAACAATGATCAAAGTCCCGACGGCGCAACTATTTTTTAACGGTGCGCAGTTGCTTAGTTAGGTGCAGGTGAATCCGAGGACTATTCCGCGTGCCTCAATTTCAGTCAAATTTCACCAACTTCACGCACAAATCGGTCAAACACATTACAAAACGAAGCTTTCCTTTAGCTTTTGATCCTTGAGGCTCTGACAGAACGCGCACTCTAAAAATCTCGAGGCTCCATCGAAAAGGTCCGAAATTGTGGCTTACATTTCTACAATGTGGAATCGGCTCCCGATTTTCCGGGAGAGTTTGAAGCCTCTATATGCTCCCACCCTCTATTTTTCTTGTCCGGCAGTGGAGCGCTACGACCCACGGACCAACCGCTGGAGCTCAATTGCGTCCATGGGCACGAGGCGCAAGCATCTGGGCTGTGCGGTGTACAGCAACATGATCTACGCCGTCGGGGGTCGGGACGACACCACCGAGCTGAGCAGCGCCGAGCGTTACAACCCGCAGCTCAACCAGTGGCAGCCCATCGTGGCCATGACCTCTCGGCGCTCAGGGGTGCGTTGCCAGCGCTTTCTTTTCTTTGATTCAGCACCTGCCTTGCACTTTAAGATTTCCTTTGCATTACTATACTCGGCAATGGCTTTCTGTAGCAGTTTAGACAAGCGTGCATGCACCACTTTCATGGGCACTCGAGCACACACTCCCATACTGCCAACTTCATGGCCACAGAAAATTGTCCCCTAGCATAGCCGATTACGTAATTTGGAGCATACAGCTTACAATGTATGGACCTCTTGGCCAGCTTACCTCAAACCATATCCTGCCATGCAAATACTGTAAAACCCTTTATTTTTGCGGCCCCTATTTTTCGTGAATGGGTCACAGAGCACATAATCACAGCCACTAAATTTCGTGAATTCCAGGCGCCTGCATTGAAACTCTTAAGAATTGAAAATTTTGCGTGCTCTTAACGTTTTTGCAAATTTTTCAATTCGCGCGCAAAAATTAGGGGCTTGCAAACATTAAGGGTTTTACAGTATTTAATATTTAGGTTTTTTTTTTTGTATTCCGTCCATCTTCGGATTGAGGATTGGTTATTCGGCCATTTTTAAATATTCAAATAATGAGTATTGGGACAATTTTTGGCAATCACACGCATTGCAATGTAGTGGTTCCTCCAGATGCTTTTATTCAGTATTGCCCTCATGCACCTCGTGTCCACCAAGTGTATGTGATCAGTGTTTTTATGTTGCCACTGTTGTACATTACAGCAATTTTCCTTTTTTTTTTTTTTGTGCCATTTTTTGTTTGCACAGAGAATAAACAATGTACTATGCGTGTGTAAGGAAAGACAATATGATTTATTTTTAGTATAATTTAATTCTAATCTGAGAAACAGATAGTACTATATCTTTTATTTAAAAAAGCAGTGCTGGTATGTACTATTGGTGAAGCTTCAAAATATTTGTGCTTGCATAGTGTAAAACCCCATCAAATTTGACAAAACAAATAATTTGCTTCCTGTGGACGTCAATAGGCTTTGCTGCGTTGAACTGTTTGTGTCCGATTTCGAGTTGTCTTCCGCCAACACTTTTCCTAGGTGGGCCTGGCAGTGGTGAACGGACTGCTGTACGCCGTGGGCGGGTTTGATGGCACCACTTACCTGAAGACCATTGAAGTCTATGACCCGGAACAGAATCAGTGGAAGCTGTGCGGAAGCATGAACTACAGGCGCCTCGGCGGCGGGGTGGGAGTGGTCAGGCTCCCGCAGCATGAGGCACACTACTGGTGAAAAAGTAGGGCTGCATATTCCCGTGGGACCTTATTGTTTTCACGAAACCATGCACATTCACAAGGACTCGTGTTCTTAGATTCTTTCCGCATCCTCAGCGCGAGTGTTGAACCAACTGGGACATGTCATCGGACGCTCAACCACACCAGATTAAAAGTGGTTTGCAGGTTAAAAGAAATACCGAGGATGACCGTGCATGTCTGCGATTCTTAAAAAGATTGTCAAAACCCGGGCATTTCGGCTGCTATGCACAAGCTCGTGCTGTAACCATTATGAGCACCGTTCCTATCTATACTGTTTCCTCGCGTGTGTCGGGGTTTCATAGAAGCTGCTGTTTTTGTGTGCATGTATCCTATTAGTGTAACACATTGACCAACCGGTTAGAAGGCGTACGGGCTGATCCTTCTTTTCACTCTATTGTACTATTTCCAAGTTTACATTGAGGAAAGGCTTCAATACAAGCTTCACTCATTGATGGATTGAAGAAACTGCCTACGTGTCAAATATACCCATACGCCACTGATTTTTGTTGCTAGCTCCTGTTTGAACACTTATCTTACAAAGACCATTCATTCCTTGTGATTCTAGCAAGCCCTGTTTGTATTGTGTGTGGTATCTTTCTGTATATATATATTGAGGTAAATACCTTAACTATATGTACTATAGATGTGCGACTTGCAGTGGTGCGATGGGTAATGCAGCAATATGCGTCCTAGTTGTACAGATACTATACCGGTCCCTTTCTGAGACGCTGTACATATGAAGACCAATCAAAGCACAAAAATGAATTTCTCCGAGTGTGTACGACTCCTCCATGTGCCAAGAAGAAGGAGCAACTCCTTCTCAAACTTGCAATGGATTCATGTACTACTACAGATTGCCCAAATAAACTTTTTTTATGCCTCCGTGAACCCCCCCGCTTGGTGTTACACTGACTGCGTGAAAGACTGGAAAAAAAGTTTTATTGACAGCTTGGAGACGAAGTTTTATGCATACAAGCATCTGGTACAAAGACCCCTTGCACAACAGCCAGCACTGGTTCTTTCTACAAACAGTAGAGCATAACCCTCGCTCAACTCTAGGAAGATCAAATCAAAGGTTCGAGAGAATGATCAAAACAGCATGCAAAGGGAAATTAATTCAACTTGTTTTTCTAGTAGTACAACAGATGCCTTCCCTCTAAGCGTCGCTCTCAAAACTGATGCCTTTTACTATCGCCCTACTACAGTCATGTTCCAAGTGACTCGGTAGTTGCCCAAGTCACTGGTGACTTGGACAGCCACACAGTTCTACTGCAGCATGCCCTTGTAGGAAAAACATGTTCTTAAAGCATATTCATTTATGTTGCGTGCAGCAACTGATTACGATACCACAATCAGGAGATGAACCATACGAAAGATGCAGCTGATCAAACTAACATGAATATTTAATGCTTACTACTTGCATGACTGTACCCAAAGCAAACAGGGAAGGTTATGGGTTTCCCTAGGTACTACTACCAAAAACTGCCCTGCTATGCTACTTTAGCTGACTCGCTTGCTTGCTAAAGGCACAGAGCAGTTCACAATATGTAAACTAGATAAGTGACAGCTGCCAAGCATTAGTCTGGTTTTCCAACAAGCATCAGCTTTACCAGAGCAGGCATGGTGTTAGAATTTAATGCACTTGTTTCTTGGTCCTGCATAGCACACCGTAGCCATGCTGCTTTGCAACTATGAGCAAGATGCCAAGACTACTTTCTTCCCAATATGCAATGCATGGGAACTATTTTTAATGCAGGCACTTGCAAGGTATACCGGGTGTTTCAGCGAAGGCTTTCAAAAATCGGTAAAAATAGGGTGGCTGAGAAGAGATTAACTCTTTCTGGGAACAAACTGCCAGACATGGCAGACATGAAGGATTGCAAAAACCACTCTAATTAGCTAAATATTTAACTAAGATTTACTAATGAGCATTTTAATTAGTAAGAATAAACATGGTTCAAATGCAAACCTTCCTAAATATTTTCAAAAACCACTAAATGAACTCAGTTTAGAGAGGGCAGCATTTTACAGTGTTCCGAAAAACTCTGCACTCGTCGAATGCGGAACGCCGGCATCTGGCGTTTGGCTTTCGCATTGAAACGCGTTCGATGAGTGCAGTGGCGACAAAGGCAGAAAGTGTTAGGTCTACCCACTCATCGCTCCAATCGGAGCTCGGCATTCTGATGTCCCCGCGCGCTCTTATTTCCTCCACCCCCTCAGTTTCTCGGTGCACATCTTTCTAAAATAAGACGATTTAATGGTTTTCGATGATGCATAGCAAATTTCTCATTAAAATTGTACGTTAATTTGTAGTTATTAAAAAGTTAATTAGTATATTTTAGTTTATTATATAGCTCGTTAGTGTGTGTTTTGCAATTCCTGACGTCCGCCGTGGCTAGCAGTTGTTCCCAGGAAGATTTTTTTGTTTTCTCAACCACCCTATCTTTAAATATTTTCGAAACCCTTCGTTGGAACATTCTATATAGTTCAAAGGCACTCAAGCCGATTCCACTCCCAGAATAAATGTCAACATTAATTTTTATAATTTCACTGACATGCGAATCGGAGATTCCTTTCACAGAAAAACAAATTAATGCTGGCACACCGACTTATAATAAACATCCAACGTAAACAAACAATTCAGTGTATGTTACCTGAATCATGGTGACTGAGTATAAAGTGGCACTGACACCTGATAACAAACGACAAAAAGTATATTATCTGAGAACCAGTTTCAAACTAGATTAACATGTTGTTTTTTTTTCCCTTAATTCATGAAACCCTGCATACAAGCGACTGGCAGTCCCCCACCTTGTCACTAACCCATACTGCAGGAAAACACCTAGGGAAAAGCACCCTCTCTAGATCAACCATAGTGAGAAGATCAAGTATGGCTATTGCATGCCAAATATTGGTTAAGCTACATCGCCCTAACATACATTCTGCCTCAGAAAGCACAATAAATTGCTTTTAAATTGCAGGTATACAAAGTCCAAATGATTCCTATTAGTCTTGCCTGCAACAGTGTTCTACTATAATTACTTGCTCACTTTGATATCAAATGCCAAAATTGTCATTAACAAAAATGTGACATAACAGCCAGTCCTACTATATAAGAGATTCGCTCTGCCTAAGAAAACATTTGAAATTAGTAATACTGTATGCTGACACAATGCTGTAACAAAAGATATGACTAACTTTACATATCAAACATGGTCACTGAGGATCAATAAGTAAGGCAAACTTCTACACAACACAGCAACATTATTTGTTAATGGAGTTTTTACATCATCTACATTCTGCACAAAATACAGTCAACTCATTCATTCAAACTCTCTTAATTCAAACTTGTGGATAATTCAAACTAACACGCAGGTCCCATCCTATGCGTCTCTATGGGAGGAAACTCCCGGTAATTCAAACTTTGCTTTATTCAAACAAATTTTCGGTCCCCCTCAAGTTTGAATTAACGAGATTCGACTGTATCTGGTTTGATGTATGGAATTATCAAACTTTATCAGAAGGGAATGACTAATTTGTAACTACTTGAATCCCTAAATTCATTATGTGGCAATGTATCTAAGCAAAGCATCACAGGTACAAGCTAGAAGGAACAATGGTGAGAAGCAGCTGCAATAGCTCATTTCAGCAAGGAGAAATTATGTAAATGAATAGTGCTCTTGAAATTGCAGTCTTATGTACTTGATGTGCGTTCCTCCAAATATACAATAAATTCGGCACTAAAAGAACAACTGCAAAATCCTCAATTTGCATGACCCCAGAGTTCATAAGCTCAGTCAGCTGTACACATTGCATCTCCAAGAGCTCGCAACTTGCAGGTCACCTTTTCTGGTTAGAGAAACTTTTTAGACTCAAACAATTACAATGTTTAAGTCTTAAATGCTGCGACTTTAATGGTTTGTAAAACATGTAATGTAAAAAATAAATTCAAATTAATGATGACACTGAAGCTACATGAAATACAGTTCTTGTGTGTCCTGAATCTCCTTACGGACATGAAAATGTTTCTCCCGTGCAATTGAAAATCAAAAGATGGGAACCAACTGCTTACGGAGTCGTTTAACTTAGCTAGAATTATTAATAACAATTCGACGCACATTGACAGTAGTTAGTGCCCATCCCTGTGGAAACATCACCCTTCACATTACGACACACACTTGACTGGCCTTCAGGCTCTGTCGTATTTCAAGAGCCGCAGCTCTTCTTCTGACAGCTGCAAAGGGAACAATGATGTGCATCAATACACCTAAAAATCTTAACATACAGCGAGAGCCAAGTGGATATGACCCACTTTGAATGAATCTCAGAAATCAGTTTCACGTGCTCAGACACTCATTAGGCACAGACATGTGGCTGGGTGGTGCATTTGTTGTTTTTTTATCGCAGAGAAAACACTCTTGAATTAAGAGTTACAGCCAAAAACCCTAATTTTTCTATAGGACAACACAAAGCTAAGCCTTTTTCGTGTGACTGAGAAAATGTTCTTGTGGACGTATGGGACACTTGACCAATAAAAAAAACAAAAAAAAATACAGTGAAGAAAATTAATTAAATTCGCCCTCAACCCCTGTTTTGTCCAAAAAAAACACTCAATGGCCCGCAAGGACTTTTTTTTTTTTTTAAACGTAAAAAAGTTGTACTGTTATAGGAAAACTGTTTTTTATTTGTAACTTATGATAGAGGTAAATTTTCACCCCAAAATTTTCCCAAAATAAATGTCATACCTTTGGGGTAAATGACAGTGTCGGAGCTTGCGAAGCTGCTTTTCAATGTTTATTTAAGGTACGTTCAATCCGTTTGACCCTAGCTGTAGGTGGCCAATCCCCCTAAATTTGTCTTAGCTTACAGACAGTCATGCCTTTTCAAAAAACAAACAACATGCTGAGCAGCGTGCAAAAATATATAAATAAATGCAGTACAGGCTAAAAAATATTACACAAAAATATATTCTACTATAGTCGGGTTTTGTTTGTGGGACACAAAAAACAAGACTTATTTGACCCAAGGTCGCTCGAGCTTCTAGCTGCAATGAACGGTAAAATTCACACGTTGAAGTGTACCAAAGATAGGTGAGCACATACCAAATCATGCCAGAATTTGCCACATGCAGTGAACATATGCAGAGAGTGGGGTAAGGTTACCATACCTTCCAGATAAATCTCCCTGTTAAACAAGCCTGCAGCTAGTCGCGTGCTGAAATTGATTATCAACCACGTATGTCAGACTGAAATGGTAAACTCTGTTTTTCTTTCGGCAAATGGCAAATGGAGCTAAATTACAAAAAGATTTTGGCCGGCTGTCGTGCTTACTTGTCTCTTCCTGCTCTTATCTGTGCTTCGTATAGGCCATAAACGGGTCGATGGTCAGATGTCTGTATGACTGTGACGGCATTGTAACAGACGCACTCAATGTGGCCCTTCCGCTTGCTACGGAACAGTACGCGATCCTGAAAAGTAAGGTTTTAAATCCCGATTGGTGTTGGTCCAAAACAGAGAAATTAATTAGATGAGCAAAACAGACATCAGCGCAACTATGAAGGCAGGTTTAAGAGGCAGATACAGTGTAGATAATTTGTGATCTTGTCCAAATCAGTTGCCCTCCATTGCTCGAAGCAAACTGATTCATGCAGGCAAAAGGGCTTCTTCTGGTCAGTGGCATAGTTGGGTAAGAGGTTGTTCTACGCCTCAGAATCACTGTGCCAAACCACACCATGCAGACGGACGATGTGAGGCAAATACTGTAAACGACATATTTTTCGCAGGCTCAATATTTCGCAATTTAGGTCAAAGCTGAAATTCTGGAATAATTGCGGGTTCCAATTTTCGCGACGAGGTAGGATCTCAATGTAAATTCCAATCTTTTTATATATTACCAGAATTGTTCGCGGGACCTATTTTTGCGAATTGTGAGCGATTCGCGGAAAATTAAGTATTTACAGTAGACCGAATTCTTGTTCAAAGCGTCGCAAGAAAAAACTTTCTCGACAAGCCGGCTTTTTTCATCCAATGCTGAGAGCGGACGTGACGTGCAAGTGCTTGGCACATCTTACTAATCGATAAATCAAACCAAGAAACCCACTCACAGTGTAGGACGGCACCCTCAGCTTGACACCATCAAAGAGACTGAAGCCCACCTGGAATTTGTAAGTTGGACCAAACCCAATTCCTGCCTCTTGAAAGCCAAAGAATGCTTGGCCTGCGGGTACAACCAGCAACACAAGAACAGACCAATTCAGCAGCAAAGGATCACTTGCAACTGAATGGACAAACCTTCGCTCATGGCGCTCTTTAGCTGGTCGAACCTGAGCAGGCTCTCGTAGACGGCTTTTCTGTCAAAAGCTGGATCACGCAGCAGGTTAACAACGGTCTCACGTTCGTTCATGATCCGAAAATTGAGGTCCCCGCACCAGAATACGAGATCAAACCTTGCAGTCACATCTGTAACGAATGAAAACTGAGGAAAGCTCTGAGAATGCTGTCTTCGTATATACCTTTGCTTTGGTATTGAAGCTTAAGCTGTGCCTGTTTGGGAAGGTCGATCTGATGGCAGATTCTCTCATAGTCTTGAATTCTTTCCTTGAACTTCTTGTCGTGTGCTACGAGAAAATGTAATACAGTAGATGTAAAATACATCATTGGTTGTCATTACGTTTAGTGACCGAGAGGTTTAGACAAAATGGTAAAGAACATGAAAATCCCATTCATAAAAGGCAAGTGCATGTATGCTCAAGGACAGCCTATGGTGCAGTGCTAACGTGGAAAGCAATGTCACCTGTGAGATGAGAATTGATGAACAGCATGGAAGACCCAAAAAACTGAAAAGCGATGGCCACAGCACCCTTCGTCTTAACCGCAGAAACGGGACGAGTTGCGTGGGTTGCCTCTTCGGGCGCTGAAAGAGAACAAGTTTTCTCATTCAGCACGAATTTACCCAAAAGAGAAGAAATTTCACATTTCTCGGAACAAAAAAAATGCACATATCAACAGCACTACGCTGAAAACGGCAGAGGAAGTGTTGGTGTGGAGGAAGCAGCTGGGAATAAATTCAGTAGCCTGCAGGGCATTACCTGAGCAAAACCACAGCAGGTCTCGTCGCAGAAAGATGGAAAGATGCAGGACACCGAGAGAGACAGAGTAGAAGAGAACGTGGGAGGGTCCCAGAGTGAACTGAAGCTTAGTCTCCCACTCTTTTCTGGCAGGATGCACGAGAGACAGAGACAACAGATGGTTAGTCACTTGAAGAAGCAAGCACAAGTCCAAAAGATTGAGGGGACAGGTATACAGAGTAGCACAGAGGTACCGTTACAACCTAACGCCAAAGAATTTTCCCAGAGTTACTAAACTCCCAGACCCATGTTGTGCCACCACAATTGATGGCTTCAGAATGGCCACCCTGTGCATTCAAATTGGATTAGACCGGGCAGAGCTGATTGTGCTGGCTTGCCAGCAGGCTGACGGGAAGACATTCTCCTTTCAAGGGCTGGATTACAGGCTATTTGATATAAGAAGTCGTAGCAAAAGCCAACACTTCATTCGCCTTCATACCTGTCGTAATTTGCACGCTGTTAGGAGCTCCCAAGGTAAACATTTTACGTGCATGCCTGGCTTTTTTCTCTTTCTTGGCTTCAAGATTGCTGACGTGATCTAACCAACAAGCTTGGTTGGCTTGATTCTTTACTTCAAACATGCTATGAAATGTGGAACTCTGAGGGCATACAGTGGTTCTATTATAACTTTCTCAGTGACATGATTTGCCTGCCCCCACCAATCTTTTTGAAAACTGTGTCTGTGTGCTGACAGTTTTGAAATATGGTCCTACCATGTTTGCTCAAGTGGTGGGAGCACTTGAGAGAGCAATGACTAGGGTTCTGCTTTCTACAGCTTTCTTTCGTTGAAGGCTGAACTTGTCATCAGTGTTGATGACAGGGGTTCAACAGATTCTGTTAGACTTCTAAGTACCTCCATGCAATGGTCAGAAAGCGAAAGTTCCCTGGTAATTTAAGGGGTTATTCTTGAAATGAATGCTCATAGGTTACTTAGTATATACCTAAGTTTTACAATTTTTGGAATTCGGGGAGAAATCGGGTTTAACCCGATTTTCCTGAAACATGTTCGGGGTGTAAAAATCGGGTAAAATCGGGTATTACCCGAAAACGAACAACCTTACTTATAAACCATATGACCATGAAGGCACTCTCATTCTAGGCGCCCCCATGATCGCCCAAGCTCGCCTTGCCGCGGTATGATCAAAACTTCTCGCGCAACTCGGCTACACCAAAGCTACTCTCACTCTCGCCCCCCGCCCTTTGACATTCCAACCTGCATGCACCTGCAGGATCGTTACGGACGACGGCGACCACGGCGAGTTCGTCCGTGTCGATCCCGTTGTTGCTGGAGCTGGTCGCAAACGGGTTTGCAGTCAAAATGATTAGTTTCTAACATCTCTGGATGAGAATCACACTCATCGCTGCTGCGATAAGTGTCAAACACTTTGACGAAGCGAGCGACACCGTAGACGTAATCGTCACGAACCGCACTCTCGAAACATGGAAGGTAATAAAAAGGTGGTTACTTGAACCAACTGGCCCAAATAAACACCTTACGTAAGGTAAACGAGAAAGCTGGGACTCGAGACGCAGAAAGGGCCAAGTCAGTGATTGCGTGCAAGGGGACATCGCACGTTAGGCGGATGATGTCACCGATCCAAGAACCCCGGCGGCCTTTGCGAACAAGGCGGCATAGAGGGTCCTGCACATATATCGATTTGTCCACAAAACTATCGAGCCTTTTTCAAAACAAATTTAGCAGCGATATAAAAACACACATTGGGTTCTAGCAGTGTAGTTATTTCATATTTTATTTTTGGCATGTCCTAAAAAATACTGGGATTTTGAAGCGATTGGCACTAACAACATTATTGTCTGCAAGTTTTGCAATGTACAAGGGTTGTTCAAGGTTGACCAGGACTTTTTGTCCAGAAACCGCTGAACAAATATGCATAGTATAATCAAACTGGTGGATGAAGTTAACGCAATCTTCGTTGAATATCGCACATCGGGAATAATGTATTTGACGCATGCACAGTAGTTCCAGCTATTGTGGCGGCAAGCAATCTGTTTGTAGCTGTAGAGCAATGGTACATGGTCGAATTTCTTATAAAGAAGAAAGTCAAACCAGATGAAATTTAAAGAACATTGCAAGCATAGTGCGGGGTATACGATCAATGCAGTGTTGGGAAGTACTTCAAGTACATAGTACTTCAAGTACTACTTCAAGTAGGTTTAGGAAACTTGTACTTTACTTGAAGTACATTCACTGAGTATGTACTTAAAGTAGTTTTTTCTAGTACTTTCCAAGGAAAGTACAATTCCAGACTTCAAAGTACATTCCCCAAATTTGGTTTTGTACAATTTGTATCACGAAATGATGGTTTGTCAGCTCCGAATAAATACTGGGAGGAATATTCCACTCTCACCAGAAACGTGAGCAGACGACGCATTGCTCCGTTTGTTCTGGGTGCGGCTTTCCCATAGCTTTTTGAACTCTAGCCACTTTTCGGTCCGTCAGCGCAAGGGAGGAGGTTTAAAATATTATGAGAACAAAATTAATTATGATGTAGCACCTGAGACTGTGGTGCGGAAGAATTAAATTTTCAAGTCTAAGTAAAAGACAACAGAGGAGAACGTCACAATGTTTTGAGACATTCTTTTTTGATTTTTCCTTCTATTTGAAAGTTCCTTAATTTTTTTGGCACCCCAATCTCAGGAGTCACATTATGATTAATTATCACCAGCTCGCTTGCACACTCACTGTTTTTTATGTTTTTTTCATTAAAAAGAGGACACTCCTCTATGAGAGGATTGCTTGCGGAAGCTACGGGGCTGGCGGCATGCTCTTTTCTAGTACATTTAACTCCCTTGGGTGCAACAATCCAGTGCAAGGGGTGCCAAATTCACAAGGGACTTCTGAATTTGGCTCCTTTCCTGAAAATAACTACTCTGTGGCAACTTGACTTTATTGAATATTCGCCGCTGCTTTTGAAAATAGGTCATGCACCCTAGTACCCCTGGGCAATGCATACCAGTTAAAAAATCACTGTATAGGGGAATGAAAGGGCATCATGAAAGATTGTGTTAAAATACTTGAACTTTACTTTGAAAGTACATTGTATTTATAGTACTTTACTTCAAGTATGTTACATCCAGTGTTTTTAATACTTTAGTTAAAGTACATCACGTCTCATTTACTTTGTACTTTACTTGAAGTACCTTTTAGATGTACTTTGCCCAACACTGGATCAAATGACAAGAGAATGAATGGTGTTAAGGGACGATACCACCCAGGAGGATCAACTTTTGCCCTTAGCTTTAAATGAATTAAGTTAATAGTACAGACCAGGGGCGGCAACTTTTTGCAGCGGTGGCCGAGTCGTCATGAAGCCGACACAAAGGGGCCGGACAACAAGTAGTGAAAGAGGGGGGGGGGAGAGAAGAAAAGCCAAAAAGGAAGTGAAGACGTCCTCTGCCCAGGTAGCTGGACAATGCCAACTGGAAATGCTCCTTGTTCTTGTCTAATCCCATTTGAGGTCAACACTGCTATGTGGTCCTTGAATGTATGTGAAAAAGCACCAGGGGGGTGGGGAGGGGGTGCTTTTTTGGATGTCATGTTGGGGGTCGCACAAAACTGTTTCGCGGGTTTTGACCCTTGGTGTAGACTGCTAGTCATGGTAAAAGGCGTAGAAAAAAGTTACAGCTCTGTACATTAATTGTGAAGGAAATTATAATAGTTCCTATTAGAAGTACACCACAATTGTTTGGTTAATCTGTCGTTAGAAATCTAATCCAATGCCTAGAAGCGTTCTTCACTAGATGCAAAGCAGAGTGCCTAAAGAGTGTGCCTGTGGAAAAAAATTTGTAAAAAATAATTTACTTCTCTAAAAGTCTTGGCTTGCTAAATCAAGCAAGTGTATATTTACAGGGTAGAAAACAAACTTCACAGGTACATGTATTATAAAATTTTAGTAAAAAAAAAGAAAAGATTGAGCCTTTTTTTTCTATTTTAAAACAATAGATTGATTAAAATGAAATTGATATTGAAAATATGGAATGACGAAAATTATGTTCGAAGTGTCTAGATGTCTGTCATTTATATTGTTGTATAGCACCAAGATGCAGAAAATAATTAATAGCAAGTTAACTATGCGGCAGAGGCAAATAAAACTTGGTGGATATCTTATTCAGATGTCGGGGGACCTAAATGTAACATTCTTCAATATCATTGTTCTTTTACAAAAAAAAGAACACTAGATGGTTAAACTAAATGCAGTGGGCACCCCCACTCTTGTTGCCTTTAATAACTGCATGGTGGCAAGACGCTCGGTTGTTGAAGTGCCCACTACAGTGATAGTTCCAGTTCATGCACACAAGGGGTCTTTAACATGATTTATACATAGTGAACAACAGAACTCACTTGTCGCTCATAGACTCTTGCACGCCAATTGCGTAGATGTCAGGGACATGTTCAATTGTCTCGGGAAGCATCAGGTCATCCAGGTTTGGTGGTGGAGCCTAGATTGGAATGAACATATTTCCAGAATCGAAGTGGGGCTTCTACGCTGTTGCGATTAGAGAGCTCTGTATAAAAAGGGAAATCACCAATCCATTCATGTTCCAGGTTGCAACAAAGACGTGGACCTTTCTGTCGGGAAAGTAGCGGCTCAGCTCCTCTTCTCCAAGAAGGGAGCCTTTTCCACTCACATTCCCAACAAGATAACTCCTGTGCAAAAGATTTAAAAAAAAAGAAGGAACACTTGCCACATTGGTTACGAAATGAAATCAATATGATAAAACATACGAAGAGTTTCTCTTGTACGCTGCATAGAAGCAAAAAGTAATAAGCATCATATGGCCAGGCTGCAAGCTATGCAACAATAAAACCACCCCCTGCAACATTTTTTCCAGTAAGCTGCGCCCAACTGACATACGAGCACTTCATGTTTATCAAAATGAAAGAAAAATGAATGAAGGAAAAGATGGTAGCAGCTAGCAAAAACTATCCATACCATCATGCTCAAATAAAATGTCTCATAAAAACAAAATATTAGGAGACACTGCTGCATTTTATAGACAGGTGTTGCTGCCCGAATTAAAATCGGGTCTTTCAGTTGTCAGCATTTATTTCCTTCAAATCTGATGGTGCATTGGCAAGTACAAAGTTTTAGTTCCGTAATGAGGAACTAAAACTGTGAAATTGGAAGAAGAGGGAGGCATAATCAATGACGGAGTAGAAACAGTGCAATCCACTTACAATGATTACGAGAAAAGCCGAAATTTTAATCGTTATAACCGATTATCATTGAATCTGGACTAAAAACTGGTCGTTTCTAGTCTAGAAACTATGGAAACTCATCGTTATAAGCAATACACCGTTATATGTGGTATCGTTATAAGTGGATTGCACAGTATCTGAAGCGCACGACTAATACTCAGAGTCACTCAGTAAATATGAAAAACTTTGAACAAGCATCATAACTACGAAACAATGTAAACATAAACAGTATTTACATTATAAATTTAGTTTTATATAAAAAAAAGAAAAACTCCAAGAGCTTGGGGCAATTAGTTTCCGAAATCTCAGAGTCAGTATCATGGCAGATGTCTAGAGCACACGAAAAGCAGGCTGTATATACCTCAGACGTGCATCTTTGGTGGTTATCTTGGGCAAAATGCTTGGCTTGTCAACGGGCTGGTCGAAGCTGTCCTGAAACTGTGACACCCCCGTGACAGTCCACGAGTGCTGCAACCTCTTCGATTCTGTGGCACGCCTCGCCGCCTCCGATGGTGACCCCGTCGTCGCCAACGGCGGCAGATGGTGGGGTCTCCCCGCGTCAAAGCCACCAACGCCGTCGTGCGATGACAAGGACTTAAGGCTCCCAGTGCTCATGCAACTCGTCTGCCAAAGGAGTTGCTCTGTCGCAAACCCAAGAGGTCTATTCAGGCTGCTCGATGACGGACACTTGACGAGGCTCGAAAGCCGAGCGAGACGAGACTTGGCCTTCGAAGTCTGTTTCAGAAGGGGATCAGAGGAGCCCAGGTTGTCATCGTCCCAGCCGGGTGAGCTATTTGCCGGATGAAAGTCCTCGTCCTCAGACGAAGAGATGGCATGATTAAGAATGTCTCGCGGTATGGGATGCGTGTCCAGGCTGCCGACAGAGCCTTTGGAGATCTTGCCCGCGCAATCGAATCTGTCTGCCACGAGCCGGAGATCATCGAGTGGTGTTTTGATGACTGGCAAACTTTGGCTCTTTTTCGTGCCTTTGATTCGGTCATGTTTGAAGGCCAGCCTGGACGGCCGTTTGGGCGAGCTTTCAGCCTCCTTTCTGCAGGATCCCTGATGGTCCATGTGATGCTGTGAGATCTAACAAGTTGCTCTCGGAATGTCCTGGGTAAAAATGCAACAAAAGGGAAGGTTAAGCTTTTTGCAGCATGGACATTATGTACAGCAAACCAGTGGTGTAGCTAGGGAGAGAGCTTATGGAGCTTCAGCGCCCCCTCACCCCAAAATCCGGCCGACCCTATGATACGCACGTGCATTTTGAACCCCCCCCCCCCCCCCCCTTCACAACCTCTCATAAACATCCCAGCCACCTCAGCGGGCCCCGGCCCCGGCCTCCGCCCCGCCCCGCCGCCCAACCCCCCCCCCCTCCGAAAAAAATTCCCCTTTTTTGCAGCCAGGTATAAGGGAACATCACGATTCGTTCATTCAGTACCCAACAAGCTTCCAATTCGGGCAAGCATCCATATGGTCGTAGCAGCAAAGCTTTTGAAACAAGCTTCTGTTTGTCGAGTTTTATTATGAGGCCTAAATTCATTACACGATCTGCACCCATAAGAGGATACTAGACCATTTAAGCACTGACCTCGGAATATGCAAGTGAAAGGAACACGTAATGTGGGTATCTCGGCATTACCGCACTGCTTTGACCCTTTTAACCGACCTGATAAACTTGATACAAACCTTACGCGCCGTCCAGGATAACGGGGAATTCAAGTGTTTTTGCTGTCGGCAAGGCCACTGTTGAGCACAACAACGGGCACAAGCTACCTCAAAAAACCAAACCGAATCCTCACCATCAGTCAACGCTCCAAAACACACAAGCGTGATACGTGTATCGATGGAGCTGTGCGGTAGTGTGCGTAGTTCAAGGTTAACAAAAAAAAAAAAAAACTTCGCATGCCTCGCATAATACCTAAAAATGCAGCAGTTTATTATAACTTTACTGCTTATAAATTCTAAATGGAGTATACTTTTGTCGGTTAGTATTTAGATTTATAGACAACACACTGATTAGGTGACGCCACTCAATGTCCAATAAAACGAATCTGTACTTGCTTTATATATCCACTTATTTTGAACGGAAACGGGTGATAGAGAACCGTGGATAGAGAACTCATGTTTCGTTTCCGGTCCCTGTGTTGGACGTTGGTCGGATGCGAGAATGAGTTATCGGCCGAACCAAGGTTTATATCGCACGTTAGATTTGGTAACACCCGCCACAAGAGTATGGGGTATTCTGACCGCGATAGGTAAGCCAGCTCACAACATTCAGTGCTATCGATCGGCGAAAGAAAAACAAAAGCGTGCGCAGTTCGTTCGCGCGGACGTGCACCCAGGTGAAATGCGCGTCTGCGGAGACATGTGAGCCGAATGTTTACGTTCTTCGAGATTGCGTAACAGGACTTTTCCGTCTATCGTTTTTGACCCTTTTTCTTCGCGCTGATTGTGCGCTAACGATGTCAACAAATCGTAAACGCACGGGCTTACACTGGGAGGTTCGCACGTGTCGCCGCTCGACAGCCTCGTGTTTTTTTCCGAGGTCGTACTACACATGTTCTAGCCGTAGTGTATCCTCTCCGACCTTCAAACGACGTAATATTGGAACGTTTCTAGGAATATCGCCGCATGCGCGATTGCTCTAACTGTTAGCAAAGGTGCGAAGTCATTTCTTCCGACGCGGCATTGCAGAGTCGTTGACGTAGGAGACAGTACTCGCACGAACCAGTTCCATTAGTAATTGAGCCTTTCTCGGAATTGAGTTCTCCGCGGACGTCTGTACTTGACATGGACTCGTATGTCCGCTAATTACCTTTTTGCGTCGTCCTCGCCCCCTCCATTCATTTCCTCCTTTCTCGTTCCAGTGTATTGGGGAATTGGCGCTGATCTCGCCTTTCACGGCTTCGATCTCGGCATCTACATTTTGTGAGTTTCGGGTGACGAAACCGTCGATCGCATTACTTCTGGCATGCCGTCCGAGATGCTCTAAACCGGAGACAGCGCGTGGTTATACTGTCTGTCATTTTATTGCAGAATATCCGCCGTTCTCATCACGCTCTTAGAAACGGCCTTTGCTGTCGATCTGTTTCTCGAAGTGTGCGTAAGGTAAGGCGCGTCCCTTCGGTATCCAATTGAGACTCATTCACACATTTGTATTTGAGCGTGATCGGCTTCTTTGCCACAGCAGTGCGACCGCTTACAAAGAGAGAGCACTTTGACACGATGGCATCAACAGTCGTATATATGGTACCCGTGGAAGCATTCTTATCTGCGTGTGACTATACTGAAGGTTTTGCAGTATTTGTGAGATATATCATATCGATACATTACGAAAAATTGGTTGCTTATAACATTATCGGAATTATTTAAAGCCCATAGTGAAAGTATGAGTGCAAGAAGTTAGGAAATGTCAAGATAAGTAACACCAGTGTGTTTTATCACGCCCAAATGCTTATGTGCGAACCAGCCTTTCTGGAGCTCATGATGTGCGTTGCTAGACAACTCAAAAAGTGACAATGTCTTTCGTTTTGAAGGGAAGAGAGAGGCTGCTGTTTTCGCCTCTGGAGAGGCATTCGATGGGTCGACTTATGGCGAAAGAGCATCCTGTACACCGGCATGTCCGCCTTGTGTTTCTGGTATCCGTGCAATGTGTGGCTCGCCATCCTCGCAGGTGAGCTCGGTGCGACGCACTTGCATAGCTACTGCCGGGCTCTAATGAAACTACACCCCAATGGCGCATGTGCTCGCATGTCCTATGGAGTCGTACCATTTCCAGTTCTCTGAGGAAGGGAGCTTGCGAAATATGAGTCGAAACTAAAGCTCTTAAAAGCAGAATGAAGAGAAATATGTATGTGTATAGATGATTGCAAGCAGGGCATCTGGCCGCCGCCATGTCTCTGCTCGTGCTGGCAAGTGCGCGTGCAAGCTCATGGTGCCTCATGCACTTGCACGCATGAGGCACCATGCTTGCAATTCGCTTTTAAAATGTGCGTACCATGTGGTACAAGATCTGAAAGTGTTGAGAATAACAAAGTGACGTTGATGGGACGCGGCAAGTTGGGTCTCTCCAAAAAGCAGTCTTGGGATACAAGCTTGACCCACTTTGGTCTTTGTGCTGAGCATGTACTGGTCACATGCATGGTGCACGCTATATTCACGCTGGCTGGAGTGGCTACAACAGAGTCCCTCCTCGGGCGACGGGAGAACACGAGTTCCAGCCATTTGCTGACGCAATGTTCGGCTGCTGCAGCCAAGCGCAGCGTCATTTTTCTTGTTGTCCGTGTGGAAGTTCTCAAGTTAGTTGCATGGGAGTTCTGAAGTTAGCGGCTTGGGGCGCAGCTGTTGAATCTCCTCCCCAGTAGCTTCAAATCTTCCTGGGGCTAACAAGCTTTTCTTGGTAGCTTTCTACTTTTTTTTTTTTCCTCTTAAAATTATTTTGATTATGTTTTGTTAGTTTTGTGCAGTTGCCATAAACATGCTACTTTGTGTTCTTCAATTGTTGCTTTTTTTATTTTTCCCCCAGGTGTTATGACACTAGTATTGTGCGTTTTGTACCTCATCCTAACCTACAAGAACCACCTTGAGGTGAAAGAAGCTCTACTAGCCGACAAGGAAGCTTCATACGACAGGTAAAGTACTTCTCCAACAGTAGTGCAACAGGGTAATCTTCAGGTGGATGAAAAAAAACATCCAGGTGACAATATTTTTTAAAGCAGTGTGAAACCAAATGTTTTCGTGCTCATAGGAAGTGGATATGTTTTTGTGGGTTGTTAGGTAACATATATAAGATGTCCGAAATAACCAGGCTCAAAATAAAATGGGCCGTAAAAATCGGCGCCTGCACGTAGCAAGCTAAACTTTTCGTCAGAGGTTTTATCTTGTAAAATTACAAAGCGTAGCTTCCTTTCTTTAAAAAATAGGGCCAAAACACTGGCTAGGGTCAACGGTGGATGGCAGCGCAGATGAACAAGTCAAATGGCAGGGCGCATTTGACGCGCATATTGATAGATGGCATCAAACCCAGCGTCTGAAGGTGTAGCTGACCAGTGAAAGAAAGCAGGTGACACGCAAACAAAATCCGTCGACGCAACAAGACTGCCATCGCTCTGCAACCGCCTTTTCTTTTATTCTTTTTTTTTTTAAGTTTTGCTTTCATTGTTTGCATTTTTTCTTTTTTTACATCACAAAAAATAGTATGTTCATTTTAATAGACTACAGTCATCGCGACCAGTCTCGATAAGGAGATAGCACCATCTATCAATACGTGCACCAGTCGCGCCCCACCACTCGACGACTTTGAGTCCGCCGTCGACCCTGGCAAGTTTTTTGGCCCTATTTCTTACAGAAAGCAAGCTACGCTTCGTAATGTTACAAGATTAACTCAACCTGTGATGTACAGCTTTGACGAAAAGTTTAGATTACTACATGCAGGCGCCAATTTTTAAGGCCCATTTTAGATCGAGCCTGGTTATTTCGGACACCCTATACTACAACAGCATGTGTGAACGCAGCTGCAAATTAGGCCCAAAAAAGAAGCGCTAGACAAAATATCACCTCAAAAAGTTACACATAGTAAAACTAAAACAAGAAAATAAAAGCACCAAAGGTGAAGCTAAGTATTCAGAAAGTCTTCTTGAGAAACATGGTTTACTTGACATTTGGTCAACTTTGCTTTTTTGGGTAAGAAAGAAGAATAAGAAACATTTATGCTAATGAAGCATGAAATCTGTACAAAGTTCTGTGCAACATCACTGCTAAGATACTTGCATTACATTCTCTGTTGACTCTGCTTTTGCAAGAAATATGTGGGAAAGGGGCAGTTTTTTTTAGTTTTTTTTTTAACCTAATTTGTTTTAAGTGAAGTTTGAGCTGTCTTTATATGTGTATTTTTTTATGGCAAATTGTTTTTGAAATTTCGGATTCTTTTTTTTTTTTTTTATCCTTGTAACTATACTGGCACTGAGCTTACAGAAATATGTTGACGTACCGCTTGTCGGCACTCCAACTCCATTTAGAATCTTTTGCCTCTATAAAAGCTCCATAACTCGAGATGCCATCTGCCTCGAAGACTGAGCACTGTATATGCTAAGCACATCCAGTGCTCGGTTCATTGCTAAATTTTGTTCTTGGTAGATTCAGATTCACGGGAGAAAAGATCTGGGATGGGCAAGCGAGCTGCCCTTATCTTGGATAGTGAAGCGAGTTGTTGAGCTCTTTTTACATTTCTACAATCTCTTTTTTTCTGCTTTTGTATGCTCAAGCTGTAGTCCTTTTTACCCAGGTTTGAAGACTTTCAAGAAGAAGTCGACGTCGACGACACTCTCCCAGAACCGGACGTAGGCACGGTGGGTGACCAGGACCGCATCTTGCAAGTGTGATCACCATTTGGGTGGCAGCAGGCAGCACTAGGACAGTCGTAAACAAAATGTGCCTAAGCAAGGATGGGCCCCCCCGTCAAGACAGCATCCCACGTCCAGACATGTCGTGGCAGAGACCCGAGGAAAGCGGCTTCTCTCCTGCCGAGAGAGCAGGGACACCACACCGTCTTTTATCGCACTCAAAGAGTTTCAACTGCAGTTGTGCGTGGGCTGGAATCTCCTGTGCTCTGACCTCGCTGAGAACAGCCTCCAGCGGTATTAGCGCTGCATAAAAGCGTGCCGCTGTACTTTTGTAGAGTAGCGGTCTCTCATCTTAAGGTCGTGCAGCTGTTGCTGGCACTGTATTTAGAGCCCACGTCTCTTGCCTAGATTGTTTTTTTCGGTTGTTCCTTTGGTAGAGAATTACGAGCACTTTGGGAGTTTGCACTGCCTCTTGTGGATTTATTTCTCTTTTTTTTTTTTTAGACTGAATTTGAGGATAGTTTGCATACATGGTTCATGGTGCAGTTTGAAGTATTATAATTTTTGCAAGTAATTAACCTGCCAAGTTTTTTTTTTATTGTTGTTTACACGTTTTGTGATACAACAGTTAAGGTTATTTCTTTTTTGTTCAGTAGCCTAGCTACCCTTTATGTACTTAGATGGTTGATACAGAAATAATGAGGCTCTAAAAAAAGTTTTCAATGTTGAAGGTGAAGCGTATATATCACAAAACGTTACTGTCATGTCATTTGGATGATTCCGACCGTACGCTGTGCAGAGTATAAAATGCAGAGCTCAAAGAACGAAGCTGCGGTCTTGAAAAGTTGCATCATGTGCAACAAGTCCAAAAGAAGATATGTGTGATAGTTGTAAGTCTAGTAGTAATTTGAAGGAACCTGTCGTTCCAATTTACTGTTGCGAACAATGTAGTGATATGTGATCATTTGATAGTTAAAAAAACATTTTCTTGGACCTTCTCCATGTGAAGCAATCTTATTATCAATGTTTAGGTTGACGACAGAATACTAGACACGCAATGTGATAGCAAGAATGTAGAGCCTGGTGGCCAACCTGTTTATTTGTTGTGAATCGGGTTATTGGAGTAGAGTGTTATCTCACAAGCTGATACACTTGGGTGTGGTGGGTTATAAAGATTAGCGCCGGATGTACAGGCTGTATTCTTTTTATTTATCAAATGTTTCAAGTGATGGCCTTTTCGGTGGGTGATTTTAATGAACTGGGCTAGATCTGTGTGTGCTTTGAAGATTATAGGCTTCCCTGCAATAGGGCTTCCCTCTTCTTCGTGCATGGTGTGTAATGTTAACTGCACTAAGTCCAAAAAATTAATCTCGTATTGGGGCTGTGAGAACTGACAGTCTCGTTCATATATTTTGTAGCTTTTAGGCATCTGCATTTAACTCTCGCATACATGCTGGCGTGAAACTCCAATTTCTCATCCCATTTGGGTATTTGAAATATGGGCCTTGTAACAAGGTTTCAGCTTTTTATACAGAGCCAGTCAGTCTTTCTTTGTTGTATTCTATGGCTCTCAAGGCAGCTTTCAGGGTTTTTACAAGTGTGCTATTCTTGCTTTTTCTGCTCCCGGTGAATGAATGTGCCTTTAAGAGTGTTAAAATTGGCAGCTGTACCAAAAATATGAGTGGATTCATGTCATCAGAGCTGTTGCATATTGACACATGTTTTAGAGGGAAGAGAGTAGGTAGTGGTTTGAGCCCCTTTTGGGTTTGCACACTAGTAGACGAAATGTTCCTGACAAAGGTTATCATAGGGTCCGTCCTGATTGTACTTAGATCTGTACATAAGGTGTGTGCTACGTGTGCGGGGAAAAAAAATCTCATATATTCAAGTATATGCTATTATCTCAGTCTCTCCTTTTTCTTTTCTTGTAACTGCCTAGAAACAACTTGCTCCTCAGCTATTGCCAAGATGGTTCTCATTGTGCTAGTTCATCTTCAACATATTTCTATATGTATAACTTCATATTAGATCTGCACTAAACAGGACTTGAGACCTGTATTGATAATCTTTTTTTTATGTACAGCAAACTTTTTATGTTTGACTTATCTTCAAACTTGTGAATCTGATTGACATTCTTGGAAGCAATTCAGTTTATTGTTGCCATAGCCTTTCTGACCAAACTCCTCTATTTGTCGGATCGTCAGTTTCGGCCATTTGCCAGCTTCGGTGAAGGCCGTTGTGGCTATAAAATCTCAATAACAGTGCTAGCTAGCTTTACTTTTTGTTTAGCTTTTCCTGTCAGAAAGCATTTTTTAAAGGAAAGCATTTCTTGCTCCATAGAGTCTTTATTTTTTTATTTCAATTTTCAATGGCTTTAGGACATGAGCATGGCAGTGCAAAACAGAAAAGATGTAACTGTAAGGTCAGATTCTTGAACTGGTATGTGAGAGCGATGGAGACAAGATGACCGCAGTTACAGCGTGCATTGTTTATAATGGACGAGTGGTCCAGTCTTAAGACCACCATGGGCGAGTCAGTACCAGTACCTCCAGGATTCACGTCCGGAATAATTTCTAATGGTATTGCCGAATATGGTTCCCATTTATGGTTAGTTCCATTGCTATGAGCTGTGTAAGGAGTTCTATTAAACTCCCAGCACAGGACAGTGACACCTGTGCAGAGATGGGTGGACCACCCAATAGGCAAAATAGACAACTGTCTATACTCTGCGACAACTTTTCTTGGCAATGCAGTGGAAGGTAGAGGCCCGCATCCCCTCTCCCATTTTGAGTGTGCGCGGGCTCTCCTCCTCTCCCCGGAAATGGGGGAGGAGGAGAGCCTGCGTACACTCAAAATGGGAGAGGGGACGCGGGCCTCTACCTTTCACTGCATTGCCAAGAAAAGTTGTCGCAGAGTATAGGGCAGCAGGGAAGGGGAAAGGCACTTTGGTTCTTCCAACACCAGCTGTCATTATGTATTGTGAACACGTGCATTGGCGTAGAGATTTCGGTACCCGTTGTATCGTGCTATCCTGATGGAGCAGTCCCATCCCTCCGGCTCTCTTTATAACTACAGTTGGGGATGTCAGAAATAAATTGAGAACCAGGATTGAGTGGCACCAGGGAAACTCCCCAAGGCTGCATAATGCTAAGGCTGCCTCTGAGAATACTGGGCAGAAAAAGGCTACTACATGGCAGAAGCAAAGCGTGTTCTTGCTCGATTGTGCTCGCGTCTAAAAAAGCTTTTAATTTTTTAGAATTTCTTTTTAAAGTATATTTACAATAACTTTATTGTTCCATTACCAAGAAGCAGTGACTGCAATCTCTTGGGTGTGTTCTCAATCCGTAGCACGGCCAGTGTCCTCGGACCTCCGTTAAAGTAAAACACTCCTAGGCGGATTTGAAAATTGCATTATTTTTGGATTCACATCACACCCCAGTTGCTTAGGGAAGAAAGCTGACAAAAATAAGTTCTGTCGGGATGTTATTTGCGACCCCTGTTCACAAAACGGGGGTTGTTGTAAAGCTTAGTAAATTTTGTCGCAAAAACTTACTTGAGCTTTGTACTTCAATAGTCGTGCTCCGTCCAAGTTCCCATCTAAAGGGTGGGCGTGAATCGGGGCGAAAATTGATTCATCCTTTCCATCTGGCATGTGTTTGTTCGTTGTTGACATGCCAGACTTCCAAAACTCCTATCGAGTCCACCGTTTTGTGCTGTTACTACAATTCATTAAAGCTACTATGCAACATAGGCCACCAGCCGCATAATGTTACCACATCTGCCCGACAAGCACTTCAAATGTTTTTGTCAAAATTTAATAAGCTGTGGTCGACTACAGATAGCAGATGCAAATTGCCACTTGCCATTCTCTCTTGACTTAAGTGAAAACTCCTAGCAAAGGCCTGTGCTTTGGCAGTTTATTGCACAAGCACTCATGTCGTAGTCAAACGAGTATTCATAGTCTTTGCTCTGTTGTAAAATGGCTATTAAGTAAAATTGTGATCTAGTTTATTATGCTTAACCTTGGAGCTCTGTTTATGTGTGGGAAAACTTGCAGCTTATGTTTGTGTTCTCTTTGTGGAATTTCATAGCTTTATCCTTACTATGGTTGAAAGATTTTGGAGTAGTGCTTGGTTCAAGTAGTTATATAAATGTATGCTTTGGAAGTTATTTGTAAGCCTAGCTTTTTGGCTGTGGTGCACATAGTAGGGCGCTGCATTTTTTTATGCCACTATAATAAACACTCAGATTTCCTTAACTTTTACTCGGCAAGATGACGACCATCATCTTTCTTGTCCCGCAGTTCTGATCCGTTCTTTGTTTAGTTCTTTTTTTCCCCCCTATATTCAATCTTTTCCCTGTAAGGAGTCATTAAAGTGCCATTGACAAGGTGTTTACGCATGCCTAGATTTTCACAGAAACGCAGCCTATGAGGGCTCTACATTCGAGACAAAATATTTGGAAACTTGAAGCTAAGTATTTTTTTGCACGAAAACCGCCGATTGAGAGCCGGCCGCTCGGTGTCTTTGAGCGTGGTTATTGTATGAAGTCTTTGAAAACTGGAAAAAAATTTAAGATGAAACGCTAAGCATCTAGCGAACAAAGGTGTCGCTACATATGCTCTCCCAAAATGTGACAATGCTGTGATTATTGAAAATATAATAAATAAAGATAGGTTTGTTCTCATCTCATGAAAATCTTTGGAGACAGAACTTCGAAAGGAGCCAATGCTTCGACCGCATTGAATAAGGACTTCGGAAAACCAAATTCATGGCTAAGAATAAACTAAAAAAGTACCCTACAATTTTAGAGCGCAGCTCTTAGGCGCCCATTTCCGGCTGGAGCGGCGTCGCCGTCGCCATCAGCGTAATTGCGCGGTGCATTATGAGAAATGTCCAACAATGCAACGCGTGGGACTTGTGACGTCACGAGGGTCCCCCACGGTGCATTATGAGACATTTCTTATGATGCAATGCGCAGGGAGGAGTAGGATTAGGAAGAGGGGAAGGGGAGGAAGAGGAAGGACAGGTATACCCTACTCTCAGTACCCTTCCCTCCTCCTCAAGAGCTGCGTTCTTAATTCGGCATTACAGGGGGTTGGAAACATCTTTTTTCTTTCCTTTTTAATGAATTTTGAAAGTGCAGTATGTTGGCTGTAGATTTAGTCACTATACTCATACCTGTGTTGTATAACTAAAAGTAAAATCAATGTCTAAGAGCTTGAGCCGAGCACAGCTTTGTTCTAGGATGCACTGCAGCAAAATTGAGAAACCTGAACTCATAACTTTACGAGTTGCTCCTACTGCGCAAGAGTTTCTGCAACCAAAGTGTGCCCTTGAGCAAGGTGTTTGCGCTCGTAACCTTAGCTGCAGTGCACCTTGAAGTGCAGCTGAGTATAGCAAAGACCAAAGGAGGCATGTGGGCTGTAGTTTAGCGTTCCAATGACCCCGAACTAGCTGTTGCTGCTCTTACGTTGCCTCACCTATAGTAGTTGCCCGTAGAGTGCAAAAAAACTAGCAAGCACATGTGGTTTTTGTTTTTTGGTCATTGAATGTGTTTATACGAATCTGATTGTCGTGCATTGAGTCAAGATTTGACAAGAATGATTGGGTAAAAGGAGAGGATTGGGTGCATGGGATTGGCCCTCTCTCGGTTCAATGCGCTTCGGTCACATTCATGTAAATGTAGCCATAGTTCTGAATGTGGAGTGCAATGTTTATGAACATATAATCTAGTTAAACAGTTGCTGGATTGCTTCAAAGCATGTACTGCACTCTTTTACGCTTGCTGCTTGCATCAGTTTCTCATGCTGCAGATGCGTGGCATTGGGCAGTTGCCACTAATTTAAGTTTAAGACTGCAGCATTATGCAGGTTTGGGGTTTTCTATTGGAGAGCACTAAATGCTCCAAGGCACCATCTCGTGTTTTGCCTGGACCTGAGGTGCAATGAGCTGCTGTGACTACTCGTGTGTATGTGCTTCCTTCCTCACTTGCTCGGCTTCAATTGTACATCGGGCATTCGTGTTCGAGTGCCAAATTTAGTTTCCCTTGTTTGCAACTTGAAAACTAGAGGCACGTGGAGATGCCACCGTCTAGATGTCATTTCTTCCCAGGGAAAGCTTCTATCGATGTGCATAGGTAACAAATGAAAAGTGTCGGTTGTTTCTAGGCAGCTAGCATTGGCAGTGCAACACTGCACAGTCCGCCATGTGTTCCACCACAAGATGTCAAAGGTGGGAGGAAAACGGAAAGAATTGTTCTAACTCAAAGGAAAACCATGCATTGTCATAACTCAAGTGCAATGTTGTGGAAGATGCTGGCACGCATTGCTCTACCCGTTTCATTTGCACAAGCACTTGTTCTAATGAAGTCCTAGATGATGTTATGCACTCGTGCCTGCAGCTTTTACGACCATAGTGATTGATCTTGGTAGAACCCTCGAGGCATTCCGGTTGCTATTGGTGTATTGTGATGGAGAGCGACTCATAACGTAAAGCGTTGTCTTGTACTTGTGTGCAGAATTCGTCTTTGGTTTTGTTGCACATATCAGATGACGAGGAGTGGGACTGAGAGACGCAAGACCGCAGATTTCCTTCTCACGGGTCTTTTCATCTACCGTAGGCCTTACATACTGTTTTATAAATTAAAATAAATGGTGCAGTACTTTGGATTGTTGTTGCTAGCAGCACAATACAGAAGAGCATTCTTTCACTTGTTTTAACGTAAATGCAAGCAAAGCAAGCGATACGTGTGCAAACGTCACGTTTTCTGGCATGTCCTCCATGCGCACGTGCTTGGGCAGAAAGAATGTCACTCAAGCCAACATGCTCACATCTGTGCAGCTTCGCTCGCACATCGTATTTTCTGGTCTACGAGTTGCTAAGTCACACCCCACTATGAACGAGTGTTCAGAAAAATTTTGGTGTACAAGCCGCACTTATATATTAGTACGGTTGATGCGGTGAAACTGCATTGAAAAGCCCGCCTATGTCTATGATGATCACAACATAGCAAGCTAGAGCAAGTTTCAATATTGTCATCAATAAATCTAATGATAAAAATATAGCTCCCGCGAAAAATTTCTGCAATTAATGTCCATACTTGTAAAAAAAAATGCATGCAAGTTGCACCGTTGTACAAGACGCAACGACAAAAATTTGGGAAAACTGCGACTTATACACCAGAAAATACGGTATGAATGGCTCTACTTGTTTCATTCAATTTTATTGATGTACATGACAGTATCTTGAGCTAGTCCTTTTGTGTACTTCAGTTTGCTACAATAGCGTGGGTTGTATAAAGTACTTTTTGGCTTCTCTTTGTAGGTGCAACACTGTGACTATATCTTACAATACATTTAAATGATCGCACTTAACGTGAAGGTAATCTAAGCTGGCAGGAAGACCTTGAAATGGAACTTTCTGGGAGTTTCAGAATGGCAGCTCCCAGGAAGTACCACCCCCTTAGTGAAACGTCTGCTGCCATTCTGAGGCTGCCAAGATGTTCCTTTTCAAGAAAAAAAAAGATTAGTGTGATTTCATTCTAGTTGCTAATTTTGCTGGTGCTTTTGTTGTACAATAAAAGTATAAATGGAAAATATTTTTTTGTCAAGGCCTGTTTATGCTGTATGCTTACTTTAAATCTGTGCAAAAAGACAACAGACAAAAAACAGGAACTGACAGGACCAATCGCTGGCTATCAACTGAATGTTTATTAGAAAAACACAAAGCGCATCATTTCTGCTCCGATATAATCAACACTTCCAATCTTCTACGAGAAAACAAACACACTCAACCTCAATAGTGAGGCAGCCTTTTTGGATCCTAGATCCAAAAAGGTTGCCTCACTGTTTAGCAGGGTTCAGCATGATTGAAACATGATAGTCTTTTTTTCTATGTTATATGCCTCACCTATCCCTCTTGATTGTTGACCTTTATGCTTTTAGCAAAATAACAGTGTCACCAAACTTGGGTTCATACAAACAGACCCTACAGTGCAATGTCTGGTATGAGTATGCACATTCTTTTAACAAATTTTTCTGTTCTCGTAATCGAGTGTTAAGGCATCGCCCGGTCTGTACAATGTAAACATGACCACTAGTGAAGGGAACCTCGTACACTACGCCAATGGCACACGGCGCATACTTTTTCCACGTTTTATGGTGCATTCTTTTTCCCCTGGATTTTTTCTTGCCTTCCCACCTTTCAACTTGGAAAAAGTGTGCCGAGTGCCACTGACATAGTTGTAGTGTATGAGGTCCCCTTCAAGTGCGGTTGCGTTTACATCGAACAGACCAGGCGATGCGAGAACACCAAAATTCGCTAAAAGGAAGTGTATGCTCACACCTCGCATTGCACTGCAGGGGCTGCACGTGTGAACCCTTATCTGGTGATATTACCATTTTGTTTAAACATAATGGCCAACTAACAAGAGAGAGTTGAGGCGTATAAAATATGAAAGAAAGGAGTATCATGTGTCAGCTAACCGTCTATGACCTTGCCGGACAGTGAGGCAGCTTTTTAAATCTAGGACCGGGACGTTTGGGGTCGAGAATGTTTTTGTATTCTCGTGGAGGATGGGAGGTGTCGATCACATCGAAGAAGAAGCTATGCGTTTTTCTAATAAACATCCAGTTGCTAGTTGGCGTTTGGTCCTGTCAGTTCCTGCGCTTCGTCCGTTCTCTTGCCGCACCGTTTTACGGTATGCAGCCCCGAAACACTTCCCGTCCGGGTATAACTAGGCTCAAGGTTTTTGCTGCACTTGCGAGATAAAATCTATGCACCGTCTACAAGAAACGGTTGCTCGTAACATTACCAGAATTATTTCTAGCACACGGTGAAAGAATGAAGCATAAAATATATATGCACATCGGAAATGTTCCAGAACTACCTGAGGGATGGCGCCAGTGCTTACTCGTCTTAAGCCGTGCAGTGCACTTTTTATTTTTACTGTCAGATTTTGATCCAGTTTTACTGTGAGCACAATTTCAGGAGCAAATTTAAGACCTATAAGTAGTTTTTCACTCAGTTTCATTGTAACTCCAAGCAAGGCTAAAACCACAAGCGCAAGCATGCCACCTCGGACAACTTGTGCGGCACAAGTGTCTGTGTGTATGGGAGGGGTGTTCGAAGAATCGAGCTCCCTTGTGGCTTCTGCATCGATCACACTTTTGGTGGAACAAAGTATAGGCAGCTGTACCAAGTCAAGAGCTACTAAAAACAAATATATATGGAGCATTTCCTGTGAAACAAGAGCATTTTTCCTTTAGCAACAACAAAACACTTGGCCGCCATGCTAGACTCTTTAGCTGGCAATGTTCATTTTATTCTAAAGGAACTGAAGTATGGAACTGCACAACATTATGTAGACCTCCAAATTTCTTTGAACGTGTGAACTACACTCCAGTAAAAAGATACAGCTTTACTGTATATATTCTGTCCAATACTAATCCAACAAAACCAAGTTTATGGCTGTCAAAAAAAATGAGACGTTTACAATTCCCTGTAATGCCGAATTAGAGCGCACCCCTTGAGGAGGAGAGTGCACGGAGAGGAGGGTATGCCTCTCCTCCTCCCTTGTGACGTCACTCGTGAAAATCGTGATGTCATTATGGGAAACATCCCGTAATGCAACGCACAGTTACGACGACAGCGACGCCGCTCAAGCCGGAAAAAAGCGCCCTAGAGCTGCCCTTTAAAAACAAAAAAAAAAGCACTTCAAAACCTTCAAAGTGACCTGATCTGAGAACATCATGTTGAGAAAAATGCATCAGTTTTAGTGTGTCACACTTTCACTTGAATAGAGCTTCCTTAAGAAAATCTGTTTTCTAATGGAATGTTACATTACACTTTATAAAGTTGCTTAATAAACTAAGCATGCAAAAAATTTTTTTTCTTCCTAAATCTACGTTTTTGTTTTTTTTTAACATTAAAGTTTATAGTGCAAGCTCATTTTTGCATTGCATTAAAATGTAATTACTGAAGAGTAGACTTGAACTGTGAACCCCAAATTTCATGGAAAATGAAAAAACTAATATCAGAAAAATAAAAAAGTGAGCAAGGTTACACGAGAACAACCGTTTTTTACAAATCCACTTCAGCAGCCAACATGAGTGTTCTCAGAGAATTATCCGTTAACCTTTCACTGCTATAAATTAGGCAAGAGCTTTTATTCACGGAAACCAATATGTCAGAGAAACACAGTTAAGTTCGAAGTAAATCTGCATTTCCATTAAGCACGGGCAAGTTCGAAGTAAATCTGCATTTCCATTAAACACGGGTAAATTCGAAGTACATCTGCATTTCCATTAAACTTAACTAACTTTTCTTACAAACAGCTGAAAGTTTACACTGACAAATTTAAACTTTGTCTACGTCCTATTTTAAAAAATTGGAACACTTACTAAGACTGTGGACTATGCATTGCTGGAGTGCAGCGCTTTGGTCATGCGAGGGCTTGCTCGCAAACTGAATTTCTTGCACCTCACAGTCTCAAAATCCTATAATCTTTCATTGACCCGATCAAAAGCAAACAAGTAACTTGTATTTGTTCTTTGCATCTGAAAGGATATGATTAGAGGCACAACCCTTCCATCTCTTTATCAATAGTAAAATTATATTACAAAAAAAACTTCATTAGACTAGACCACAAGCAAAATGCCTTTCCTGTTTAACGTTAACTACGTCCAAGTACGCCGAACAACTTAGCTTGTGCAACATCATTTGCCGTCTTACAATACGTAGGAAATGCAATGTACATTGTCGCGTAGCACGCTTGACTCGACATTTGGTGCGGCTGATCATCAAATCCCCAACCCCTCTAGGACTTCTTCCCACACAGTAAAAAAAAGTTACCTTAAAAAAAAAAAAAGAAAAGAGTCTAAAAAATCTTTTTAAGAAAGAACGATGGAGCATTCCCAGAACAGGAGCGAAGCTAGGGCACATTCTCGGGAACCCTTTCCACGAAGGAATGCAGCAGCTGATTGACAATTTCTCTATCTACATTGCAGCTGGAGAGGCTACAATCTTCCACAACACCCTCGCAGAGGTTGTCCGTTGCCTCGATGATGGCAATGAGCTCACTCACGGTTCCCTCGACACTCCTGTCCACCGGATGCCTCGGAGCCCAGACAGACGCTTGCTTCCTCGGCCCTCTTCTTGCAGACAGACGCATTCTACTCTGTGCCCTCCTCGGTTCCGCCGTTGGCCGCACCTCGAGTAATCCGTCCGGGCTCGCGCCCCCAGCGTTGCCGTTACACGACCTGGAGTGTTTTACGTCGCCTGCACGCACACTCTGGTAATCTAGAGAACAACCGTGGCTGGAGACGACGACAGCCGTAAGCAGGTCCTCGATGCTAGACCTGACTTCCACGTCGATGCTGGCACCATTGTTGCTTGCACATCCGAGGGGCAACTCCACCGTCGCTGCTTCTTCAACAAAGAGGTCTCCGCTCGAAACGATCAGCGTATCCGGCAAGCCAGAGCTCGAGTTCGGTTCAAAAGAGCCGTTGTTGCATCCTGCCTGCGAGCATAACTCACTTTGGCTCAAAGAATGCACGGAGTCAACGGCTGCGCAGGCACCACCGCCCATGTTGTTGTAGCAGGCTGGCCTTTTGTCAATGGCGATTAAAGCATGGTCGGTCCCATTTTGGTACACAGATGCAGGACCTCTCACGCGCGTTTTCCGTTGCGTCAGTCTCGTAAAAGCATCTTGAGGACACTCAAACACTTCTGGGTGGCCTTGATGCTGGAAAAGCGACTGTCGGCAAACTGCCAGCTTGCGCGCTTTCTGGCTTCGCTTCCACTTCTTTGATGCAGTTGGACCGACGGTGAAATCAATGAAGCGCTTGTACTTTCTTACCGATGTGAGGCGTTCTCTTCCATCGGCCCCGTGTTTTGGATCTTCGAAGATTGTCTCCAGGAGCTTGCACTGTGTGGATGCTTTGCCAAAACCGGCCGGTGTAGAGGCCATTGTTGGATCCTCTTCGGCGTCCATAGCGGGCACTGTCTTTAAACAAAAACAACAGAAAAGCGGTTAGAGTTCTGTCGATAGTATGATAAACGAAGAGAGCGAGACATGGGAACAGCCGACGTTCCACCTTTTAATGCATGTGTTCTTTCTTTTACTTTTCCTTCATCTCCCACTAATTTGAAAGTTTTAAGTGTGAAATGACAACCTTTCTGGAAAGACTCGCAGCTTGGAGACGACCCCACAGCGCATACGAGTGATCGTGAAGCGAACCAGCGCTTCTCTGCGGACAGCACCTGCGCTTGGCGCTGGCTTTCAGCAAAAAAACGATGCCTGTCGTTCAGACCTTTTCTGAAGATTTCCCTAAAAGCACGCGGTAGCATATGGTCGAGCGAATATGTGCAACGACTGATTGACACCAGTTTTTACGGTGACGAGAATATTTGCTTAAATTCTATCCCAGAACAATTTCGCGGCTGTGGAACCACAGACATGCCGCTGCTAACAGCAACAATAAAAGCTCCTCAGTTGCTCGGCGCGCATCCTATTGTACAAGTTTCAGAGTCCAAACGTTCCTCGGCTTCGTATGAACGTGCAAGCCAAACAGTGCTAAAATAAAAAAAAGTAAAATTTAAATTCAACGAGAATAAGAAAGGAAGAAATCCGATTGAAGATTTGACAGCTCCCCCGAGACATTTGTTTTGCGGCGACTTTCTCACCTCATCTGACGTAGACTTCGGGTAGAGGTGGACCTCGCGCTGCTCTAGAAATAGAGCTGTTACTTGCCACAATCAAGTTCTTATTTCGGTGCGTTAAATAACAACTCTTGGCGGAAATGTTTAGGTGAATAACGCGCCCAAACACGGACGTCAGAGTAAACAAAAACAGCCCTACCTTTCCGCGCCATTATGACGTAACGCGCACACAGCGTTGCCGGTTCTAGCATGGCGCATAAGCAGAAATGGCCGAAACTAACGAAACTAGGGGTTTTCAACAATTTTCAACTGCGTGAGGGTTACCTGTGACGTATTTATCTTGCACGACTGTTTTTATAAGCCTATTAATCCAAAGTTATCTTAAACCAATACTTCTGACATATGCCCTTTTTTTTTTTTTTTAGCCACGATGAACGATGAAAAACTCTAAAATTAGTTTCGATTTTCGCAAAAAAACTTGCAGACGATTGCAACAAGTGTTTATTGAGACAAGAGATCCAGAGTTATTGCCAGATAACACCATGCTTATTGCACATGACATGATGCCAATGTTAGGTAAAGATACAACCGAAGATATACAGCATTGAGACGGATGCAACTTGCTGGTTGCAACTTCCACCATTCAGAAATAAGAGTGCGGAAGCAGAAACAGAACGCGGCAAAAGTTCCAGTGAAACTTTGTTCTACGCAATATCATAAAAGAATGTTGAACTGTGAGACCATTTATGTTGAACATAGCAATGAAAAGTTGGTTCACAAAAATAATTCATTGCATTCGCACTAATTAAATAATGTGCGCCATAATGTATTTTTCACAAGTTAAAAAAAAAATTAGTAAATTCTTTTATTTTATAAACGAAAAATGTAAAGCCAAAAAACTAAATGCATAAAAAAAATCAATTTGATGCATATATGTCATGCAATAAGACACAAGCACATAAAAGAGAAGGCCATTCATATGAAATGCAGCAGGCACAAATTCTCAAAGCAGCATTTCTTTCTGCTGTGAAATATGAATGAAGCATAAGCACTAGCATAATAACAAATAAAGGATGTACATTACTGTGAATTGCTCACTGCACCTTAACCTAGCAGAGAAAACATGCACACAACAATGTTAGTCTTTCTTAATTAACCGCTTCATAAAATATCACTCTAAATGCAACACTCTATAAATATTAGATCACAGTAAAAACGCACCCCATCCACCACTGTTTTATATCCAAAGCTGTCATACTAAAATATGCTTTTATATACAGACTATTAGGACAGATAAATCAACACGTTTTGGGGGACATCTCACAACCAGTTGGTATACAAAGGTACTAGCAAAATAAAAAAAAATGTAATGCTATAACAGAAACATTACAACCTTAGCTATCAAATAAGACTTGTCTTATTGTCTACGCAAAGGGGAAGCTCTATTGAGTTTGCTCTAGAAACCACCCAGTGAAGCTATTGTAAATTGCAAAGTTTCCTACATTCAAGAGCACATAGACAACTGCCACGAGCGAGGACCATAAACTTAGTACATGAAAATCGCGAAATTGAACAACCACAATTATGTATACTGTGCTGTGCACAATTCACAAAGAAAAAAAAATGTGATAAAAAAGTAAAGGGTTTTCCAGTATGCTGGTAGAATCTTGATATCTTACTGGGGATTCAATGCCCATTGCATATCTTCCTAAAGTCATCTGTTTCAAAACTTGTACAGTGTAAAACTCACTCTGCATCAAACAGTACTGTAGCACAAAACATTTGCATCCATGTTAACACTGGCTTGCATTGTGGTTGAAATAACATGTACATAAAGAACTGCAGAAGCCTTTGAACAAAGGGATTGCAAACAAGAACTAGCGTGCTCATAGGGCATCTGAAAGAAAGAAGTGCTATTGTGACTGCAATCAAAATGTAAAACCATAAAAGCAAAATTATACTTGGCAAGTGATAAAGACTGGGCAAAAGTTCATTCTATAGGTCTTTCACGGAACTTTTCCATACATCAGTCTCTTGCAAAGAAAATTATGCCTTTTCAGTTAATGGTGATAAAACAAAGAAAAACACCAGGGTAAAAAAAGCATGACATGAGGATGCACAACCAAAAGTCAGCTGCACAGAATAAAAATTCAATTTGCAGAACACTCCAAAAACAGACAAATCATAAATGAGATAGAGCATGTGCTTGCAAAAGGACAATATCATTCCAATCAGATTAATTTCATATGCGTACCCATTTGGCAATGTCCTGTCCAACAAAAAATGGCAAACTTGGCAGTCCAGCTAGCCACAATGCAAGCCCAACAGTGCAGTACACAAACTAGCCTATTTGTGAACACCTGTGAATGTATCTTTATCCCCAGAAAAAGAAAAAAAAAAAAAAAACACCCATAACGCATTTCTATGTTTGACAACACCATAAGAGTAAAATTAGTTTTCCTTGCTTCCTTTCGAAGTCTCTGTTAATACTTTTGTTTGTTCGGTCATGGAAGCCCCTTAGCTGGAACAGATCATATAGTGTGTAAGATTCCGGTTGCTGATAACTTTCCACTGACTATCTAAAGGCTGAGATTACTACAGGTGTATTGCTCGGTGTTTGCATCGCATCCACTCAGTTAAATGCTGCTTGCTCGCTTGGGGAAAACGGGAGCTGGAACAGCTCCCCTGTCAGCTGCTCCACAGAACTCCATCACTTCCAAGAACAAAAATCACTCTTCTTTTCCAAATCCTCCACATATTACTAAACGCTGCCATGCACTTTACTTCAGCTAGTGTACCCGAAAATCGAATTGCTCGTTAGTTTCCATGCCGAGCGGCACCTCTAGGGAATGAAGGCGGCTGATTGTATTGGCATGATCAACAATAACGCCCCTTAGCTTTAGTTGCAATTGTCTAAAGACACGCTCGAGTCAAGAGCCTGAAGGAAACTGACGCAAAGCTTAAAAACAAGCCAGCAAGTCAAGCTGCAGTCTATCGTACTCCCTCTAAAAAAGTTAGATCCTCCCCAGGCCAACTTTAAGAGGAGCTCAGACGTTACCTTCGATCCGACAAGGTACAGGCGTATGCCGATGCTCATATGAACAAAGGACACGCCTTGACAATGAAGATGAAACTCGCCACAAAAACCAGAGATACAAAGTCGAGCTTTCCGCAAACACCTGGGCGGAGAGCGTAAGCCGTCACCCGTCGCAGTTCTTCAACGACCCGACAAGATGAGACATGGCGGGGAGGGTCAAAAGCAGAGTTCCGAGAGGCTGCACTTTGTGAGGGGCTTAAAGCGTAGGTGTTCCTCGATGAATTGGCACGGACAGCGCGCCATGGCGCAGTGACGCGGAGGCGCCGGGGGGCAGGGCCCGTCCTCGAATCCGTCGGGGTGCACGGGCATGTTCAGGTCTAGCCGCTTGCGCACAAACTCCTTCACCCAGCGCTGGCTGTAGCGTAGCAGGAGCTTCTCCGCATACTTCTGCAGGGGAGGAACAGAGAACAGAAGGCACCAGAAGTCTGATTCAGTCCAGAACGTTCCTTCTGCACCTGGAGCTAACTACTAAATATCGGACGACCACGAAGCTGTGAATCATCTGGACAAAGACCTCAAATAAGCATTACGCATTATTCCAGAGTATGTCTCCTATGCAACCGAGTCAGACTAGTGTCTAAAAAGAAAGGAAAGCAAGGGACATTGCAATCCTCATTACAAGGCTTCTTTGAGGTCCATACTTTCTTATAATCGCAAACTAAAAAGAAAAGAAAGAATGACAGTCAAGATCTTGGCAAACAAGGGCTCTAAAGGCCAGTGCGCAGATTTCACACTTTAGCTCATCACATTGCATAATTCTGAAACCATCTCAACAAAATGACCAACATTTCACTAGGACTCAGCTTTCTTGTTTTGAAAAGGTCCTGTTAGTCAGTTGACAAAGTGGTTGCTAGATAAAACCTATCTGTACTGTCCTGCGCCCGATTAATTATGAAGCCTCAAGTAAGCGAACTTTCACATTAACGTTTCACCTCGCTTGAACTTTCTAAAGTTATTTCTGATGTATAGGCTGGCCACAATAGGTATTTCCTATGCTGTCAAATGAACCGGAAAAATCAGCGTCTGCCCACAGAAAGCTCGAACTTTCACCGAGTATGTGTTTAGGTGGTAGATTTTTCCATGTAAAATATCAAGGCAATGTTCTCTCCCTGTGAAAAAAATGAGACCAACAAACTTGCCAAAGTCAAAGGCAGAGGTGTTAAAAAATTACCGAGTTAGCGATTAATGTAACTTGTGGCGCCATCTCCCAATAGGCGCAGCTAGTAGGCAACAGAGTGCGCCGTCTGTCGTAGTACCTATCATAAGATGGGGCCACAAGTAAAATTCATTGCCAAAGGCCCAAACACATCAGCGAAGAAACTGACGATGTGCGGCGGTTACCATAGCAGCTGCCACGGACGCTGTAACGTGAACCTGTCCCATGCCGCTACATCGCAGCGTCCGCAGCGGTTGCTATGGGAACCGCCAAGTGGCGGTTGTTTTCATTGTTCATTTGTTTGGGGTTTAACTCTGTCGTCTGCAAATACGGCCGTTGTTGACTTCAGAAAGTTTGCTGGTTTTGTTTCTTACGAGAGAACTACACCCTGAACTTTTATAAAATTATAATGTAAAATCCACCATCTAAACGAACATCCTATGAAAGTTTAAACTCTCTATGAACAAGTGCCAATATTTCTGGATAGTTTTACGGCACAGGAAATGCCGTAGCCACCCTATATTTGTAGAAGTGCCACTTTTGCATGCACACATTTGGAAGCATGCATATTGGGGGGAGGGGAAGCCACTACCACAAACCCCCAAGAGCTAAATCATGATTGCTCAAACAACTATACTATACAGGGTGTTTGCTTTTAATTAGAACAATGTTTTTTTTTTAAGTCGCAAAAGGTACATTATTGGGGTCTGTTCAGCTGAGTTATATGGCCAGGGAAACATAATTTAGGGGGCTAATCATCAAGATAAGTAAAAAATTAACTAAAACGTGATAATAAGCTTCCTAATTAGTAAAAATAAGCATATGGTTTCAATTGGAAACTTGCTGAGCATCAACTAAAACCGCTAAATCAGTTAATTTTAGGAAGATTTTTAGCCTGTAGTAAGCACAGGGGCACATTTAGTGTGCTCAAGCTTACCACATGCTTCAAATCTTTCTCAAATTGACTGATTTAGTGGTTTCGGATGACATTCAGCATGTCTCTAATAAGAACCATATGCTATTTTCACTAATTAAAAAGTTAATGAACAAATCTAACTTGTCATGATGATTAGCTCCCTATGTTATGTCCCCCTGCCTATACAACTCATCTGTAGACCACATCAGTGTACCTTTCACGGCAAACACCCAGTATAGCGCATCTCCTAGCATATTACCTGCATCAAAATTTCACTACATTCAAAGGCAAAGTAGGGATCTGGGTTATACACAAATTTCGGGGGAAGTGCGGTTTGATGGCAGTGCACGCGAAGTTGTAGGGACACATCTTCCAAAGTACCTCTTCTTCAGTCTCTCTTCGGACTTTTTTCTTCTCCCTTACTCCACCTTTCTTCGGCTACACTCGGGCTCAACTTTCTGTGGCAATGAAGAGAAAGCTTGGGGGGCGGAGCTAATGGCTCTGTGTTATTGCGCCAAGTAGTTCCAGACTTTTATGGTTTTGGTTTTAGTTTGGGTTTCGATGCGACAGATCACACATTTGCTACAGTTCATCTCTTCGTTGGGGTGTTCAACCGCGATCACCGAGCATGCAGGAATAGTATCAGCGTCTCTTTTCTTACGTTTTGCCCATTTCTAAACACAAGCCAACACTTGGACTAAAGCTTCTAACTGACTTACAAGGTAAATTACACCGTGGCCGACCTCGTCAAATCTTTTCTGTCTCCTGACCGACGCAGATATACAGCGGCCATTTAAGAAGTGCCGTGAATTTCATCGGCGCTGCAGTTTTCAGGTTGTTTATACATAAGCTCTTCTGGTGCTGAAAAATCGTAGCGTGGGTGCGATACCCCGAAATAGGAGCATGCAAACGCTACAGCACGAAGTCAAATTTCATTTGGATCTCATTCAGTAACTAATGGCCCTAAGGGGTGGGCGTTCGTCTAGGTGGCGTACCACAGCTCAGAAACACGTATAGCGAAAGCTCTCGCTGCAGAACCCAGGGATCCTGGACTCAATCCTCACCCCTGCTCACTTATGCCAGACCCCCCCCCCAGCTCGGCTCCCTCCGTCTCACTTGCGCGTGCACGTTGCACACCACTTGCTTGGTTTGTTTTGACAACTTTTGGTTGCCAAACTTTGTGAAAATCAATACGGGACGAACAAAAGGGTGACCTCACAGAAGATATCGTTGATACTATATACCGACGATGCCCGTCGATGCACACAAAGAAAACGCCATGTTTGTTTTGCAGGGAACTAGAAAAGCTACAGCAAACTTAAACCAAGAAAACCCCAGAACTAGAAAAAGAAATACTATAAGCTTGGCACATCCTGACTAATATTAGAGAAACACTGTGAAATCAAATCTAAAAAGAACAATTTTATAATTTTTAATTGAATAACAAGTTACACCCAGCAAGTTATTTTGGTTGAACTTTGTTCAGCTGCGCAGTGAAATGGCATGCTTCGGCTCTGTAGCCCCGGATCGAATGCCAAAGAAAGCTGGCCCCGAAAATAGCCAATCTTGCATTGTTTGTTGGCTGGGCGGCTGAGCCGAGCCATCGAGTGCCGATACGCCGCCGACAGTCGTCGTATCCCATCAGATCACATCAATCTTGACACCTCGTTCAATCCCTGTCTGTTCATCACGAGCTGGGCTCGGCGGCAGTCATCGGAAGCCGAACGGCAGGCCAGAACTACGACATTAAGGAGTCCTGCGCGCAAGAATGGAGGAAGGAAAGTCTTCAAACTGCAAGCCGTCACCATAGACCATTCCAAGGTTCGAAGACTGGTGCATACCCAGAGCTTAGAAAAGTGCTCGCAAAGTCTGGACATTGCTTCGAGCAGCTTATGTGGATAATGTGCGAGGGATATCTTTGTGTTGTTTTCTTTAGAGAAGTAAGTTGGGGGTGGGGTTTATATGCAGGGGCGGGTAATATGCACAAAATATGGTACGTGCTCCAGTAGTCAGAAATGTGCATCCTGCTATGCTGCAAACATTAACTTTCGAGTTAATGATGCAGCGATACTAGACACACGAAATACATGCAGACAGGTCACTTGCCTCTCGCTGCGAGATGCGAGTTGTAGAGCTGCCGCCAGTGATTATGATGTCTGACGTGTCAATGTCCATCCGCGCTCTGTCCACTGGGTACAGGGCCGCTCCGTTCCTTGCCTGGAAATGAGCAGTCTATGAGAATACAAGGCCATGGAAAGTGTGTTAAAGGGGCATGGGAGCACTTTTAAAAATAGAATTAAACAGAAGGTCAATTGGTTATACAGGAGATATGATAGGCTCAAAGAGGGAAATGTCGCAATCACTCGCTTCTCCCAATGAAGGAGAGTTGTCCAGCGATTCTAATTACAGAGCACAGTATCATCTGCTAGTTGACAGCAGCACTACAACTGTCATGAGCCACTCACCCGTTCAGCATAAATGCAGGGCGGTGCTGCTGTTAACATACAAATGACATTTCGCTCCACGCACTGAATTGCAGTACCGCCCAAACCTGTGCAATCATCACACTTCCTTTTTCTAGCCCGCTATACTGGAAGCACCATGAAGACAGCGGGAGAGTAACGAAGAAGCACATTGTGGGTGATATTGTCACGAATGACGAGGTGGCGAAACAAAGAATAACAGAGGAAACTGAAACGTTTAATGGGGTGAACTTGTGCCCAAAACAAAAAGGAAACAGAAGATAACAACAGAGCGTCGCGGGCGTCGAAGCCGGCGTAACAGCAGGATCGAACATTGGCGCAAGACTGACTGTGGCTAGCCAAGCGGAGCCCCTTTTGTACACGCATGGGCTTCTGGATCAATCGACGTAGAAGGTTCGCGCATAGAACTTTCTAACCTCGAATCAGCAACACGGTTCTCGAATTTACGAGAACATATTGATACAAAGTCAACGAAAATGCGTATCCGCGGCCAGGAATAAAATTTTGACTTCTTGCGTGGAAGGCAAGCACGATAGCTGTTAGGCCACGAGTGCGCTGCCTGGTTGGTCAGCTGCGCGCGTGGCAATATTCCCTTCCTCTATGTGCACATTGCAGGACAGAATGTGCCCTTTGAGAACACCGAGAGCCTGAGAGAGGGAGTAGAAATATTAGGTTATCTTCTCAGCCGACGTTTCAGTTGCGATCTTGGTGACTACCACTGGTTCTTGTGCACTCTATATTTCATAAAAAAATATTCACCTTATGACTGCAGAAAACTAGGTGCATATTTCATGCACCCTAAGCTTAGGGCTTGTGCCTTCCACAATGCTGCACACAAGGCACAAGGGCCTGTGCACATCCAAGATGCTTTCCTGAGCTTAGCACTCAACTGCCATAATGCTGCATGAAGACATGTTCATAAAAAAGGCTCTTAGCTAATGATCAAAAAGAGTAGTGTTCTGGACTACGGCATGCACAGCAGTTACTGAATGGTGATGCAAATTTACGATATCCTAAGTTAGTTTAAATATGTACAGCAACTACAGAAGTGTAACTTACAAGTCATGACTTGGTTTTCTGTGACCAGGACTTGTGCATCACTTTCTAACGACACTACCGTAATATCCTGAACGTACACCCAACCTCGAACTTTGGCCCACCCCCCTGTTATGTCAAAATATCTCTGTCAAAGAAAATCCTGATAAATCGCCCACCCCCCAAAACTAGCAATTCCGAAGAACTGGGGACACCTGGGCAGACCTTTCTTTATAAAAGTCTCCAGATGCACCTATGTATGCACCAAACAAGAAAGATGCACAAGAGCCTGCTCCTTGTGATCAACAAAATGCCCGACTCGGCCCGAAGCCAAAGTATTCGCCAACGCCAATCGCCGGCTCTCCCGCTTCCCCAGCATCGCTCTTTGTCGCTTCTTTAGCCCGCCCGCTCGCTCGCTCGTTGGTTGCACCTGGTTGGTTTTTATATTTTCTTGTTGACTTTTTTTTTACTCCTTCCATTTTTTAATCAACAGATCAGCAAAAGCTAGGAAGCCTAACGAAGGGAACATAGCGGCTTTAGAAACATGCTTTCACGGAACAAGCGTTCGTGCCGTATGCCAATCGGTGTTCATCGTGTGTGTGCAAGCAATGGACTTCACGATAGCAAAACATTTTTTCAAAAAGGCGGGTGGGCGAATCTCAAAAGTCCGCCCACCTGACTTTTTTTTTTTTTTCTAATTATCTTTTGTGAAAAGGTGGGTGTTTGTTCAGGATATTACGGTACAAAACTATGTTTAAGGTGCATGTAAATGCCCGCAGTAAAATTGGGTAGTGATTTTTCCTCACTCTTCAGCAATTATAATTAGTGATGGACCGAATCTGCCGAACTTCAGATTCGGCAAAGTTCGGCAAATGCCGAACTTTTGCAGGAAAGTTCGGCAAAGATTCGGCGAAAATTCGGCAAATGTCTGCGCAGACGCGAGAACGCGAAGGAGCCTTCGACTGCAAATGGACGCCGTGCAGTCGTGCGGTTACCATCGTGCAGTGTAGTACAACCAACGGTTACGGCGCGGTGTGGGGTAGGCAACACGGTAACTGTGCGTTTGTGAGCGAATGTGGTTTTCTTTAATATTTTCTGCCTCAAGATTAGAAGATCGACCAGTAATTTACGCAGTCCACTTCGCAAGTGACAAAGGATGCGGTGCATTCTGAGACATTGGCCGACAATTACATTAAAGCACTCCTCGCAATTATAACAATTCTGTTTTCGGCTCAGGGGTAGTGTGTTCCAAAACAAAATAATATTGCTTTTTCAATTAGCGTTATTTCGCGATTTTCATGTCTCTGCAGAAAACTAAACACGCAACTATAATACATACTCGACGTTACACATCCGACATTTACTCTCCCTATCTTCCAAACGTTTGTGTGTGTATAACACCAGAAACAGGCATTTTAAAGGTTAAAAACGAGACGTTGCAAATATGGAACGCACACTTTCATTAAAAGCTGACGTCAAGTGACTCAAATCGATGAACATGCATATTTACAATATTATTATTCTTTCTTCTGGTGAAGGCTCAGTAACCGTTACATTCGTTTTCGCGCACGAAACGGTGACTCCCAGAAAAAGCAAGAACGCAGCGTTATTGCCCTCATTTTAGCAATGCACACACATGCAGGCAGGGGCGGATGCAGCAATTTCCTGAGGGAGGGGTCAGGTGTTAGTCAGCGTACCATATGCTTAGAAACCCCTCCCTCCTTCCTTCGTTTTGTGCCCCAAATTTTACACATGCAGAAATCAAGAGGGGGGTCAGGACATCGGGACCCCCCCTCTAAATCCGCCCCTGCATGCAGGCTTGCGCTGATAGTGCCTCAAAACCGAAACTCTTGTAGCGTGATTCGTGACTGCGCCACGCTCGCTTCTACCCAACCTCGTTGTCACGCCACTTCTGCAAGGAGTCACTAAAATTGCCAGTAAACACACAAAAACGACACCGATAAAATTATCTTGCAGAATATCACCTTATTTTGTAAACATGTTGCATTTAAGGTAAGAAAAAAAGAAACATAAAACCTTTTTTTCGCCAGAAAAAAAACGAAATATTAACGAGTTTGGTAACAATGTATTTTTGCCGAATCTTTAGAAAAGTTCGGCAAAAGTTTGGCTTTGCCGAATCCCAAGATTCGGCACCGAACTTTCGATTCGGCAAAAGTTCGGCCCATCACTAATTATAATGCAAATGAACCATTTTTGGGGCATTTTGCTGTTAGCAATGTGGGGCTATTCTGTTTCAGTCCCCATTCGTAATTGGTATTCACGAGTCAAAAGTCCAAATGCAAACAAACGAGTTTGTATGAGTCGTCGGCATACCGGACTTGGGGCATCACCCGCTGCTCTGGCATCGAGTGCATCTTGACGATCCTGGTTTTCCAGCATCTCGTACAGGTACCTCTGTGAACGGAGGTCAAATCAACACGCTATACCTTAGCTTGCAACCACATAGGGTAAGCGGCACAAAATGTTTTGATCCATTGCAGACAGTGAGTTTCATACTGTTTTTAGTGAAACAATTGGTCTTTAGTACACACACTGCATTAGAAGATAGACAAACATTTAGTACTCACAATGCATGGACTCACGTCGAAGTAGACAAATATCAACTGATTTGGAGTCAAAGAGTAACATTGCAAAGTCAAAGCAACGTCCAACCGTGTTGAAAGCAATTGACCTACAAATAAGCCGACTTATTTGTAGGCAGTAACAAAATCTGCTGCTACATAAAATACCCCTGTTGTACCAGCAGTTAGGTTTACCACAGAAACCTTGCACAATGTTTTATAACAGTTATAACTGGGACTGTTAAAATTAATTATACTCAAAACATTGGACAATTATGACCATGAATGCTTCAGTAAAGGCTTTCACAGTCCTCTGCAGCAAGGGAATAGTGATAAAGGGGGGTATCACCCCCAGACATATTTTATTTCTAGTAAACAATATAAGGAGAAGGGGGAAAAGCCTCTCTTTTTTACTTCTGACCTAAATCCCCAAAACACTTCTGAAAGTAGTGCCCTGCAGGATATAGACCAACACGCGTCTTTGACCTTATGTTTCTGGGTGGCGCTGTTGTCACCACGGCGCCTGCGCAGAAGCTTCTCGTCACGTGAACCTGGTTTCTGCGCTCGCGCAGTGCCCACACCTGGTGTGGGCAAAAGCGGGTTTGTTTGTAAACAGCGTGTCAGTCTATAGTACTCTCCCTTACCTCTAATATTCTTCCGTGAGCTGTCACAATTGCTGTTGCATGCACCACAACTGATCATGCAGCAAGTAAACTCCAAAGTTTTAATCCTCATCTAAAATGACAGTTCAGTGTCCTTCCTGCATGTGCATGTGATCACAAAAACATTGCAGGAAACGAGTAAGGATACATGAACTTTGTGGCACGATATCTTGCCACGGTCGTCGAGGCCCAGGAGGATCTTGTGACGGAAGAACAAACTGTTGATGCTGGCGATGCACCGTTCGAGCATGTGCAGCAGCTGCGCAGAGGCAAGAATATGGATGTTTAAGTCATCAATGCAATGCCACCAACATTTTCACTGCAGAGCCCAGCCCTACATTTAAAAGCAAGGCGACATGGTGAAAACTGAGTCCCAATACTGCCTAAGGAAACATTATGACCAACTTTTACATAATTTACTTTCTGAAAACTTTCATGTTATGCAAATGAACAGGAAAGTTCCAGGTTGCCATCAAACAGCCACACAGAACTACCGTAAAGTACTAGGCATGCCCCCATGTCACAATAAGCATCCATCCGCTACTTTTGAGACATTGGAAAAATAAGCAAAGGACATGTCAAGCACCCACCCCAGACTTCTAGCCCTATTTAGCTAATCAAGATGCCTCTCCACGTCGGCCGCTTTTCCGATCACGCCAGTGCAAAGTGGCGAAACCCGATGCACGTGTGCCGGTGCAAGGCGGTGAAGCTTGGTGCGTATGCGCCAGTGCAAAGCAGCGAAGTTTGCCTTATCATGTGCTCCTTCTGCACTTTTGCACTTTGACCTAACAAGCCTCCATCTCCCAGTTTTTCGAGATTATCTCCAAATTTTATGTTGGTGCTTGCTCACCATTTTACGGTAGAGAGATCCAGAAAGAGGCGGAAGATTGTATTAGTTAGAATGGCACACAAAAACACATGACAATGGTAAGTCGTTTTGTCCTGACATCCACCTTCGACATGTACTTGTCCATCAACTAATTCTCCCAAAAACCACGCACTCTATAGACTGGAAACATTCTCGGAAAAACGGCAAAGTGGAATGCAAAATCCTCGAGATGGCCCACCTTAAACTTGAGCCACATGCAGACGAAGATGCCCATGGCGTTGACCACAAGCCAGACAACACCCCCACCAAAGAGGGCCAGCCCCCGCACCCCGGAGAAGAGGAGGCAGAGGAGGATGAAGAAGCCCAGCAGCACCCAGACGAGCAGCAGGCGCTTGTAGCACACGTTGTACAGCGTGAAGCGCACGTCGTGCACCAGCACTTGCATGGCCGCCACATACTCTTCCACTGTCAGCTGCAATGCCAACGCCACGTCTCACACTCTGGGGGAGAAAAAGTAATGGCGTTGTTTTTATGGTTAGACAGCGTAAACGTGTATCGCGCAGTAGTAATACACAACTGCAAGCCGGCAAGGTGCTCGTCCAGATGGAAACTGGCAGGGGTGGAGACTGAGCCCAGGATTGCTGGGTTCTGCAGAGCGAGCTTTGGTTCCCAGAGTTGCGGTGCGCTAACACACTCTGCCATTGATCCCCCCTGGGGAAGAAGCCGAGGGGCTAGTGTTAAAACACGGAAAGAAACCATCCGTGGTTTCAAGTGAGGCCAACAGTAGAGCCTCGCTCATACATTCTGGGTTGGTACCATTTTCCGGCTGTCATGATCTCAAGCGCCAGTCCCGTTGAACTCCCTAGGGGTATGTGTATCAAGTTCTGGTCTGCATTTGCCTTCCCATTGTTATGTCTAAAAACCGCCACCTGACTGTTGTGCTCAGTTCCCCTGGTTCTGCTAGTTTCATTTCGCATTGCCGATTATGGCATCGTAGAAAAGGAAAGCTTTTTATCAACAGTGCCAGCCATGTCCCTGTCTAAACTTCGAGAGGATGATGCAGCCCCCGTAGCGAGCAATGAGCTAAAGAAAAGTCGCCCCTTTGCCTTATTAGCATGGCAGAGGCAGTGGTAACACAGAATGTGATTTGTTAGTGTGGAGAGGCCGAGTATAAATGTGGAGACTGGATGGCGCGAAGCGTCCCCGTGTTGTGCAAGGTAAGCGCATGAGCACTTTGTGGATGCCTTACATGTGGGTGCCGCCATGTGCAGTTGCAGTGCAAGTGCGACTTTCTCATAGCCTGCTGAAGAGTGAGACGCCCTTGAAAAAAACATGCAGAAAACTGAAGAATTGAAATGCAGCAAAAGAGAACAAGACGCTCACAGCAAAGTGTGCGTCTGCTCTCTTTTTTTTTCTTTCCGACGCCTTCCCGCGCTCTTTCTCTGGGTTAACCTGGAGCGTGCTCATTTCACAGAGCACAATGCCGCTGGCACCACAGTATGTCTGAACACGTGATGTCTGTCCCTTGCCGAGATTTACACTGAGGAACTCATGGAAGAGGCTCGGCTGGCACCGGTGTCAAATAAGTGAGGAGACAAGTGCTGCATCAGCGTTCGGCTGGCAGTTGGCCTGTTGACTTCCGTTGCAGGCACTTACCCAAATATGGTTAGGTGCCAGCCATATAAGACATGCTGCGTTGAAAGTCACGAAGCGAGACTTTGCAAAACAGCTGGATGGCAGCTGCTGTGATAAGGTAAAACCAGTTTCCTACTCTTGAAAAGATCCAATGATTATCTTGTTAACCACGTGCCTTGATGCCATGGCCCTCACTTTGCGCCGCTCATGAAAAGTTTGTCTTCCATTGGTGCATGTGTCGAGCTTCACTGCTTTGCAGTGGCATATTAGGAGGAGCAGCAACCGACACGGGGGAAATTTAGGTTAGCTCAATAAATCCGTGAAGCTTTTTTGTTTGTTTTTTTATTGCAATTACAGCTTAGGCATTACTTTTAAAACCCAGTGCTGAAAAAAAATGCTGAGATATATTTTAATGGATATACACGGTTCTCCACAGCTGAAAAAATCTACATAAAATAAATGGTTTTAGCGGCGAAGCTCGTTAGGGTCTAGCCTTGTCCGTCCGGCGTCCGTGCTCACATAAATTGCCATCTCATCTGTCTTCTTAAAAAAAAAAAAAAAATGCTTGCGCAGTCGACAGGATTCGAACCTGTGTGGGGAGACCCCAATGGATTTCTAGTCCATCGCCTTAACCACTCAGCCACGACTGTGGGATGAGTAGGGGGCTCTGAGATGTGGTAGTAACTCAAGAGCTGGGGATGTCATGGATGAAACGTTGCATGTAGCCGCTCAACGTCTATACAGGAGAGGGCGCTGCGGTCAAATGCATATATAATCGCATTAAACTTTGCACGCATTGGCTCAACGTTTATAGATGAGAGGGCGCTGCGGTCAAATGCTGAAATGCGTATATAACCACATTCCATACCACACATTCTCTTTCTGGCATCAGCACTACCTATAAACAAAATCAGTATCATCAGCACCACCACAGCTTCGCCCCAATCAACATCATTCACCACGTGGAGATGCGGTCATTTTTGTGAGAGCTTCTTCCTGGCTCATCCATAGCCTTCCCAAGCGCATTACATATCGGTTCTAACATTTTTTTTTAGATCATACGTTAGTTTACCACAGCTGTCTAAAAAATGTATCGAAGGGATTTTATTTTGTATATCACCGTCCCACTTTTCTGGCTAAATATCCGCAAAATAAAAATTCAGAAACATCGCCCACGCCCCCTTGATTCCCGTCGGACATAACGTGATGTGCGACGGGAATCGGGGACGGGGACGGGAATCACATTAACTATGCAATCTGCGGTACCAGTATGTATGACAAGTAGGTTCGCAGCGGGTTCCCCCGTTTCTGTCCGCGATCCGCGCGCGCAATATCGGTTCCCATGTCACACAAGTCTAGCCAGTTTCCGCTTGTTTATCGCATCGCAAAACATGAATCTGCTGCGTCCGCAGTCTGCGGTAACCCTTTCCGTGACACAGGAGTTCGCAGCAAATTCCCACGTGCTTATAGCGTTGAGAAACGCGAATGTGCCATGTCCGCAATCTGCAATATCGGTTCCAGTGTCACGTGGTTTGAAGCAGATGCCCCTTGTATTTACCATTAAATTTTTTATAAAATTTTGCTGTCTCATCCCTAAAGATAGCCCACCTCATGTTTTCCACCATTTATCTTTTCATTGTGGATGGGCAACCTTACGGAATTTTATGGTAATTAGCTTGCAATGCAGTCGAGGTACGGTTATTACACCTAAAGACTGCACCTTTACGAGGACTTCATTTCTGCAGATTTTACAAATTTTGTGAATGATCATTTGAAATGTAGGAGCTGCAAACATGTCCAGTCTGCTTGTTTCCGATTAAAAAAGAATCTGGGTTATGACAGTGAAGTGCTATTATTGTGAAACATTCTTTGGCTAGGTGTTTGGCATTTCGTGAAGCCCAGATAAAAGCATGGCCGCGAGGTTCGACACTGATTGGTTGATGGGTTGAAGAGGAGCAGTGAGGTGTGCGATCCTGATTGGTTAATGAGGAGGTCATGTGACCAGAGGGGTAGGCGGAGCTCAATCACCTGTGCACACTGAAGGAGAGTATCTCGAGAGTATGAGGGCTCTGGAAGACCGCCAGGTTTAACAGCCTGATTAGGAACAACTATCAAGTTTAACAGCCTGATATTAGAAACAAATATCAAGTGTACACATGGCACGCGTTAGAACTATCTGATGAAGAGCGCCGTGAACGTAGGCGTCTGGAAACTCACAGTACCGCTAAATGTTTGTGATGCTAGAATGCTTCATATGTGCAACACCATTACCTAGCAATTCGCCATAAATTTTTTTAGAGCAGTAGGTGAGCCTGAGGCATGCACATTTATTTGGGCCCTGCCCAGGACCATAATTTCTTTTCCGTCACAAAACACTGCCTTTTCCCACACCGCCCAGTCAGCTTTATGAGAATGCTCCTTGCTAATGAGCTTCACAAGGCACTGGGCAGGTCGTGTACTTGAAAGGCTTAAAGGGATACTGAACCAAAGATTTTAGTGCCCACAATAAGTGGCGCACATTCTTTCCACGAGCCAGCAGCCACCGGTGTGCGCGAGCACACGCAACGAAAATGACGTCTCCATTCGCACTTAAAGGGCTACTCCACCGATTTTTTCATTGTCTCCGATTTGCTTGAAATTTTGCTAAACTAACCAACAAACATCGCGAAAATAGTATCCCAAATATTAGGTCAAAATATTGATTTTTCGCGAAGTTATTGAATTTACAGTTTTGGTCCTCACCGTGTTTTTCAAGCTCGAAGTCTCTACTGGCAACAGTGAAAAAGTGACGTCAGTGGAAGGCACGGGTTCACTCTTTGGGCTGTAGATTTTGTTTTAAACTGATTCGAAGCAGTTTCATGGTGTCAAATGAATGCTTGGGAAGCTCGCTGCAGTACCCGCGCTCCAGCACGGAGCAAATGATCGGCATATTCTATTTCTTGGCTGCTTGCTCGACTGGCAAGCCTGCCTGCCACTGACGTCACAGCCCTGAAAAGCGCGCGTATATTTGAATGTTGGTTTGCGCGCGATTTTCATTTGCCAATTTCGCAATAACTATTATGAATTTCGCGATTCTATATAGCATACCGGAGAGAGTAAAGGCCGGGGAGTCAGAAAATATAGTTAGTTGAGGTAGCTCAAAAAATCGGTGGAGTACCCCTTTAAGAGGACAGTGAAATGCATGGGCTTGGAGCCAAAGGAGAATAAAGACAGGTTTTTCATCTCCACAAGTGAAAGCTACGTCCTTGTTACACCAATTAATTGCTTACCTTTTACGCCAGACACCACTGTGTAAATGAAAAACTTGTCTTTATTCTCCTTTGGCCCGAAGCCCATACATTTCACTGTCATCTTAACCGCGAATGGCGGTCTCTGACGTCGTTTTGGTCGCGTGTACTCGCGCACACCGGCGGCTGCTGGCTCGTGGAAAGAACGTGCGCCACTTATTATGGACACTAAATTCCTTGGTTCAGTATCCCTTTAAGAGTTACATGCAACAGTTTACTTTTTAAACCAGCTGGCTGCAGGCCCCACTAAGCAGAAGCTTCAGATTGTTTATCATTATATTGAGCAACATGTTGCACAGAAGTACAAAACTAAAGTGTAGGGTCTAACTTGAGAAGGAGACTTCAAAAGTGACCTACCGTGAGGCCTGAAGCCATGAGTTCCTCAGGAACCAACTCGGGTTTGAACTCTGCTTTAGTGATCCAGGCACAACGCTTGTTCGTTGGCAAAGCATTTACAATGACATCTCCGTTGCCTGAAACAAAGAAATCAAGACCAATGAGTCATTCAGAAGTCATTCCTAACACACAAAAAGAAACAGACGTACCAAACAGCAAGATTAAATGGCAAATACCTAGAAACATGGCATTCTCTTTGTTACCACATTACAACAAACTTAGAACATCGTAGGTGTATATACTTAATTTCACCTTATGATGGACTGCTGCGGATGCTACGAGCCATCCCAGCTGATCCAGCGCTAGGGTGACCACCCGTCCCGCGATTTGCGGGACTGTCCCGTATCGAGTGCTGGTGTCCCGCGTCCCGCAATAAATACTAAAATCTTCAAAATGTCTTGCTTATAGGTCGTAAAGTGTCGTAAAATTCATTACATAAATTGTGGTGCTCCCAAACAACGTGGCACGGGAAAACGCGAAAGTCGCTGTTAAGCGTGGGAATCATGATGGTATGCAATTTTCTATTCAGGCACTGCGAGAAGCGACCGTCGTTATTGCAGGAGACGGATGAACATGCGCCCTTGTGCGCATGTTCGTCCATCTTCCCCCATCCCCCATCAAGGGGAGACTTGATGGCAAAATATTGCAAGCGAAAATTGACCGCCTGAAACCAAAACTATTGTACTTATTTGCAAATCACGCTGTGTCATGCGAAGGGGTTGTTTTAGAAAGCTTTTTTATTGCAGGAGACGGCCACACAAGGCAAAAAACCTGCTAATCACAAAGGTTGAAAACAAACAAACACAGGTTATAATTTTTTGTAGGAGCATGTTAGTATAAGAATGTAGGCTGGAAACAATAAGCCAAAACATATTTAATACTCCATATTTCCTTTTGATGCATTGGGGTCTGCTGCAGTCGAGGTTTATGTTTTCAGCTTAGACACCTTTAAAAATATATTTAATAGTCGTGTGCGAATAGTGGATTTTGAGTTCGAAGCGAATTCAAAGCGAATAGTGGTTTTGGCCGAACATTTTTTATTTGAATATCGAATAGTTTTTCCACGCCATTCACTACTATTGCATAATGCTTAGACGACAACCCAGCTAAACCTGCGAAGGCTACTCCACTTGTTCATTTATAAGCTAAGTTTAATCTATCTATATTTATGAACTGTGACCTCAGAAGGTCAGATGTCTTGGGATGACAAGTTAGTGACAGATTTGATATAAAAGGAATCCTATAGAGGCGGCCAACTATAACAATTGAGTGAATTTACAAATCTTGCTATATAAAATATTCTTCCTTTAATCTCGAGTTCAAAAAGAATGAATCGCGCATGATGAACACAGGTTGTGAAAGCATCTCTGCCTAACATAGTGCACTCTTGCACAAAAGTTTAATTTTGAAACTTTTACTACAATGTAGATGATATACAAATTCACAAAGTTTCGATTAATTTTCAAATACAGTCGGCACGGGTGCACCATCCCGCTTTGAATGTATGTTTTTCTTCCAAGCATGCAATTACGATATTGTTTATCGCGGCGGGGGACCCCATTAAGTGCGCTTCTTACCGAGCACCGATGTAATGCAGAGAAGCAACAGCCGGGAGCTCACTATCACGGGCTTGGCTTCTCCGCAGCGCACCGGTGCTTGATAAGAAGCGCACTCAACGGGGCTAACCCGCAGTAATCATCACTTCGAAAAACGCGAATAGTGCAGTTCTTTTCGAAGCGAATATCGAATAGTGTATAATTCGGAACTACTATTCGAAATTCCTAATATTCGCACAACCCTAATATTTAACATTATAACTGAACAAAAATACATCACTGTGCATGAAAATTATTTTAGCCTAAATGCCACATCACACTTTTCAGGTATATAATATGCTTTCGGACAGGTCAGGATTCCGGGGTGTGCGTCTTGATGAATAATTTCCTTAATACATTTTTTTTCAATCGTAACCCCCCCCCCCGTTCAGGGTGTCCCGCATTTTGCCAGCAGGAAGGTGGTCACCTTATCCAGCGCTGTGAATGAATCGCGTCACAATGCACATCACGATTCGCTGCTCCCATCCCAAAGGTCACGTGACAGTGACAAAACACTGTAAAACAGAGTATACTGCCAACTATTTCATCTGTCAATGTAAAAAGGCAGCTCTTCAATGAAGGACCACTGAAGGCTAAAGAAAGCATAACCAGATCTCGATGTAGCGAACAAATCTGGTAATTTAAAATGATGTCGTTGAATGGAAACGGTGAAACCTTATATCTAAATTGCCCTGACAACCACAGAATTCCACAAACGTTAGTGGTTGATGCTTTTCATACTGCATTAGTTAAGCGTGCTGGAGGTCCCATGGCCCACAGTAGTAACAATATTAAAAACTGGCTACATGCTTGGTCATTCTGCCAAACACATTAAGATGCAATAGCTTTACAGGGTGGGTGGTGCTTTCAGTTCGGGTGGTGCATTGGGCAGGATGACCCTTAGTCTTTCAGTGCCTGGGGCAAGTGATGCTCTTAGTTCAGGTGGCACCTAGGGCAGGGTTTTGTATAGAAACAAATTACATTACACCATTCTCTTTTTTTTTTCTTTGTGCCCCAGAACAACTTAACAGTTTTGATGTTGTAGCACAAGATAGAAAATTTAAGATACTATTCATATACTTATGAATAGTATAGTCATAATGGTACTATTCTTCCTTGAAGGGAAAGAAAACATAGATAGTGGTGCCTACAAAAGCAAGCAGGAGCATGCAACTGTATAGAGTTTAGCAGGTCAGCACTCAAGTGATCATGAATTACTTTGTGTAGAAAGGGAGTAACACGAGTTAGTCAACAAGTGGAGAGATTTTGTAAATGACGACTTTTGAGTTTCCACATTAAGCGCCTATTACCAAATTTGTAAGATCTGAGAAAATATGCATGGTACATTTATGTGTAAAATTCATGACCGGACAAGCGCCCATCCCCCATTTTTTCGCGATTATCTCCAAAGTTTGAGTGGGCGCTCGCCCGGTATTTTACGGTAGTTGTAGTCATAAAATGACAGGAGGACAGTCAAGACGGCTTACGTGTGGGAGGCGAAAGCATTATAGTCCCGCGGGAGAAGTGTTTTCAAGTAACGTTTCTACACATATTGAAGTTTACGAAAACGTATAGGATGACATCCTAGAGATTGACGCCAAGTACGGCATCTAGGACGATCTCAATGACGATGTCGAGGACGACGTCAAGGACTGCGTCTAAGATGATGCCAAGGACAATCTCTCGGACGATCTCAAGGACGACGTCAAGAACGGCGTCTAGGACGACGTCAAGGATGACATTTAGAGGACAACAACAAGAACGACTTCTCGGACGACGTCTAGGACGACCTCAAGAACGATGTCTAGGACGACGTCAAGAACGACGCCAAGAGGACACTTAAAGGGTAACTGCAAAGAAAAAAAAGTTTTTTTTAAACAGCCTAATTGGGAAAGCATGTCACAAAACAATTTTTCTGCGAAAAAAAAACACATTTTACAGCAACATTTATATGCTGTACGTATATACGTCTGCTATACGTCACGGAGTGACATGCGACAGCAACTCTTCTCATTGGCTAAAAGATTGCTTGACAGCTTAGACCTTGATTGTTAAACCTTTGTGATAGGTATGTTGCAATTTCCTTTTGAGCGGTATATTTTTTTGTTTAAAGAGTAACCCATGTAATGCAAGTCATCATTCTTTACAAAAGGTTTACAAAACAGGCACTTCTGCTTGGATTCATACCACAACAAATATAAAGCTTTTCTATTCTTTTCATGGCCGCCGAAGCCTCTGCTCCCGCCTGTCTCGCCTACCTCGACTAGTCGTTTCGTCTCGGTGAGTATTTCGTGTTGACCCAGGTGCTTGAGCGAGACTTACTGAAGTAAAGTAATGTGCGTTTAGCAGCTGTTGCAAGTCTTAGTGATAGGACGCGACGGGGGGTTTTGGCTTTTGTAGCGCAGTTTGTTACTTTCGCTTTCCTCTGCTTCATTAGCGTGCTTTTTTTTCTTTTTTTTTTTTTTTGCTTGCGTGTGTTAATGTTCGACTTTTTGGAGATGTCAGCTCCTGTAAAGCGGCATTGTTGCTCTGTAAAGTGCTGCCAGATGAGTGATCGTGACAGTGAGTCTTCCAGCAGCCATGCCGCCCCGAAAGATGAAAAGCTGAATGCTATTTGGCTGGAGGCAATCGGGCGTTCGCGTAGCGACAAACGTGTCTGGATATGATCTCGTAATTTCGCTCCAGAGGCCTTCAAGATTCGCACCGGGTGCACCGACCGTCCACGACTGTGACACAGCTGTCACATAAAAAACCTGGTACAGTCAGGTTATTACGTGACAGCTGTCTGCAGGAGCATTCAAACGTCCGAATTCTGTGTTAGCCGACAGATTTATGTAAAGTTGTTTGAACTAAATGTGTAGTGCACTGGTCCCTTCCTACCTGTAAAGTGTCAACCTCCCACGACGAGTGGTATTCTCTAGAGCCTGCGATGTCCAAAATTTAGTTAACCTGGGGCATAATGTAAAATATATATGGGCGGTTTCATTTGGATTCAGGCAATGAGGTGGAGTCGTATTTTTTATTTTGCTTCAAATTTTTATATTTCGTGGCGCATGTTCCAAAAAGAACAATTCTTATTATTTTAATGTCCTGACATGTTTAGTTTCTGAGAAAAAAAATCTCAAAGAAGTGGGAAAGAACGACGAGGTTTTGATGATTGTCGTGTGTGGCGTTTTTGAATCACTCGAAATTTCAAAGTACCTATTCAAAAGAGAGCGTCTATATTTTTTTATTGTGATATATATGCAAATAGGTAAAATGACATTATAACTACTTTTGCTAATTGCTTGACTCTCGAAAAGAGTCGAGAGTGGTTCTCAGGACCCAAAAGTAAAGCCTAAACAAAGGCCTCAGGTGATTCCATATTTCACAGGTTTCACATAATTTTAAAAAAGTGGCTAACCGCTTCAATGTGCCAATGGTTTCCACTGCACCTTGCAAATTAGCACAACTTTGCCTGTGTGTAAACCAGGCAGATCAGGCAAGAAGTAAAAAGATGTCATGTATGGTTAAACATGTCAACAAGGTTGTAGATTGCGTGGTTGTCCACGCAATCTACAATCGTTGTCATGCGGCCGGGTTTATATAGGGCAATCGGTAGGCTGTGTCAATGAGAGAATGTGTGAACATGCCCTTTTCCTGCGGTCAATGACGGGAGGTCACTTGTATGTACACTGCAGAGACCGCCTGTGTCATCCCGTCTTCGAAGATATCATAATCATTGGCAGGGGGCGTACAAAAGTGCAAAGAGAGGTGCTGGAGGCGCATGCAATAGAAAAAGCTGGCTCAAGGCACTGCGTCAGCCAGCCTTCAGTTTATCTACAGAAAAAAGAGATAGATTTTGTAGATGCCTGGTGAGCGATGTGCCATTGGTTGTTACGGCGTCGGTTGGCTTTGTGGTGCTTTCTTGTTTGAGCCGTTTTAATTAAAACTTCAGTTGATAGTTAGCACTCGTCCTGTGCTCTACCCTCGTTGTCCTTGTCTTTTTTACGCGCTGTTCCCAATTTCTTACGCCCGCTGAAGCAGAATAAGTTCTGGGCTGCATAAACATACTCTCATATTTAAGAAAAAAAAAACAAAAACATAATTGATTACATAACAAATAAAAAGAAGCGAGAAGGTGAAAAGCGGGAGAGAAAAACGCCAAAAATAAAAAGGGCACATGTGCGTGGGGGAATTTTTTTTTCGCGTTGTGGTATTTTTTTTTAATGTCTATGACTACAACTTGCATTGTTTTAGACAACAACAAAAAATAAGACCTTTGGGGTGTCAGTGCCCCTTTAAAGTAGAAGGAAAGGTGGTAAGCTGGGCAAGTTGTTCAGTGTTAGGCATACTAAGAAACAGTGCTCAAAAGGCCGAACAAAGGAAAGGAACAGCCACGACAAATAGATAACAAAGCCGGCTAATTTTCTGGGCTTCGACACCTGTTTATCGTGTATATTCCTTCTATTTGTCCAGCCTTTTGTGTATCGTTGTTCACTATGTTCCTCAGAGAAGCCAGAGACAGAGGTGGTGGTTGGGGGGGGGGGGGTACGCACTGAATCCTGACGAGGAGGTGGTCCTGGTTGCGAGGCGCTCGCTGAGTGGCACGGCCAGGGGCTCCACCCTGCGTGCCGAGGGCAAAGCTACGTGGTTGTTGTTGTCCCCGGGCTGGGCCGACGCCCGGGGCTTGAGCCTGGCTGGGGCGGGGGGGCAGACCGCGCCGGCGGGGGCCGACGGGCTGCCCACCAGGGGGGGCCGCGGGGGAGGCAGGGGGCCCAGGTCCGGACGGGGTTCCGGGGAAGGCACTGCACAGGGCCCACAGGCAGAGGTTAATCCAGGATTGACAATTTAGCAGGAGTGTAGCAAATTTCTGGGAGGGGCTCTGGCAGGGGGTGGGAAGTATTCGCAACTCCAACGCCCTATAGGTGGCGGGGCGGTAGTTCCAAGATGGCGGAAGAGACGGGAGTAGATTCTCCAGGATATCCCGTGTACCTGCTCGCTGACGCTGTTCAGCGCTCTTAAAATGATTTATTTGTCTACAAATGCTAAGTGGTTGGGGAGGGATCATATTACAGGTGACGGAGATGCTGATGCACGTTAGGAACACGAGCAGGCTGCTATTTAGAAGTTGCAGAAACCTCAAATTGCGCAGCTTTGTGGTGAGCGTGCGCGTTTTAGACACCGGTCACGTTACTGTTTGTGGCAGAATATTTTTGAGGGTGATGAAGATATGCTTGCGCTTTGCCTGGCCATTAGTGCTCTAAAAAGAGAGTCGCGAACGGTGACCGTCAAGCTTCGGAGGATCAGCAATACACAGTATTGGTGTCTTCGCGTTACAGCCTCACAACTCGCTCCTCATTGTCTCGGTTTTAGTGTATTGCAACACGTAATCAAGCTGCTCTATGCTTATGGATAGAAAGTTTGTTATCGCAGGCTACCGTTCAGTGTAGCATTACAACCGGAAGCTCGCGCTGCGCCTTTGAAGCACAATTTTCAGTGCGTGCCAGGAGCGTTGCCGTGCTTTTCACTCTAAAAAAAAAAATGTTGTACTTTTTACACCTCTTGTCACATATACGACACTCCAAAACTTCAGTTCGCCGTGCAGCCCACTGACGTCAAACTGACGGCCCCAACTTTTACGAGAGGCTTGATTTAAACAGCTAAAGTACGCATCAAAGAGTACCGAAAAACAAAAACGCAGAGGTTTTGCAGTAAAATTAAAAAAAACCGACTACATTTTTTTAACAGTCATTTACACTTATTTAAGCTATTTTAATAAGTTGCACAACTCGGTTATCAAGCCGCTCGTGAAAGTTGGCGGCGCCAGTTGAACGTCAGTGCGCTGTACGTCCAACTGAAGTTTAGGGGTGTCGTACGCTATGCAAAAGCTGCCTATTAATATAATCGGCGTGTTTAGGGGTTTCATTTATTGCTCTAACAAAAAAAAAATAATTTAAAATACTGTACATTTTTGTACCGTGTTATTTGAAAACATTGCGGTCCCTCTGGCCAAAACTGCGCGTTCTAAGCTCTCGTCACGAACGGCTGGCTAACCCAGACACGCTTGAAATGTTTCGAGCATTTTTTTTTATTTGCTTTGTAATTACCTGAAAGCAAGTACGGGTATTCTGTATTATTAAAGTGCTTGGAATAAATGGTCATGTTCCTTGTAACGGCCTTAAAACGCGAACCCATTCTCGATTTGTATTGGTCGACACATTCCGTTGCGCGACGAGTTTTATCCTACTTATGGCAAAGAATAGACTTTCCGTAGACCGTACTATACACCAACTCATCTCTGTGACGTCACGGTGCGGTGGTGGCACGTCGGTCGCACTTCCGGTCTGGGGCTGTGGGCAGAAGTCCCCATGCCAGACGTGTATTCCTGCGTTGTTTTGAAAGGAACCAGACAAAAACCTGCCTTCTCGTCAAAACGCCGCAACTGGGGCCGTATCAAAAGTGTCGAGAAAGATTTGAAGGTCAGTTTTCAGGTGCTCGATTCGTCCGAGAATCTGGATATGTGCCGTAAAAAGGAAAAAGCAGACGCCTTCGGACAACGATTGCTTGGGCGGGAAGCACTTTGGGTTGAATTACGGATACTTGTGGTCATCAGATTTATTTGTTTTGTTGCAACATGAACGCCAGAGAACCATCAAGTTGTGCGGACCACCTGCGGACTACGTTCAGTGCGTCTTCAAGTTCAAACGGCCGCCTGATCGTTCGAGCTGTCGTCTGCTCTCTCAAACGTTTCTGCTTGTCGTCTGCTCTCTTAGAAGACGCCGGCCCGTATATGTTGGCCCGGTACTTGCGATAGGAAGTAAGTGCAGGCCTCAAAAGACTTACGTTTGAAGGTTGGTAAGCAGGCTCGATGTAAACAGTAAATAAAAGATGTTGATCATTGTTACCAGTGACTGTCACTGACTTGCTATGCCTAATTGACTTGGTCCGATTCTGCTTGCGATTTTCAGTATTGACGTCGATCATCTCAGCTACGGTTCACGCTTTTGCAGCCCGAGCGGCGTCGCGACTGAAAATTGCGAGCGAAATCTCATCATGCGAATCAGGTTTTAGCGTTCATACTGCGGCGTCCACGCGGAATGAATCGCCACATGTCACATTATTCGCACGAAGTTTCGCGGTGTAACGAGCCTCGGTAATTTCGCTGATGCCGCTCAAGTAGTCGGACATCGCCAGGAAGACGTAAAATCAACAATTCGAACGCGAAAAAGAGCAGGGGGACTCACACCGACGCCGATAACATCGCGTTTCAATGGTTTGTCTATGGGCGACGGCGAGCTTTTTGCCCACACCCCCCTCGCGCATGCGCGGCGCCGGTGGCGTCCGCTAGGGGCGCTCCGGTTTGTTTGTAAACATGAGTTGGTGTATAGAGTTCTTCATTATTAGCGGTAGCGTCTTCCGTCACGTTGAGCACAGATCGAGCTGGCGGCCATGCACAAGACCAGAAATCCGCAGCGTATGCGATACACGAAAAGTCCCTGATGAAATTAGACATCCCGGTTCTTCGTGCAAGGCTGTTGCAAGGCGGAGCACAGGAATTCCTTTTTTAACGCGCTCACTTTTCGTTAAAACGGTTTCACGCATGAAGGCCCGCAGTCCCTGCCACCGTTTCTGCGCCACCGCCGCAGCTGCCGTCCCCGCTCCTCTGGTTCTCCGTTCGTTCGCGGGAGGGCGAGCGGCGCGCTGGAGTTGCGAATACTATACACCTTTTTTACATGGGAGCCGCCATCTTCAACTCTGGAACTTCCGGTATGCGTGAAAACCCCCATCGCTTTCTTCTTGCCTCGACAGTAGAACATGTGAACATTTTAATGGCAACCGTTAGTCGTTCTTGTTATGACCCTTCTACACTTTTTTACTTGTTCGGATTTGTAATCTCTTGCTTTTTGTTCGGAACGCATACCGGATAGGGGGACAACGTGGCTGGCTGCAAGGCTAAGCGAAAAAGATGTATAGGCCTGTGTAAGCTGTGTAGAAAATTCCGGAGCGGTGTCAGATTCTGCTGGTGAGGATGAAAGGACCGAAAAAGAGAGGATTAAAATTATAGAGAGAAGGTTAGAAAATTGGTGGAAAAAGTCTAGAGAAGCGGGATAATACACAAAATTGGTGGGTAAGACGATTTAACAAAGGAAGGAATTTAGAGCGAAATTTAAAGGGACGGGGGGGGGGGGGGTGCGATGTAAATGCCTTCTATACTTCGCTTCATCGCATAATGGACTATAGGTGACGCTACGAACCGAAGAAGCCGATCCATTACCCTACAAGCGTCGCACGACCTTCGAATGGCGTGTGGCGATGTGCAGGACATGCCGTCACACGTTACGCTCGCAGTGCTGGATCGGCTGGGATGGCTCGCGGCATCTGCTGCGGTTCATCGTAAGGTGAAACAGAAAATAGGCTAGGTGGCACAAGCTACCGCCCGATACAGAGGGTGTAGCCAATGCCGTACATTCATTTGTCGTAGAGGCAGGGGCCCCACCTTTTCTGAGGGGGGCCTCCAGTTTGGCCGGGGAAGGGGGCTCCATCTGCACAGACTGCGAGGGCTCCAGGGTGGCTGCCGCAGAGCCGTCCTCGTCGAACTTGACCCAGGAGCTCTTTTGGGCCTCGGCCTGCGGGGAGGGCTCCCGCGACAGCTTGGGCTCCGGCCCGGACTCCAGGTCTTCCGACATGGCTCCTCTGCAACGGGGCTGGCGTGAGGTGACAGGGGCCCCGCTTCACGGAGAGCGTGATGCAACTCTTAAAGGGATAGTGAACCGAAATTTGGAGCTCACGAAACAAGACTGGAGCGATAGGCCGGATGCTGCAAAATCCAAAAACACCACTCATACATTAATATCTCTAACGGATGGCCGTATTTTTGGAAAAAAAAATGCGCGATTGAACACGGTCGACAAGGCTGACGAGACATGCGACATTACAATTCTCATTCCTTCTCCTCCTCGCTTCGTCCCGTCAAGTTGGAAAACCGAAGCGAGGAGAAGAGACGCGAGGCCGCTTCCCCTCATGTTCAACAGTTCCAGGAGGATCATGACGTCGTAGTCCTCGCTTGATCGCGCCCTTCTTTTCCAAAAAATACGGCCCTCCGTTTGAGATATTGATGTACGAGTGATGTTTTGAAGTTCGTAGCCCCGTTCAACGCTTCTGCGGCCTTATTTTGCAAAATCCCTATTTCTGTCCTGTATCCCTTTAAAGCCTCCAGGTTTCTTTCTCATGCGTCCTCATGGTGGCAGTTTGCCAGAAGTGGGTGTAACTAAAGTAGTAGTAGTAGTAATAATAATAATATCAGTGCGAGGCAACATAAAAATGAAACAAAAAACATAGATGCGCAAATACAACATGTCAACAAAATCATAGCAATTCAAACAGATCGAAGGAAAAAAAAAAACAGAATCCAGGATATTAGTAAATTGACAAATGGACAGAAACAAAGCTGAGCAAATTATACAAGTCTTGTACCCGATGCACTATGGAGAAATGTGAGCAATATCTAGAACAAAAAGTGTTTGGTGACCGTTCATAGCTAACATGTTTGTTAACAAGTTCGGGCAGTCTATCTTGGCAGTTTTAAAACAGAAGGCAAGTTGCACATTTTCTTTTTTACAGCTGCACTTTGTAAATATGCACCAAATGTAGTAACTTCTAATGTGTATTTATAAATTTGCCGACCAAAAAGCGAATTTGACTGCTATAAATATGACGCGGTCAGTGCCTGCGCAGCGCAACTGTATTTGTTTCTTGCTCACGGACAAAGAGAAAAAGAAATAATGGGAGACGGATGGACAGATCGTATCTACAAGCTGTCCAAGTTATTTATTTATTTACTTATTTACAATACCCTCAGGGCCGTGACGCATTAAAGCTAAGGTGCCGTTACGTGCACACTAGTTAAATCTGCTGCGACCTGCTGCGACCAGCCGTTGTGCGGGAGCAGCCAACGGATGGTACGCGAACAGCGATGGCATTGCATCGTTCGTCAACAATGCGTGTTTCGGGGAGAAACTCGCAGCAGTCAACAGCCGCAGATCCCTTGTCTAAGAGTCTGGCGTAAAGTGCTGGGTGCAGAGCTTCGCGTTGGAGCTCAGAGTCCACGTCTTCCGAAGTCTATCCGGCGATTGGCACTGACCCACACTTTGTGCCTCTTCCGGTCTCTTGGGAACTGGTGGAACCGCAGCTACGGGTTGCGCACCGGATCGTTGGTGCAACCCACAGCACTACAAGTTGTGCTCGGCATTGCCCAACGCGAGTCCGGTAAGTCGCTCCATACCCACGACACGCACGTGAGCAAGCAGCACCGCTTTGCTTTCTTCCGCGCAGTCACGGAAGCTACGCTGGAGTTAAATGAACTGCCAGGACACAAATAAAAATAGAATACAGGATTACACGGTGAGCCCCTCTTATGTCGGCAGTATCGCAGACTGCCAAGGGAAACAAAGCGTCCGTGGCGACCGTACGAGAGCATACAACGAACCTACGTCCTTGCCCAGTGTTGCTTCAATAGCTCACCCAATGCCAGCGTTGCTCACCCGCTGTCGGGCCACTAACCCAGCCAGTAGAACATTTTTATTATTGGTTTTAATCGGGAATGCGGCGTCGGTTTGACGTGATATTTTGGGTATGACCGTATTTTCACCTCCTAAAGCGATATCAGCCATTTCTATAGGGTCGACTTTTTGAGTGGAGTTGCCCTTTAAGCCCCATCTGTCAATAAACAAGGGAGCCACAGGCAGATGTCTCACACTTAATTACTGCGTTGCAAGTGAAACAAAGCTGCGTCGGCTGATGAGATCTGTGGCAAACATTTTATATTGCTCCACACCTACCTAGCAAACAAGTTGCACTACATGCCTTGTTGTGGACATGAAATTGGCAAAGATGACATCAGCTTTGAGTGAATAAGAGAAAAAAAGTCACGTAATTTCTTGAACTTTCTAAAAAAAAAAAAAAAAATATTGGCTACCAAATGCATGCTGTTCACACCACCTACACTTATAATGAGCAAGTAGTGTGTGCATGTGGAACAGCAACGTTCATGACAATTCTGAGTGCTTGACCTTGGCTTTTACAATTGCATGAGTGACTTTTTGCAACTTAGTCACATTTCAACTCAAGTAAATGCAACCAATGTTAGGGAGCACTTTAAGTACATTGTACTTAAAGTACTATTTCAGGTTTAGAAAACTTGTAATTTATGTGAAGTACATTCTTGGGGCATGTACTTGTACTTTATTAAAAGTATTTTTTTCTGGTACCTTCCGAGGTAAGTACAGCTCCCGACTTTCATGTACATTCCCAAAATTTGGTCTTGCTAAATTTGTGTCGCAAAATGATGCTTTGTCAACTCTGAAGAAACACTTGGAGGGATATTCTACTGTCACCAGAAATGAGAGCAGACGCCGTATTGCTCTGTTTGTACAGGGGGCAGCTTTCCCGTGGCCTTTCGAACTCTGTCAGCATAAGAGAGGGGGTTAAAGATATTAGGAGAGGACACTCCTCCATGAGAGGGTTGCTTGCGGAAGCTACGGGGCTGACGCCATGCTCTCTCCTAGTATGTTTAACCGCCTTGGGTGCAAAAGGGACTCCAGAATTCAGTGCCATTTCCAGAAATAACTACTCTGTGGCCACTTGACTTTATCCAATATGCGCCGCCATTTAAGAAAATAACCGATGCTCCTCCGATTACCCCTAAAGCAATGCATACCAGTTTAAAAAAATATTGTATAGGGGATGAAAGGACATCATTAAAGATTGTATTAAAAAGTATTTGTACTTTACTTCGAAAGTACATTGTTTTTTTTTATACTTTACTTGAACTACATAACCTCTAATTTAATTTGTACTTTACTTTGAAGTACTTTTCAGATGTACTTTACCAACAGTGAATACTACAGTAACTTAATTAGGTTTTAAAGGCAACTTTAGAGCTCTGTCAACAACATGTGAATCTGGACAAAAATATAAAATATTTTTCCATACTTTTTTTTTATTACATAACTATGTGCATTCATTTACACATTCTAATCCAGACAGGCTATGCCACTGTAATGCAGGCATAGATGTTAGCTGATCAAGGAAATCCATTCTGAGGGCAGCAGAACACATATCAAAGGATTGTTTCTCATAACAGAATTGTCAAACGGGAAGCAAGATGGAGAGGAATGTCAGGCATTATGAAATTTAAGGCTGATAAAACTAGTGTGTGCTAGTTATGAACCATTCCAGTAAGTGCCTTTTATGAACTGCCATCTTTGTCTATCGTTGTGGAATACGTTGCAGTGACTCTTTTAAGCAGAATATCAATGCCCTGGGATTGGTCGGCCGCTCGTCCACACAGGAACCCATCGCTCGTGAGTGGCTGACAAACGCAGTCCATCGTTCGACCATATTCAGCAAGGTTCGGTAGCACCATCTGTCATTCTGCACCAGCAGTAAATTTCAGGAACTTTATCACTTTTTTAATATGTAAATTGGCCGTGCATGAATATAATTTCGGGTTTTTAGGATGCTTAGGGTTCATAGATTGAGTTAGGATCACAAAACGAGGATCTCAAAACGCACTTAGTGCCTTTAAGTTCAAAGCTTATGATTCAGAACTGGCCTCGACACAGGTATAAAGAAAAACAGGACATCATAGACATATGACAGAATGAATGCTTTTAGGGAGCTCTTGTGATGGTTTGTCATCATATGGCTAAACAGCAACGATTGATGCTATGGTGACAAACATTATTGTTTTTTGTGCAAAGCTGTAGATACTTTCCTAGACACCGCTTCATGATTTTCAAAGTTAATGATAATTTACCATTCTGCTCTACATATTTCCATTATCATTTTTCACTTTCCATGTAACATACTTCACCATTTTATCAAATTAGATGGCCTTGCAATACATGGCTTGCATTGACGTCACAGCAGCCGCCATTGCTCAGTACCATGCTCCTGTGACCATACTTTCTGCAGCATACATTTATCACAATCGAATTTGTAAGGATTGCCAAGAAGAACAAATTCGATGGTATGAAATGTATGCTGCAGAAGATACGGGAACAAGAGCATGGTATGGAGCAATGGCGGCTGGTACGGTGCCATATGACGTAGCAAGCAATGTATGTATTGATATCTTATTGTTTTGTTTTAAGGCTATTATTCTGCTATTGTGTTATATTCTACTTTCTGCTATTGTGGTTGTTCCAATGTGGTTGCTTTTGAGGCTAATAAAAATACCATTTGAAATAGTACTCTTGTAACATACACTTGAGAAAACAGTTTTCATGGTCGACATAATGTGTCATCAGAAATATGCCCATTCGTCAGTCGAAAAACTGAAGACGAACGCATACTATGTTTCAAACCGGTGTTTTCCGGCATTCCGCGACGCCCAAAACGTGGTATTGTCGGCCCGAAAAGAGTAGCCAAAGTAAACGCTGGAAGGTCGGGGGGATGACAGCGACCTCGATGACACAAATGGTACCTCCTACGATTAATATGATGATATAACATCCAGGCACAAAAAAAAAAAAAAAAAGGAGACAAATCCCAAAGCGCATATGCTAGCGCGGGAGAAACCATACAGCCGACACGCCACCTTCAAAGCATTAGGGGCAAGTTGTTTTTGGTCCGTCCATCGAGGAAACCATTTCCTGCCACAAGTCTTCTTTTAGTCTACAGCGCGGACGGGTGTGCAGAATGGTGCTATCACGAGTAAAGTTCGACCGGATCAACGAGATTCCAAAAACGACGACAAAAAAAAAAGGGGGGGGGGGGGGGGGGGGGGGGGGGGACAAAACTTGCCTTATCTCTGGCATCAAACAAGAACGCAGCTCCACAACGTGGATGTGGACCACAGCAAACAAGTTTTTTTTTTTGTTTCGCGTATCGTCGTGCTTTTCAGGGACGCAATACCGCGTTTCGAACTCGCATTAAAGTTCACGTAGCTTGTTCCTCATATGCCGTGCTACATGAATATCCCACAGGTGAATCACATTAATGATCTGGTCAAAGATTTTGTTGCTCGACCCTATGACTCTGAGGCGTGACGCTAGGCGTTGTTTATCGGGCATTTGCGATCTCGCAGCATCTCACACAATAACATTGTTGCTCTCGTAACATGAAAATAAAAGAAAAAAAGAGCAAGACACTTTTGATAACAGTATGTTGAATGCACCACGGGTCTTCCTTCTGTTCACGTCGTCTGAAGGGTCCAAACACAAATTGTAAAACTTTTGGGGGTGAGAATAAGGCCTCAGACAATTGGCCTGAGAAATTATACTGCCTTACCTTGTTATGCGCACGAAGTAGAGTCCATTTTTGAAAGGTTACAGGCACGGACACCGCTCAACAACGCCCGAAAGCTCCAAACTCCATAAAACCATAAAACTCCCGAAGATTCACGGTCCTAAAATTCCAACAAGATGCACGAATCCTCCCACTGGATCTTCCAGAAGCCGGACGGCCGAGCTAGGCTAGGCCGAGCAACACGCCGTCACCCACCAGAGTCACCCACCTCCACCAAACAAGAAAATACGTCATTTAGGCGCTTAACAGTTTAAAAAAACATTTCAAGTCAATAAAATTTCATTAAATTGTGTTTATTTATATTTTATTTATTTATAAATATTATTTTGTGTAACGTAGCGGGTTTGGGGTTACAGCTCCGCTAAAGACCGAAAGCAGCCTGGTAACGTTGTGTATTCTGTAATTTCTTTTCCTAGCTCCAATCGGTCCAAGCTACTGCAAGTTTTAGAGGACCTGGGATGTGGGCTGACACGCTATTAATTCTCATAATTTCCATATTTACTGCTCTATTGAGCGAAGGTTCGTGCGATATTTCGTGCTCTGTGCTGTCTCCATTTGGTGGTGTTTTACAAATAAGCCGTACAAAAGCGCTACGCATGCTGGCTGAACGACGGAGACGACGGTGCCAACGTTGGGCAGACATGAAACACTTGCTCCTGTGAGCAACCATTGGTTCTCGCTCCTGATTGTACGGTTTGCTTTGCAGGTTTAACATGGCTCATGGTCTACAGGACAGAAAAATACCAGAAACTGAAGGCGGAGGTCGAAAAGCAGAGCAAAAGACGTACGTATTCCTCTACACATTCACGATGCGTGCTTCGCCCCACCGGTCTCGCCCTAAATTAAAACTTCGAGGCTCGCACTTGAAGTGTCATCCTGGAATGGGTGACACTTGGATGCAAAGTAACTTCATATCTTGCACTTGAAGTTACCTCACGTCCTGAATAGGAGGAGTTCAATCATGTCAATGTAAACAATGGCATAAAATTTAGCATCAATAGAGGTTTATGTTTGCAGCATTCGAACTAATCCCCCTTTTGTTTTTGCAGTTGAAAAGAAAAAGGAGGCTCATGGAGATTCCGTTGATCGGCAACAGAAGAAAAAAATTGGTACGTCAGCTGACTGGACAGAACGTGTCATTGATCGCTCTTGAGACGCTATCCTGAGACACCTATCTGAGCGACAGCATTGTGATTGACTTGCCAAATATGTTTCAGAGCGTGAAGAGGAGAAGCTGAAAAACAACAACAGGGATCTATCTTTGGTAAACTGCACTCTCTCTTAAAGCAAAACAAGTCCTTACTTTTCAAATAATATTCTGTGTTTTGTTTCAGGTCAAGATGAAGTCTATGTTTGCTATAGGCTTCGCTTTCACTGCCCTCCTGAGCATGTTCAACTCCATGTAAGCTTGAAAAGTTGCTTCTTTTTCTTAAACGAAGCATACTACAGAAGTTAGTTGGAGTAACTGCATGTGCTCTGCTTGCGGAGCAGAGTATCGCAATGGTGCTCCTGGGGCGGCCATGTTAGATCCAAGGCAGGACTGCAGGAAGCGACCGTCGCTTCTGCAGGAGATCCGGAGGTGCGAATGGCGTGGCTGTGAGGCGGCGTGCTGCAGTGTGCGGAGCAGAGAAAATATAGTGCAGTGACATGCCACGTGTGCGCCATCGTCTCGTTGTGTTCTATTCTCTGTGCCATCGGTAGAACATAGTACTCATGAAAACGTTGCCCCTTTGAAAGCCATAGCTACACGTTGTTGTCTGGTCCGAAGTGCCCGGATGTGCCGGTCGCATGCCACTTCGCGAGCAACACGATCGTCCTCCATGACGTCTGCTTCGAAGACTTTGGAAACATGTTTTAAAACATCGCCCGCGTTATAAAACAATGCGATAATACTGTACTCGGTGGCTACAGATAATGTTTAATGGTCAAGGAACCTTCAAGTTCGTTCGGTTTTAGTGCAGGATGTACCTTTCGCAAACACAAAGCGAGAAATATGCTTTGCCCGAAACTCAGCGCCTGCTAGGTCATTTTCTCTCATGAAGGTTGGATCCAGTTCGGCGGACGTAGCCGTTTTTCCGCCAATACGGAGTTGGCGGCGCTAGGAAAAGGAATGCGATACTCTGGCTCTGCAAGCAGAGAGCAGAGCCTATACAATTACTCCAAAAATTAGCCACTCTATCACAGTGAAGCAGAATTAATCTTTTTTGTTGTTGTTCTAGGATGTCATGAAACCTTTTTTATGATTTCAGTTTTGATATTAAAGTTAAGCTTTAGCTATCAACACTCACAGGCACACCTGGTGCATTTGACATATTAATGTGTACTGGAATGCAGTGGTATAGCCATGCCTTTTTTTTTTTTTTTTTTTGTGTGTGTGAAGGGGGGGCTAGCAAGGCGGGGCTGAAGTTTTGGCCCCGCCCCTGGCTACGCCGCTGCTACAATGTCTAGGTAGATAATCGGGCACCAACTCATTCACACCTAAAACACTGCACATTCTGAGCATTTATTTACACATTCTAAAATGCTAGGGTTGTACTCCAGTGTGTGTGCGCACAATTAAAAGACCATAACTCACATTTTGAAGTCGCTAGCTCAATTCATTGTGCTTCTAATGCTTTGGATAGAACTGACAGAAGAACGGCCAATCGAAAATGAGCATATTATGAACTGCAACCATTCAATGGCTTCCATACCGAGTCCCAGAAGATTAGCCACACACAGTTTTTATTGGTAAAGTGGATTTGCATGACTTGACCACCGAGTAGTCGCTGCAATTGATGCAGCAGCGCATCGTGATTTTCAGAACCAAGAAAGTATCCCGTGACACTAGTCGATAGCACCCCACAAGGTGCCATAGCCCTCTTAATGTTTTCCGAGCTGCTGGTGAAGCACTCAAGATGGCACTAATGCTGCTTCATCCTTTGTGCAGCTTCGATGGCAGGGTTGTGGCCAAGCTTCCGTTTGTGCCAATCTCCTGGGTCCAGGGGCTCTCGCATCGTAACCTCACGGGCGAAGATTATACGGACTGTTCCTTCATCTTCCTCTACATCCTCTGTACCATGTCCATCAGACAGGTGAGCAGTCTGCGTTTACAGCCATTCTAAGGAAGTCAACACTAGACATAAATATCTATTCACTGTAAACCTACCTGAACGTACAGGGGGTCCCCCAAAAAATGTACAGAACTTTTTTCATCACAAGGAGAAACTATGCATTGCTGAACACTCGTTCTCTTCCCAAATGTATAACGCTAGCGGTCCATACCAGATGCCGGAGCGCTCGAGTACATGGAGCTGAAATGGTACCTTTTATCGAAAATGGCCCCATTAATCTAATGAAATTCACACTTGTTCATGCTAAGATTCTACTATTAGGTGCTTAAGTACTAGAATTAGCCAATCTTTCGAAAATTTTCCTTGATTGACAATTTTCCGACAGCTGTATCCCACAAGTGCAGTGCAGGAGGCAAACTGCGACAAGGGCTGAAAGGGGAAGGTTTTCTGACTAAAGATAGACATTTTGCTTTTTTCTCAACTGCAAGTGAAGAGTGCATTGAGGAATCCACATCTTATGTGTTTCTCTGTTGTATATTTTGTAATAGGCTGGATATAAATAGTGGTGTGAAGCAGAAATACAAATCGAAAGAGCACTGGAAGTGCTAAAGACATCTGCAGGGGATGCCTCACTGAGCCATTTTAAAGCACTCCGCTCTACAAGATTGCAATCAATATCACCCATTATGGGTTTTTACGAGGTGCAAGTGGTTAAAAATAGAATTGTGTATGCAATAAGACAACCTCGCATGGCCACCTTTCGTACGAGCCAAGATAATAAACCCTTTCCGAAATCGGTGCTGGCAACCCTGAGACACAGGCAACACTGCTTATGGGGTGCACTGCCATGACTTATGTTGGCCGCCTCCATAGCGAATACCGGCAACAGTGCTGCAGATGGTCCTCCACCAAGTAGGAGCTTGGCTGTGATGGACTATTACTAATTATTAATGGACAGCACTATGCTGCCCCGAAGATGAGCGTCTGTAAACGGTGGTGTGACCACAGATTCATTAGTGAAAGCTACCTGGAGCTCTTGTCGGTTAAAATGGCGACTTATCTTCGTGGGTTAATTCAATTCTCAGTTCGGTGTTTGCATGATTATTCCGAGTTATGCAACATGCGGCAATTGTTTTCAAAGCTCGTGTATCATGTGCCCGTAACTTTGTGCCTTTCATAGCGGAAGTGCTTGCCTTTGTTGAGTTTGGCAATCAATCACCAATTCCTTGCACACAGCCGGATCCCTCGCGAAGCAAACAGGGATATCGTGAAAAAGAATACCATGCACCAGAGTTCACCAGAATCAACTCATGCTAAAGTATCCTCATGTTGACGACATTTTTTGTGGGCCTGACATCGTCGTTGCAGCATTTGAGCAGAGTTAGGAGCATGTGCATGCAACCAGCATTGGAAGGTTTTATTGCGACAGCACTGGTAGGCCAGCCACACTATCCAGAGCACCTTTTCACTCACATACAATAGAAAAACCATCCCACGTTTTCCCCCCAAAGTAGTGCATTCGAGGTTCCGTCTAGATGGCGCAAAATTTCTGAAAAAGTTTATTGCTCCCGGTTTTTTCTAAATCCATTTACAGAACACGCAGAAGCTCCTTGGCTTCGCACCATCACGAACAGCCAACAAGCAGAGCGGTACCCTGTTTTCACCCGGTCCACAACCGCTCAAGTAGTGCGAGAATCATGGTCTGTAACACCGAAGAATAAAGCTCCATTTTTTCAAAGTTTGATTGCAGTTTATTTGCTGCTTACCATCGTCATCTCAATACAGCCATATGGCACACAATCTATGCAAGCTCCCACCAATTCTAATGGCATCTTTTTTATTGTCTTATGATTGCTTTCAAGGTCAGGCTTTTCTAGTTGAAACTATGGTCGGCCCGAAGTTTTCCTGTCACACCAAGAATTCAAACTCTTCACAGTTCGCGAAAGATGGTGTTGTTAAACTTACTTCTGCTCACCTTGAAATAGATATGTAAAAACTGTAAGCCACCTGGTTTTGTTAATCAGTCAGGAATTGGAAGAGCGTTTGGTCACGCAAATAATAGTTGCTGTCACAAAAATGTGCTTCACCAAGATCAAGCTTTAGCCTCTTCTCACCCGTGACCCCAGCGTTAAATTTGTACTTTAAGAATATCTGCACTTTGCTGAAAAGCTATTCCTAAAAAAACTTTTTTTTTTTTGTAAATGCAAGGTAGTTGCAACAACACAGTGAACCTATGTTTCCCCTAAAAAATGATACTAAGTCATTCTATAGAATCCCCCACAGGCCTACATATTTTATGGTTTGCAATATTTAGCCATAATTATGACACATTCCAAGATTTCAGCTTGGCCCAAATTCAGGAATGTATAGTAATGTACGGTTCCTCTATAGCTGCCAAAAGTTCACCGGATCGACAAACCCTCGCGTCTACTCAAAACTTGAGCAGCCAACATGTGATATGCACTCCCGTCGGTAATACTAACTTCTTTTGTACAGAGTAAAACCACTGCTTTTACCATCGTGCTACAAGAAAAGATTTACGTATTGGCAATAGACCTTTTGCAGAAACCCCAAAAAGGCCACACACAAAGCAACTTCAAAGAAAGAGAGAGAGTAGCGCAGTCTTGCTCGCCGTCGCCTCTGTCGTAAGTCAACCGGTTTCGCCTCCAGTTGCTGGCATTCTTTTCAGCACCGTGGATGATGCTACTTGCCGGGGAGATGGTTTCAGAATTTTTTTTGCCGTTACGAAGCTGTACCCGCAAGCTTGCAAATGTCCGTTTGGTATGCAGAGTGGCTAGGGTGACCACCCGTCCCGCGACTCGAGGGACTGTCCCGGATTGAGGGCTCGTGTCCTGCGTCCCGCGAGAAATTCCCAAATCTTCAAAATGTCCCGCACCACTGCCGAACGCCAGAGGTGCTGTCGTTCGGCAGCACCACTGTCATGGTGCTGCAAGAACAACGGGGCAAGGGGAAGCGTGGAGGTCGCTGGCAATCATGTGAATCACAATGGTACGCCATTTTCTATCCAAGTATAACAGGAAGCGACGGTCGTTCTTGCAGAAGAACCGACGCGCATGCGCCATTGTGGCTCTCCCCTTGGTGGCAATATATTGTAAGCAAAAAGTTTAAATATAAATTATTGTAATTATATTCGTAAAAATGTGTAATATGTGGATTTTTTTTTTTTTTTTTAGTGAAGACGGTTAGTGAAGTCAAGAAGCCTGCAACTCACAACGGTCAAAAAAGAATGTAATGTGAAAAAATGTGTAAGACCATGTTGATAAAAGTAAGCGTTCACAGGAAACAATAACCCGAAAAAGATTTACTGTTTCTTAACTTCATTTGATAAATTGAGTTCTACTGCAGTTGACTTTTATGCCTTCAACTTGACACATTTAAGAAAATATTTGGTATACACAAAATCTATCGCTGGTAGTGAAAACTATTTTAGCTTAGAAGCTGCTACACAACTTTCAGGTATATAAACGGCACAGGGTATTAAATGTGTTAACAGAGCCTCGGTTTGTGGTGTGCGTGTTCATAAATTTCCCCTACCCCCCCCCCCCCTTCCCCTGCCCTGCGTGTCCCACATTTCGCTAGCAGGAAGGTGGTCACCCTAAAAGTGGCTGAGCACATTTCGAAGGGCTAAATGACTATAGCACCTTTTTGTGTTTTTCACGAGGCTCTAATTATTTTTTTTTATATAAATGCACAGCAGCTATAGAGGAAAGTATTGCAAGCTAGGGTTACTTAAGGACCTTCTGACAAATAAACAACAAAACAAAAGCATTACTACTATAGTCGCGGACAAGGTGAGTTTGGCAGGGAGGGGCTTTGGCCGTTCTGCCTCCAGTGTGATATTCCTACTACCTTCGACAATGCTTCGGCATTTCGTACACCTCGAACGCATACTGGAGGCTGGGTGTTTCTCACCTGGCCTTCTCACTCTGTTGGTGACTATAATCCAAAAAATCTTATAAAAAAAAAAAAAAAAAATTTCAGCTTTCTGAGTTTTTTTGTAGACAAAAAAAAAACATGTGGCAGAAAAGGCTTCAATTGCCTTTGGTGTGTCCAACTGACGATAAAATTGGGACCGCAAAAAATGAGGGTTTCTCATGGCAATCTACAGGGTGAGGCCGTTGGGATCGGCACATTTGGCACGCCTCGCAAGATTAGAATTCAAAATGCCTGAAATCGGGCACGCGAATGTCGTTTTGCAATAAGTTTTACGTCTGTTCTTTTTAGAGCTCAACTTGGAGGGAGGTGAAATATTAAAAATAAAGCGAAAACGGTGGCCGTGCGTTTCCTATGTCCTATACCAGCCTGTTCGTCGTGTGCTTGCTACCAGGTGGCTCGTTGAATTCAAAAACGCTGAGAACAACTAGTAGGGGCCGGCGACGAGTAAAATGATCGCGATGAGTAATCGTTTTAGCAAAATATGTGAATGTCGACACCTGGGAGCAAGCTCACGAACCAGTGTGCAGACGACGAACATCCGGTATGGGACACGGAAAATGCACGGCCGCCGTTTTATCACCATTTTAAATATATCACCACCTCAAAGTTAAGCCCCAAGAAAAGAAAAAAAAATAGGCAAAACTTCTTGAGAAACAATGCTCGCATGCTCAATTTTGGGTACATACAATTAGAATTCCAATTTTGCGAGGCTTGCCAAACATGGCGGTCATTACGGCCTCAACCTATACATGCCTTGGCTCCAAGCCGCTAGAGGGTCAAAGATTGTGATCCAGCCCATAGCATGACCAGAAGGTAAACAGCCCTCGTGGCTGGGCATGGCCTCCCATACAGGGGCAAAGCCTGTGAACTCAGTTCCACAACCAGCTGCAAAGTCTGGGAGGGAGAGAAAGAGCAAGGCAGGCAGGAATGCAGCAACAGAGCGGCGGTTTTGAGAAACACTCTGCCTCGAAGAAGCCCACGATAATAGCCATGTGGCCTCGTGTCGTCGCTAAGCGTTTAGTTATGCAGTTGGCCACCAAGCTTTCACTAGAGCTGTGCATCTTGCATCTAGTCCTCCTGCCTCTCTTACAGCTGCCGAGCAGGCTATTTCTCTGGCACTGAACTTGCAGGCTCTTTCCCTATATAGGAGGCTATGGCCTGAGCCCACATCGCATCTGGACATTCTAAAAAAACGTACAAATTTGACAGATCGGACCCACAGCTCGGAGACGATGCCGTGAATGGGTCCGGGCGCGCGTGACTAGTTGACCGCTGTCTTCAGACAATGGCCTGTTCGTAAAGAGGTGCCCTCTGCACGAGACGCTCGAGGCCAAAGCGCTCGAGGTTGATGCTGACGTAGCTCCCATCCAGGATCAGTTCCATGATGGCCCTCCCCACGCCTGGTGCCATCTGGATGCCGTGACCGCTGAAGCCCGTGGCAAAGTAGACGTTGTTGTAGTAAGGATGGCGCCCCACAAAGCCGTTCTGGTCCAGGCTGTTGTAGTCGTAGAAGCCTGCCCAGGCGGTCTTCATCTGGTCGACGTGGGAAGCAACAAAAACGTTTATTCACAGTTTTAAGCTTCCCTAGCAAAATGTTAGACACCGTTTTAAGCTTCCCTAGTAATGCATGCTGCATGACGGAAATAGCTTGAGGACAACATGCTCAAGCTAACTGCAAGCTTGACAGATAAATTTTAAAAAGAATGTATAAAGACTGGTAAGCACAGAATGTGTGAAAGGCCTTCCGGGGAAGAAGAGAAAGGTGCCTGAACGGCACCGCCTACCGAGGACTCGAAATTCGACCGCCAAAGAATTCTTTTTGCGCGATACGAACACCGACCTTGGATAACTCGGTCGGCAAAGCACTTGGCTCACAATCTTTAGGTGACGAGTTCAAATCATCACAACCATGCTGCTCATCCCACCGCAGCTTGCATTCGTTGTGAAATGCAGTTGTGGAACCTTATTGTGGATTAGAATCATAAAAAAAAAAAAACGAAGTGAAGCAATAAAAAAAAAAAAAAAATTACAATCCCAAGAGGATTTGAATTTAGAACTTTGCAAAGTTGGTAGCAAAGAGGGACACACGTGAGCAACCTCAGGACTGTCAGCACATCCGTTTTGGGCCATTTATTTTCACGGGTGTAGACCCAGGACGATGAAGTTTCCGCACGAGCACCTTCATAGTCACGTGTTTTCCGGTGAATTTTACTTTACCAGAATCATTCCAAGCAGTATTTTGACATGCTGCTCTTGAAGCGCACAAAGGCACTTCATTTCCACACAGATTTCTACCCTCCACGTCCTTTCTCTAGGAGCGGATCAACACTTCTCTGGTCAAAGTGAGAACAAACTCGCAGCTCGTCATTTGACGATCATATCAGGACGCGGCTCAACTGATCGAAGTTGCAAGTAATTTTCTCAAACTTAACTCTGTAGCACAAACAACATATGGTGTCGGCATAAGGCTCTATACCTAAGAGCCGATGGCGGTGTAATGGACGACGCTAGAGCTCAATGAGGTCAGTCATCTTACGAGTATCTGAGCATAGTATCGGACGTCAAATGTCATCCGTTGACTTGCATGTGCGACGTCATTTTGGCACCACTGTCGGATCAATATCTGATGCTCTGGCTTTGCCCCTCCAGTCTGGTTTATGTCGCCACCTTGTGCAGACAACGAAAATTCCCTACTGGTTACCTATCGTGACGTATTTGCAAAACTGAGAAGGAAGCTTTCCGGGGAAACTGCAATTACCTTCCTTTTTTCGCTAGTAAATGAATTCGACGATCAAGCAAATCAATGTGGGTTCTATGATTCCAAATAGACATATAGCTCAGAATTTCGGTAAAACCTCACAACCCCTTTGAGTAAATATGGTAATTTAAATTTGGCCAAAGCCATCACACTGAAAATAAAATTTAAAATAATGGTAATATATTTTTTTTCTTTTTTTTAGTTGTGTTGCATTTTATGCAGAGTCCAATAAACACACTTTTTTTGCACTGCACACCTCTTTTTGTAGCAGCAGGGAGTTAAAATTCCACACATAGACAGTCAGGAGACAACAAACTAAAAAACTTTCAAAGCTTTTTTTTTTTTTTTTTTTTTTTTTTTTTTTCAGGGATAAAAAAGTGAAGAATTTGTAAAAAGTGGTAAACCTTGAAAAGTACTCAAAGTGCACATGGAAAGTGCTGAAATTTAGCAGATTGACAGCAAAGTATATTAATAGCCAGGCCAGAACATTAAAAAAACAGTCACTATTTCCTTGCTTTGTCTCGCTTTTGCAGCTCTTTATTACCTAAAGTAAGCTGCAGTTGTTCAGCCATACCATTTTCAAAGTTGTATACTTGCTAATAGAAGTGTCTTGCAGAAACAGGAAATGTCAGGCCATGCCGATGGAAGGCACCTCCCTTCTTTGGCAACAGCCACTGCCACTTCCTTATAAAGAGTGGCTTTCAGCTACCCCCTCCAGCAGCAGCATATATCGAAATTTGGTCACTGCTGTTACCACCACCTTTGAACAAACTTTCAGCTATCTGTAGCATGTTGATCTCAAAAATATTGTGGACTCTCCTTTGCGATTGAGACTGCCACTATCAACACCTACAGCTGTGCCAGTTTGTGCTTCTGTATTCCGGCCAACACAGTAATAACACACCATTGTTGTTCTATGTGGAGTGAGGGGAAAAAAAAAAGAAGCTTCGGAGCTTTTAGAAAGATATACAGTATAGACCACTTGCAACGTAACCGCTTATAGTGCAGGACCGGGTATAACGCGGCTTTTTTAAACCACCGGTTTGCCTCCCATAGAACTCCATGTAATTATATACCGCTTAAAATGCAGGCGCGCGAAAGGAAATACCGGTTATAGTGCGGTTTTCGGAACAGCCCGGCGACCGCGCCGACTGACCAACGCAGAAAGCACGCTTCCCTGTGCGACACTAGATAACGGCGCAAGCCGCAAGCGGCACTCGCGGGGCAAGGAGGTTGCTCGAAAAAAGCGGGGAGAAGCGAAGAGAGGCTTCAGTCGCCATAGCGACGAAGAGACGCACGCACGTGTCGTTCATCTGCGTGCGTCTCTCTGCTGCGTTGGTTGGAAACAACCGCAACGACAGACCAATCGCCGTTCGAGGAGAAGTGTTTGCACGCGTTGCATGCCGGTCGCGGGCCGGCCGGCCGGCTGCTTCTATCCGCAAACATGGCGTTGGTTTTGATCGTCGGCGTAAACGGCGTGGTAGAAGCTCATCGTTACGCCTAAAAGCGCTATCCTCGGCTGTGAATTTTCGTTGTGTGTCGCTATGATAACCCAGCACGTACTAGAAGGGAAGATCCACCTACTCGTGCGGCGATGTTGTGGTGGCACTCTCAAGGCGGCAGAAACGCCCGTGTCGTCGTGTTTGTTTACTTCGACTACAGTGGTGCTTTCTAAGCATTTGTGTTTTCGAACATCGCCCGGATTTCTTATTTGGAGCATTCCATGCCTGTGCTCAAGTTGAAGGTATTACTGGCGCGTTCCGTATAAAGGATGCGAATTTTCACGCGTTTTCATCGCCGGAGAAAAGTGATTAGGGTTAGCAAACCTGAACGTTCACAACGTCCGTCCGCAACCCGCGACGCCGTTAAAAGGCTGCGCCAGGCAAAAATCGCTCATTTCTTTCAAAATGTGTGACACACTTGAGAGAGAAGTGCACTAGTCTGGTGAAATAAAGACTTTCCTCAAACTAAGCTTTATTTTTCATCTAACATAAAATAAATTCTTTTACAAAGGTAAGTTGTCTTGATGGCATGCATTTTGGCCTGAAAACTTTATGTTTTGGTTATAGCGCGGTACCGCTTATAGTGCGGATTTTCCCGACTCCCGCGACATATGTTCTATGCGGTCTACACTGTACTTAACGAGTAAAAAGTTGCATTAGTTAGCAGAAGCTTCCCATCATAAGACTTAAAGCTTGTAATTTGCTCATTTCAGTTAGATAATTTGCCTCAGATTATTTTACGGTGGAGCAATTAAAAGTCATTTTTGTAGCATAAGAAAACTCTTTTGAGACCTCATGCATATAGCAGCACCTTGTTCCCCCAGAAAGTACGGTAATTGCTAAGTGCACTGGACTATGCAGTTAAGAGAAAATGTCTTTTTTCGCTTTCCCACTAAAGCATAGATGCTCAAGTAACACGAAAGTTAAGATGTAATTCTCTGCACTGCAAAACATATTGCTATATACCCACAAAAGAGCAAGGTGCTTGCCAGATTGCAGGCACCTTGGCACAGATTTGAGCCCGCCACCTAAGAGTAGTCCAAAAACCGGCACACTGCCCCAGATCTACTGAGGCAGTTGGAAGCAGAAAGCGCAAGTGTCTCTCACCTTGATGGAGTCAAAAGCTTGGATGCGATTTGCGAGTGAAGGCCACACTGCTTTGTCGAAGAAGGAATAGTCCACATCCAATTCACCAACGTCTGGCTCTTCGTCCTGAAACAAAGAAAATGGTAAAAGCTCAGCACGTAACAAAAATGAGAAAAACAAGAGAGCCAAAAGCCGCCCACACAAAAAAAAAATTACCGCATCTCCACGTGGTGAATAATGTTGATTGGGGCGAAGCTCTGGTGGTGCTGATGATACTGATATAGTTCATAGGTAGTGCTGATGGTGCATACGCATTTGAGCATTTGACCGCAGCGCCCTCTAGTCTATTAACGTTGAGCCAATGCATGCAAAGCTTAACGCGATTATAAACGCATTTGACCGCAGCGCCCTCTCCTGTATAGACGTTGAGCGGCTACATGCAAAGTTTCATCCATGACATCCCCAGCTCTTGAGTTACTACCACATCTCAGGGACCCCTCCTCGTCCCGCAGTCGTGGCCGAGTGGTTAAGGCGATGGACTAGAAATCCATTGGGGTCTCCCCGCACAGGTTCGAATCCTGTCGACTGCGCAAACATTTTTCCTTTTTTTAAGAAGACAGATGGGATGGCAATCAATGTGAGCACGGACGCCGGACAGACAAGGCTAGACCCTAAAGAGCTTCGCCCCTAAAACAGATACACTGGCAAATGCACTGGGGTTTACAGCACAGCACAACCCCCTTATCTCCCAAAATCCTTACCCTGGCAAGGAAAGATGCAAAACTAGATTCTACAATGACGCTGCACTGGTTCTCCAGTCAAAGCAAAGCACAACTCAAAATACACTGGGAGTTTGCCACTAGTAGTCAAAAGTTCACCCTTGCAGGCTGTCGGGACCCCCAGCTGTCGGGACACATTAAGACGGACGCTATGAATCTGGCTCAATAATGTCCACGTTTATCGCTAGCAGGTATGCTCTGCTGTGAGGCAAATGTTTTAGCTGAGATACTGCAATTTGGGGACTGGGGAGTTAAAGCAATGAATAGAAATGACCACTGCTATGTTTCAATACCACATAAGCTACGTAAATATCAAAGGACCTTGTACTATAGTAGAAGACTAAAAAGTGCAAAAAAATATGGACGAAGAAGAGTCACATACAACACGGACTAGCGGCAGTCCGTATTGCATGTGTCTCTTCTTCGTCCGTGTTTATTTGCACTTTTTAGTTCTCTAGATCACAATGAACCAACTAGCCCAACCGAAAGTTTTAACTTGTACTATAGTCTTAATGACATAAATCGAAGCAACTAAAAAAAAACTTGTATATCAGGAGAAAGGTGGATCTCACTGTCAGACTCCAACAAGGCAGCAAAAGTATACCTTCCTCACATTCAGGGAATGTAAATGCGAAGTATTTTTATGTTTCATTTGCAGCAACACTGACTAATGTTATAGTTAATTTTTCTTTATGCGTGAGGGCCCCCGTGTCTGCACCTTTCTACTTCCTGGATGAGATGTTGGGTGCTTGGATCACATGCAACGAGCATCTTCCCAAGTCCTTTGCTTGACCAGAATTGTTGCTTATGTGTTACTGTAAACGATTTGCAGCACAAGGAACTTAGAAGAACCAGATATTTTACTAAGTGCATATTGCTGAACGAACCCAAAAAGCTCGAACACAATGGAAAAGAGCCAGAAATCTGAGTTGTGCTGTAACACATTGAAAATAAGAGCAGTCTACTTTTTCCTCCAGTCCTTCGGAAAGCCTTCTGACATTTCAGTGCCATCCACCTGGTCCAAAACGGTGCTTGGCGCATCATGGCCAAATGCAGCTTACGGAATGGACCTCAGCACTGGGCTACCAGTCCGCTTGCAGTTTGTGACAATCAACTCATCTGTGAATATTACGGTTCTCGTTCCTCGCCGATTATGCTGAGACGGAAATCGCTAAACTGTAACACTGTCTGCATTCCAGCGCATGCTGCAAGCATGGCAAACCCAGGCACTTGAGTGTGATGAACGTTGGCAACATGAGCCAGTGAAACATCACTTTACTAGAACTTGCTAATGTTTCTCTATATTTTCTGGGTCATTTCTGCAATGGTCTACATGTGGAAATAAAAACAAATGTATGTTTTACATAAAATGAACATTACAGGAGTATGTCCAGAGAGTATTTAATGAAACAACAAAAAATGTTATTATGTCTTTTCGTTTTTTTTTTTTTATTCCTCCGGATCTCCGAAACATCGTTAAAAATTTGTCACACAAACATAACGAAGATGCTATAGTTGGGGACAGGTTGAGTGAAGTGGAAGCTCCTCTCACCTCTCCATTTTAGCAGAGCACACGCTGGAGAGGAGGTCGTCTTCTCTTCAGCTTTTGCTCCGCTAAAGTTGAAAGAACTGGGAGGAGCTTCCACTTTACTCTTAACTCTATCCTGACCGCACCCATAAGCACCGGTGATTGATGGTTTCCAAGTGCAGTCGAGAAATTGAAGTTAGTGCGGAGAATTATTTTCCACAATCTCGTAGATTGTGGAACATGAAGAACTCTAGTTACAATTTCAACGTGGGTTTGAGGTTTATCACAAGCTGGTGGGTTGTCAAAAATAGCCCTGGGAGCGGTGGTTGCACTTGTCTAACATGACTAGCTGCTTGCATCAGTCAGTGTAATAAAAATATCATTATTTACATGATTCAACTATATATTGTGGCATATGTTTTAGGCCTCAAGAGCTCTGTTCACATTTTGAATGATGTTACAGGCATCACTTAAGGAGGGATACTACCCAGGAAAAATAAAATTTTAAAAATGCCATATTAACATCTGCCAACATCTAGAGAGTATTCCCAGAAAGTCTAATTTGTTTACACTGCATAGTTATTTTTTTATGAATTCTTTTCAGTCTACCGATACTAAAGAAAAAGTTGGGGTTCGTGCACTTTGAAGGCGTTTTTCTCCATTAAACTTTTTGACATAAGTTTCACTTAAGGGACACTACCCTAAAGGGTCAACTTTTGACCCTTTAGGGGGTCAAATAATATGAATGAAATTTACAGTACTTGCAGTTGGCGAGGCAGAGTGCAGTGCAAAGTTTATCTGTGTACATGAATTGTAAAAGAAATTATAGTCATTTTTATCAGGGTCACACTGACTTTGTTTAGGAAAACTATCATTAGAAAGCTAATGTAATACCCAACGTTTTTCTTCACTAGACCTGCAGCGGAATGCCTGGAGAGTGCAGCTGTGAAAACAGAATTTCCAGAAAGAAATTTATTTTATGCTAACATCGCAGTGAAAAATCAAATAAATTTGTCTTTTATGTTGTCGACAAAATCTTAATTTTTATAAAAGGACATCCACAAAGTCAAAAAACAATCCCACAGCTGCATTGCCCGTAAAATTCCTGTTACGAAAAATCATAAATTAGTCTTTCCTTTTGTTCCATGAACACACAATAGTTTTCCTAAATTGAAATTTATGCCCAAAAGTTGAAGGAGAAAAGTGTGTTCTAAGTGCTCCAACCTCTATCTAATTGGCATCGGTAGACCGGGAGAGATTTATAAAAAATTAACTGTGCAGCGTAATCCAATGAAACTTTCTGGGAATACTCTCTAGATGTTGGTGGATGTAAATATGGCATTTTTCAACTACTACTTTTTTTGCAGAAATATTTTTTTCTGGGTAGTGCCCCTCAATAAAATCTATTGATTCAGTGTGAAACTATCGAGACCTAATTTTCGTGGCTTATATATCGAAATTTTATGGAGACGGTTACTATGAACTTGGATTTTGCATCTTCATGTTCCTTTGTTATGACAAATTGTAACTTGCAAAACTTGGTAAATGTAAAAAAAAAAAAAAAAATCATATTTTTTAATTTGTAAAATGCATCTTTTTTTCTTTTTTTTTTTTCTTTCTTTTAATAGCAACCGGCAACAGGGATCCCAGTATGCATTCCACCAGAAAAACGTGTGGTTATCGACACCAGTTCTCAATGATAGAATCATTGAACAGATTCCATGCTTTACTTTGTTCTGGAGGTATAGTACCTCATAAAGTTGGTTCACAGGGCTGAAACTTTGCATGCCCTCCTCATATATATGGCTACCAACACCACCTGCAAATATCATGCCGATTGAGTGAGTGGTTCATAAGTTGACATTCCCAGGTAATGTCCCCCCTTAACAGGTGTGTCGGTAAGCATCACTATAATTCCCAATGCCGTCTTGAGCCGGCTTGCACCCAATAAGACGGACAAAAATGCTAAATATGAAGGAAGCGCAATCAAGGCTATGACATAACCAACGTAGAACAAAAGAAAAGCATTCTGCTGGGGATGTGAGGTGAACTATCTGTGTTTTGCCTATGTAAGCATTCCTCCGTTGAAAAGCACACGTGTTACAGAGGCTAACCCTCTGACAAATCAAAAATGGACAATGTCAGTTAGAGTACACTAACCTTCAGAAGTAATAGCCTAAGTATGGGACACATGTTGCATATTTGGAATCTTTCTTATTTGTTGTTTAATTTGACATAGCTGTAGAAGTTTCGGCGTTTATACGCCTTCTGCACATACATTGTATTTTCAAGAAATAAAATTTTAACATCCTTTTCCCACATTATACCAACCTCTGTTTCTTTCGAAAGAACAACTAATTGGCCACATTGCAATGTGTCATATTGCTCCATATGCAAGTTAGTTAGGAAAATAAAAGCGTTTACACGGATCTCTTGAAAATTCCTAGTTTTCCCATGGTCAGAAAAGATCGAGTTAACCTGTCACCGATTACAGTTACTAATGCATGGGCTCCACAGAAGAGTTCACTTCCAATCGTAAACTCACCTTTCCACAAAATATTCTAAAGTGCAGTATTGTGGAAATGATGCCCATGAATATACCATTCTTAACAATACTATATTGCAAATTGCATCTGATCTGTAACCTTTGGACTGGCAAACTACATTGCGTATATGGCCAGGCTGCTACAACTCAAGACCCACAAACTAGAGAAATATTGTCACGAATAAAAATAGATTAATGTGAAACTGAAAATAAATATTTAACACAGCAGAGTTGTGCCAAAAAAAAAACTGTACAATAATGGCCGTCGCGGGTGTCCAGGCAGCGGAACCAAGCACCAGTGGAAGACTGATCCGGTGCTGCATGCTACAGCTGTTTTTATACACAGTCTATGTTCCTGAAGGTTTCTACCCAGAAGATACAATAACCACTGAGAATGCACTGGAACTTTTCAGCAAGGCAACGAAAGGCAAAATGCAAAATACACGGCGGGGGGGGATTCAAACCCGGTCCATCCGCACGGGAGCCGCGTGCTCTGCCCCCTCGGACATGAACGCAGCAATCTGTAGTTTGTAGAGAGCCACAGTGGATAACATTGCCCAGACTGGCTCCTACAGTGACCCTTTTCAAAAGTCCACCAAGCAACACTGGCAGCCAGCATGGTTCGAGCATTGCTCCTGTACGTAGCACGCATGTCGAACACAATTGGACCCGAGTGCGCAGCAAACAATGACGCAGAACGCATGCTCAAAGCGCAGGCCCAAAATATGACAACCTCGTATAATCGCCGCAGCAGCTGGTGGAGGTTGCGCACTTTCAAAAAGGGTCTATCGCAGGTGGAGGCATTGAAAGACCCGGCCAACAAACTGCACTTCAGCCACCTGTCATGTCATGGTCACTTACGGCAGCAGGAGACTTGCCGCACACATAGTGACCGCCCAGCCCCTCTCGGCGGCAGTACACCCCATCGGGCCCCACCACAAGAGGAAAATTGAGGCCAGGTCCGTCCGGGCAATGGACAACGTACACGTAACGCTTCCTGAAATAAAAAAAACAAATAATACAATCACAATCAACTGCTAGTGAAGCCGATCGCCGCAACCAGAAATACATACGCCTCATTGTATTAGTATGTACAGTCGGCAGTAAAAGTTTGCGAGGCGCGGGAGCACCAGCAGAAATAACTGGTTGTGCCTTCCGACGGCGCCTGGCCGCTCTCAAGGTCCACGCTTCGAGAATGGCTTTCTTTTGTGCTCGCAGTCGTGTCTTGCTTACTCGCTTCTGTCCGATGCGCACGAGATAACCGGGACCGGCGCAAGGTGCCACTTTTTCAGCCAACATGCCGCGTGTCTGCCTCAGCCACCGTGATGTGTGACGTGTTCGCATGTTATAAACAACATTTCGCAGCACCCTGCGCCAGTCGCCGTTATCTTGTGGTTTCGGACAGAAGCGAGAGAATAAGAGCATGACTGCAAACACGAAAGGAAGCGCATGCGCAAAGCGTGAGTCTTGAGAGCGGCAACGCGCCGTGAGAAGGCGCAGCCAGCCTTTTCGGCCGCTGCTCCCATGCCCCGTAAACGTTTGCTGCCGACTGTGCAAACTATTGGAGATGACAGAAATAAAATAGAAAAAGCATTGATAATGTCGTGCCTAGTCAATGCCAGAAAAATGTGGATGGCGTGTGGAGAGTCTAGAAAATGTACTAAAGCAGCTTTTTTTCTTTCTTTCTTTCTTTTTTTTTTTTTTTTTACAGCACCGACGTGATTTACTTAAACTTCCAAAAGTCTAAAAATCCACAAATCTTCTGCATATAGAGTCGTGCCTAGTTAATATGGATGCCTCCGTTCCCCAGGAAAATCGTTCATTGTGCGAGTCGTCCGTAATAATGAATCGGCACATGACAGCCCTAACTAAACATATGGTGGCGAGAGCGTAGGTGGCGAGAGCGTAACTTGAGCAGTTGGAGAAGAGGGCCAGGAGGAACTTGTGTCCGGACCCTCTTTTGTGTGGCCCAGACATTGCTTTGTCTCCCAGAAACTTAGCCTGCAAATCAAAATTTCTACAAAAGCGCATTCTTCTGTCTTCCATCCGTGTCTTTGATAGCACTGCGCACTCCACAAGCAAGTCACGTGTCTCCCTCCGACGTGCCAATCGGCTCGCTTGGAGCCGATTGGCACGTTGGAGGGCACGTCAGAGTTTTCACCGTTTACCGAGTTACGGTGAAGCGGAGTAGAGGAAAAGAAATTAGCTTTGTGAGACATAAGTAATAAGCGTAAGGACAGGGCAATGAGGTCGACCTCTTCGAGCCTAAACCCAGAACGTTCCTGCGTTATGTGGACGACTGCTTCTGCATCTTTAAAACCAGTGAGGTGGATCGTCTTCTAAAGCACCTGAACTCGGTGGATCGGTCAATTCAATTCACGGTCGAACGCAAACACAAGGGTTCCCTTCCCTTTCTGGATGTACTGGTAACCAGGAGTGGCAGTGGCCTAAGCTTCTCTGTTTACAGGAAGCCAACCCACATTGGCAGATACTTGGGGTTTGATTCCCACATCCCCAGTCTCATAAAGCGTCAATGGCCTCTGCGCTCTTCAGGCGCACCTTCGCCACCTGCTTTACAAAGAAGAGTCTCCAGGAGGAAATCAAAGTCGTAAACAGGGTGTAAGATAGACAGGTGGGGAAACGAGAGCCAAATGAGCGACCGAATTGTGTCCCCCTCGGTTTTCTCTTTTTCTGTGGCGCCATCTATGTGGAGCACCGCGAACTCTCACTCCGGGTGGGCGACCGGTGGCAACTGGCTAAACTGACGGAAATGATTTTTTGTGGATTTTCAATGGAGGACTGTCATGCTCTCGGTTTATCTTGCGCACTCTCCCATAGAGTTCCATGCAAATCCGATTCCAATTTTTTCCTTCCCGCCGCAGCGCCATCTGTCGCAAATCGGGGGTACCCGGAAGCAGACAAGTACACAATCTGGTCACGGCGCTGCGGTAGGCTATTATGGGCCGTTTCCCCACCTGTCTATCTTACACCCTGGTCGTAACATTGGATCTCTGCAAGAACGGCTACCCTCGACGGTTTATTCTTCGGATACTCAAGAAGTCAAGGCATCCACTCGTAGCGCGCAGCATTCCCCCCTCCGATTGCGTCTGTGTGCCCTACATTAGCTGCACCAGCGAGGCCCTTTCCCGTGTCCTAGGCCGCTACGGGATTGCAGTGACTCATAAGCCCGTGTCAACAATCAGTCATCGGCTCCCCCTCCCGAAGGATCGGCACCCCAAAGAAAAGGCCCGAGGTTTGGTCTATCGCATACCATGTAAAGATTTCCCAGCCTCATACGTTGGCGAAAGTAAGAACTTTGCAGAGAGGCTTACACAACACAAATATGATGTCCGGAAGAAGGGTGTGGAGGCAAGCACCCTTGCAGAACACGCAGAAGCAGCCAGCCACACAGTTGACTTCAAGGGAAGCATTGTGCTGGCCTTGGAGAGGAATTGGCGAACGCGTCTCTTCATTTAGTCTTGGTTCATCCAACGCGTAAAATAGAATGTGATTCGTTCTCCGGGCTCCCTGTCCAGCAGCTACATCTCGGGACTGCGCGACATCAGCAAAGCCCCATACATCCGTATGTACATTTAAGAGACGCGTGTTCTTTCCGTCACTCACCCGTGAACAAGAGACCGAACTGGTCTCGAAATGTCCAGTAAATGTTTATTAAACCTTTGGTTAGAGTCCCTATTTTTCACTTAATGTGTATTCCTAGCCAGGCAGAGGGCTGCCAAACGTTTACCTCCAAGGAGAGTATACTGCAGAACATGAAAGCTTCAAAATTATAATTTCTGAAAAATAACATTTTTGGCAATTTTTTACTATTTAAAGATCCGCATCGACCCTTAGCGGTGCAAAATTGCATGGTGAAAGATTGGTCGCTGAAAATTTTGTCCTATATTCACAAGGTCCATATTAAGGAGGCATGACTGCACAACCCGTTTCTACTATATAAAACACAATTAGTCTCAAACCCATTCCCTTCGGTATGAAGAGGAAAAAGGGTATGACTTTGATTATGTGCTTCAAACAAAGGGACCTTTATGTGAATACTTTGTGGATGTTCAGGCTTTATGAAGTAGGCAGATCGTGACAGAGTCATGAGCAGACAAAGGCAAAAAAGACTAAGTGCAGCTTTACTATCAGCTCTAGGATTTCATAAAGGTCACTGCTTTTTTACTAATCCTGTGCCACTTGTAGCATTACTAACAAAAAGTGCTGCATGTGCACTCAGCCTCTGATTTTGCTTTTCATACACTTCAGAATTGGCTAGAGCAGGGCCAGGCCAACCCGGGCCCAAAGACTGCCTGCCGCCCATGAAACTTTCTATTAGCCTACATACATCCAATCCCCATTAATCCATTGCCATGGCCTCACGTCATCTATTCACGTTCACGTTTTAAGGCAAGTTTTGCAAGTTTCTTCTACTTTTAGCCATGACCCACGCACAACGCTTGTATAGCCCCTTTAATGCAGTGGATAGTCTGAAGATATTATTAGCAAGTAGGTCGTTTCTGACTGATTTGTAATCTCACTGTTTCTGCATCGTTACCAAGGCATCAGCTGCCCATGAGCACAAAAAATGATCTAATTAATTAATTAATAAATCATTTCAACCTCAAGAGAGCTTTGGGTAGAAGTGTCCTCCAAAACTGACTAGTAGTTGTGTGCAGCGTTGCCAAAAGTACAAGGGCGAGAGCATAATTTGAACAGTTGAAAAGGAGGGGAAGAGGGAAACCTCCTACCCGGACCCTCCTTTGTGAGCCCCCCACATTACTTTGCTCCCCCTCGGAGATTAGCCTGTTGCTCAAAATTTGCACAAAAGAGGCTTTCCTCTCTCTCTCGCCCATAGCTTCCACAGTACTGTGCACAACTAGTGAAATAGAGTATAGAAGCAAATTCCCCAAAATTTTTTGGTGAAACTGAAGCATTATTCTTTTACCATTCACTGACGACCAGAAAGATCAGCGTCGTCCGCTAACCGCTGGTTCAAAACTGAGAGGAGTTCACATTTTACTTTGTCTACTTTCTGCTTGATACAGCGATTCACAGGGTTGCAACGTCACAAAGTGTTGCCAAGTCAAGAATTACAAAAAATGCTAGCATTCCGGAGACCAAGCAAATTACTTTTCTACAGTTCCAAAGCACCAAAAAGTGTGAGACCTGTCTTGCATGTCCCAAACGTCCCAGGAAGGTTTCAAAACAAGAACAATCTAACTTTCCGATTTTCTCGTCATGGCCCCTTTAAGGCATACCGTGGCTCGACGGGCAGTGTTGCCTGCAAGAGTCCAGACCCATTGCCAATTCTCAGCATCTTCGCAATGTCTCCCGAATGAGGTCCTCCCGCTACCACCAGGATGGCAAACTGGATTTCACGCAGCTCCCCGTCTGGCATCTTTACCTGCACAGCACGGAATGCACAAACTACTGGGATGCCCCCTCTGTTGCAGCACAACCCCTGAAAACTCCCAAAGATAGGGGACAATGAAGACTGCGAGACAAACACAGGAGTTCTGATATCGGGATATGTCAACAATGCAGTACTGCAATGATTCTGACTGCTGTCTCACCAAAAATGTGCCGCATGACTCGGTAGTGAAAATTGCAGCACAATAAATTTGATGTGCTACATGACCGTTTATAGCGACATACTTAGATCAGCTCCGTTGCAGAACCCTACTCACTGATGAGATAAAAGCTTTTGGTAACGATTCGGCATCTGTCGCATGCCCACAAATCCGGGGGAAGCCTTTAAAGTGACCGCGTAAATCGGCTTGGTAACGTGTCGCGCTATGATTCACCACAGAGGTGCCCGAAGGTGGTGGAAGCGTCGCATCAAAATTTAAAGGAACACACTTACTCGAGTAAAAAGTAAAAAAATCGACAACTGATTTCCCCTAGCTACGGCACCCGTCTGCTATCCACACACCATCTGCTGCCGACAGATGGCGGCAGGAGCCCCGGTGTTGGCTTACCGCTGGGTAATCTGATGCTCTCTCTTTTTCATTCCAATTTACTGAAATCACTGGAGGATGAGAACAAATAGAGCATCTCTTTTGAATGCCCAACCTCCAGCATGCGCTCATTGCCCTCCATCATGCTTCGGCTGCGTTCGGAGGGAGGTGTGGAGGGGGAAAGGGAGGGGTTAAGGGGACAGATCCACGTAACGTGGTCGAGGGATGAGTGATCTTTACAAAAGGGTCATTCGGCTGGATATTGTTGAGGAAAGAGTTTGTGCAATAAAGCATGCACACTCAAAGCTCCCGAGACGTCAAAGCGTTATTGAAAATGGAAAGCTTGCGTTGGAGGCAGGAAACCGGAAGAACCTCCCTTCTGTTCTCATCTTGTCAGTGACTCTAATACTAAAAATAATGGTTAGTTTTCAGTTAAAAAATTGGTTGAAAAAAAAGAGAGAAAAGTGCAATAGCTGACAGTCTTTTCCCTGCAGGGGCTATCAGCACGGCATCGTAATTTTAGCACACTTACAATAGCATGGTTCACAGGCCTGTAGTACTCTTCCTCGTCGAGCACAGCATTACGGACTTCGTTAAATTTGAAGCTGACCAGCTCTGCATTCAGGTACCTTGCTCCCAGGGAGACTGCTTTTCTCCTAAAGGCAGTCAGGAGGGACCAGGGATCGAACCACCCCTCATTCTCGAGACCTGGTGCAGACAAGTGAAACGAAAAAGAGGCAGGTGAATGCACTAACAGGAAGTCAGAATCCAAACGTGCACTTTGACAAGACTTTCCTTGGAATCGCAGTGCAGTTGAACTACGCCAGGAAACATCAATAGGGCTCTTGGAGCTTTGGCATTTGCCTAAGTCAACGGGCTTTGCGATGTCACCAACCCAAAGAGAAATGCACCACCACGGAAGAAGACAAAAATGAAAATACTGCTTCTCAGTGGCAGTGGCCATATCCACAGTCACCCCTGAAGAAAAGGCCGAGGAGGCCTCGGAACATCAAGTTCCTTATAAAGCCCGGTTGGCCGTCTCCCCTTTTTAATTAGTCTTTTCCCAACCAAACAAAGTTCTCTGAAATGTTCACGTTCGAGACTTCGATAGGAACCAGACACTAAGAACATACATGAAAGTCTTGAATTCGAGTGAAGCTGAACTGTCTTGAATTCGAGTGAAGCTGAACATAGTAATAGAAGGACAGACTATAACTCAACTCTCCGATGTCGCACGACTGCGGTGGCGCTGCTGTCGGCACTGCACATACCTAATATCATCTGCTTTCTTTTTGGCATACCTCCCAATGTTACAATGTCAAATATGATTGAGTATTTATCCACTCTGTAAAGATTGTTATATAGATTTAAAAAAAAACATCTCGCAACAGCTCAGGTGCATGGCGACAATTCAGAAATAAGCTATATTTAAACTCCACTTTGCAATAGGGCATATGTCGAAATGGCCTGCCATCCATCCTATAGATCAAGGGTCTCAAACACACGGTCCGCGGTCCGCATGTGGCCTGCGACTTGCTTGGATGCGGTCCGCAGACATAAAAATGACTGCGAGCACCCATTTTCATGTCTCGAGTGCTAAAAATGGCATGCACTATAAATATCTCATGTCACCGAATCATTTCCACTGGATGCGTAGCTCTGCTTTTACAACGCATCAGATTGTTGAAACTATTTTGTTTTCCTTTGCCTTTTGTTTCGTTTTAATCCTTGCTTTTGCTCAAGGACGGACCTCGGCTCCACAAACTCTCTCACTCAGTGGGAGAAAAATTGTTAAATCTATGAGTTCGAGATTCTCACCTTCAAATATTATCACCATTAAAATACAAGTTTTTTTTCCCTCCAAACTGCTGCTATACAAACCATTAGTGAAGGAGAAACTAAAATCCCGAGTGAATTGAGCAACGGGAACCATAGCGTGCTTGCGCTCTTGTTCTATTAAAAATGGCTACATGTTGGCAGGGTGGTGACATTTTAATTTGTGTTATATATCAGGTAAGGGCCCAAATTAGTTCAATAAAGAAATCAAAGCTAAAGATATCACTGCCAAACTGCGAGTTTACAAAAGGCAGAGAGCATGAGGTCCCATAATAAAATCTCTCACCCCCGCCCCCCAAAAGGTCGAGGGCCTTACGTTGGCCCTCGACCTTTCTGTCTGGAGTGGGCTATCGGGCCCCCACACTCGAATGAGTTTGAGACCACTGCTATAGATCTTCCCAGTTCCTTTTCACACTACCCATTTCTCGTCCGTGAGTCTGTGACAATCTTCAACTCTCATCAAAGATAACTCGTCAATATTATCTATGTTGTTTTCGCACCATCTAGCAAGGACACATGCATTCAATCCATGCCTCACCTATTTGCACAAAAAAAAAAATTTCCACGGAGATGAATACCACCCTATCGAGAAAGTGTATTCACCTCCATTTCTGCTTGGCAGCTACACTACAAAACACACTTCCCAAAAGTCAGCCTCATCATCTCAGCAAAGCAGCAGCATTTCACCACACCGAGCAAAGCTAGTGAACAAGATTGGTCAGGATACCTAGTCATTAGCAATGAGAGCATCACAATGATCACTCTTCCGAAGATGTCATAGATGAGGGCTGGACTGATGTCAAACTTAACAAGGTCATAAAAAAGATTTCCGACAGAGTTGGGATAGGAAAGGCAAGTGCAGTTCATTGGGAAGAAAAGCAAATAATTTATCAGCCCAACCAATGTCCGTTAAACTATATTTAGCCCTTGCTACTTCTTGTTGGTGGTGTGTGAACAGCTTGTGTAAAGATAAGAAGTAAGAGGTGCCCAAAAATGAGGTGTAAGAATTTTAGTGTCAATAAACTTCACAGTAGATTAATGCTCCCGGTCATTAACTTCAACAAACCGTAAACAACTTCTTCACCGCATTAAAGGGACCTTTTCTATATTGAAACATATTTGGATGTTCCAGAATCTAAAAAGAAATTCAACGAGAAAAGAAAGAAACCAAGATTTGTTCAATGATTGTGGTACAAGTGATATACTATGCGGGCAGCATGCTGTTCAGCTAAACCTGAATTAAAGGAATATTTACAGTCAACTATTTCTTTGATCTTTCTAAATATACCTGAAAACTCAGAATACAGTAAGAAAAACTTTGGATAGGTGATGTAGGGTATGATCTTGCAGCATAGACTTACCGTGTGACCCAAGAGCAATTCCGTCAGTGTTGAGCCAGGGAAATTGCTGCTTCAACTCTGGTGGCCTCAGGAGTTCCACCTTGGCACCACATTCCCTGCAAGTAGCGAAATGGAAAACTAAAAAAGCTGTCGCACACACAAGCCAAAACAAAATGAGAAACACCAGAGACATACTCTTGAACGGCTAAATTCTTAGTCATTTGCTCCACTCCTCCTTCAGAAGCGAGGAACAGGTACCCGTGCGGCTGGAACTGAATGTCGGGAGGATCGAAATCTGGAAGCCAGAAAAATTCTGTACTGCCCATTTCGACCAACTTACTGGACAACGGCTCTCTGGTGACAAACACTCACCTAAAACACTGAGGTTCCTCTTGACGTTGCGAAGGAACTGGGCGCTAAACAGCGACAGCTGAATGTTCTCGGGCAGCGAGAACTGTTGTCGTATTCCACCGACAGATAGGACTGTTGATGACCTTGAGTACTGGGGAGGATATAAAAAAATGAAAGCCGTCTACAACTCCCTGTAATGCCAAATTAGAGCGCAGCTCTTGAGGAGGAGGGTGGAAGCGTACTGAGGGGAGGGTATGCCCCTCCTCCTCACCTCGTCATCCTGCCTGCTACTCCTCCTCCCCTCCTCCCGCCTCCTTCCCTCCTCCTCCTTCACCCCCCGTGAGGTCACATGACCTAACGGTTACGCTGACGGCACCAGCGACGCCGCTCAAGCCGGAAACGGGCACCTAAGAGCTGCGCTCTAAAAATCATTGTGCTCGAGGCCACGGCAAAGAAAAACGTTTATGCAGCCGGTCACCCTGTTGCCACTTTAAAAAAAGCATGCAAAAATCATTTTCTTTCGTCTGGTGTGTTGGATCGTTTGAACTGACCTTTTACATTATCCAGATTAAAGATAAGCATGACTGCGTACATGAGCTTGCCCTTAAGCTTCTTTGCAAGTTTTAACACCTACCGTAATGAAGACATTGTTTAGCAATGTCAGCAATCACTCCATGGCTTCCGAAAGGTTTCTCTTCGAGCTAACAAAATGCTGCAGGTATGCGGAAATATAGAAACGAGTTGGTGCTGTTTTTGCCCTTGATCTACAACCCCACTTCCAAGAACATGCTTTCGTTCAGTGTGTCCAATCTGATCCATGAAACCAGCTTTTAAAGTCAGTGGTTAGGTACGTATGTGCGTTGTTCCTCTCCTGTCAGATCGGTGACTTGATTATACACCTGCAAATGAACAGCAGTCGTGGCTGAACACAGCGCCAGCAAGCAAAGTAAAAAGACGTTGTTGGGCTAGTTGGTCCATGAGCTCCGAGCAAGCAGAGTGCGTACTCCCAACTGCTAACGTCGTTTTGCTCCGAGTGGAGTGTTCGGATGCCAAGTGTCCCTACCGTTAGGTCTCGTTCCACCACGGCCAGGCTGAAGCTTTCCGGAGCGCGCTGCTTGAGCCAGTAGGCCACGGACGAGCCCATGATCCCGCCGCCGATAACGAGGATATCCACCTCCTTCGGAAACGGTGGCTCCGGCACGCCCGGACCGGCCGATTTCATGTAACCCTTGAATTCGTCGCGGAAAATGTTGAAAACTTTGAGCTCGGGGGAGATGGACCCGTCAGACAACCGATTTCGTTCATCGTCGCCAACACTGCGTGCAGGGATAGTCCGTGGAATTACTGGGTGACGGTTGAAACAGAATCGACACGAGCGTATCATGCTCGCCGATCTAAATAACACCGACATTTTGTTTAAGTGCGCTTGGCGACAGTAAAATCAGTAAAAGCAACACAGAGGAAAAACACCCCACACCTTCGACATGCCGCGAATTCCACAAACTACCACAAACAAGCGACGAGCGGATACGATTGGATATGCAGTGGATTCAGTGGATTCAACGAGGTTGCCTGGATTGGGATTGGGATCAACCGGAGAAGCTGCTGGAGAGAGAAACCAACGAACGGTGTAGAGAGAAATAACGATTAGTAGAAAAATACAAAAATTCCGGTCCTCCGTAAAGGGCGGTAGCTTGCGTCACCTAGGTATAGCCAGGAGCTCATGGGTCTCTACAAGTCCTCTCCTCCCTCCCCCGAAAGTCGCCCGCTCCTAAACCCCATCCCCTACTTCACCCAGTCAGCCCCGTTATTTTATTTCTCCTTGCCTCAGGGTTTAGATTACGATGGGGACAAACTCGCACGGGGACAGGGAGTCGTTACTCCTTACCCATATTTGTTCCGCACCCTACGCAGGCGCGCTCGCGATACTGCCGGTAGTAGCCTACTCTGTAAACGGCCGGGCGACGGAAAGTTTTACGCAAGCACGTGTTGGCTGCGACAGCACACCTGCGTATCCCGTCTTCTTAACTGCATTCTACCCCAAACCACCAGATCGACAGCCCGTATTATTTGCCAACATTTCCAAACGGCTTCTTTTAACCTTTGAGCATCCATATGGTCAGCACTCTTCTCTCCTCCTCTTGCCACAGGAGCGGGGGTGAGCTCAACACCACTCAACACCTCCTGTGAGCTACTCCTTTGCTCTATGTCCCGAATGGAAAGGAGGAATTGAGGAGAGTTTCCTCCCTTCTGCTTATTGGGCGACGTTGTGAAAAAAGTGTTTTGTGGATTTACACCCCCTGGTTACGCATTTTGAGCACCATTGTTTAGAGTAATATGCGCCTTTATGATTATGGAATAGGGTGCTACTATGTGGAACACCCTTCACTTCCTGAAGGGTGTAAAAAGGGTGCAGGAAAGGGTGTCAATTGTGCTGCAGTGTTGAAAATCTACAACTTACCGGCCTCGTAAACCTTGTAGCGAGGGGTAGACGGGACAATGACAAAGAAAGCTGTCTCAGCGCGACTCTGTAATTTTACAAGAAAAAACCGACCTGTGAAATACACCTTTGACGAAAAGTTTAGGTGGCTACATGCAGGCGTTGATTTTTACTGTCGAGTACAATGAACGGTAAAGCAGTCAAAAGGGTCGTGATACCGGTCTCGCGCGTGCTGCTGATGTCTGTATTTGGTGTTTCTGGGTGTGAGACTGTGAAACCAGCATGTGATATGCTTTCCGTTGCTGCTAAACTCCGTGGATGGCACTTAAGTCGATCCTGAGATCGTCCTTCTGTGCTGACAACTCAATCTAGTCGCTCTAAGCATCCCAGCAAGCCCGAAATTACAATCGTGCGTAGCTTATTTCCTCGTTAAAAGCGTGTTCAAAGATCGCGACACGCTCTTTTTGGGAAGAATTTTCTTCCGAGTGAAGTGGACGACGAAGGGCGCTTGTCGGCGAGTTGCAAGCGATGGCTTCGCCCGCGGAGAAAAAGAGGAGTCGCATACGAATGCGTATACCTATCAGACTCTCGTCAAAACGAGTTATAATAAAATCATTCGGAATCTGCGCGTATTGTAGGGCGAGGCACGTAGCCAGGAGGGGGGGGGTCTCTTTTTTTCCCCGAAATCTTCCATTTTGCTGTGGTCTCCTCTCCCCCTCCCCCTCATACAGCATTTTGACATGGGTACCCCCCCCCCCCCCCCCCTCAATGAATATCCTGGCTACGCACCTGTGTAGGGCTTTCACTGGTCCACACAGTGTAGACCGCGAAAAAAACGAGTTCACGTTTTTCTTTCGCCCTGAGATGAATAGGCGGTTTTGTAGTATAGGACTTGACATATGCAGGAACTTACACCTTTTAAACAATATAAGATCAAAAACGACCTCTTTCAAAAATGACTTCAGTGCCCCTTTTAAGTGTACAACCCCAGAAAATCGCAAAACATCTCTACGACGCTGCTAAGATCGCTAGAATCCTTTTGGGGTGAATTCATTAGCACCGTTATGGTGTGAGCACTGCAAGAAAACGATTTAAGAGTATAAAATATGGCTAAATTCTGCTGTCTATGACACTACTGACATTTTTTTTCTCGCGTATACAAAATCGTGTATTCACTGGAAGAATCAAATTGAAGCCGGAGATCTGGTGGGGCTGTAAGAGGGAGAAGTAGGAATAGGAAAGGTTGTGGGACGTCAGGGTACAGGTCGGAGCATGGCCAAGACGGAAGCCGAGGAGAGCCACGCATCACGTGCAGCGGTCATACAAATTTGTATAAGTGAATATTGTGGCTTTAAATTATGAATACGTGCCTGAGATGGCCCAAAACCCCGAAAATAAATCAAGCGTTGTGTCGTACGCACGTAAAAAAAAAGGGAAAAAAAAAAGAAGAAAGAAACTTTTTTTTTTTTTTTTTTTTGTGCTACGTGTACACGAATCACGATCGTCATCTAACAACTCCGAACACCCGATTCTCGGCGGGTGGTTTTTGAGTAGCAAAAAAGTCAGATTTTAAAGCTCAAACATTTGAGCTTTAAAATCGTATAATTGTCCCAAAAAAAAAAAAAAAAAAAAGAAAACTGCAATCTACAGAAAAGTTTTGGCGAAAGAAGACAATTCAAATGCGCTTAGACCTAAAAAAAATGAAAGCCGTTTACAACTCCCTGTAACGCCGGATTAGAGCGCAGCTCTTGAGGAGGAGGAGGGGAATGGTACTGAGGGGAAAGTCTATCCTTCCTCCCTCCTCCTCACCTCCTCATCCTGTCTGCTACTCCTCCCTCCGAGCGGCACACACGGGCGTCTCACGAGGGTCACGTGACCTCACGGGGGTCACGTGACGTCACCGGGGTCACGCGACCCCTATGAGGTCACGTGACGATGACGGTGACGTTACCTGATGTCATCAGTGACGATGACGATGACGATGCGGATGCCGACGACGTCATCAGTGCCGATGACGATGACGATGCGGATGCCGACGACGTCATCAGTGCCGATGACGATGACGATGCGGATGCCGACGACGTCATCAGTGACGATGTCGATTACGTCATCAGTGACGTAAGTCATGACGTCATCAGGGACGATGCGGATGTCGATGACGTCACTGATGACGTCATCAGGGACGTCACGCGTCCCATAATGCACCGCGCGGTTACGCCGACGGCGACACCGACGCCGCTTAAGCCGGAACGGGCGCCTAAGAGCTGCGCTCTAAAACGAAGGAAGCATACATAAATACCGATATTGTGTAACCCTGCAGGTGGGCAGGGAGCACAAATACTTACACGAAGCTCCGGAATCTTTTCGTTTGTGCAGTCCCTCCCGCATGCACCAAATATGAGGGACCAAAGAAGGGGGGGGGGGGGGGGGGAGGGGACTTTTTATGGTGGTTTTTATGGCTCAGCTTTAGGCTTACGATGTCTCTTCTAAACTGGGTAGCCTTCATACTCTCTTCGACGCCATGGGGCACATACTTGGTCTATTTGCTTTGGAAACGTAATTTAAGTACAACTAATCTGCTTTAAAAGTAGGTAATTACAATTAGAATTATTAGCCCGCTAAAAGTAGCTAGTTTCATATGTGCCTTATACTTTTAAAAAGATTAATGCACTAATTAGTTCGCAATTACTTTGAAAATAATTACTTTGCTTTTAAAACGTGAAAAATGCTGCTTTTTTTTTTTTTTTTTTGGCAATGAAAATATATATGTTTGTCCATTTCTTGTCTGACCGTTATGCTGTTCCAACTTCGTCGCATTTTCTGCCAAATTTGTTTCCTCTGCTTCAAAATTGGTGCGATATGAGATCCGAGTTCTAAAGAAGTTTTTTTTTTTTTTTTTTTTAGTGTTATTATTATTTTACAACACTACACGTACAAAGACTGTTAGCGTTCTTTCTTGTGGGGGCAGTTAAAAGTAAAAGTGGTAAATCAGTGTTAATAGCTGTACAGCGAAGGCGTCCAAGGGAGGCTCGACAGTGGTGTAGCCAGGAATTGTTCGGGGGAGGGGAGTTGAGGTGCCGGGGATGTTCAAGACTTGGAGTGCGCAGGGGGCTCAAAACGCTCGTGTCTCAAGGAGGTAAGGCGAGGGAAAGGAAAGCCGGGGAGGAGAAAGCCGACGGCACGCTGGAGAGAGGAGGAGGTTTCCCCCTCTCCAGCGTTCCGTCTGCTTCTTCCTCCCCAGCCTTCCTTTCCCTCGCCCTACCTGGTATAAGGTTCCGTTTACGCACGAAAGAATGAACAAATAAAACGGAGCACACAACACGACGTCTCTCGATGTCGCGTTCTGTGCCTCGTCCCATTTGTTTGTTCTTTCGTTTTTTTTTTTTTTTTTTTTTTTTTTGGGGGGGGGGGGGGGTTGATGTTTGTGTAAACCTCCCCTTTGCTGCCACTAAAACTCAATGTTTTCTTTTTTTTTTTTTAATTATTATTGCAGTTTTGAGCGAAGCGATTTACAGTGCGCGTCCCTGGTTTTGAGAGTGTGCGCTGGGCTGTAGGTTTTTTCGTCTGTGGAGTGACAGCCTGCGTAGGCGCAATTACGGACACTCGTCTAAATTGCCCCGTTTTTATTCTTTATTTCTGGAAGTTTTTAAGAAAGCATTGTACTATATCTGGAAACAAAAGCTATTTTTGTTAGTCTGTGCGCGACAGAACAAATTTTTATGTTTATTATTATTATTATTTTTTGCTACACCATATACTCAGCCGTGTCAATCTGCAAAGGCCTTGGCTGTGGAAAATATTTGACCACATAGGATAGCCGAAATGCATGGGTATTCCCCGCTCACATGAAATTCAATGAGTCTCACCAATCGAATAACGTATTGTACGTACCCACGGTGCAGCGTTATCCCAACAGGATTTATTTGAGAACGATTTCAAATAACACAATATACCCCTTACAGTGACAGTGTCGACGAGTCACTTCACGACGATTGGACGGAATCCGACTTGTCTTTGGGCACGTTTTGAACCAAGCTGTTCTTTTTTTTTTTTTTTTTTTTTTTTCAGAACTCTAAAGCAAACGAACGTCACGCTACGAACGTCGAATGCACAATGCGGGTGGGGAGTCGCGCTGACCAGCGCGGTTCTTTCATTCACAAAATCCGTCACGTCTCGTCATACAATCAATGATCTTGGAAAACAAAATTCCCGTATACTCCGCACAGCCTAAAATTTTAACTTTTAAACATGTATAGTTCGCGGACTGTACCCAGGACAATAGGTATTCTGCAAATAGCCAAGTTGGCTGTGCGGTGCCGTGTCCTTGACAGTTGCTCATCCGCGCGTTTATGGTAAGCATACTGGCGCAGCGCCTTCAAAGGCGCACGGCCTGACAGAAGGGCACGACGTCACCTATGACGTCATGTGATGCTACAGTCATGTGACTTCATGACATTACTTGACTTCGCGCACACATAAAAACATGTGCCCAGATCGTTCGAACACGTTCTGTGCTGCCCGATCTTTGTCAACTTGATCAAGCTAGTGTAATTTTTTCGCCTGTCGAAGTCACAACATGAAGTCTTCCGTTTTCCCAACAAATCGTCCATAATGTGAGTTGGTCCATAATAACAAGACAAATGCTTGTATTTAGCCAGTTCAACCCCCCCCCCCCCAAAAAAAAAGAAAAAAAAAGAAAACGGTTTGTATTAACGAGACATGACTGTATCATTAAGAAGTGATTGCGGTTAATTTAAACTGTTTGTACAATTACTGAGAGGCTGTAGATAATCCAATACTGCAACTGCTTTTTAGTCAAACGTAATGAACTATAAAGACAAATTACTCAAAAGTGATTAAATTACGGTGGTTCCATCACTACAAATGAAGTGTACTCATAATGGAACAGCGCGAATGAATTCCATTATGAATCCATACCAACTCGCCCATTTATCCTGTTTACGAAGTGTACTACCCAGCTGCCCTACAAATAACTGTGCACGTCCATTTTAAAAGTATTTTTTTTCTTGTCATATAGAAAAGTCCAAAGAGCCTTACAATTTTTCTTTTCGTCGCGGATAAATTCATTACTGTTTGAGAAATTAATCCATCCATTGATTCAGCTCAGGCGACCACATGCCATTACACATCACCGAGTTCATCATTTAGAATAACCAGTATAATTATTAGTTATCACAGTTAATGTGCTGTGATCTGTCGTTTTTTGTTTCTTTTCCTGTGCTTAATTTGTTTAGTTGGTAATATTAAAGACACAAAGGCACGACAAGCGCCATGACAATGCACTCTTAACGCTGCTTGTTGCGCTCAAACTTTGCCGTTGAAGAGCGGAAAAAATAAGTTGTTTTTGTGACATCTAATAACAACTGCTATTGCATATTTGGACGATGGACGTCAAATCTTTAATTTGAAGAGGCCACATAGAGCAAATGCAAACGAAATATTACGAGAATTTTAGCTAAATAGATTTCTAATTATCACTTTCATTCGTATACCTGACGTCCGCCGCCATCGAAAACGATATCCTGAAAAAATGTCCTTGTCCATGTCCTTAAAAAAACAAACAAGAACTATAGTTTTTTTAGAGCGTAGCTCTTAGGGGCCCGTTTCCGGCTTGAGCGGCGTCGGCGTAACCGCAAGGTCACTTGACCCCCCTCCCCCCGAAGTCACGTGACCCCCTCCCCATGAGGTCAGGTGACCCCCCCCCCCCCCCCCCCCCCCCCCCCGGAGGAGATTGAAGAATGAGGGGAGGAGGAGAAGGGGTATAACCTCCCCTTAGTACCGTCCCTCCTCCTCCAGAGCTGCGCTCTATTTCGGCGTTACAGGGAGTTGTAAACGGCTTTGACTTTTTTTTATTAATTCAATACTGCAACCTATTAGCAGGGTGGACACTGTGGTACAGGAAAATAGGCTTATTGCGTTCACAAATGAAAAGAGATGAACTTGACAATTTATAAACTACAATAAAAATAAATCTCTCTCTCTCTCTCTCTCTATATATATATATATATATATATATATATATATATATATATATATATATATATATATATATATAGTGGTGTAGAGGTTAGCACACCCGACCGGACATTGGGAGGCCCAGAGTTCATATCCTGGCTCCGCCGTTTTTTGGCTTTCGGCGGGTTCCTGAAAAACTTTGATTCTTTGACTCATTGGATTAAGTCCGGTTCATTCATCTGCACATATTCGTATATATATATGTATATATATATATATATATATGGCCCTTCTAAGTCCGATAGCCGAGGCTATCCTTCATTGCCATTCTTTTGACTCCTCAGAAATTCTTAAAGTCCTTTAAACCTTTCTTTAAAATAACTTTTAAAGACATAATGAGAAACAACGCAAAAGAGGGGCAGGGACATAACGCTGTGTCCTGTCCCTTTTTGCGCTGTTTCTCATTATGTCGTTCAACCGCAACCAGCCCCAGCAAGGTATCCTGTTACAGAACTTTTAAAGAGTGGTTTGTAATCACGCACATTCATAACTCAATCCGAGCGCTGCTGTCGAAGCCCTAGAAGACAACACAACGCACCCTCTCGCAGTTGTCGCTTGGTGGTTTCGTATTTAATTGCAACCGACTCTGACAATTCGTAATTCACTTTTGTGAAACCTTACACTCGGGCCAATAACTGATAGTAGCGTCACAAAGGGGGGGGGGGGGGGGGTGTCGCGGCGAGCCTACGAGAACGCCCCCCGCCCCCCCGCCCCCCCCCCTTCCCCCCGTTCTCGTGGTCGCGGAGGGTGTTGCAACGAGCCACGCGAGAGCGGAGGGGGGGGGGGGGGGGGGGGGGGGGGGGGGGGAGGGAGGGAGTGTCGCAGCGGGCTACCGCGCCCGGGTGCCGATGACCCTCGTGACGCCACTAAACTGAGTGCTAGATTTACAACTTGAACTACAGGCATAAATCAAGGCTACTGACATGCGGGCATCATCCTAGCCCCAGAGGAAATGTGGAGGATTAACTGTGATTATACTAATGGTTACTGGTTATCCTAAATAATGAAATTGGTGATGTGTAATGGCATGTGATCGCCTGAGCTAAATAAAAAAAAAAGCAATAATTGAAAAAAAAAATTTTTTTTTCGCAGAAAATTTATTTTTTGACACCCCTGTTGCAATTAAATTGTTAAAAAAAATTTTTTTCTGCTTTTCAGTGGTCCGGTACGTCTAACCTTTCCCGCCCAAATAACCTCGAAAATATATTTTGTTTTTGCTCTTTGTCTATAATTTAATATATTACTTATTAGATCAGGCTGAAAACGAGCAAAATAATATAAGGTACAGCTGTCCTAAGCATATCAGAGTGTTGACCTTTTCTTTCTCTCTCTCTCTTCCACCTTGTTTGTCAGCCAAAGAATGTGAAGGGACAACAAGAAAAGTGTCGTGTGCGTGCACACAGACACGCGCAAGCGGTCAGAAGACTGCCCGAATGCTGGTTTGGAACTCCGAAAGCGGCTTTAGGGGTATGGTTGTACCACCAATATAGGATCCTACCATCAGCTCAAAGCAATTATTACGCCAGAGCAGAAGGTTTGCAACAGAGACACCTAGGACCCATAATCCGCAAATTAATAAAGCTAACGAAAATACTGTAAAACCCTTTATTTTCGCGGCCCCTATTTTTCGCGAATTTGGCAGCGCGTTCAGGTTCGCAACTATTAAATTTCGTGAATTTGAAGTCTGGAATTTGCCTCTGCGATGGAAATATTCGCGCCCACTAAAGTTTGCGAATTTTACAAGTCACGAAATTCACGGAAATTAGGTGCTCGCTAACATTAAGGCTTTTACCGTATTTCATTTGTTGCAAAAAAAAACTCATCAGACTTTGCGCAAGAAAACCGTATCTGAGATATCACGCGGGCTTTGTTCCCGACAGTGCAAAATCAATCGTCTTAGCTCTGAAATATCTCAAACCTGGCCGCGACTTGCACCCGTCTTTCTCGTGACCACCGTGCTCGTGACTCATATCGCCCGAGCTAGAGGCTGCATGATTCACACGTTTCACTTTTCTCAGGATAACACGTTTGATTTCAGCAATGCTGCGCGGACGCAAACGTAATGGTTATTCGAAAACGAAACCAAGAAATAATGTATATTGGCGGGAAACAAAAATAAGTTAGGAGACGCTTTTCTTTATGAAGTTTCAGTGCAATCAAAGTTTTGAAGGCATTATGACACGTCGTGGGGCTGCCAACTTTACAAACCACGAAACATAAAACAAGAACAAGAACGCAGTGAAACACTTCAACTTCAGGAGAAAGCCCCCTTGCATTCTTTTGCCGTGCAGCGATGCACCATGGGAGGCTCCGTACGTGACGTCATCATTTTCGGCTATTAAACGCTGCATCGCCCCTGTTCGCCATTTTGGATTGGAGTTGGGGGAGTCGACCTTTGCACTAATTGTCAGAAATCTGCCTCCATCCGTCCCAGCAAAATTCACAAGAACAAACCCATCTTACTAAAATACAGAACCCATAAGGACGGGCCGAGGTATGTGAATATTTTTGTCTCTCGCGCCTCCTTAACCGACAAGGGGTAAAATAGAGCTGTGGCTTTTGTATGGGCTAAGAAGCGCCGAATAACATCGCGTTTTGAACGTTTCCCGGATATTTATGTCAACCGGAGTATATCATATCATCGAGCATCTATATCGCCAGGTATACGCGGGGATTATTCGTCTCGGAACAGATTATTTGTTGCGTTTAAAGCGAGGCAACCGCTAGGCCTACTCTTACCCGGCCCCTGATTCATTGTAAAGAGCGCAACGGTCTTCATTTGCGCAAGTTGAGCCTTTGTGGGTCTTTAAACGTTCTCAATCCGACTGGCGCGCGTAAATAAATCAAGGGCTCTTCCGCCTAGCTATGCAGCCTCGTCGCTTTTGTAGCTTTATTCGAATTGGAACTAGACGTTGAACTCGGTAACGCGTAGATCGCTCTTTTGTCATTTTTGCCCTCTGCACTCGCAATTCCTGCAATTTTGCTGGCGCATAAAGTACTCAGTCCTGGAGGGCTATCTCCTATCGTTTAATATCGGCGCACAATAGCGTTGTTTAGCACAGATTTGCACAAAACGGGTAACGGGGAAATGCTTATGCGCATTAGCTCCCCCTCAAGCAAAGGCGATCGACTTCATGTTGGGTCTGTTGCTGGGTGCATTGACTCTGGAGAAGAGCTCTTGCTGACTTCCCCTTTTGGCTGTTTGGCGTTCACACCTTGTAAAGTTACGTGATCCCGAGATTGTGATTGGGATTCGTCTGTGGGCGCGAGTAGTGTGGGTATCCCTGGGGCACTCGGGGGGGATCTCGAGTTTAGGGCTGTCGTCATTGTGTTCCTTACTGCGTTTCCATCGTTTCCGTTCGGACGAAGCTTTGTCGCGCATCACTCGGTGTTGACGTTTGGAAGTGCGACGCGTTTCATTTGCCGACGATCCTGACTTGCACGATATAAGTTCGTTGAACTTGATCGCTTTTTTCTTTTCTTGAACAAGATAGAAACAAGAAGTTCGCCGTTCCACTGCAATTAATTTATGAGGCTTTATTTTAAGTGTCGCGGCAGGATTGTGTTCATTCTGGTTTCCCAGGTACATTTGAGGGAACAAATACCTGGGCAACCTCGCAGCAGGAAATTGCTATTAAGTATGCATTTGTTTTTGTTCAAGTTCGGCATATTTTTTGAGTGTAAAATTGTGTGCATCTTTCATTAGGTTAGTGCATGGGAAATTGTATGTAGTTCTGCCAGTACCCTTGGAGGTTTTCTTGAGCTAAAGATCTCTCCAGTTTTACAGTTATGGAAGTTGCAGCTTCAAAAGGCGCTCAGCGATTACTCAACATCACATGTGTAACCGTTTGATGCAGGCAATCCACCATTTTTAGAATTCATAGTTCAAGAGCTTTCAGTTTAAAAGTGTGTTCACATTATACAAACTTGCATGCGATTATGACACTTTCAAGTGACATTCTTACCAACATTTGTGGTATGCATGCCTATTCACCTTTAATATCTTCAGAGTCCACATTTCTGAAAAAAGTGGATTGGTGTTGCTACATATTTCATGTGCCACATTTGCCTATCTGCCTATCTTCATGTGTAGCACTCTAGTTGTGAACAAAGATGCCCACGACTTAGAGAACTTCTCAGAGGCCAAGCTATTTAATAACAGCTAATCTGTTAGTGATTTTACTCAACCACACCCATTGGGGCAGCACATATAACCGGATATCATTTGTTGTGCTTTCTTATATGTAACCAGAGATTGCTTTTTGTAGCTTGAACATTTATACCAATCATATATGTGCCAATTTTCCCACAGCTAACTGCACCCAAATTGGTTGACGAGTCTTTTGCTATTATTGTTCCGGGCCTTGCCAAATCATGTCCAGAAGGTGCTCAGTTGTGTGATCACAACCGGGGCATTCGTGTACCTTGAGTTGGGCCTACGTGTTTGTAACATTTGGAATGTTGCACATATGAGTAGGTGCATCCAGTGTACCACTTACTTGAGCTTGGTGCCCAATGTTTCCTCTATGCTACAGGGTGCTCTGCAGCTCAGTGTACACAAAACAGTAGGTTTCTTCTGTAAGAATTCACGGTATCAAGGTCCTCTGGGCTACTCTGGAGGTGGCTACAGATAATGTATCAAACATTGCAAACCAAATATTAGCTCAGTCTTTGATGTGGGCCACATGTCCTCTAGGCTAGATGGTGCGGCGTGTCGGTAGCCTTGATTTATGCCTGTAGTTCGTTGTAAATCTAGCACTCGGTTAAGTCTTAAAAGTGCCTGAGTGTAAGATTTGACAAAAGTAAATTATGAATTGCTCATTTCTTTTTTATAGTTTATTTCTTCAAGCTAGTGTTCATTGCAAAGGTTAGTGACGTCTACAGGAAGTCAGTAAAGGTCTCTTTCTATGAGATGGTGTGGTATACCTGTGAGGAAAGAAGTACTGCAGCTCGTTATGCTGTCTAATCTATTGTGGCACCAAATCTTTCTGTGTACAGCCATGCTCTAAAACCCCTCCTAGGTGATTTGCACATGGTGTAGGACACATGCTTCTTGGTTGATAAGGTATGGCAAATCATAAAGGTCTTCTAGACACAGTTTGATTCTGCTTTAAGATGTTTCAAAGCTTTTACAAAAAAAAAAAAAAAAAAGAAAATACCAATTGCATGCAGCGAGGTTTCTTTACCTGAATGTTTTGTAAATTGCTAACTCGGCATTTAAAGTGACACCTTGGTTTATTGTGCATGTTAATTAAGAACTCGGTTTGTTGAGCATGTAAAGCGAAACCTCGGGTTGGTTGTTGGTTAGTCTCTCGAATGAGATGCATATCCAATTTTCTCTCTTGATAGCTTCCTAGCATGGGGCCATTCAACTTTCGTATCATTAGTGGTAGTCCTTAATTCCTAATGTCTTCCACACCCAATATTGAGGTGTGTGGTGCTCACCACTGCTGGTGCCATCTAACGAATGCCATCCACATTCACCGTGACTGCAATAGCACCACATTTGCAACCGTGGGAGCGTGGTTTGACCCGGAGCGTTTGTGGTTCTGCCTTTACAGGGAGCGGACCGTTCCCTGGGTGCAGTGCAGCAAAGTGCTCAATGACTTCTCCTCGTCAGCATGTCCACGGTTCCGGGGCTACCTTCAAAGGGGGAGAAAGGAAAGCAAAAGTATCTGGCATTGGACATAAATAGTATCTACAAGGGCAAAAGTTTAGAGAACCCCAAAACCTCCGGTGAGTCCCCGTCTTTGTTGCTGCTCAGTTTGGGGGGGGGGGGGGGGGGGGGCTGTGGTGCTGCTGTGCTGCTGTGCTGCTGTGCTGCTTTGGTGCTTCAATTTATATGGCATCTTGGAGCCCCCTATACATTTATTTTAGGGGCAGTTTTTACCAGCTTCCTTTAAAGCATTTTCAGATGGAAGAATAGAAATGTCAGTAATTAACATTTTGTCTTTGCTTGCTTGTGTATGTGTTACTTGGTGTTGTATCTCGCTTTTCTCCCGTAGCCCGATTGTGAGTGGCTGTGTGCACTTTCAGCGGCCCCCAAACATGGCTTGCAGTCATTGGGGAAAGTTGGTGCGGGGAGGCGCATGCCACCTCCTGTCAATCTCCCAAGTCTAAAGAGCGAGAACAGTGGTAACAACCCTAATATCAGCCTAGTGCCCACCGGAGGTCAAGGATGGGGGAGTGCTGGAAAAGAGAAGGGAAAGTCACCCGAAGAAAACAGGCAGGTGTCTCTCTCTTTTGCGGCCTCATGCCTGGCACCGGTCGTCCCGCTGACAGGCCCTTTCGTATGCCGTCTCTCTGCAGCAGTGGCCCACAGCAGCAGTCACAACACTCACAATCACCTACTTCGCACTCACAAGGACCACCGGTGACAAAGGTGAGTTTCGCGTCCTGCCAATAACACACTGTCAAAGCGAGTGTGCCAGGTTCACCCGCTCGGTAACGACTGTGCAAACAGGGAAGGCCAAAATGTGTTGCCCATTTCGGAAAACTGGGCTCACGGTACGAGAGGTCCAGCTCATTGCCACGTCCTTGCTATATTACTTATGTCCGCACATCTGAAGTGGTAGATTTGTGTATTGGTGTAAAGATAATGCATTAGTGAGTTTGACTAATGGCCAATTCATTTGGGTCCGCACCGCACCCGTCCAGTGCAGTAACCTCTTTCCACTGTAGTACACGAAGGACTGGCGGGGAGAGAAGGAAGCTCCCCTCTCCCCTCTAGCCTTCCGTGTACCACGAACCGCACTGCACTGGTGCGATGCAGGCCCAGACGAATTGGCCATAAGATGTTTAGTGCACCTTAAGCCTTGCTTCTAGCCCTTCAAGTGCTGTCAAAAGCTTTTTTTTTTTTTTTTTTGTATGTAGTATGAGCATGTAGCTTGTGAGGATTCCGGTTTTGTAAAATACCGGTGGAGTACCCACCCTACTTACACTGAAAACTATTAATCTGGACATGGGCACTTTTCGGTCAAATCGGGTGCTTAACATGCAATTCTCAGAATTCCCAAGTTTGGAACACGTTAATAGTAGGTGCTTCTGCAGTATTTTATGGTACCGTGATGTCTGGTTAATATGGACACCTCCATTCCCCTAAAACATCGTCCATAATGTGAGTTGTCCATAATAACGAAACAAAAGTGCATGTATTCTCTAAGTTTGTCCCCTAAAATGGTGTCCATATAGCGGGGTATCCATATTAATGGGGTCCATGTTAGCGAGACGTGACTGTATATGTGTGCTTGTACAACTGTGAGCCTCTTCGAGACCTGTCAATTTGTACATGCTGGTTGAAAGCCTAAGCTGGGAATGCGTTTCTTCTGAATTTCTGTGGCCATTATGTGTTAAGATTTACTCACTTCGGTGTTTGTGTAGTTGTGTTGGAAGTTAGCTGCACCAGTCTCGAAGTGTCTCATCCTAATCTTAAGTTTATTTTCTCAGTTATATTGCGGACGAACCAGAAGGTAGTACCGCAAAATGCCGAGCAAGCGCCGACTCAAAATGTGGAGATAATCTCGGAAATTGGGGAATGGGGGCTTGTTAGGTAATCAATTCTACCTATATACTTTAAACGACCTAAACTATAGTCGGCGACAGGTCAAGAACGAAGTGGAAGCTCCTCCTACCCCTTTCCACTTCAGCGGAGCAAACAGTGGAGAGGAGGTCACCTCCTCTCCATCCTTCGCTCCGCTAAAATGGAAAGAGGTAAGAGGAGCTTCCACTTCGTTCTTGACCTGTCACCGACTATAGGTGCTCGTGATATTCGCGAGTGCCCAATTTTTGTGAATTTTGCGAGTATCTAATTTTCGCGAAATTCGTGAATCGCCTACAATTCACAAAAAATAGGTCCTGCAAACAGTTCCGGTAAAATGTAAACAGATCTGAATCTATATTGAGATCCTACTGCGTCGCTAAAATTAGAACCCGCGAATTATTCCAGAACTTAAAACTTCCGCTTTGACCTAAATCGCAAAATATTGAGCCCGCGAAAAATAAGTTCTTTTACAGTATTACTGCGCATATTTCTCAGATTTTGCAAAATTTGGGGACGGGCGCAGTATGGAATGGGCGGATGCTCGGTATTTTATGGTAGGGATTTTTAGAGTCGGAAACAGTTGAAGGGAGAAGCAACCTCTTGAGCATCTTGAGACGCGCATGCGTTGGTATTTGTACTGAAAAGGGCAGATTTGTTGTAGCTACTTTGTACTAAGCACCTAGAAAATGGGAGTGATACTTCTTTTAGTCTATGCCGCGTGACTACTGCTTGCTGTAAGCATAAAAAATACCAAAGCTTTTTAAAATCCCAGATATTGCAAACTTGTTTCCAGTGGACTTTGTTGTTTCCGGTATCGATTGCAGCTAAACAGACAGGTGGGATAAGCCCGCCATGTTTGACGTGCACTCGAGGGTTCAGTGCACCGGAGCATTAGGCCCAGTTCAGGGCCGTAGGGTCGTTGGGTTATCCGGGGAGCTCACTGCTGCCCCGACTGCGTGCAGCAGCCGCCACCACAGCAACAGCAGCAGCAGCAGCTGCCGCAGCAACAGCAGCCACAGCAGCCACAAGCACAGCAGCAGCAGCAACAGCCAAGCGGTGGAGCAGGGGCAGGGCCAGGTGGCGGTGTGGGCGGCGGCGTTGGCGTCAAGACGTGGAGCAGCGTGACATCCAGCCAAGAGGATGGTGGTCCCGAACGCAACTTCTTGGGCCATCAGTCGCCATTTTTTCCTCAGGAATTCCCCAAGCTAGCTGGTGGCGATGTGCCCACCGACGGGACTCCGAGGCCGGCCACAGACGCGCAGTACGGGCCCGGCCCCAGCCTCAGGCCGCAGAGTGAGTGTACCTCCACCTACCTTGCCCTCCTACCAGTCTCAATATGCAGTTTGGCAAGGTCTATCGGGTGGGCATGTCAAAACCCGCTTTTATGTGGGGTCTTTTTGGAGCGACTACATAGATGCAGACCAAGGTACAGCCTTGTAGTTGGCTGGATTATTGTGGTAAAGCGTAAACCGCATGTAAGCAATTTGGCGAGCGACAATACAAGCGACGGCGACGAGGACCCGCTGTCGCTCAGTCGGTCGCGTGACTATGCAAACCGCATGATAGTGATGGGAGCAAGCAACCAAGGCGATGAGCAATGTTTTTTTTTAGAAATCCATAACCGAGCGATTCGACGAGCAACAGAAATCTCAGTCACTGACTTGTCCCTTGATGCCGTTGCTCGTCTTGTTGCTCGCTAAATCGCTTTTGCGGTTCAGCCTTAGCAGTCGACAAGGTTCGGGACAGTGCTCGATGCGGACAGTCAATAGCAAGCATGGTATCGATTGGACCTAGGCTTAGGGTGTGGTTTGGGACCGTACAACCGTCGGATCTCGGCCGACTAGACTCTAATGAAGAGCCTCGTGTGACCCCTGGTGTTTCAGTGGAGGGGAACTGGAGCAGAGGGACCTTGCAACAGCAGCAGCAACAGGCTGGCCAGGGGCAGATGCAGGGGGGGATGGGTCCCCAGGGGTGCGGCCCTCCCGGCGGCCTGCCTCCGAGCAGTGGCAGTGGCGTGAACGGACAGGCTTCCTTTGTGGGGCCCCAGAGGGGGGGACCCTCCCAGGGGGCTCCCTCCTCTGGGGGCCCTGCCTCACAAGCACAGCCCCCGTATAGCAGGATGGGGCCACCCTTTGTACAGGTGAGACGACCGACCCATCCTCTCTGGGCTTGTCACTCAGGCACATTTCTCTCCGAAACGGGAACAGCGCGAAAATAAGGGACGAGTAGTAGGGGTAACGACAGACACGGCGCTGACTAGCAAGTCGAAGGACTGCTCGTCCCTCGTTTATTTTTGCACTGTTCCCATTTCATAATGCCAAACCAACTCGCCCAACTTTATACGTTGTTACATTTCTCTCTCCAGGCTTATGGACGTGGATTTCCTGGAAACTACCCAGCAAATATTTCGGGCATGCCCTCGGGAGCTCGCCCGCCCTACTCCTACTCGGACGGCAGGTGAGGCATCCGCCGCAGTCTTTTGTGGACTTGTTGGGGGCAGTGTTCGCAGTGGGGAGGCTAACTCGGGGTGGGAAGCGAAGCGACGTAGACTGAAGGGGAGGGGAAACCCGATGCCTTTTCGTCTGCGGGGAATCTGAGCTGCAGCGCTCTGTGTGGGCCCGGCTTGATACGCAGGGTGCGAACCATGAGGAACCAGCCCGAGGACGACGCCTACCAGAGGCCCGCCATCATCAGCGAGAAGGACCTCGAGGGATTTGATGAGATACTCCAGAACGACTCTCAGGATGGCTGGGCTGTCGCCAAGGGAGAGATTGACTACAAGTAGGTTCTTAGTAGACACCAGTTTACATTCTGTTCGGGCTTAGTGAAGGAGCAGGTTTGGCAGGAATGAGCGCAGAATCGGCAGTTTTTACCGTCACCATGTCACAATTACCGTCTTCCTTAAGTATGACAATGTATAAGATGTTTATTAGTGGTGTTGGTATTCTTGGGCCCATTGAGCTCTGTCATTTGGGTGGTTGGGATTGCAGGTTGCAGATTGGTGAATCGTTGACACAAGGATATAATCTGTCCGTGCTTGGCTAGCTCAGTGTGTGAGCCTATCTGTCAACTTCAAATCTGTGTCCTCGTGTAGGGTGAAAACTTGAGCAAAAATTAGTGGCTAAAATTTGCCAGTCACAAACTGATTTCTCAAACCGAGTTCCTGAAGTTTCTTTCACCATATGTGTGAGTGAAGCAGAAGCTAGTCTAGAGGAGGCCATGTTTCAAACGTGCATTTCATGTATGCATGTTTGGCATTAAAACTGCCGTGTAAGACAACATCTTGGTGCTTGTAGCTTTGAGTTTGCCTGCACCGAGTAAACCTGGAGCTTTTCCGTAAAGCTAGAAGGCGTCCGGTCTCTTTAGGTTGTCCCTATCTTCAAGAAAAGCGCTTTCCCAGTTTAGGTATAGCGTAGCTGGCATCCATTGTTGCATGGCTGTTGACACTTCCCCCCGGCTTCCTAGGATCTTTAGCAAAGCCTGTAAGCTTGTAACTGCTTAATTGTATGGACGTCAAAAGGAGGTTGTTGCTCTAGTAACCCAGGTTAAATATCAAGAAGTCTAGAGACCTGTCGATACATGGCTTGCAGAGATGTCACATCGCATACTTTTGACCACCATGTAAGAGGAGAAGAGGGAAGCTGCTCTTGTTAGAGTTTTGGGTGATGGGTTACTTTTCTATAATCTGGGAGGAGAATACCGACTCTGTGCAAATCCTGGAGGCAGGAGAGGGGGATCCTGGTAAGAGGGGAGCTCCATCTATCCCCTTTGGTGGTGGTCATCGGAGCGCTCTTCGAATGACTTCACATGCAAGCCATGTATAGAGAGGTCATAATCATGTTTTTGAGTGCCCATGTATGCATGAGGTTGGGATGTTTGTAACAATGCTCTGGGTGCCGTGGATGCAGTGCCAAACTGGTGTTTCGAGACGAGGAGGAGCCTTCGGGGCGTCCGTCCCTGCCGGGACCCCCACAGGGCAAGGCGGAGGAGCGTGGCAGCCCCAAGCTGCCCCCCTCGTCCAAGGGGGATGTTCGGGGCCTTCCCCAGGGGAACAAGGCATCCCAGGCCCTGAGGGGTCGAGAGGCCGCCTGGGACTCTGCACCCACACAGCAGCAGCAGCAGCGCTCCCGTGAACCTCCGCAGTCCTACCTGGACAGGGTGAGCAGCTCTTCGTTCTCGTGCCCAAAGCTTTGGCATGCGCTCAGAGAGACACTAGATTGGTTCCACTCTATTTCTAAAAGACGAGAAAGATGGAAAAGAATGTTTCTTGGATATCTTTGTTTCTGATGCTGGGACATATGCCCGACACAACGGATCAGCAGCTCTGGAAAGATACCATCAGCAAAAATGTATTGTCAAACTCTAAATTAACTTGTTTTAATGGTCCGTTTGCCTGTAACTACAAGTAACATTTACGCTGGTCCTGTTGCAAGGGCCTGCCCATGCAGTGTCTTTCCTCCGGTTCAGAGCCGTATATGGGGAGAGTTTGGTCAGTCTATGATCTCGCCGCCATAACGCTCTCCTCCCAAGTGAGCCAATCAGCACGCGGCGTAGAGCGAGAGGCATGAGGGCATGCGCGTGAACTCCCGGCTGCTCCCAGCTGAGTGGGGAGGGCCGCCATCTTCGATCATTCTCCGGGCGGAATGCGTGGGATCGGCATCTAAATCTTGATTATTGCCTTTTATATTGCTGGGTCTAGCAAGAAAACAACATTCTGTTATTCCTCGGTGGGTTAAGAAGCTAATAAATGAAGATTTTTCGGCGTATGGCCACAAACTTTTATTCAGGCGAAAAAGAAGTCGGCCCGTAGCAGACGACGCGTAGCCTCAGCAGTGCTCGTCTCCGACAGCGTTGCTAAAAATGGCGATCGTATCCTCTCTGCTCCCTTCTTTCTCTCTCGCTCCTTCGGCGCTCTCCTCCCTTTCATTTACTTTTCTCCTCTCCGGCACCTTCGTCGCCACACCCACTGGCCAAACTCTCCCAATATACGGCTCTGCTCCTGTTTATTGCTTGCTCAACGGAGTGGCGGTGAGCAGAGGCGTGGGAGGTAAAATAGATAAATGGGCTAGTTGGTACATTATTAAATGGAAAGCGCCGAATGAACAAGGACATTCGACGCTTTCCATTCAGCGTGGGAGGTTTTCTACTCTGCAGACATTCAGTGACTAATGGTCTTCGGTGGCGTCTCCACATTTGGAGTTGTAAACCGTCACTGAGGTTTCCTTTTTCTATTGTTATTCCCAGTGGGAGCCTGTATCGTATGGATGATTATTTAAAGTCCTGCTCAGAAGACCCTCGCTTAATGGCTGGACTGTGCTTTGTACTCTCGTTAAATGGAGATAAGGATATTGGTTGTTAATGACAACAGGTTGGGGGTGAGTGAGGCCGTGTCTGTGTGTTGCTCAGTCTTCACCTACTGTTCTCTCACCCCCGGTCCAACTCTGTGCAGGAGGAGCGTCGTAAAGGCTGGAGCAACTCTGGTGGCTCTGAGCTGCAGCAGCAACAACATCCACAGCAACAGCAGCATCACCAACAGCAGCAGCAGCAGCAACAACAAGCGCATCAACAGCAGCAGCAACCACATCAACAACAGCAGCATCAGCAGCACCAACAACAGCCGCAGCAGCACCAGCAACCTCAGCAGTCGCAGCAGCACCAACACCAGCCGCAGGCGCAAAGTCAGCCGCAGCAGCAGCCACCCCAGCAGGTTCAGCAGGGAGTGCGCCAGTGGCAGGCTCAGCAGGTGCAGCAGCAGCAGCAGGCTCAGCAGCAGGCTCAGCAGCAGCAGTCCCAGCAGCAGCCTCCCCCTCCCTCTCGGGGGGGCAGTGCGCCCCTGGAGTACCTGAGCCGGGGGGGCCAGCAGGCGGCACCGCCCGCCGCGCCAGCCCTCATGGCGACGGGATTCTCCAGTCATGCTAGGGTGGGTCCCCCGCCACCCATGCAGCAGGTGGGCAGGTCTCCAGGACCCTCCTCATTCGTGAACTTGAGCATCGTGGATGGACGTAGGAATGGAAGCTGAGGAAGCTCTGGCAGGCTGCAATTCTCGTGTGCCCCTAGACTATATTTGCATCAGAACCGAAATAATGATGATGTCCAGCCACGTAAAGTGCCGACAGTGTTGCTGCTTACAGTTCGTTCAGTTCTGTTGATGTGGTCTTGAGACATTATCCAACAATTGAATTAAGTTAGGCCTGCAAAACCTGCACAAAATCGTGCCTTCATTCACTGGAAGTGTGCTGCACTCTTCCTCAGCATTTTGCCTTGTGTACGGACAACCTTGTAGCATAAAAATGGGTGGTGAGAAAGTCTACCCCTTCTTTGGCAGCCCCACCACGGGACGTTTGGGGGCCAGCCCCCTCCGGTGGGGGGGCGAGGGGGAGCGCCCCCGGGGTCTCGTCCCCTGGAGCTGGCTGGGGATGAGGAGGAGCTGTGGCGGCAGCGGCGGCAGCAGCAGAACGATGAGATGGCCGTCACAGTGGAGCGCACCAGGCAGAGGCGCGAGGAGGAGGAGAAGCGCTACGAGCAGATCAAGCAGTCGTCTGGGGCAGCAACCGCCGCCACCACACAGGTAAGCCCCTGCCCTCGTTGTCTAGCACAGGGCTTCTTGGGCTCTTGAGGAACCTTCCTCTCGTTCGAGTGACTGCCGAGCAGGGTAGAGCATTATCGTGATACAAATGTATTGCGATAGTATTTGAGAAATACTTTTAAGTCTTTATATTTTTGTGTCGCGATACAATTTTTCAATCAGTATCTGTATTTCAGTGTCAAAAAGACATTCCGGCGAAATGGGTCGCTAATACAGTGTCAAGATCCTCGTACGGTGCTGGACCAAGCGTACGGTCCAGAGTGAGCTCACTAATACGCCGTAGCAGCTCGACGTTGTAATTGAACAAACCTTCAGGTGAAATTCTACAAAATTAATGGTGAATGCGAACCCCGAAAGCGCGCTTATTGGACAACCCGAAGGAGCGACTCTGGCCAGTGTTGACGCCAACCAGACTCGAGCGCCGAGTATACTGCAGGCTGTGATGTTGAGAGACCGAAATAAGGATGCTCGAGACCACTGCGTGGGATTGTGAGTGATTTTTTTGATGCCCATCAAAAACCATACTTTTTATTGGTGTATGGGCCGCACCTGAAACATTGCCCCCAAAATATTAAAGAGTGCAGCCCATGCATGCGTTTATACGGTATGCAGTATTATGCACCATGAGTAGGTAGCTTAAAATTTAAAAAATCTTCACTGATGCGCAGGAACACTCGAGGGACTGCGGGGAACCCACAAGAGTATGCTGGATAGCCCCTGGTTTTCTAGGAACCCATTAATAACATGTTAGGAAAGGGTGCCTCTACCACTTGCAACAGAGAAAGGGGAAAACTGAAGGCCACATGACCGTTATGCCATATACACCAGAGCCGTATATTGGGAGAGTTTGGCCAGTGGGTGTGGCGAAGGAGGAGCCGGAGAGGAGAAAAGTAAATGATAGGGAGGAGAGCACCGAAGGAGCGAGAGAGAAAGAAGGGAGCAGAGAGGAGACGACCGCCATTTTTGAGCAACGCTGTCGGAGACTGGTCGGAGAAGAGCACTGCTGGGGCTACGCGTCGTCTGCTACGGGCCGACTTCTTTTTCGCCTGAATAAACGTTTGTGGCCATACGCCGAAAAATCTTCATTCATTAGCTTTTTAACCCACCGAGGAATAACAGAATGTCATTTTTTTTTGCCAGAGCCAGCGATATAAAAGGCAATAATCTAGATTTAGGTGCCGATCCCACGCATTACGCCGGGAGAATGATCGAAGATGGCGGCCCTCCCCACTCAGGTGGGAGCAGCCGGGAGTTCACGCGCATGCGCTCATGCCTCTCGCTCTACGCCGCGTGCTGATTGACTCACTCGGGAGGAGAGCGTTACGGCGGCGAGATCATAGACTGACCAAACTCTCCCCATATACGGCTCTGATATACACAAACTCGCGGCGCGGTGGCGGCGTGTAGGGCGCACTTCCGGTCTGGGGTTGTGGGCGGATGTCCCCATTTGAGACGTGTATTCGTGCCTTGTTTTGAAAGGAACCAGACAAAAACCTGCATAAAACCTGCATTTTCATCAAAACGCCACCACTGGGGCTGTACCAAAAATTGCGTTGGCTTAGCTCGGCTATGCCAGGATATACGTAGCGTAAGCTTATGCGCACAAAATGAAAGGCGCTATCAAGCGGCTCCTGTGCAGCGTCGGACTTGGCTACTGCGCAACGGAGGCGCACAGCTGGGCACGCAGCAGCACCAGTGCGTCTGCCGCGGCAATGATGTCACTCCTCTGGAATGCACAGGCCGGCGAGGTGGGCGCGGTGGCTCCGGCGCGCCAGCTGTGCACCGTGTGACGCCACTGCTCCTCGCGCATGCGCAGCATGGAGCATGGCTCATTATGCGAGCCACGCGAAACTGTTCAACCTCGGCCAGTGTAGCTCACACTACAAAAAAGTCGAGAAAGGTTTGAAGGTCAGCTTTCATGTGCTCGGTTCGTGCGAGAATGGGATATGTGCCATGAAAAGGGGAAAACCAGATGCCGTGAGACCACGATTGCTTGGGCGGGAATCACTTCGGGTTGAATTCAGGGATACTTGTGGTCATCAGATTTATTTGTTTTGTTCCAACATGAGCGCCGGAAAACCGTCAAGTTGTACGGACCACCTGCGGACTACGTTTAGCGAGTCTTCAAGTTCGAACGGCTACTTGAACGTTTGAACTGTCGTCTGCTCTTTTAGACGACACCGGCCCGTAGACCAAATGTTGGCCTGGTACTTGCGATAAGGAGTAAGTGCAGGCCTCAAAAGACTTAAGTTTTAAGGTAGGTAAGCAAGCTCGATGTAAACAGTAGGTGCAAGGAGATGTTTATCATTGTTACCAGTGGCCGACTCAACTTGTTATGCCTGATTCACTTGGTCCGTCAGATTCTGCTTGCGGTTTTTAGTATCGACGTCAACCATCTTGGCTGCGGTTCATGTTTTTGCAGCCCGAGCGACGTCGCGACTGAAATTCGCGAGCGAAATCTCATCATGCGAATCAGGCTTTAGCGTACATTCTGTGATGTCCACGCGGAATGGATCGCTGCATGTCACATTATTCACACAAAGTTTAGCGGTGTAACGAGCCTCGGTAAATTAGCTGAGGCTGCTGAAGTAGTCAGACAATGCGAGGAAGACGTAGAATCAACAATTCGAACGCGAAAGCGGGCAGGGGGACTCACACCGACGCCGACAACGTTGCATTTCAATGGTTTGTTTATCGGCGACGGTGGGCTTCTTGCCCACAATCCATCGTACATGCGTGGTGCCGGTGGCGTCCGCTAGGAGCGCTCGGGTTTGTTTGTAAATATTCGTAAACATGAGTTGGTGTATAGAAAGGTGGGCGCAGCCTAGCGAGGGGTGGTCCCCTCTGTGGCGGTGCAAACAAGGCCCTTCCTTCCTTTGCAGCAGCAGCAGCAGCAGGGTGAGAAGGGAGGGGCATCCCCCGTTGCCCCCGTGGCCATGGGCCAGCAGGAGAAGGAGGAGCTGGAGGAGCGCTCCCGGCACAGCAGCGAAAGCCGGGACGAGCCCCCCCGGGGGGGAGCCCCCCTGCCGCCCCTTCCCTCCTCCCGCCTGGATCGCATGGACTTCAGGCAGCCCCAGCAACAGCAGCAGCAACAGGCCCCACCCGCAGGCGGCGGATACCAGGTGGGTGGTAGGCCCCAGGGGCCGGTTCTCGAGACTCGTCGTTTTTCAAATGCACAGCATTTATGGGGCCAGCCCTTTGGGCTTTTGCATCTCCTCTGGAATGTAGCCTCCATGGCATCTGGTCGTACAATATTGTGACGTCGATTATAGGTACTAATAGGTACTCTGTGATGTTGTGCGACACCTGTGGCATCATGTGACACTGACTTTGTGGTGTCGCGTGTCTCGATGTGTTGTTTGGCCTCGGGTTGTGTCATGTAGTTGTGCGACGTGACGCTGTTCCAGCATTTATAGAGGCCGTGCAAACATACGAATGCCTTTAGAAAATGCCAGACGCAGCCATTCTTTTAGTACGAGCCGTTGCCTCGGCTGAATCAATTCTGTCGTGAAGTCTACAAGGTAGACTTCACTGAACTCTACAAGGTAGACTTCACTGAACTCTTGATGGGAGCGCGATGCCTATGTGGCAGAAGTTGCGCGCGGTTCTATACTAATTAAATCACAAATCTATAAAATAAATCTATAAAAAAAAATCACGTATGAACAAAACTATATTACATCAACTGGTTTACAGAAATATGCTTACCCACAGTCATTGTTAAGGTCGTTGTCGCCGTGATCTTCCACTTCCAAGTTCCTTAGTTCGACAGACACGCACAGACACTCGCCCAAGCCGTCCCCTCCCGACACGTGTTTCCCCACTTTCCCCTGTCTCTCCCTTAGCGGGTCCTCTCCGTGCGTGGGAGAAGTGAGTTACAAAGGGGTTGATACAAATGATAATAATGAAACAGGCGCCCATTACGATTTTCAACTTGCCATTGCTCTTGCATGCTATAGTGGCTCAAGCCTCGTAGCCAACGCTAGACGCTGCACCATTGTTCGTACAAACTTTGTGTTTCGCAGCATGGCGCGCATTGTTGGGTGTACGTTGGATCACATATAAGATATCTAACTCGATTGTTTGGACCAAATCGGAGACGTATAGCTGTCCCGACAGGGACGATGTGGGACTCGGGATGCTTTATGAAAAATCAGGACAGTCTCGCAAGATTCAGGATGTTTGGTAACCCTACTCCTGGGTCTGTCGCCCCTTTCCACCGAGTTGTTCCCCGTGAGCTCTTTTCCTGTCAACAAGGTTGCACAAGGCAGTTAGTTTTTGTCTTTAACTCTAGAGATGAACAGTGCGGAGGTGTCGTAATTAGTTTTTCATACTTTGACATTGAATTAGAGGTTTAAACTTTGCAGGCACATAGTTTGGGATGTATTCAACCCAGGTATGAATACTTGAAAGGATGAAACATCGAGGACGAAAACGGGACCAATTTCAACTTTTATGAAAGAAGTCCTTTTTGCATCCCATCTTGATGTTTTATCCTTTCAAGTTTTCGTATTCATTCACCAACACGCTCCTTTTCAATTGTTACTTTCAACCCATATATGTGGTTTTGAACTGTTTGCTGACCTCGCCCGTAGGCTATCGATTACCGGTAATCAATGGTTTCCAAGCGCCGTCAAGAAATTAAATTTCGTAGTGCAGAGAATTATATTCCACAATCTTGTGGATAGCTAAAGAATGCTAGTTTTGGTTTCAAGGTAGGTTTAAGCTTTATCGCGAGGTGGTGGGCTGTCAAAAATAGTGCTGGGAAAGGCGGTTGCACACGTCTGCACAGCCAACTGCTTGCATCAGTGTTCGTAACAAAGATGGCATTATTTACATAATTCAACTGTATTGTGGCATATTTTTTAGACCTCAAGAGCTCTGGCGTCAATTTGCATTATGTTATAGATGTCTCTTGACAGATGTTTGTCGGTAAGCTTCACTATAATTTCCAAGGCTGTCTTGAGCTGGTGTGCACATTTATGTTTCCAACGAAGTGCACAAAATTTCTAAATATGCGAGAACTACAGTCAAGGCTATGACAAAACCAAGGTAGAACACAAAGAAAGCATTCTGCTCGGTATGTGAGGTGTACTATCTTGGGTTCACCAATATAAGCATTTTTTCATTGAAAAGCACACGTTACGGAGTCTAACTCTGCTCAACCAAAAATATACGTTAGAGTACTCTTTCAAAAGTAATAGCTGCGGGTGTGGACAGCATTTTCTATATTCGGAATGTTTATTTGTCGTTTAATTTGACATAGCTGTACAAGTTTCGGCGTTCATACACCTCCCGCACATACATTGCATTTTCACGAAATAAAATTTAAAAAATATTTTTTTACATTATATTAATTTTTGTTTCTTTTAAAAGAACAACTCATTGGTCAAATTTGGATGTGCCATTTCGCTCCCTTCGCAAGTTAGTAGAAAATGAAAGTGTTTGCGCAGATTTTTTGAAAATGGCTACTTTCGTTGTGGTCAGGAAAAAGTTAAAATAACGAAAATATTGCGATTTCTGTGTATTTCAAAACCGTGTCTCCCCTTAAAAAAAAAAAAAAAAAAAAAAAAAAAAAAAAAATTGACCTCTTCTTTACGTGGGGAATGATGTTGATTAGGCCAAAGCTCTGGTGGTGCTTGTCTGCGTAGACGCTGAGCCGCAGCGTGCCGAGCCTCTCGTTCGTTTTCATCCATTTCAAAGAGAATGTGTGGTATGGAACGTGGTTATATACGCATTTGAGCTTTTGACCGCAGCGCCCTCTCGTCTATAAACGTTGAGCCAATGCATGCAAAGTTTAACGTAATTATATACGCATTTAACCGCAGCGCCCTTTCCTGTATAGACGTTGAGTGGCTACATGAAACGTTTCATCCACGACGTCCCCAGCTCTTGAGTTACTACCACATCTCAGAGCCCCCTACTCGTCCCGCAGTCGTGGCCGAGTGGTTAAGGCGATGGACTAGAAATCCATTGGGGTCTCCCCGCACAGGTTTAAATCCTGTCGACTGCGCAAACATTTTTTTTCCACAATTTTTAAATTTTTTTTTATTTTTTACCCTACACGAGCACGTGAGCTCACGAGCACCAGCAAGATCGATGTGAGCACGGACGCCGGACGGACAAGGCTAGACCCTAAGGAGCTTCGCCCCTAAAAAAAGAAAGAAGCAATTTCAGCCTAAAGCATTGGAATGGAAAGGGAGTTGTGTCATTGGCACCTGTTCCCAGGTGGTCACCCTCCCATGTAATGAATCCTAATACTGCTTAGCTAGAGAACGTAAACAAAGGTTGTACTAGATTTCGTTTCCTCCATGAGCAGGTACTGCAACATTCCTGAGTGCATTTTTTCGTGTTGGAACTTGACATTCACGCGTGACGTTCCCCCCCTGCAGCCCAACTACCAGCGCCCGTTTCACAAGAACGTGCCCCCGCGCTTCCTCAAGAAGGCGGAGATGCAGCGGCAGCAGCAGATCCAGCAGCAGCAGCTGCGCCAACAGCAGCAGGGCGGGGCCGGGGCCCAGGCCCCGTCGAGCCTCCCTCCCGGCGGGGGCGGCATGGTGGGGGTGAACTTCGACCCCCGTTGGGCGGCCATGGGGGGCCCTGCGGCCTACCTGAGCCAGCTGGGTATGGGCCCCCAGCTGAAGGGGGCCGCCGTTGCCGAGGTGGCCCCTTACCCCCCGGAGGCCGGGGAGCGCCCTTATGAGGCGAGGGGGGAGGGTGCCCCACGGCCCCCCTCCATGGAGTGCTGGGCGTCGTCGAGACCCCTCGGGGACCGGCCCCCTCCTCCTCCGCAGGCGGCGCCCCTCGCTCCGCCCCACGTGCCCCCCGGTGAGCAGGCGTGCGCTTGAATCTAGGAATCTGCTCGTAAATTCGGCTCTCTAAGGGTTGAAGATGATGCGGGTTATCCTTATTGAGAATTTATTTGGTTTAGAATCTCGAGTGCTGTACACGTTCCTTTGTTTTTCTTTACTTTCTCTGCATACATTTCGGGATGACTTGCTTTCTCGAATTAAGTGGGGAGTCTCATACTAGAGCACGGTAGGCAAGTATACAAAGGCAGTGTTCCAATTCTTTGTCTGGTAGATCCAGTATGCAATTTGACTAAGGCTTATTGCGGAGAAACAATATCGGTTGCGCGTCGGCAACCCAAATTAATCTTCGGTCCTGTGTGGGGGGTGCATTCCAGATGCCCTTCGTCGGTTAGGCACACAAAACCCCCCAAATTCGACTTAACCAAGTGGGTCAGAATTCTTTCCGCTGGCGACGCCCTGCGATAACGCAGGCAATGTGACGTTGGATGCGAGTAGGTTTTGGAATGCCAAGGTACAAAAACCTTTACTCCGGAGTGACAAGTTTTGGAACGTGGCTGAAATGCACCTCATGAGCTCAAATTTGTCCAGTCTCCTGACAGTGCTTTGGCTACGCTGGTTTAGAGCACTCGAAGTAGAAATTTTACAATCGCAAGTTGTTCTTTAGAGTTGTTGTAGCTTGCAACTAGTACGCCCATGCTGTTGCAAATGATAAAGGCACAAAGGTTGCTATATGACTATGTGATTTGATGCCATAGTTTGACCGTTTCTCGTTCCCGTCCGACAGGAGGACCGTACGACACATGGCGGCCTTCAGTACCCCCCGTGTACTACGAGCAAGTGCCAGAGTTCGGTAGAGGCTCCGGCGGTTACGACCAGCGGCTGGACTTTGCTGCGAAAAGACCCGAGAAGGAGGAGATCCCTTTTGACAATCGTTCCCGCGGGGATTCCTTTAGGAAGTGAGTGTAGCTGTTTGTTCGGTGTTGGGAATTACTAGCTGCTCTTGGCTAGACTTGGTCCTTTGAATTTTCTTTCGGCACTCGAGGTACACAGTGCGACGCCGTTATTGTGAACGTCAACAGGCTCCCGATTTGTACTTGTAAAGCTACCCAACGGCGCTAGTGGCCAAACTTGCTTACGAGCGTGAAAGGGTTTGAGATTACGCGATCCACTCCAAAAGAAAACAGACTGATGCATTGCAGAAGCCTTCACATGCTTCTTACTTCGTAGTGTTTGTGAACAAGTTGGAAAGCGAGCGAGAAAAAGTTGGCCATCTGCTAGTGTCTCGTCCACTGTGGTGCTGTCTCGTTTGCTTTAAAATTCTCTCTATGGATGCCACACACATTTCTTATTCCAGATGTAAAATATTTCCAGATTTTTATTAATTTGGAAAGGCTTCCTGGAGGACATGAGTGTGTTCTTTTTTTGCTTAGGGAGAGAGAATTTGAAGAGAAGCAGCAGCGCGACAAGCGCGAGAGCAGGGATGTCATGGGTGCCTGGACTAACAGCAGAGACTACGACCAGCGGGTCGGGAGGGTAAGTGTGCCCATGCTTTTCCCATATATATTTTTTTGTGCGTGACTTGAACAGAAAGTTTGCCGGAGTTACGTAGAAGTCGGAGGCCAGATTCACAATGAACTTCTTAGAGTCTGACAACTGGGCTGGGGAGTTTGTAGGAGTTTGTAAGTTACGCACATGGTATGTGGTAGAGAAATCGGTATTCACGAACGCTTTCTAAAATGAGAGGGATAGAGGAAAGCCTTGTTCTTCTACGGGAAAACAAGAAGTCCCGAAAGTCCTAGTCATAATCTATGCAAAACTTAAAACAGTTTTGCTTTGTGGATACAAATTTTTTCTTGGGTTTTGTCGTGCGCACCTTTTTCTCACAAGATAGTTTCATGCAACTGGCGTCAGACTTTTGACTTTCTGCAGAACATCTCGAGTGGTCCAAGGAATATTTTTCCTTTTAGGAAGGGATTGTGTCAGTTCACCTGATGTTTGTATCTCTTTGCAGGACAAGTGGGAACGGGAGAGTCGGCCTTCTAGGCCCGATAGCAGGGATAGCCGCACCAGCAGAGACTCCCTCAGGGACGAGAGGGCCATGTATGTTTATTCGCTCGTGTTTTGGGGGATAGCGCATTGCTAGTACTTGACGAGACGAGTCCCAATGTACTCTAGATGCTGCGGTACCAAGTAGATTGCTCAAGATTTTGTCGCCCCAAAGAAAGTTAAGCGCTTTATTATAATGGCTGGAGCTTGTTAATCCCCGCGTCTCGAGCCGTTTGGACATATGCCGATTGAGCACTGGAGAGTCCAGCCGGGCGGGCTTGTTGGGGCGATGGACCACTACACGGAAGCAATTATTTCCCCCACAGGCCTCCCACGGAGCAGCAGCGGCCAGAGGCCCCTCCTGCCGGTCCCCCCCCGGAGCCCCACCGGAACGTGGGCGGGGAGCGCCCCAAGGAGAAGCCCCAGGTGCCGGACTGGTCGGAGTCACCTTACCCCGCAGCAGAGACCGGCAAGCGGCGGGACTGGCACACGCACCACCCGCCCCCCGTGACGCAGCAGCAGCTGGATAGTGCGGGGCCTGGCAAGAAGAACTTTGTGCCCCTGCGCCGGGGGGCTCCCAAAGAGGGTCCCCGGGGAGAGGAGGGCCCCAAGGAGGAGGGGAAGGGTACCGAGGGGGCCAAGGCGGTGGGGGAGGACCACCAGAGACCCGAGGAAAGCAAAGAGGCAGCCAAGAAGGAGGAGAGCGACAAAAGGGGAGGAACTTCACGCTCTCGTGGGAGCAGGTTCGAGTCCGGCCGGGGCAGAGGTGGCCAGCGGGGAGGCGGCGGAGCCTACGGGGGAGGGAACGGCAGCGGAGGGAGTGTGGGCTACCGGGGCCGCAGCCGCGAATACCGACGCAGCCGCACGGAGCGGGGGCCCCGCTTTGACCGCAAGAAGGAGGACGGCAGTGAGGAGAGCTCGGAGGAGGAGAAGCCGCCCCGGCCCAAGGAGGACGAAGGCTCGGATGAGGTAGGCCCGGACGTGGGGCCAGACGCTGCCAGGAAGCCCGGCGGACCCCGAGGGGGCCCGGCCAAGGAGACCCGTGGCCGGGAGCCCTCCCGCAGGGATGAGGCGAAGAAGGAGGAGAAGAGTGCCTTCTCCCCCCGCGGGGAGCCCTCTCGCAGGGGCCGAGGGGGAATGTCCTTTGGCCGCAGCTCCAGGGGGCGCTACCCTGTGGGAGGGGGCTACGGACCCCCCACCATGAAGGCCCCCTTCGGCAAGCCGGAGGAGGACGGCAAGGAAGAAGAAAGCCCCAAGGACGGTCCGAGCGGGTGCAAGCCGCGCTCGACGAGCCGCCCCGTGGTGCGGCGTCCCAATCGCATGGAGCCCCTCCCGCCCCGCTTCCAGAAGCACCAGGCCCCGCGCAGGCAGGAGGGGGCCAAGGGAGGCGGCAGGGGTGCCAAGGAGGCCCTCTCGGACGTGGGCAATGAGGACTGGGAGACTGCCTCGGAGAGCAGCGATGTGGCCGACCGCAGGGGCCCCAACGAGGAGGGCACCCGCCCCCCCAAGAAGTCTGGGGGCGCTCAGCCGCCCGCCCCGAGCAAGCCCCCGGGGACGGGACAGGAGAGGCCAGCCAGGAGGCCCGGCGGGGAGCCCCGGAGAGGCGGAGGAGGTGGAGGGGAGCGCAACGGCCGGGCCCCCCCTGTCCAGCGTAGAGAGCCTGGCTTGCACCAGCAGCCGCGCCTCGGAGGGGGTGGTGGGGGCAGGGGACGTCAGGCCGGGGGAGGGGGTGGCCGGGCCAGGCAGCAGCCGCCCCGGTCGGGGGACGCCGGGGGATCCAGCCCCCGGGGGGACCCTGCTACCCTGGTCTATCGTGTGGACGAGGTGAAGCTGCAGGATCCTGGCAACGTGCAGGCAGCCCTCAGCGACCTCGGCTCCCGGTGAGTCTACAGGCCTGCGTGGCCTACTCAAAACGTCTGCATTTGCATTGAAACACTCGGATCTGCTGTCTGCCCTTACCTTGCGAGGGTGTGGAAGAGAGCAGTGCGACAAAAATGTTGCACTGTTAGTTTGTGGCACAAGCTGGTTGAAAGGAAATTGATTGGGTTGTTGCTAGACTCCGAATCTAGTTTTTCAGGTGCTTGGCATAACATAATGCGAAACTTCGTGGAAAGGTCACTTCTGTGAGCATGAACCTTTGGTTGGGAAAATGTACTGTTCAGGGGTACAAAGTGTTTAAATCTTTATAATGTGCCTGATATTTTTTTTTTTACAATTTTTTGGGGAGTATTAGCTGCAGTCCTGTTCCGTTATGAAGTAAAGAAAAAGGCTTCAACCTTCATAGAGAAGCCTTTGCCTTTTTCTGCAATTTGCAGACTAATTCTACTGTCTTTTTATGCCATTTCTGATAGCTATTTGCCAAGGGCTAACGTGTAGTCATGTGGTCTTTGCGAGCTCGATTTATCGTGAAATATTTTCACAACTTGCTTCGAAAGTCTGGTCTGCCTCTTCAGCAAGTGTAGCGGTTGCGTAAGGTATAAATTGAAAGTGACGTGCTCCTTCCTTCAACTCCGTTTTGCTCATGTTCCCCTCTATACTTTGACTTGTGGAAGGGAACTATGGTTGGATGCCGAAGTCCTCGGTGCCTAAGGGGCTCCTCTCTTTTTGCCTGTGCCTCAGCAAGCACCTGAAGAAGACCGATCCCCTCCAGCAGAATGGCAGACTAGAGAAAGAGAAGCCCAACGCCCTGGAAGGCATTGACCTGAGCAACTACGCCGGGGTGGTGGTCATCGACGACAACCCGGCCGTGACCGACCACTCGTTTGGAGATGGCGACGACGGCGACTTCCAGGAGGTTACCTCCAAAAAGCGCCACCGCCTCCTCGCAGACGGGGACACCAAGAAATTGAGGAAGGAGGTGGGTGGGCATGTCGTTGCTCCTTGGGAGCTGGGTCCATCTGTGCATGGCTGAGAATCATTGCTCCCATCTCCTACATGGCTGAAGCTGCGGAAGCAGGCCCGACAGGTGCCCTGTTTGCACTGACTTGCAAGTGTTGTCGAATTGACCTTTGTTCCACTCTTGCTAGATGACAGTGCTGTGAAAGCTGCGTGTTGGTTAGGACGTTCCGACTCTGCCTTGTGGCATATGATTAGGTCGCCTGTGCATTCAAAAAGAGGGCAGTGCAAGTTTGACTGCTCCAAGTGATGTGCAGCTTCCACTCCACTACCATCTGGGGGGAGGGCAATGGAAGTTTACCTAAGAATGAAGGAAAGAGTTAGCGTGGACCAATTGTTGATTGCAGTCTTTTCTGTGAGCCATAACAGCATGCTGACAATGGTTATACACCTGCATTACGAGCATTGTGGGGCCAGTAGGCATAATTTGAACATCCATCGCCTGTTTTGACTCTTCAAGCTGTTTTTTGTTAATGGTCATGCAAGTCAGTAATATGTATTGTCTAAACCCTTGCAGTGAGTGTGCCATACACGAGCAGATGTTGGTGCAACGGGACACCTGTTGGTCACCCTTGAGGTTGCCTATGCAGTAGGAGAGTGGGGCTGTGGACGTACTTCAGCAACAGAGAGTTTGTGGAAGCTCCCAGCTTTCTGCCAGTGGGACCCAGTTGTGTCTTTGTCAACGTGATGAAGTTCAAGTATATCTGTCAATCCAATGACCACCATGATTTCACGCTTGTACTGAAGGCTGTTGTTGCTTCCTCCTCCAATGTAAACTGTAGTTCGGTTCTCCAAAGAGGGGCACAATTCTGTTTGCTGCGCAGACCGCACGCAACAAGACAGTGGTGCACGGCCGGCAGAACAAGCTCCCGCCGCGCCTAATCAAGAAGCGAGAGTCTGATCGGCTCTTTTCGACCAAGGCGGATGTCCCGCCCCAGAAGGTGGATGGCGGAGCGGTGCTCGGGTCCGACGCTTCGGTAGAGGTGGCCAATGGTCCCAAGAGCCAGACTCATCCTGCTTTCACTGTCAAAGGTACAACACTGGAGAGGTGACTTTGTTGCACTCCATCTTGCAAGTGGCGTGCAACGTGTCGAAGGCGCAGGCATGTAAAGTTAACTCTGCCCATGTACTTGTGCAAAAGTTTCATGCAGTGTTATGTGCTACTTTCCTGCAAGTTGCATTTAACGTTGCGAGTAGGGGTGTGCGAATACTCGAATATACGAATTCGAATCGAATAGAAAGTTGCCGAATAATTCGATTCGCGAATCGAATTCCTAGTATTCGATTACTCGAATATTCGATATATTCGGCCAAAGACGCGCGGTGGGCGCGGAGCAAACAAAAAAGTTTTTTTTTCTCCCGATGTAAGCGCCGAGATGTTAGAAAGACCATGCGAGAAACACCTCTTGGTCCTGCCATTCCACAAAAATCTAGCACAGATTAGAAAACAGAAAAGTAACGAACGCCACAAACTTTATAGCACGAAGATTTACTCACGATCATGACACAATCTACCCTTGAATCACAACTGAAACATCCCGCTTGCGCCGCTTCCAGAGAGGAATTGTTGGGAAGCCGGAATTCCGCGCCAAGCCTAATTCTTTTCACGAGTAAAACTCCTCGTTTCAAATTGAAGCGCCGATGTAAAACACACTTGCCGCACTCGCAGAAATCGGCTACTGCACCACTGCACGATCACAGAAAGAAAACCAACGTTACCACGCCGGCGAAACCAACCGAGTTATCGTCGTCGTTCTTTTGGAACCGCAAATTCTGATTCGGATTCCGAATCAGAACGACAACTCGGTTGGTTTCGCCGACGTGGTAGCGTTGGTTTTCTTTCTGTGATCGTGCAGTGGTACAGTAGCCGATTTCTGCGAGTGCGGCCAAGTGTGTTTTACATCGGCGCTTCAATTTGAAACGAGGGGCTTTACTCGTGAAAAGAATTAGGCTTGGCGCGGAAGAAACGGAATGGAAAAATAGTGTGCCTAGATTTGAGAGGGTTTCCAACAGCTCGATAGCCGCGTTTGAATTACGAACTGCGAGAATGTGCCGAAAAGGCGAAAGCGTCGGTCGGGTTCGGGCAGGCAGGGCAGGCGTCGTCGCTCTTCTGTTTGTTCGCCTTCTTTCCACACGACAACGCAATACATGCGCATTCACGATCAATCTGCGATGGAGCCGTCTCTGTGGTTTCAGTTTCGGTTGCTCCCTCTTTTAAATCAAGGCTCTCTAAAACAGGATAGATAAACGGAAAAATGGATGCGTAGCGGCAGTTGGACGGTGACTTGCGCCACCTAACCGCGTTTTTTTTTTCTCACTTTAGATTATTTTGTTTAAGCCAGTTTACCTCGTTGCTGTTTACTCAGATTTAACACCTGTCTATTTATTTATGTGAAATCAAATCCCAGGTGCCATTTTTTTTCCTTAAAATGGAGACCAACTATCGCAAAATGCCCCTTTTCTGAGATATACAAATATTTAAAAAAAAAAAGTTGCGTTGTGTGTTGTGTTTGTGTTGTGTTTTTAAAGAGAAAAAAAGGCACGCGTGGCTGTAACTTTCTTATTTTTTTTGTGACGTTTAGGGTAGATAGATTAATTTTGCACCATAAAATTGGATCTTTAGTGCCCAACGTTCAACAGCAACTGCTTTTTTTTTTTTTTATTTTCACCGAAACGTTTTTACATTTTGGCTTTTGTTTTGTACAAGACGTATATTCTGCACCAGGCGCATACTCTGCACATATAATAATCGCATTCGCAGCACACTTTGAAAAATTCCTACGAATAAAATCACTATTCGATATTCGATTCGATATTCGGGTTTTTTTTCTTGATTCGATTCGGTATTCGATTCGAAAGCTACTATTCGGTATTCGCACACCCCTAGTTGCGAGCAATTTGCGAGGTGGAGTATAGTTCGGAAGAGGTAGGTGGCAGGGAGGAAAGCGTGTTTTCGTTGTATGGTTTTCTCTCGTCGCATTTGCTAGACTTCAATAGCATCCCATTTTTAAGGGGTACTGTATAGAAACTTAAAATATACCTCTCACGTTCAGAAATCAGTTAAACATGAGCAACTCCATCTGCTAGCGACAATCACACTTCTGTTTCAAACAGACTGCTCACTTTCTTGTATTTCAAACAGACTGGGATATCTGTCGTGCTCATAGGGCCAAGCGTATCATAGTTATGAACAGTGACACTTAGTGGCATCAACACTTCACTACCTTGCTTAGGGTGCCCAAGGTCTCTAACACATCACTGAGAGATTGTGGAGTTGGTGGAGTCTACCACGCAATGACAACATGTAGTGCGTTGTCTGCTCCGCTGCTCGGCTGATGTGGCGACATCGGCAACGTCTGTTTTGTTCGCGAGCTTCTTTGAGCGGGACGACATCGTTGCGAGGCGGCTAAGACACCTCTATTACCTCGCACGAAGCGAGATGCTGGTAGATTTCCTACCTTATGTTGTCTAAGGCGACTCCAAAATATGTGACATTGGTAAGACAAGGCATTTGCTGCTTACCTGATTTACCACCAACTGATCACTACGGCCAGACTCTGCGAGGGCGCTAGCTTCGCGGATAAATACTGTATTTACTCTAATATGTCGACCACGAATATAGTTCGATGCTGTTATAATAAACTGGAAGAGAATAAAAACAATATTTCGAATATAGGTATTCCTAAAGAAAAACAAAAAAAACTTTTTTTTTCTTTTTTTAAAGAACAGAAGTTTGGACAAAAGAAAGAAAAAAAACCTTTACTTACAGCGCTTTCAGCTAAATCACAGTGTGATTCCAAAAACTTGATCATTGTCAAAACCTCCAGGCATGACATCCTCAGAAATTTTCAACAAAACCTCACTGACATCATTGCAAAATGGCAACAACAAGAAACGCTGGTGAAGCTACGAAAGATCAGATACAAAGACTGCAGTAACGCTGCAATGAGTAAAGGCACCCACAGGGGGAGAGGGAAGGAGGTGAGGCGAGGGAGCAAGGCAGTGGGGCAAGGTGTCTCATGTCGCGAAACCTGAGGCTGAGGAATGCAGGGACCCAAGGCAAGAGGAGCAGCTTGCTGCTGCTGCTGTTGGGGTTGTTTTCGCCACCAAAAGGTTTCTGAAACAAGAAGCAGGGGATTTCCCTTTCCTTCAGTAACTGAGGTGACTGATAGCTTCATGCACGAAGGGTCCCGAAATTTGATCAGGGACGTAAATTTAAATTTTCTGGTCACGATTATAGGTTGACCCTTAATTTTTTACATTTGCAAAGAAAAAAAAGGCAGACTTGTATTCAAATAAATTCGGTAGATATTGCTTTGAACATGCCATACCAGTTCGCATCCTTCATTTATTAAACGGAGAAGGGAAGCAGGCAGAGTCCGGTAAGGCAGTGTGGCGTTGGCCACACTGCCACTGTTAAGAAACATGCCACTGTTAAGACAGACATACACCACAATGATTTTGCAACATTCCTCAATGAATGAAAAGAAGGCATCGACACAGAGAAAGCGTGCGCTGGTCTCGATGGGACCAAGCGAAGGCATAGAAAACAAGACTGTATAATTGTCACATCGTAGCACAAAAACTACCACGAAAAAACGCTCGCATCACCATAATTTAGCAACACGACTTATCTCAGTGGCAAACACTAAAGTGGCACATAGAAATCCTCAGTTTATCGGATAAATCTGAATTGACCAAATCTCACCGACGGGTTTTTTTCGGAGTTCCTCAAATTTATCCGAAAACTCTGAACCCTATTCATAACTAACAACCAAGTGGTTTTTGGTTATTGTTTAATTCAGCTTAAAATGTTTTCTTGCGTTTTCCATCGAAATCTTGATGTTTCTGAGGCTTACTGCAATGTACATCATATTAAAGCTAAGAAATGAGCTCTAGAATTTCATTTCGTTAACCGTTTAAGAGCGATGCCACTCAGTTCTGAAAAGTTTTGAGTTTTTGGGTTTCATTAGCACACCTCAAAGGGCCCCATAAACGTCTGCAAAAGTGCTGCTGCAGTTGCGTTCAAACTCGTGTGTAGAAGAAAAAGGGGCCAAACGGAAGCACCTTCTGTGCAGAACCTGTGGCGGCGGTGTCTCGTCCTCCACCCAATGCATGGGACAAGCCCATCACGCACGCCCTCAGGGGGATCCCCGCAAGCGCCCCCTCGGCCCCCGGAGTGCCAGTGGCGGGGGCGCCGCCCGCCCCGGCCGAGGTGCTGGTTTCCTCCAAGTCGAGCAGCTTTGACCGGGGCAGCGACCAGCACGACAGTGGCATCGACGTAAGCGACCAGCCGCCATCGGCGGCCTCGTCGCAGCGCTCCTCGCCCAGCAATGACGGCAAGGTGCTCCTGCCCAAGCCCGTGGCCCCGCAGCAGACCCAGGGGCCGCCCTCCCAGGGGGCATCGGCTACAGCCTCCGTCGGTCCGCCCATGGTGGGTGCCTCCTTTTGCTCTCGTACCTCGCCCACCAGGCAGCCCACGTGGCAGTGGTGCTTTCTGGCATTTGGCAGAGACGGGATATCGACGGGCACCATGCTTTATCGCTTGCGCTAGTGTCAACACATCCAGCACACTTCGGTTTTTACGGGAGATTCCTTAAAGGACAAGGAGAAAAACTGGGACATTTCTCCGCACTAGGTGGCATTTTAAATTTATTGTAAAAGAAAAGCGGGAAAAATTAACAGTTACTCTGCCTCAAGGACTGGCAGCCCTTTTTGAGAAACAGTGACTTATTGCGGACTGGATACTAAAGGGGTTAGGAGCAGCAATGGCTTATTCTAATATGTTTGGTTGAAGGATGCTGCTCCCAGTGGTGCTTCGACTATGTCTGGACAGTCTTTGAATGCAAGCTGAGAGCTTGCATTCAAATTGCTATTGTTGCAAGATATTTATAGTTGCCCTAAACTGGTTGGAGGCTGTAGACCAGGAGTCTGAAACACTGCTCTCAAGCGGCCCGTGGCTGCAAGCCCCCGTTCCCATGCCTAGAGTGCTACAAACGCCGTAAATTATAGTATATCGTCGATTCACTTCCGCTCGAAAAGGAGATCAACTCGTATGTCGTGCTCACACATTTTGCACTATTCTAGCTTCTTTTAGACTGAGTGTTACATCATGTAACTGTTTGCCACGTAAACCAACCGGACCGGCCATACCACTACTAAGTTGCAAGCTCTTTGCTCAAGGAGCCAGCTTGGTTGCACAAACTTGCTCTGTGGAAGCAACTGCTTAAAGATAAAGCTATGAGCTGGGGCTCCTAGCTGTCAAAAATGCCTTTAAAATGCAAGTATTTCCATTACACTGCTGTTATAAAAATTGTCAAGAAATAGAAAGCTGCCTTATGAGGATATATTTTTTCCATGCCTGTTGAGCCTAGAGAATAGGCAAGAGGGCAGGGGTGGTGTGCTTGCTCTTGTTCTATTGAAAACTCCCAGTTTGTTGGTGTTTTAGATGTTTTATAACAGGTGTGGGCCCAAATTTGTAATATATGCAAGTAAAAGCTAAAGTTGGCAAAACTGAACTTACGAAAAGTAGAGAACACAAGGTTCCTTCTCTAGAACCTCTCTGGGGTGTTGTTGCTGGGAGGGTTGGCTGCTTTGCAAGTTAAAACACCATTGTTTTGTTTTTCTCAAAAAGTAGTAAAAAAATTGCAGCCCCCCTCCCCCCCCCCCCCCCCCCCCCTTCTCCTCCTTGCCCCTTGACCTTTTGTGGTTGGGCTATCTTGTACTCGCGCTCGAATGACTTTGAGACCCCTACCATAGACCATTAACGCACTGTGGAAGATAAAGGCGGTAGTTTTTAATTTTTTTTATTCTGGGTGCATTGGAGAAGAGGTGTCTTCTTTGTGGACATAGAAGCAAGACATGTAAGGTATCGAAGCTTGCTATGTGCATCATTTGGAGTAAATTGTCTTACACAAAGCAGAAAGGGTGGGCTGCAGCAGCATACTGCTTGGCAGTTGGAAGGCTGACTTCTTTTATAGTCCCCAAGTCGAACAACTACCCCGTTTTGTGGCATATTGGCTGCGTAGTGCCACAAAATTGTAATCATACAAATGGGATTTTTTTAAATTTTTTATTTGGATTTTGTTTTATTTTTGTCTTTATACTCAATACAAAGGCTATTCTGTTGCAATCATGCAACAGATCATGTTGTATTATTGCGACATAGTTGAGAAAGAAAAGGGAAAGGCTGCGGGTCAGAGGGTATTGCAAAGCTCAGTCTGGCTGTTTTTGTTTTGCAGACGGTGGGCCTAGACTCTGGCAAGCCAATGGGCACAGTCATTTTTGAGAACAAAAACTTCAAGGCTGAGAATGCAGCTCTCGACAAGTTTGAGATTCAAACCAAGACCCAAGTGGTATGGCTCCGAGCTTGTTGCTTTGCTTTGTCCCGGTTTCTTCTTTTTTGCGCATTTGGGTTTTATAAAGTAGCCTAATTCGTGGGGCTGCCAAATGTTATATCTTGTGTTCATTTGGCTGAGCAAGCATGGTTTCACTTTAAATTGTTGAGAGCTAATAGTAGCTGTATTTGCAGAATGGCTTAAAAGTTTGCTAAGCACTTTTGTCATCAAAGTGAAACATCTCCAAAAACAGAAACATTCACTCTGTAAACACTTGGCTGGTGCGTAAGTGAGGTGTGGGATAGGCCCAGTTCCTACAGTTCCCCCTCACTGCATGCAACATATAAGGAAGCAAACATGCAGGTAGGACAAGGCAATTTGAATTTGGAGCAGTTAACTCTGATAAAAGGCACAGATGGTTGAAGGAACCATGAAATGTTTGCAGCTTACTCTGGACATTTTGCAGTATGATTAAGCACTATAGAGCAGGAAGATGACTAACAGAAACCTGCTGTCTACTTCAATATTAAAGAAATAAGGTTTGTCTCTCTTTTTTTTCTCTCCCCTTTGGAAAGCTTAATGACTTACTGTTATAGATGTGTGATCTCAAAGACACCGCTGTTCGTTCCTGAAAAACTATGGCGGAATGCGACTCATGGATTGGACACTAACATTCTTGCTCTCGAGTGTCTTCGGTGCGTCTGCTTATTTGCCTCTGAGCTGTCTACTAAGCATCTGGCTGAGAGTTGAGGTTAATGTTGCTAGATTTTCTCCTTTTTCTGTAACTACATGTGGAGCGAAATGCTTGTATTTACTTTGTGTAAATAGCGTAAGGGATTAATCCTGAAATATGTGTAGCCAAAGTGAGAAAATAATTTTTTTATTACCATTATTGCAAGAAACTGTGCGCCCTGTCCGAGACTTGCTTCAAGGATTTCCTGGTAGGAAACTTGAGGAAACAGGGTGACACTTAAAGGGAAGGTGGTGAAGTTTCTTTGTAAAAATTTTAGGGAAAATATGCTGCAATGGGTGCAAAAGCAATGTTTCGGGAGCTCAACAGAGCCAATAGGATGTAGGTTTGTTGCTCGATATAACGTTTATACACGCTCGTGCTATGCCTACACGATTTTATACCAAAGGAATTCATACTGGAGATTTTGATAATTTGTGGTTTGCTGTATCATATCACATTAGGGCGTTTTAGAATAATGTACGCAATTTTAGCACACGCTAGCGCTAAATTTAGCGCTTGTATTAGCGCACGCGACGCGAGAGAGTTTCAAATAGTTTCACCGTCGCGATTCAAAAGTTCAGGCATCTGGCGCTTTCGACGCCACCAAGATACAGTCACAATTTTTATTTCACGCACGAAATGCTGTAACTTTAGAAAACACAAGATTTTTTTGGTCCAGAGTACAATTTTAGATACATTTAAACATGAAAATGCGACGCCTCGGCAAGAGAAATCTCATGTACTGACCTTCACACATCGTACCTTCGCCGAAAAATGTTCGCGCGTCACAAGCATCAAGTTGCCGATGATCGTTGCCAAACCGAGCACAGTGTCGTCCCGGATTGAAAATCGCAGTCGCGAGGATGCTGCCGACGTCGCACTTACAACGCCGCCAAAGCAGCCGCTGACATAATCCTGGGTGCCGCCATTTTTTAACTCTGCTCATCTTGGCTTAAGCTAACTTCTCATCACAAATCCTCCTTGGAGAAGTGCAAAGACTCTTTGCGTACGCACGCTATTTCCAAGAAATAGCGCACGCTAAAATTGCGCACGCAAAGCGCAAAACCTGGTTTGCGTTCGGAGCATCCGCAGTGGCGATGACGCTATTCTTTGCGTACGCAAAACTTTAGCGTGCGCTATTCTGAAACTCCCTATTGACACTTCAGACTGTGGACATCTGTCATAGTTGTCGGTTCCTTCATCCAGTGTTGCTACATATGCCATATGAACAGACTTCGCCAAGCATGGCCTCTCGATATCTGATTGCTAGTCATGTGTGAATAGGGGATTTTGAGTTCAAAGCGAATTTAAAGCGAATAGTGGCTTTGGCCGCAAATTTTTTCGAATATTGAATAGTTTTTTCACCCCTTTTACTACGATTGCATCATGGTTATACGAAAACCCAGCTAAAGTCGTGAAGGTTTTTCCATTTGTTCATTTATAAACTACGTTTAATCTATCTATATTTATGTACTGTAACCTCAGAAGGTGTGATGTCTTTGGATGGCAAGTAAACGATGGATTTGACACAAAATGAATCCTATAGAGATGGCCAACTATACCCAATTGAGTGCATATACAAATATTGCTATATAAAATATTTTCTTAATCTTGAGTTAAAAAAGAAAAAATTGTACATGATGAATGCAGGTTGTAAGGGCATCTCTGCGTAAAATATACTCTCGCATAACAGACAGTTTAATTTTGAAACTTGCCACAATGTAGATATACAGATTCACAAAGTTTCCATTTATTTTCAAATACAGCCGGAACGCATGCACTATCCCGTTTTGAATGTATACTTTTCTTCCAAGCACGCAATTGCGATATTCAGTTTTTCAAGTGTTTAATGCGGCGGGTTAACCCGTTCAGTGCACTTCTTACCGAGGACTGGTGTAGTGCAGAGAAGTAACACCCGTGGAGCTCGCTTCCGCGGGTATTGGTTCTCCGCAGTGCTCCGGTACTCGGTAAGAAGCACGCTTACGGGACAAACCCGCCACAATCAACACTTAAAAAAAATGCGAATAGTGCAGTTCTTTTTGAAGCGAATATCGAATAGCGCATTATTTGAGACTGCCATTCGAAATTTTGAATATTTGCACAACCCTACTGATTACGATATCCTTCCACCGTATAGACCACGGTTCCACAGTGTGTTGGTCGTTATGTGCAGGAACCAATTGCCGCCAATGGACCTGTGCTGACACCGGTGGGATCCAAGGATTGCAAAGAGCCCTTAGAATCTGGAAAGCCCAAGCTGCAGATGGCTGTGAGTGCCTCAATTTCTCTGCCACCTTTGTCATGGCTGGAAGCACTTGTATGTACTCAGTCTTTTGGCATGGTGTCAACCCGTGTATGAGGAAACCTGGAAGGGGTCGTTTTTGCGGCTTCCAAGCACAATCTGAGGGAAACGTTGCGATCTGTCTGTATCTATTAATTCTTTGGAAAAAATTTCATGGGCTCACAAAGGACTAGTATTGCGATACTTTCTTGAAGTTGCGATTCACTACTGTGATGCGAATGTGGGCGTACCAACCGCGGGAGCAAGGGGGTACTTCCCCCTCAGTTCTCAGAGTGGGGGGTGCAAGGTATGTGCTTTGCCGCCCTGAAACTTGCCCCCCCTCCTCCTCCTCCCCTCAAAAACAAGCTGGTACGCCACTTGATGCGTTGCCCATGGAATGCTGGAGCTTGCTTTTGAGGTTTGAAGAGGAATGGGTGCTGTGTGTTGACCGTGCAGCCGTGATGAACTCTACAGCATCTGCGTTCCCATGATGACTGTATCCATCTACCGAATTTGTTCTGAGCGCTGCGGGGTTGTCATTGTAAGGGGTAGCTCAATGCTAGGCCGTGCCCTCGAGGTGCTTAACTGGGCGTGTCTGCACGCAGGGTGAAGACACGGCCGACATGAAGCTGGACTTCACCTTTGGCCCCGAGCTGGCCCAGTTTGGCGAGGACAAGTCTGCGAAGCACATGGCCGTCCCGCGGTCCCTGTCGAGCGAGATTGGCGCGGTCGGCTCTCCCATGTCGCCCTCCACGGACGAGCTGAACCTCAAGATCGCCTCCGTGAAGAAGGTGCGCCGTAGTGCGATTGTCTTTTTGGGATGTTGGGGCTAGAGCTTGCTTTTGCACAGATTCGTTCGGGGGAATCTGTACGGGCTTTGTTAGTAGACCCTCACTTGCCCACCCCTTTAGTTGGATTCTCTGTTGCCTGCATTGCTGTTAGAAATCGCTGCTGTCACTGAAATGATCAGTGACAAGACTCACTTCCACCTATAGTGAGGGGACTTTTTTTATGAAAATGTGTATCCTAGTAGTGTTATTAAAGCTTTTTTATATTTTATGCATAAGAAAGTTGCCTAAAGTAGAGGTCATGCTGTGCTCTAAAGTGGTTCCAAGCTCACTAGTTATAAGCATGTGCATGTGAAAGCCTGCTGCTGCAGAACTTGGTGCCTCGAGGTGCGTGTGTGTCTCATCTCGGGTGTGGGAGATGCTCACTAGCATATGCATGTGAAAGCTTGCTGCTGTAGAACTCGACGTGTGTCTTGCCCCAGGTGTGGGAGACTGTGGGTCCCCTGAGCACGGTTGTGGAGCACGGTGCAGCCTCGGCAGAAGAGGTGGGGCCTGCTCCTGGCACGGGTACCGGCGCCGCTTTCGGCACATTCGGGAGCGGCCCCCAGTCTTCGGAGGGCTCCTTTGCCGCCTCTGGCGGGCTCCAAGACGGGGCCACCCAGCAGGGGCAGCAGGAGGGGGCTGCGCAGGGAGTGGGGCCCCCCGGAGAGCCTGCCTACACGTGAGGCTCCATCTTTCTTTGCCCCCTCTTTTCTCTCTGCAGGGTTGCCAGACATGCGCATGTTCTTTACTTTGACTCGCTCTATGGCATTGCTGCTGCGTGATGAGCTGACTTCACCAACGATGATCCTTCGGGACCTGATTACAATATCCATTCACCGAAATGCCTGATGGCAGCAGTGCCTGAGGAGTTGCATTCCTTGGCTTCTTCAGCGTCTCGAAAATGCTGTAGATTAGACGGAGATTAGAAATCGGGTTATTAGAACCAATGGATTGTTTATTTCTGCTTTCGAGGAAGTAGAATTCACTGTGCCACGAAGTGTGCGTGCGAGTAAAATGAGAAGGCTAAACTTCACATTGAGTTGGATCAAGGAAGTTTGTTGTTTTCGGTGTATTTTTCTAACATGACATTTTTTTACTTGTAGCCCTGCGTCCCAGCTGAAGCAGGTGGCCTCCTCCTCTGCCCTGTCTCACCACCACAGCGTGCCAGTGGTGTCGGCTGCACCCCTGCAGTCACATCTCCAGCATCAGCAACATCAGCAGCATCATCATCACCATCACCACCAGCAGCAGCAACAGTTGCATCAACAGCATCAACATCATCAACAGCATCAACATCAGCAGCAACAGCTTCAACAGCAGCAGCAGCAGCAGCAACAACACCATCAGCAGCAGCAGCACCAGCAACACCATCAGCAGCAGGTGAGGCTTCTTTATTTCTTCCACAATTTGTGTATCTAAGGCCGATCTCTAGGCTGCATGGTGCAGTGGCACAAGGTAGATGGAATGTAAAGCGGGGAAGGTGGTTAATCATAATCGCAAAAGCAGGATTGTTGAGTCAACTGACATTTAACCGCCTTGCAGTCTTCCAGGTGTCGGGGTCACGGAAGGCTCGAGTACAGTCTAAGCTCATTATAACAGACCTTGATTTTGACCAAGATTTCGGCCTGTTGTAAAAAGAGCATGTTGTATGCAGATATGAAGTTGAGTCAATGGTGCATAGAGAAAAACCAAACTTCAAAAATTGGTGTGTCATATCCAAATGTCTCTTGTAACCAGGTCTGTTATGAGCTTAGACTTTTATAACCCCTCTGGAGTATATTGTGTGGTGCTGTAGTTTTCTTGTCTGACGGCGGGGGGGTTGGCAGCAGGTGCTGATGCGCCAGGCCCACCAGAGCCACTCTATGCTGGACCAGTCGGGGGGCCTGCACAAGGTGAAGTCGGGCATGCAGCACACCCTGAGCCCACCTCCCGCGGGAGCGCCCTCCTCGTCTTCGCTGGCGGGGGTGGACGTGCGCGCCATGAACCTGCAGGTGGCAGGGATGCCCCAGGCGGTGCCCAGCCCTCCCACCGCTGCCCTCCTGTTCAGCGGGGCACAGCAGGTGAGGGGCTCTTTCCCCTTCCGGGCGTTGTGCGCCGGTTGGACCCAGGAGTGCTGCTGACACTTTTGACAATCCAATTTATCGTTCTCGCCACTGCCTCACTATGTGTATGTGAATTCTTACGCATGCAAAAGCCAGGTGAACCAGGTGGACCTTGCAACGCCACTGCCGACTGCAGCTGCTAGGTCTGTCTCAGTCTGTCAGCCCAAGTAGAAGTCCATGCTAGAGCAATGTCACTAGTGGACTAGCTAGGCTGCCTGAGCTTCCTAGCAAAAACTGAATGTAGAAATTTATGTGCATTCTCTAGGGACGTCTCAAACCTGCTAAGGTTTGAGTTCGAAAGGTTTAGAAGAGTTTGAAAATGTCAAGGTTTCTGGAAGTTTGGGTCCGAGGATTTTGAACTTCTTTACAGATCAAGTTCGAGTAATTTGAAGATATAAAATTTTTTCGAGGGAAAGCTAGGAAAGTTAGATTTTGAATTTAGGTTTGAAGTCTTGGATCTCGCAGACAGAGATATATTTCTGCAGAATTTCAAATAAAGTTTTCACGGATTTGTCTCAAAGCTGTGAAGTCTGCGGCAAAGTTCACTAGAAACGTAGCACATTGCTTTTCTGTCGTGAAAACTCCTTCCTTCTCAGTACCGTGTCTCGTACCTACAGTACTACCCATCATTCATCTTAAATCTGGAAACAGTCATGGAAATGGGGGAACAGTTCAGCAGAAAGCCTGGAGGGAGGTCTGCTGAACATACATCTGTAATCTGGTAGCAATCTCTCCAAAACACAACCTAAATACCCGGCACAGTTCGAGGTTAAGGAGCGTGCAACTAGGTTGAACTCTGGGGTCCCAGAGTTCTTCGTCACTACAGCAATAAATGAAAAATAAAAAGTGAAAGACCAGGTTGGCACCTTAAGGTTGGCTAAACGAAGCTTCGTTGCAATTTGCACTCCACTTCACAGTACACACCTTTGAGGGTCAAGTGGCTCAAACTTTCTCCAACTTTTGTTCGGAAGTTAAAATTACTTCCAAATAATCAGTTCGTTGCGTAAAAAATTCTGAAGTTGTAAATTGTGAAAATATGTTATTTGTAATGTTTGGAAGCTTGAAACGCTTGGAATCTTTCAAACCTTTGGTTCGACCTTCGGGTTGGAAAAAAGTTTGCGGAACCTCCAGCGGGTATTGGCAGAATGAGAATGGCAGGGCGTGTCCTCGGAATGCCCTGGAGGATGGACAACTGAAGCTCCTCTCTGCTGTTCTCGGCTTGTTGACAATAGTGAGGCACTGGACACATTAAGATTGGACAGAGTGTCTGCAGCCCTCTTGCCTTTGCCGCCGCCCGCACTCGCTTCTTACGTGGCTAGTAGGAGCTAGAGTCACTGTATCTTGCCAGAGTATCGCATTTGATAGCGTCTGCAGTTGCTGTTCAATTTTAGCTTTGGTTGGCCATTTTGGTGTTGAAGCACATAGTGGAAGAGGTTCAGGGCTACCAACCAGTCTCCCAGGGGGTTGCTCCGTGAATTACCACCAAAGTTAGGACATGCCCATGTTGGGACGTGCTATCTGAAATCACTGGTGAGACGTGGTTGTGTAAAAGCAATATTGTGTGGCAAAACATTTTAAACTAAAATTTTATGAAAACATCACATTCGTGTCATTCTGTTCTAATCTCCAGTAAAAGTTCCTACAAAAAGACTTTTCTCATTTTTTTTGTAAGCAAAAACATGCTTTCTAAACGCTCGCAGTGACCTCAGTAAAGAAAAGATAGCCGCCATCTTGATGCCTCGAGCCTGAGAGTTCCGGTACTCTGGAAACATTCAGTGACTTTAGTATGAGCAAGCCCGTGCACGTGATGATAATGCCAGAGCCAATCCCCTGAAGTACCAGTGACTGATTCTTCCCATCTGAATGCGGGCTGTTGAAGATTGTGCAGCTGTCGTATTTCGGGCACGTTTACTTACCGTTCTGGCCGGCTTGGCCCGTGCAGATGCCCCAGCCCACGGCGGGGCTGTACCAGACGCTGTTGCCGGACCCGGTGTCCAGGCCAGTGGCCCAGTTCTCTCAGGGGGCCCACGGTTATCCACCCATGGCCTCTTATCAGAGCTTCGGCCAAGGAGGCGTGTTTGTGCCGCCGCCGGCCCACCCGGCCCACCCGGCCCACTCGGCTCAGGACCTGTTCGCGGCCGGAGCCGCCCTTCGGCTTCAGCCCACCTACCAGACGCAACACGTTCCCACCAGCCAGGTGGGTCTCTTCCCCCTTCTTGGGCTTCACGCTTTTTGTCAACAGACACGAATCATTGCGTCTTCACTGCTGCCACGTGATGAAGATACTTGAACAACGCTAATTGTTTGATATTCGATTATAATATCCATTCACCAAAATGCCTGATGCCTGATCGCAGCGCAGCTAGAATAGTTATGGAAATAAAGTCATTCCACGGAAGGGACCGTCGGACGCACTGCTTGACACTGTTAACTCTAGCGAGTGATCTCCAATTTTTCCAGTTTTCTTTGCATTGAACCGCTGCCATGAAAAGAAGTGTGGCGTCAAGTCCTCATTCGGGGCAGTAACTTTAGGGAGGACGTAGGGGTAAAAATCTGACCTCTTTATTTATTAAGCTATATATGAAACTTTCAAAGTATGTTTATGACAAAAATAGGCTCATGACAATAATAGGTCATTAGTTCTCAAGTTATAAGGGTCTAGCAGACCAGTTTGTATGCTTCTTTTGTCCCAGGGCTTGGAGAACTTGCACAAAGTTAGGGGAGGACGTGGGTTCTCAAAAAAATATTTTTTGTTTATTGGTCTATCTCGATGATTTTTTGCGCAGGCATGCAGTTTATTGTGCTGATTTCATAACTGCAATCAGATTTCAGATATCTCTTCTTTGTCAAAAGTTATCAACAAAATAAAATATTAATTAGCTAATTTCAGGAAAAGTTTTAAAAAACCTTCTGATTAAAATTTTAATCAAAAAAGGGTATCAATTGCTTTCTAAAGAAGTGCCATACTAGCTAAAGCTATTTTTATTTCTTTAGCACCATATAATCATATAAAAAAATTAAAGTGAACAGAAGACATACAACAGCGGCTATAACAATGTCTAATAATGAAATGCCAGTTTTATACACCATAAAATATCATAATTAAAATAGCTTTAGCTTGCAGTCTAGTTCATTCCCAAGAAAATAGTACCAAGTTAATGTAAATCGGTTGAGCACAAGTGAATCAAAAAGCCTTCCTGGCCGGAGAGGAGGCTGAAAAAACCAAATGTGAGAAAATCAACCTTGAAATTTGGGTATGCATAACTAACAACATTGAAGCTTTAGATGGGTGGAATGACTTTGGTTTGAATTTCATACTAAGGGAGAGACACTGGTAGGGAAAGCGGCCCATATGCAACAATTGGTTAGCCCTCAGAAGGGCCTTTTTAGGGGACGTGGGGACGTTTTCGAAGCACCAGCTTGTGAATGGGCACGGCCATTCCGCACTGCTCACATTTGGTGGTCGCGAAGAACATGTTCAGCACATTCAAATTCACAATCGCAAACTGCGTGCCGAAATTTGTCTCTTTATCCTCGACAGTGACATGAGTAGATCAAACTTCCGTTGTGTGGCAGACTTCGCGGTCAAATCCTGCTTCATCTCGTCAGCTCGCGCCGCACGTTGAGTGGTTTCGCTTGCCGTGTAGAAATGAGTCTAGTCGTGACGCATCAGGGCCGAAGCCGTCGCCTTCCGCTCGTTGCTCACATCAGGGGCGGGCACCTCGGAAGACGATGCAGCTGCTGGCAGCTGAACTTGCCTTATGTCCGCCGCAAGCAACGCGGCTGGCGATGCGAGCGAAGTCCTCTTGTTCTACGCCCACGGCATTCTGCTTGCCGTACGCACGCTGCGTTGAAAGCTTCACGCTAGGCATCGCGATCACTACCGATGTCTCCTAAAGATGTCAAGCTAAACAAAGCAGGCGGACGCTGAAAAATAACGTGCTTGAAGCCAAAACGCAACCGCTAGCAGACGACAAACAAAGATATCAGCTGCTCCCGACTCCTTCCGCGCCACGAGGAAGGAGAGGAGGGGGAGGAGAATGACATATTTCAGGAGAGGAGGCATGCGCTTCGGCCAATAGCGACAGCGCTCGCTGCGGCCTGTGCTTCTTAGCCAATCGGTAGCTCGGTTTCTTTCTCTGGGAAAACGCGGTATTTTGTGCTTTCTCCGGGCGCATGCCATTTTTAATGGCACCAAAAATGTAGACAAAGAGGCAAGCTTTCGAACGAGACAAAAATTGCCGCGAACGGGCGCGCACCGGCGGAGCGCGGAGTCTGTTTCCTCTTTCAGGGAGATTTTGGGCGTGTTCCGCGCGACGTAATTATCTTTTTTTTTTATACTTTGAGTTTGAATTACACTATAATATTTTGATGAGAGGTGCTTGGATATGTAAAGCACCCAAATACAGGATTTTTGAAAAATGAACTTTTTCGCAATTTTTTGCATTTTTAGGACCCGCGTCCCCCCTTAAATGACACGGAGCCAATGGGCATTCCTGGATAGATACTCTCGGGCCAGACAAAGCCCTTCTAATTTTTTACAGTAAAGCTGTTTATGGCTAGGGCTCTGTAGATTTTTCATGTGCAGCAACAAAAACTCTCACTGCCGCACGTGCACACCTTCCCCGTATAAAAGATTTGAATAACCATAATAAAGCATTGACGAACGCGCGTGCAAGATGCCATTTACAGTATAGACCACTTACAACGTAACCGCTTATAGTACAGGACCGGGTATAACGCGGTTTTTTTAAACCACTGGTTGGCCTCCCATAGACCTCCATGTAATTGCATACCGCTTAAAATGCAGGCGCGCGATGGGAAATACCGGTTATAGTGCGGTTTCTGGCACAGCCCGCCGACCGCGCCGACGACCAGAGCAGCGAGCACGCTTCCCTGTGTGACACTAGATAACGGCGCTGACGGCGCGAGACGAGCCGCAAGGCCGCAAGCGGCACACGCGGAGCAAGGGGGTTGCTGGAAGAAGTGGGGGAAGCGGAGAGAAACTTCAGTTGCCATAACGACGGAGGGACGCACGCACGTATCGTTCACGTGCGTGTGTCCACCGTGCGTCCCTCCGCTGCGTTGGAAACAAACAACCGCAAGGGCAGACCAATCGCAGGTCGAGGGGAATTGTTCGCGCGCGTTGCATGCCGGTCGCGCAGCTGCTTCTATCCGCGAACATGGCGTCGGTTGTGATCGTCGATGTTGGCGGCGTTAATCTCATCGCGTAAAAGCGCTATCCTTGACTGTGAATTTTCGTTGTGTGTCGCTATGATAACCCAGCACGTACTAGACGGGAAGATCCTCCTACTCGTGCGACGATGTCGTGGCAGCGCTCTCAAGACGGCAAAAACGCCCGTGTCGTCGTGTTTGTTTACTTCGACTACAGTGGTGATTTCTAAGCATTTGTGTCCTCGAACATCGCCCGGATTTCTTATTTGGCGCATTTCATACGTGTGCTCAAGTTCAAGGTATTACTGGCACGTACCGTATAAAGGATGCGAATTTTCACGCGTTTTTATCTCCGGAGAAAAGTGATTAGGGTTAGCAGTCCTGAACGCTCGCTACGTCCGTCCGTAACCCGCGACGCCGTTAAAAGGCTGCGCCAGGCAAAAACCGCTCATTTCTTTCAAAATGTGTGACACACTTGAGACAGAACTGTACTAGTCTGGTGAAATAAAGACTCTCCTCAAAGTAAGCTTTATTTTTCATCTAGCATAAAATAAATTCTTTTACAAAGGAAAGTTGTCTCATGGCATGTATTTTGGCCTGAAAAATTGATGTTTTGGTTATAGCGCGGTACCGCTTATAGTGCGGATTTTCGCGACTCCCGCGACATACGTTATATGCGGTCTACACTGTATTTCCTTTAGAAGAGTAACTGCTGCAGACTAGAGCACTGCACGAGCCTACTTTTTGAGGCCTGGCCCGGGCTTGCTGACTCTTAGTCTTACCCAACCCGACCCGACAGGATGCCTACCTAATCTGGCCCGGCCTGTACCCAGCTTAAGGGGAGACACCCCCTGGGAGGGTCAACTTTTGAACCCTTGGCTTAAAATTAATGAAATTTACAGGGTAGGCTGGCGGTCATGCTAGAGGGTGCATAGCAAAATTTTAGGTATTTTGGTTGAGTGGGAAGGAAATTAGGGCAGCTTCTATCAGCAACACCCCTACACTGTTTAGTTAATCTATCGTCAGAAAACTGTCACAATATTAAAGATTTTTATTCGCTAGATATGTAGCAAAATGCCTATGGAAAGGCTTTTGTAAAAAGTAATTGATTTCTATCAATTTTCTCTTCTGCGAAATTGGTCAACTTTTTGGTCTTCTGTGTCTCCGACAAAATGTCAACATTTTTTATGAAAGACATCCGTAAAATGACAAACAAACTCCATAGGCGCATTCCTTACTAAATTTCAGTCAGGAAAAGTGAAGAACGAGCCTTGCCTGTATTTCCATTCTCAAACGATAGATTGACTAAAATGGAATTCATACAAAAAAGTGGAACGGAGAAAAATGTGTTCAAAGTGCTCCAAACTCTACCTCTCCTTTAGCTTTGGGAGACAGAAAATAATTTAAAAAATTAACTATGCAGTGTAAACTAGTGAAAATTTCTGGGAATACTCTCTGGATGTAGATGGATGTAAATATGTAATTTTTCAAAATCAATGTTTTTTGAAGAATCTTTTTTTCTCCGGGTAGTGTCCCCCCTTAATGGAATGCCTACCTGATCAGGCCTGGCCCGGCAAGAGGCCAAGGTGTGCCTTATCTCTTGAATTCAAAGCTGCCATTGGGAAGTGTTGGTGCATTTGATTTGTTTAGCCTAATTGGCATGAGACGCTGTCAAGACGTCGCATGTCTGCATAAAAATGTGAATGTCAACATGGAGATCTTAGTAGCACTCGCTCAAAAGATAAAGAAAAGTTTCGAGACAGTATAGAACACATACAAGTCACATATTCTACGCAGCGCAGTATGAACTAAAGTCACGATGGATTAAAAAAATTATGTATTTAAGTGTTTCCGAACTTGAGCCAAGCCCGGGCCCGGAAACAAACCGTGCTACTTAGCCCAGGCCCAGAACAACCTGTGCCACACCACCTGGGCCAAGCCCGGGCTTTTGGGTCGGCCCAGCCCCATGCAGAGCTCTATGCGGACGCAGGCTCGTGCAGCATGTGGAACACCATTCCCTGCATTCTCCTTGATGCTTGGGTAATTTAGCAGTAGGTCTATTCAGTATATTAGTTATCAATAGGCACCATTTTCAAGGTCAGTAGACTCTGGTAGATGATAAAGGTTTCTCAGAGATTTGCCGCTGTGCGACCCGCATCGGCTGTGTCTACGCTCAGACCGCCCTCTCTTTGTCATCGTTCCAAGCGCTTGCGTGCCTAGTTTCCTTTCCTTCTACTCTCCCGGGTGGCAGTCCTGTCGCGCGTGTCTAGTTTCCTCCTGCTTCTCGGGGCGGCGATAGTCGTTCACGTGAAATAATGACCACCAGTCAAGACAACAATAAATATGTGTGCGTACCTTTCGTCACGATGACCACCGATCAAGACAGTAAATGTGTTTGTACCTTTGTTCGAAATTCAGTGTCGCGTCTGTGTCGTGTGCTAAACAGCTTTGCTGGTCATCCCTCTTCACAAAGTGGAAAGACTCGCGATTTTTTCCAGGAAAATTTTAGCGAAACATAATTTAATGTTGTTGGTCACATCCACCTTCATAAAATTTATTGTATTTACGAAAAATTTACGACACAAAAAAAAAGTAAAGAAGCTTGTCACGATATGACAGTTATTTAGAAACAAAATAAAACAAATATCGAGGAAATCGTTTCAGCAGTTTTAGAGATATCGCTGGTGCAAGCACCACTGCCGGAGCAAAATTTCATTTTGAGAAAACAGTTGAATGTTGAACATTGATTTACAGTATTAGAAAGACCTCCGGAGTAGCTGGAGGCGTCCTTGTGCGCTTTCTACTTGTTTTGCGTTTCTGTCTTCGCTTGGAGTCGCTTGTTGGCCTTCTTTAAGCGTAAGGCATCTTTTTCCACAGCTCGCTGCAGGGCTAGGTGGGCTGGCTGGAGCACCAGTGAGACTGAGATCTCCTTGGTTGCCCTGTAGCAGCCAGCATTGAATCTCAGAACTGCTTTATGCAGTGCTGTTTTGACAGCTATCAGCGATGCATGCTGTTTCTTCGGCATCAGTGACCAGAGAATCGAATGAAAAGACTGGGATGTGTTGTGCCTCTTCGTCCCCAATCACCGCTGCAGTAGAGAGGCCTCGGAGAGACGTTGGTAGATAGGCAGCACAGCTGCAACCACAGTCGCCGACTGATTTTTCAGATGCCGATAATTCGGACTAGTTTGATATTTCGGGCCTAAAAGAGGAACTATGGCCTACCCGATAAAAATAGTGCTTATTCTTGACTGACGTTTTGAACAGCTTAAACTCCGAAAGTTAGATTTTCCGGACAAAATTGTCGCGAGCGATCGGCAAGAAACACCACGGAGAAGCGGCCATTTCGGATTCTATGTTGGCTGCCCATGGATTGGCTTGGTTTGGCAGCGCTACTTGAGTACTGCTAAGACTAACCAGTGGTGTCGTGCCGGTCCAGGCTGGCTGTCGAAAATTGATAGCGGGCTGCTAGCAGGCCTGGGCCCTAGAGATGGCGGTCCGGGACGGGCCGGTCACCTAAATATAGGCTCGTGTAGACAAGTTGAAAGGTGGGAAGGAGGGTGCGACATAAAGTAGAAAGTGCAAAATGTATGACGGGAAGTTTGGTTCCAACCAGTACTCTGCTCGAGCGTTTGTGCCAGTGGTGTCGGTGAACCTTGAAGAGCTCCTGGAAAGCCACGGCTTACAACCTGTTGTTTGGTTCGGCGGAAATCAACAGTTCGGTCAACTCGCAAGGGCACTCAAGTTGCTGAGGCAATCGGGGGCCCGGGCAACATGTGTCCATTAGGGCGGGAGGGTTGGGGCATTAAGGTGCCAAGAGGTACTTGGAGTGCTTTTGTTGGAATTCTCAGGTTTCCCGAAGCTTAGTTTGGGGACCCTTAAAGTTACAATGTGCGAAAGGTTCTGCGGAATGTTTGCCAGCCCGGTGAGCCCCGTCCTGACGAGTCCCCCGGTGCAGGTGATGAGCCAGCAGGGACTGCAGACGCAGCAGCTGCTGAGCTCCCAAGTGGGGAGGGGCGGGGGCCACCTGGGCACCTCGTACTACGGCGGCCCCACCCAGGGGGGCTACTACCAGGCCTCTCAGCAGCAACCCCTGGCCTCGGTCTTCGGCTCCCAGTCGCTGACCGCCTTCCGCAACTTCCACCCAACTTTCAAGTCGCTTGACCTGACGGCTGCCGCCGGGGCCGGAGGGGCCCAGCCCTCAGGGCAGGAGTTCTGCCCATCACCCGTCCCCCCACAGGCAAGGGCCGCTCTGCCTCTTCTGCCGAATTTTGTCGGTAGCCACCAGGGGGATAGCTTTTTACATGGCAGCCATTCTAAAGTCTTTCGAGGAGGTTCTTCTGTAGACCGCGGGTTCTCAAAAAACCTAGACGAACCTGTATTTGCTTCGACTGATCTTCAAAGGACCCCTGCATGTCATGTCATTGATGCGGCAAAGCATTTCAGGAGTTGCCTCATATATAGGAGAGCAGATGTCAAAAAGTTTCACCTCAGTTATGCATCAATGGGTGGCTTAGGTCTTCTAAGATATGCTTAGGGGGAAGCTGGCATCTGGCCTAAACTTTTTTTTAGGGGCGAAGCTCCTTAGGATGTAGCCTTGTCCATCCGTGCTCACATCGATTGCCATCCCATCTGTCTTCTTAAAAAAGAGAAAAATGTTTGCGAAGTCGACAGGATTCGAACCTGTGCGGGGAGACCCCAATGGATTTCTAGTCCATCGCCTTAACCACTCGGCCACGACTGCGGGACAAGTAGGGGGGCTCTGAGATGTGGTAGTAACTCAAGGGCTGGGGTTTCTGTCATGGATGAAACGTTGCATGTAGCCGCTCAACGTCTGGAGAGGGCGCTGCGGTCCAATGCGTATATAATCGCGTTAAACTTTGCATGCATTGGCTCAACGTTTATAGACGAGAGGGCGCTGCGGTTAAATGCTCAAATGCGTATATAACCACGTTCCATGCCACACATTCTCTTTCTAACATGGGCCGTTGACTTAAGCGGTGGAGATGCGTTCCCACGGCTTCTAGCGGATCCAAGCTGATGTTCTAGAAGAACCACTGGCTCTGCATTTCACTGACCATAAAGCAGTAATAATGAAGTCGAAACGCAACCCGGAATTCAGCACTACTTATGAGCAATAAAAAAAAAATCGGCACCATCAGCACTACCTATGAACAATAAAATCAGTATCATCAGCACCACCAGAGCTTCGCCCTAATTAACATCATTCACCACGTGGAGATGCGGTCATTTTTTTTATGAGGTTTATTCGGTAGCCCAGCTGACAGAGCGTGCCCCCTCTCGTGCAAAACGAGTTGTAGATGGACATGTCAAAAAGACGCTAAAAGATCTTCTTGTAGTGGACCTTCTGGCCATCTCTTACCGCAGGTTCTGGTCACTTTTGTCTACAACTCCCATCATATTGTAGTCGTGTACCACAGCTGGTTTCACCACTTTTGTTGCGAGCATTTGCACCTTCCACGAGAGTCGCATCGTGAACTGTGCTGAGCAGGGCGACGAATTTCTTGTCACGCCATTGCAGAGCCATGCACTTCTCTCGCTGAAAGGCCCCAATTTCTCTCTTGTTCAGCTTTAGATCTTTGAAGGGTGGCATTTCTTTCCTTGTTGGCCGAACCATGCCATAGACATAGAACCATGCCATGCCAGAGGTCTTGTGCTGGAGGAGTTTGTCCACAAGCTCCGGAGAGGTGTAATAGTTGTCAACTGTCACGCGGCACCCTTTGGAAAGGAAGGGTTCCATCAAAGTCATATCAATCGTACCCATGGCAGTGTCTTCCTCCGGAGTTACTGTCCCTTTGCCAGTGTACACGATGAGGCTGGAGATGTAACTGCTCTCAAACTCGCAGAACAGAAAAAAACTTCAAATCAAAGCGAGAGCGCTTCTGAGGTAGGTACTGTTTCCACGAAAGCCTACCTTTGTACAACATCAGGCTTGCATCAATTGCCACAGTGCGCTCAGAAACATGGAGAGCGAGAAATTGCCCTTTAAGAAGACACGGCAGAGGCCACAACTTCCGGAGCTTCGGCTGGGGTTGCTGTGATTCGTAGACTTCTTCATTGTTTGCGAAATGAAGAAACTTCATTATAGGATGAGATCGATTCTTACTCATGAGCTCTCCAAAGATGGGGGTCTGCAGAATTCTTCTGGTGGACCGGTACATTGCCAGTTCAGGTTTGTCAATAATTCCCTGCAACAATATTGTTGCGAGAAACACCTTGAGCTCCTTTGCAGTAAGCAACCTCCAAGCAGCTGCGCGGGAGCTATTCGTTTTCTGATGCGCCAACAGGAACTGCTCACCGCACCTGTTCGTCTCCAGCACAGTCAAGGCGATCACGTCATCATCAAAAAACATTTCGAAAAACTGAAGAGGTTTTGATCATCTTCTACTGTGGCGGTCATTCCTGGCGATGCCGGCAACGGAAATCGAGGAGATGGAGGCGGCAGCTTCTCATTGTCAAGCTTCGTCCATTTCTGAGATGTTACGAAATAATCGTTGTCACTTGCGGCGCCGTCGTCTGAGCTCAATTCGAGGTCCAATGACCAGTCACTGCAGCTGTTCAAAAGCAATTCTTCATCATAATCTCTCGAACTATCAGAAATGTCCGCAAAAACGTGTTTTCGCCGAGGCACGGACGCGTCTCCGTCGCCACGAGAACTCGAGGACGCCATTTTTAAAACCCAGGCAGCCAGATGAATTACGAATTCTGCCAAAACTGGCAGAGCAAAAAACGTTTTTAGGCGACTATTGATTAAAGATACCAACTGCGATAGTCGGACGAGCGCCGCTCGTCCCTGGTAAGGAGACATTGTAGCATCACAAGACGAGTCAGACTCGTCATTGTAAAATATAGCACGACAAGCATAGACGAGTGAAACTCGTCCTTGGCAGTTAAAAGGTTAAGGGGGGTGCAAATTTTCAAAACTGAAAAATCGCAAAAAAAAAATGATTTTTAGAAAACCCTGTTTTTTAGGTTGTATATCTCATAAACTACCTTTTTGTAATTATCAGCACCTAATACAAGGAGAAAATACCTAAAAACAAATATTTACGAGGCCTGGGTTGTGTCTGAACGATGGTCAAACGTTAAAATCAGTCCCAACTTCGCACGCTCTCCATTCCGAAGCATTTGGCCGACGGCCGCGATCTTAGTCTTGTTTTGAAGGTGAATTCTTTCTTTTATTTGCCGGCTCCCAAAATGGTGTCGGCCTAATGGTTACGGCAAGGTAGCCGTTCTTCCGTGCCGCAATTGCAAGAGCATGATTTGACAGGGTGCATGCTCGAGGAGCGTGCGGGGGAGCGCGTGACTTCTGTTGACTGGGACGCGATTTCTCCGCTCGTGGAGCGCTCTCCTCCTCCGTTCCTCCTGCTGTTGCCGCTCGTGTCGTCTGCTCTGGGCAGTGGTCTGCTTGCTCGCGGTCTCGCTTTGTCAGCTCTGCTTCATTTTTCGCCATCTTTACGATGGTTTTCTGAGTTTGCTTTGACGAGTTTCGTGTAGCATGCCTGTCGGTTCTATGGTCGCTCATGATGCAAGGTTCGAAGTACGAGACAGTGAGCGCATTGGGCACGTGGAAGCGGCCCATGAAGTTACTGCAGATGGCGAAGCTGGAAGTTTCTGTGCAGTGTGCTGTCAATGGTGACCGTGTCACCGCTTCCAGTAATGAATTTCCTATGTTGTCGGCTGTCACTGAGCAAGAATGCATCGCCTCGCTCACGCAAGGAGTTCCGGGCACGTCGACCGCTGTGTTTCCTCCCGAGATCGCAGGTCCACTAGTCTTCTGCCTGACGCGACGAGTGGGAACGTGTTGTCCAGCACTCATATGTGAATGCATTTCCTGTCGCACGAGGAAATCGAAGCAGAATCTAGGCATTATGATACCATTCAAGCCGAACTTGGAGCTATGTCAGCAGCCCAAAGGAAGTTAGAAGCCATGCTGCCCGATCCCACACCTGCCTCTGCTACAAGCGAAGGTGGGAAGTTCTGCCTTGTTCAGATCAATCATTTTGGGAAACCTGCTCTGCTGCACAGTGTGCAAGCATTGCTCGGGAACTGGATTGACTGTCCAAGAAGGCACCAAACTTGGACTAGCAGCAAAACTGCACGAAGCAGTGTTGAGGTTCTATGCTGGCTGCTACAGGGCAACGGCAGAAATCTCTGTTACAGAGGGACTCTAGCCTTCCAGCGAGCTGCTGAAAAAGATGCCCTACATCTGCACAAGGCCAGCAAATGGCATCGAGAGAGGTCGGATAGATGGAACAAGAAGAAAGTGTTCAAGAACACTTCGGACTGCTCTGCAGGGTCGTTCTACATCCGAAAATCTGTGTGAGACTCAAGTGCTGTTTTCTCGGAATGGATTTTTTCACTGCCGTGGCTGCTCGTTCCAGCGGCCTATGGGGAACTGCTTAATGGACTTTGTGCTCTTTCTTATTCTATTCCTGTATAACCGTGTAAGAATGTAACAAAGATCCATTTTTTTTAAAAATAAATTTAGAATAAAAAAAAAATTGATGAATACAAGTTTTATTGCCTACATAAAATTCAAAGTTGTGCTAAAATTTTTTAACAAATGAATTTAAAAAAGGGCTCTGTTATGCCCTGGGGAACCTATCCTGGGGTCGTAATTAAAAATTTGATACTGCTACTACCTTTATCAAATTCTCCAGGCCTGGAATAAGGAATGAATATGGACAATATTGACTAATATTTGTACCTTGAACAGCTTCATGAAACTTGGCAGTCACTCTTATGTTTGTGTTATGAACAAAGCGAATTTCAATCGGATATCAATAGAAACACGAAAGTTTCTATTCATTCACCACTCCCTTAAAAAAAACATAAAAAAAAAAGGTTTTTTTTTATTTTTGTTGGGCTTGTCAAGTAGATTTTACGCGAAAAAAAAAAAAAAAACATTTTAAGGGGGATATTGACGGCGAGAGATTTATTTGAAATTCTGCGTGGCAAAGTCCATGACCCCACGGAATGGTCATTCGCTCAACGAGGTGGTCATTCAGTCATTCGCTCTTTCCACCTCAACGTGAAGGTGAAGCCGGTCCACCTTTCTTCCACGACTTGATGTTGTTCTTGAGGTCATACTAGAAATCGTCCTCGATGTGTGTACGGCATATTACAACCATTTCAACACCGTACCATTTCCTTTCATAATTGTTTTCACTAACGATGTTCCTGTAAAGCTACCGAATTTATAGTGTTTGGTCAAATGAATGTGCGTGTAATTTTTTTCTTCTGGGTGCGAAGCGAGATAATTTTTTCATGCCTAAATATGAACAAGAAGTTATTTGAGTTTTTGCCATATGTGGTTATTTTGGTTGGCACGTTTAGGGGTGCAATGCGTGCAGAAGGGTCCTGACAGGGATGCACGTGCCCGCAGGCAGGCAAGATGCCCTCGGTGACGTCGGGGTCGGCGCAGCAGAAGGCGATGCAGGCCCACTTTGCGGTGGCCTTTGGCCAGCAGCAGGGGGCGTCTGCGGGGGTGAGGCCCATGCACGTGGTGCAGCTGCCCTCCGGGGTGGTGCGGGGGCCCCACCCGAGCGCCCCGGCTCCCAAGTACCCGGCGCCCATCCAGAGGCCCCAGCAGCAGCAGGCGGCACCTGCCATGGCACCCCTCATGCAGCAGGTGCCCCAGCAGAGGGGGCTGCCGCCGACCTCCCTCCGCAGCCAGGTGGGCACCCGTCTGCTCTTGCCGGGAGGGGTCGGGAGGGACTCGGCGGGCCTGGGTGAGGGTCGTCTTTGTCCGGCTGGCATGTGCGGTGCCTGGTAGACTGAGGAAACATGACTAGAAGAGTGGATGGCACTAACGCAAATCTGGAGGCTGGGATGTGCATTTGAGTCATCCTTTTCATCACTTGGTACAGTTTACATCAGCGTGTGGAAGGGGTCGCTGTCTCTGTAGGGTTGGCATGGGTCCTTTAAAACCTTGAAAACTGCATTTCCGGACCTTGAAAGCCCTAGAATTGGTAGCGGTGCTTGGAAACCCTGGAATTTCCCAATGATAGTCAGTTTTTTGTTTTTCTTTTTTGCAAGAAAGGAATTGTTTTACAATAATCAAATATAAATTTTTTTTTTTTCACGTATGTGTTAAGGGGGAACACTACCCAAAAATGTTAACTTTTGAACGGCTCCTTTAAACAAACCTAAAATTGCAGGGCGAGATTCTATCACTACTGAGACCATCTGTAGCGAATTTCATCATTCTAGTTTAATTGTGAAAGAAATTATGCATTTCACAATATGAAAGTAGGTGTGTCTGTTGAGGAAAACTATCGTTTCGTAATAAAAGGAAAATTTTGAATTTTCTTGTGTTATATAACCTTAGGAATGGCCACAGCACATAACTGTGGAGTAATTTTTCAATGTTTTAACCTTTTTCATAGATAAAACATAAAATCAAAAATAAAAATATTTTTCATTTTTCTTATTTTCTAAAAATCTTGATTTTTTAGCATGAAGGAAGGCAAACTTTAAAAAAAGAAAAGCACAGTGTTTTTCCTCACAAAATTTCAGTCCAGAAAGACTTTCAATAAGAAATATTCCTAGCATATTCTGAAAACGATAGTTTTCCTAAGAGCGCGGTTTGCTAAAAAAGCATGAAATGAGAAAAATGCAGTCAAAGTGTCAACTACGTCCCCTTTTATTTTAAGAGCGTGTATGCTCTCAGAAAGCACCAGGGGCATAGGTGGAGCCTTCCTGTTCAACTCGATGCTGCTCAGTGACGATTGCTTCGAGCTTCCGCCTCTTCGTCGCCAGTTTTGAGCTCTGAAGCGCCTTTACTCGTGCTCGTGACACGCACAGTTTTGTGGCCTGCTCCACGTGCTTGATTGCGTGCGCACCACTAGCTATGTTCAGCTTCTGCAGGACTCGCTCGATACCCTTTGGGCCAGCGTTAAAGTCTAGAACAGCAAAGGCTGCTGCCGTCTCGACTGTCTTCAGGGACGCAAATTCAGTCTTCGGGCACCTTTTCCACACCAAAGCATTGTATGATTCGTTAGCATTCTGCGTTTGCATCCTGGAACAGCGTGCCAAAAGGTCTGCCTTGGCCAGCCTGTTGTAAAGTGGCACAAGGTCCTTGGCGATGTCCTGGCTGAATGCTGGGCGGTGGGCCTGAGGAGCCGACGGCTTGCCAGCGTCGAGCAGGGCCTGGTGCCTATTGTAGTGGCACCAGGAATCCTCACCACGAGGGCAGGCGATGTGTCGAGGCTTGGCGTCTGTTGAATAGGAGTGCAGCAGGCTTGCAAAGACGGCCCGCTGCATTCCCTTGACGTCTGGAGCGTTCTCCTTGAGGGCAGCAGCATAGTAAGCTGTCAACTTCTTTACCACAGCTTTCGTGAGTTTTCCCTTGCCTCCCAGGCCCCCCTTCTTCTTCTTTATGCTCTCAATGCCAGAGAAGACTCGTTTAGCCACGTGGTTGACACAGTCTTCTTTGGTTATCTCTTTGTCGTAAAGATTAAGCTTGGAGACATGCAAGAACGCCTTACTGTCTCCATCGCTTAGTACAGTAGTGTACTGCATGTTGTGCAGATCTTTGGACCGGCTGAATATGGTCCCAGCAGCCTCAACTTCCATGGCATTTGAGGAGCCGTTGAAATTCTTTTGGCACGTCTCCTTGTGAGTCTCCATCCACTCTTCATGACCATCTTCGCTCTCCTTGGGTTCGATGCTGCAGCCATGGCAGTAATTGCTTGCCACTGAGAAGTCGAGCACAAGGCCCGAGTCAAGCTCAATCACAGCCCCAAGTCCGAAGTGTGAGGTGTGGCCCCGCTTGTGCCATGTGCCGTCGAAGCTAACACACACATCAACGACGGCACCACTGTCTTCTGCTTCTTTTTCTCTCCTTACCGCTTGCGCGGACTCCTGCATAACTTCGCGCGCAGCATCCATCGCGGCGCGATGAACTTTGTCCGAGACGGCTTGGTATGTTTTCAAGTGCATGGGAGGTGGGGCGTCCATGCCTCCGAAAAAGTTTGTCATCTTCGTAAAATTTATGCCACAATTCCTACTCGCTACACCAAGACGCACGGGCAGCTCGGGCTGGCGACTCGATTCCAAGAGCGGAGAGTGTGCCGCTTTCGCAACCTCCCCGCAGCCGCTGCAGGCGACGACAAACTGGAGACTCGCTCCGACACCGGTTTCCTTCAGTTCAAGCGCTCGCTTGTGGCACTCGGGACACAACAGCGGTTCTATCAGGGTTTGTAAAGCTGCCACGTTCATGAAACGGTAGCCAGTCAGTGGCTTTGGTTCATCACTGGCATCAGCTGCCACACCTTCAGATGCATCGTCACGTTGGAGGAGAGCAGCCTTTCGTTCGAAAGCAGTCAGGTTGCTTTCGACGTCGTCGACAGAAGCTGAGCTTTCCGACGCCGAGGTAGTCGCGTCGAGACTCGGAAGAACTTCGGTCGTCGCTTGCGTTGGGCCCGAGTCGCGCGAACATGGTGACGGCTCGAGCACGACCGGCCGCCCATTGCTACGTCGGCCCCTCGGTTTCGTAAAACGGTTTCGTTTCCCGAATTTCTTCTTAGTGAAATGCTTTGTTGCAGGCATTTTGAGTGCGCAAATATGCGCACGGAAAGCGGCGATACGATTTACAACCAGCGTCGATAGGAATCAAAAGCGAAAACGACCGTAATGGCGGCGTTGGAAAGGCTCCACAGACCGCGAAAAAGTGTTCGAAGAGTCACGTGCTGCGTTTGCACCAACCACAGTCCGAGTTTCGATTTCCTAGCCAATCCGGGCGCGTCATTTCTAGATTTTTACTTCTAGTTTGTTGGGCTCTGCACACGCCTTATTGCACTCTCGAAAACAGCGTGCGCGCTCATTAGAAAGAAAAAAAAACGATGTTTCCAACGAGGGTACACATGTCGCGTTAGGCCTACGCAGCGTCTCGTGGGCGCGAATTTAGAAACGGTGTTTTCTGTGGCTCGCCCTGTGCCCGAAGCGGCGCGCGGGCGTCTCCGGCACGTGAATAAACGTAAGTTCTGGCTGTTCTACGGCACAGATGTCAATAAAACTTTGCGTATAGATTCTTTATTAGTAAAGGATTCCGATAAAAACAAAATCCCAAAACGGGTTTTTTAGGCAAAAATCGCAGTTTCTTGCACCGTGTCCCCCCTTAACATAAATTTTAAAATGTCAACGGGAAAGTTGTTTTATATGGTACATTTTGGACACGTTTAGCGGATGCCCGTTAAGCACCTGGCCGCAATGGTAGGAGTCCTGGTGGTTTTGGATCCGGTCTTGTCTGTCTGCCATCTTGTGATGGTGCCTCTCGTTTGCCTTGTGCTATCGCACGCGTTTTCTAGTTACTCCTGATTAGATTGTTCAGTGTGATTTATGCTACAGATCGTGGGCGTAGTTAGTTCCTGGTATGTGCAACTACAAACTCCGAGAAGGCATAGGCAACAGGTGGCATCACCTACATTGTCAAGTCAAACAGCTTAAAGGACACGTGCAAAGAAAAAGAAAATTTTTTTAAACAGCCTCGATGGAAAAAGAATGTTATAAGACGAATTTACAACGAAGAAAAAACATTTAGAGCTATATTTACGGCTCAAAACAAATTTTTAGTTGGCGCCCGCGGGAGCCGTTGTGGGTCACGTGGTACACCACTGCGCCATTGTGCGTCGTCGCTGCTGCCCCAAAGTCACGCTGCCGCCGCACGCTGAGCGTGGTGCGCCGCCGTTTCAACGCGTTTCTCCACGCTGCCGCCGTGCAGGTTTGTCTGCTCCGTGGCGCCGCCGCCGTCATCTGACCGGCACACAGGTCTATCACTGCTTGCGCTTTTTCAGGGGCTTTCTTTGGGCTCTAAAAGTTACTTATTACTCTTTTCTTTTTTTTGCACTTGAAACAAAGATGTATGAGTAACCTTTGGAAACCGTAGGAAGCCTCCGAAGGAGCGCAAGTACCACGTGACAAATAGTGGCCACTTTTCCGCGGTTCGTATAGCGCCGTAAATCTAGCTCTAAAAATTATTTTTAGTTTTAAATTCGTTTTATGACTTTCTTTTCTCTACCAGGCTGTTTAAAAAGATATTTTTTCTTTGCATGTGTCTTTTAAGGAAAACGGCGAAGACAAAGAGACAAGAAGTTGTGAATATCAACCAGGAAATCAAGGAAAAGCGGCAGTAGCTCTACTGAACACTTAACTAGCTCCTCTTTGGCAAATGTGCCTTTTCCTAGCTATTGTGCAACACAGAATTTTTGCAGTGCATTTAAAAAAGTTGTTATATTATAAATTTACTTGATAGTATTTTAGAAGGCGTCCTTGAAAATATCTTTACAGACCCTTAAAAGTTCTTGAAAACCCTCGGATTGTTTTCGTTGGAAGTCTGTACAAACCCTGGTCTGTAACGTGTTGCCATGTTTTGTGCCTTGCCAGACCCGCATGCTTTTCCTCTCTGCACTCTTGAGTGTAGATTTCATCAATCTTGCCCAATGTTTTTGGGAGTGGAGGCGAGCGAGGTTTTGGAAGGAGGCTGGTCTGAATGTTGTCTCATCTGTTGTGCCACAGCCACACCCCCGACAGCTGCCCACGAGCGACCAGCAGGCAAAGCAGCGGGCTGAGGCGGTGAAGCAGGCGCAACTCTTCTTTGCCCAGTCCAAGCCCAGCCCCACGTGCGGAGGCAACCCCGCCGAGGAAGGCAAGGGGCCGTCGCCGCCCCCCGTGCACGGGAGCAACAGCGGCGCGACCGCGGCATCTGCGGTGGACTCGAAAGACGAGGACAAGAAGCCCGCCCCAGCCAAAGAGGCGCCCCTGGAGGAGTGAGCGCTCCTCAAGATCTCCCCTCTCCCCGTTGCCGTTCCGCTCTCTGAGTCGCGTATCTCTGTTACGCCACCGGCACTGTTAGGACCGTCGCCGCCTTCGGGCCCGCCGCTTTAAACCTGCTGCTGCTCCTTGCGAGGCCCGGCCCGGTGGTGACGTGCTCTTTGAGAGGGAAAGGGTTTGTGCACGCACGCCTTCTTGTCTCCCGAGAACACGGGGTGACGTGCGAGTGGACTCTCGTCTCCGTGCCTCCCCCTCTCGCAGAGCCTCCTCCTTCCTCGGCCGAATAAAGGTGGCTCTCGGTTTTACTTTTCCCGCCCTAGTTTTTCTTTTTTTTAAATACTTTTCTCTTTGGGTGTGGTGGTACTCCTGGGAACGCAATACGGAATCTGAAACGGCTTCGGAGACGTGAACAGGAAGGTTTCTTTCCTTTCGTGCTGGTGCGCATGCACATGCTGCCGTTAACTTGCGCCTCCCCCTTCCCATCATGTGCGTTGTGTTCGGAAAAGGGTAAAGGAAATACTTGGTGCGGCGAGCTTCGGAAAATCTATATATATATATATATATACATACGTCTGTATAACGAGTGTATACACCTTACCTGTACTCTAGCCAATTTAATGTTGATTGTTCTCACGGGCAGGAGGCACTCTTGCTGTGTCTGATCTTTTGTGGGGGAGGGAGGACCAGCCTGTACCACTAGTTTAATTTCATTCCCCTCTTGTTCGGGAGGTCCCTTGCATTGGCACGCCCCGGCGGAAGCATTTCACCTCCCTCGTGTGGTACGAGTGTGCGTTTCGGGCCGGACGTGTTTCTACCCAGTTGAACTTTGACCACATTTTTCGGTGGTTGTCCGACAGGTGCAGACAAACTCTTCCTCCCCTCTTTTTTTCCCTCCCGTGTGTGTGCGGCAACGAAGCTGGCGCTCGCCGGCTGCCTTGCCTTTCTTCATTAATCGTAAGTTTATACTTGCTGCTTGTGTGGCTTTGCGGCATACTCTGCTCTTAATTTATCTACAAACGGAGGAGGCATGTCCTCTATGTTTCAGTCTGGACAGAAAAGCAACTTGTAGAAGATAAGTTGTTCCCCCTTGCCCAGTCATTGCATCCTTTTTTTTTTTTTTTTGGCGAGCTGTACAAAATTTTGCAGGAGGAAAGGAGGGGGTGCAGCATTGGTAAGGCACCTTCTGCTTCGGTAGAGCAGCGAGGGCCAGCCGGCTTTGTTGATGGCGTTTGTGCACACACTTCCTGCAAATGCTTCTGTGCATTGCAATTGAGGCTTGATTCTGTCACTAGAACTGTAGGGGGGTGGGGACGTGTACATTATTGGGGTGCTGTGGCTCGTTGCTTCGGTAAAGCTGAGCTGCATTGGCAAATCTGTGAAATAAATGTTTGTACAAAAACAGTGATGGTTGCCAGTGAGCAAAACTGCTCCAAGGTGTCTTGGGGACAGAGTTGCCATATGGATGTGGAAATGTCTGTGTGAACCCGGGGAGGGAGACAACCTCTGCTTGGACTCGTTTTCTTTTGTAGTGTCAGATTTCAGCTCTTGATTCTGTCACTTAGGTATTGTGCCGCTGCATTTAAGTTTTGTCTTTGTATCACCCCGTGGAAGGCTGGGTAGTTGTGTGTAGGCGCTGGAAGCCACGATTCATTCTAGGATCTGTGTGGCTATCGTCTTCCCCTCCCCCCCGTTTCTCCCGACCGGACCGAAGTGGGTCCTTTGCCGGAGCGTAGGAGGAACTGCCGTGTCCTCCCACGCATTTTTGCTGCCTGGATTCTTTTCTAACGAAAGTGTGATGGGCACTTGTAATTGTATGAGGAGAGTTGCTGTATGTAGTTTTCTTGCAATAAAGCACTAAGGATTACTCCCCGCCTTGTGCTTTTCTGGAGTTCTTGGCATCAGCTTGGAACGTCCGTCATCTTTGGGATACATTTTATTCCTCCAGCACCACTACAATAAATGTGTAGCTGTATTACTGTGTTTGCACACTGGCAGTTGTACCTGAAGGCTGTTGTGCTCAGCTTGGTCAATAGACCTGTTGCAAAACGTACTGTGCAACGACGGCAGGGGATTTTGGCGGCCCTCAGTACAGATCACGCGCTTTCTCGTTGCACCTCCGCGACCGCGCGCGAGTAGCGCCAGCAACCGCCAGCAGCCGTCGTCGGCGGTGCAGTGGCAATGTAAAAGTATCGCGACGAGTGAAGCTATTCACTTTGAATATGTTGTTCGCCATAACTTACCTGCCTGTCTGGCAGTGCCACTTGATCCAGTTTTCACCGCAAACGTGGCAGGGTTCGGCTAGGTTCGACAAAGCGTTGGTGCAGCAGATGATGGAGCCGGTACAAAGGAGAAAGATGAGATAGGGGCAGCCTTGCAAAATAGCCAACGCGATACCCCCTCTCCTATTTCCGTGCGCTCGTGGGACTGCTCTTGGCTGCTTAAACGTTTCTGCCAGGGTAACCTGCGCCTGCTCGAGTATACCACATGGTAGCAGGAAAAAAAACGATTGGTGGGGTGTACCAAGGACTCCCATTATTCGTCGCGCGGCGCACGCGGGCTTTTGGGGTTTTTGCAAAGGGTCTATTGATTTAGTGAAAAAGGGAGCCCATGGCTTGACGGCAGGGAAGTTGGGGGTTCTAAAATTCTCAATCTCTCTCTAGGGTGGGTGAAGTCCAGCATTGATCTGTGTCTTGTCATGTGACACGATTTGTGGGACTAACTTGGATCCATTCGAGTAAGATTTGAAACACGACCTTGGTGTATATATACGAGTGTCCCAGTAGTTTGGTCAAATCTGATAGGCACTCCACTGATCCCTTAACGAGATTCAAAGCCAATACTTTTGTCTGCGATTGCCACAGGAAACGGCGTGAATCTGAGCTTATGTTGGTGTCTGACAATGCCCAAGGCCCACTGAAAGCACGGCCAAGGGGATGGGGATGGCTGTGCACAATTTGAACAGTTTTGCGTCGGTCCAAGGGGAGGGAATGGGCTTGTGCACCAAGTTTATTTTGGCTGTGTTATTGCACTTCCTACCTTGCATGAAATGGAACTGTCAAAAAAGCATGCACTGCCTCCTGTGCTGTATGTTCCATGTTGGTTTTCATAGTGTCGGTGGGCTGCTTCAAGTAAAGCATTTCTTCTTCGAACTGGTGCACATATCCACAGGGGTTAGAGTATCATTGATTCAACACTATGGTTAAAGTTCTCAAATTTATCTTGAAGGGGAAAATGCACCATGATGGTGAGATTTGACTGACCTCGTTGCAGGAGAACCAAGCTTAATCTGAACCAATCTATGCATTGTATGCTTATGTCTTGTGAATGGAACATTGCTCCAGGCCTTTCTTTGGAATTCACCAAGCATTAAATTGGGATTCAAAATTAGCAAGATGGATTTTGAAATGTATTTCAAGTATGGTGCTGTGCCTTCATTAAAAATCGCCAAAAGGTATTACCAGCATATTTTATGTTTCAAAAAGTACTTGTACACTGACAAAAACAACAGCTTCATAGACGTGCTATATGTTAGCTGTTAACCAAATGCTTGTCATAAGCTAAAATTGCTGGATACTAATAGGGGGCTGTATGATGCAGTTGTGCAGCATCCTAGTATCGAACTACAGGCAACCTTGCAAATCCGTTGCACGACTATGTGCTATGCTCCCATAAACATGTAAGGATTGAAAAATTCATGATTCTTGATGCCCGATCTCGAGTTTGCCTCTAACACATCTTGCGAATTGGAGTGTGAATTCTGGTATGTGTCAGTCAGTTTCCAAAACTCGCCTGCAGCTTTAGCCACTTTGGTATGTTTGTCATCTAGATCCTCGACAGTGTAAAGCGATTTTTTTAACGCAGTTGCTGAAGGCAGAGAAACTGTCGAAAAGTTCAGCAACTGCTTTGAAAAAATTCAACTTTTTGTCTGCCTTCAGCATGCTTAAAAAAAGACAGTACATGGAGGTGGGGCAACATAATTAAATGCAGTTTTATTGATGTTAATGAGAAGGATGGAAAACTGAAGTCTGATGAACCTGAGTGTTGGTGGTGTAACTTGGAACTGGTAATGTACAAATGAACATGTTTGTTGATGAACCCGTTAATATTTACATTAGATAGCATGGTCTTGTGCAAGTTACACTATAGTTTATACACATGCACATATACAGGGCGATGTCTTCGTCGACCGACGGTCGTCAATATTAAAACAATGTGGGTGATGGTGGCCGCCTTTTCGAACTGTGCGGCAGCATGCCTTTATGATGAGCACTTCCCACATGCACACGAGACGGCTTCACTGATGTCGCTGAAAACTGGCACGCCTGATCGTGTTGCAAGATCCGACAGGTACATCCTTCCACGGTTGTAGTCTTTCACGGCAAGGTCGGAGAGCTGGAATGTAGAATGGCTGGTTGTAGCAATCTATTGAACAAGTGCTTCCTGAATGCTATTATCAAGGGCCGGCTGGGGCAGTGTATTTCCATCTGCGGTATGCAATACTCGCTGCACACGGGAGGCTCCAGTTAATATTCATATACAAAATATTTAAGAAAGTCTCCGTGTTCGAATCAAAATCGCCATGCCATAATGTCAGTTATTTTTCATGTTCTACAATCTGCTTAGCAAGCATTGCCATGACACTGTTGTCTGTTCTGATGAGTCTACTTTAGGTGTGCTGCTCCAATGAGTGTACTAAAAGTGTAAATAATATTTTAGTGCGGTAGATTTTTACGAGCCCCTGTGGATAATATGAGCTGAAACACCCGATTCAGCCGTTTTCTGCATCTGTGGTCCCTCCATGCTCCACTACCTTTTGATTTGTGATATATTTCAAAGGATGGCACGTAAACTTTGCATTCTATTACTAGTTTGAACTAAAACTCTTTCAGTTACACGCAGGTAAACCAGCAGAAGATAGAGTGTTTCAGCTCGTACGGTCTGCTAGTACCTATCTGAAGCTTTAGGGCATACAATTTTCTGGTAGTAATTTTAATAAGCGTGATCAAAGCCACTAAAAGCTTTTGCTGCAACAGAAGTGACTGCCAAAATTAATTTCTAACATTTCCCGTGTCTTTACAACGGCTTTAATAGACCTCAAAGTAGGTTCTTGACAGGGGTGTGCAAATGTTTGAAACTTAAAATAATTCAATAATAGTTTGCTATTAGATTTGATTGAGAGCATACTTTTACTGTTCAAAGCATTCAAGCTTTTTCTAATACATATTCGAAAATAACTAATGATGTCTTCAGGATTCTCGGCTATCTCGCGTCAAGCTTCACTGCTTTGCAGTGGTGTGCACACAACAAGCTTCACCGCTATGCACTGGCATCCTAGGAGAAACTGCTGACGTGATTGAACATCTCGGGTCGATAGCCTCGGAAATTTAGTTCACTACTGTAAGTCTGCCTTCTTTGGTTATAAGTAAGATTCCACGTTTTCAGAGTTTGTTTCTCGTGAAATTCGAAAGGTGTATTTAGAGTAATTTTCGCAAAACATTTGGGGTTTTCTTGGAGTTATTTCCGTTCACTCCCAAAATCTCTGAAATTTTAAATCTAAACCTGTTGTATTTTCTATCCTTTTTTTCTTTTTTTAAAGTTCAAAAACAATGTTAATGAAGGCCGGTTGCAAACATACACCAGGTTGATCAACTCGCCAGTACCGAGTGATATTTCTGCCGCTGTATTTGGCAATTGGCATTGCCATTGGCAATACTATGCACGACAAATATTTCGAAGTGTTTCCTCAATAAGAGTTGATACTTTGAAATAACTGAACTCGAATGTAGTCGCTGGGAAGGATGGACGCTTCAGTTGCGCTCTCCCTCCATTAGAATCTATGGGTTACCACAGTTATAAAAACACTACCCCTCTTTCCTCTAAGAAGCACAAATAGCATCGCCCCAACTGGAAACCTTATCAAATTACTTTTGCCGTGACCAAAAGGTACCATGACCCGCTGTCCTGAACAAACCTTGACAAGTTAAAAGGTAAACCCATTTTTGTCAGTAGTCCAAGATTTCAAAAAGAACTGGTGAGGCCTCTCCTCAGGACCACTCACCATGTGCTCTTATATTTATTAGTAAATCAGTCTTTTTTTTTGCTCTTACTTTTCTTGTCGTGACCTCAAAATTCAGAGCTTTTCGGATAAATTCGAACTAATGGAAATTTTACCGGCGAGTGGTTTTTGGATTCTTTTTTATTTATCCGAAAACAGTGAACCCTAGTTATAAGTAATTACAGTTCTACCACCGATTTTAAAGGACAGTAGCATAAAAGTAAGTCTCAAGCTATATTCAAATAAATAAAGTAATCATTGCTTTGCTTGCCATGTGACATGTTTTACTCAAATCATCTTATCAGGGCCTTTTCTTTAATACATGTATCTGAAATGTTTCTCACGTAATAAAACTTCCTTTTTATAGGTATGCTTTCTAGACAAGATTTCCAGCCATGATTTATTAAATCATCTATACACAATTCACATTAAACCTGAAATAGCTTAGAATATATTCTAATTCGATTCACAGCCAAATATGAATTAACAATCATATTTGATTCTCCGACAAAACATAATCTCGCACCTCTAGGTCTTGGTGCTTTTACTCATAATTGTAACCAGAACAACAGAATTCTATAATTACCTTTTCTCCATCAATCACCACATCATTCTCCAGGTACTGTATGCACAGGACAACGTTGCAGCCTTGGCCAACATAATGGGCAGCCTGCAGAAATTATGCAATTGTATCAGAAACCTTAACAGACCAACATGGCAGCCTATATTTCAAAATAAATGCCAACAAATGACAAAGTCTAAGAAAGAAAATGAAACAGTGTTTTACGGCCTGTGTTAATAAAGTATGCATTCCAGAAAGCTGGAAATCCGTGTAAATGGGACACTAGCAACGGTGACAGAATGGGAAAGTTTGAGAATGTGACATTAGATGGATAAAAAGATGAGAGAAAAAGTAAATTTCTCTATGCGCCGACACCCATTTGTGCGCGATATTCCTCGATTGAAGAAAGGACATGGACTTTTGGGGTGAATCTCAGTGAGAAAGCTTGTGAGTAAGGATTATTTTGTTTCTTGCCAACAAGATTTTTTTCACTGAAATGGATGCCACAGAGGTCCACAATGTCATTTCTTTGTTGGACAAATATCGAACGTAAGTGGTCATTGCCTTATAAAAAAAGTTTAACTTTTCACTTTAATTTTTTTTTCTTTAGAGATTGTCATGCTCACAAAGTTCCACATTCTTTCACCACTGCTAGTGTCCCATTCACACAAATTTTCAGCTTCCCGTGACATACTCTATTTATAAGGGTTGGAAAGCATGGTTCAATTTTCTCTTTTAGGCCCTGTAGATTACATGCACCCATATGCTGCAAGAATGATGATCAGAAATTGCATTTTTCAAATTGGGACACCAGTACTACTGTATTTACTCGAGTAATAGCCACACTATTTATGTACAAGGCCGTTCCGTCCAGTGGCGGATTGAAAGGGGGGTGGCGACGGAGGCAGCCGCCCCTCCCAAATAGTTGACCCCTCCCCCTTCTTGTAGGGAAATTTGACATGGGTGGACCCCCCGGTGCACACGAAAGAATGGGAGAATAGTATCCCTACAAATTTTCCGCCCCCAAAACGGGGTTCTGGATCCACCCCTGCTTGCGTCTACTTTCCCACAGAACACATATACAGCCAATCCTTGTGTTGCGCATAAATAACATAGCAAATAACTAGATCGAGAACACCATTCTCCATACAAATGCAATCTTCACAGATGGTATCTTCGCACGAAGACGTTATCTCTGTCTTGTAAACAGCTGGAATCATGCTGTCGATCGCGGTGATTGGCAATCTGCGTGCTATGCGGAAAAACAAACCCTCAGGTTTTCTTCATAAACAGTGCTGCTATTACTCGAGTAAATACGGTAAGCAGAACCATGGTGCCACGGTCTGAAGAACGCTGTGTGTATTTTCTGTTTTTGGGTGAACAATACTACGCTGGAATATAATTATGTGGATATGGGTACATTTTCTCATGCAAGTTGAAATGGGAAAGCGTGCCACTATGCAAATGCTCCAAGAGCCCTTCCAGGTGACTGCTTGATTCCTAGTTTTGAAGCGTTTTTGCCATTGGACCTGTAAGATTCCTAGATACTGCATTTACATACCAATTACTTTGAGCAAACAAAGCACACTGAGAGCCACTCGCACACTTTCCAGAAGGAGACCTTCAAATTACAAGGTATCAATAATGTTTAGGGCTCAGAAATGGGACATACGCCAGGGTCCTGAACAAATGCATGTCATGTCATCAAACCAACTGCAGCAAAGGTTACAAGCACAGGAAGGCAATTCTGGCAGGTGTTCTTGCTGCAGAAACACTTGTGCAGGGACCATGTACCAGAACTACATACTAATGCTAGTAACCTTTGCTGCAGTCCACACCAGGGTGAGATGGCGTATAGACTCAATGCCCAGGTCGCTCTTTAAATCCAAATTTTATCTCGGGATTTTCACCTGTTAGGCTCTTTCTGTAAGTCCAAATGACCTGCCTCTGTGTGTGTGTGTGTGTTTGAAACCGGCAATGAAGAGCCACAGTGAAACTGCAAAAGTGTGCACAACTCACCACGAGCATTTCGGCCACGCATCGCTCTGTCTTGGTGATGACGAACAGCAGCACTCGACTGCTGTTGATGATGTGCATTTCAAGGGGGCTCAGCCGCGCGTTCCACGGGGAGCGAAATGGGACGGAATGCGTCAAGCCGTGCTTCCTGCAAGGTGAAAAGAAAACGAGTTTTGAAACTCCCTTCCTACAGCAGCCATTTCTCTCGGAAAGAATACTTTTGAGAGAGGGAGACAGAACAATAGGAAGCCAAAACACCATCATAGGCCATGAGGAGAAAGTTTATTATCGTGCCACACACAAGCTTGTCTCCCAGCTTTCTTCCTATCTGCCTGCATACCTTTCCTCTTGATTTTTAGAGCACAGCTCTTAGGCGCCCGTTTCCGTGTTGAGTGGCGTCTGCATAACTGCACTCGTTGTATTATGGGACGTCACAGTTTCCCTACTAAATTTAGCGCAAAACTGAATTGGTGTTGACGTCATGTGACCACAGTTTTACCGCTAAATTTAGTGGGGAAACTGAATGCACAGAGTTGCATTATATGACGTCACAGACCTACACACCAGTTCAGTTTCCCCGCTAAATTATGCAGGGAATTGAATTGGTGTTAAGGTTGCGTGACATCGATTTTTCCGCTAAATCTAGCAGAGAGACTGATGTTCTTCATAGGTGACGTGACACAAAGTCATGTGACGTCATTTTCGCCGCTGCATTTAGTGCGGAAATTGAATTGACGTTGAGGTCACGTGGCGTCAATTTTTGGGCTAAATTTAGCAGGGAAGCTGTGGGAGGAGGGGAGGGTATGGAAGAGGAGTAGGGTATGAAGGAGGAAGAGGACATGGAAGAGGAGGAGGGTGCGGAACCAGTATGTGAGGAAAGTGCTATATATATTTGCACATATATATATATATATATATATATATATATATATATATATATATATATATATATATATATATATATATATATATATATATATATATTTCTTTCTCAAATTGTTTTTGCCCAGTATATTGCAAACTCAAAATACCTCAAGAGCTGCACTCTAGTTTTGCATTACAGGAATTTGTAAACAGCTTTCATTTTTCACAGAAAACCGGTTTGACACGTCTAGTCACCACATTTCTCTTTTCTCCTTATGACATCCCTCCTTGTTCTCTATTTTTCATACCCGCTTCTTAGAGAAATATAAACTAAATTTGAATTTGAGCTAAGCATGAGTAGACTTCAAAAGCAACATCACAGCTGCCGGTCTCTTTCGGTGTCGGATGAATCCCAAAATATAGCTAATCACTAAAATCTATACTTCTCTCATTTGTATCTTTCTTTATGCTTCATACCCGGAGTTCAAATCCCGGCTCCGTCAAATATTTTGCCTTTCGGCAGCTTCATAGACTTCGTTTCATTTGATCAAGTACAGTTCATTCATCTACACATTTTCGATTATAAGCTCTATCCTTCTATCGCTGATCTCTATGACAATTGCTGGATCGCGTTTGCCCGCTCCGCGAATGCGGCCACTGGCGGCCATCTTTTTGGTAGAGTTATATTACCTCTAGCCAAGGTACAGCTGCTGCAGCCACTATTATCCATCCATGGCAGACAGCGTTGTGGCAGTTGTGGTGGCAGGCTGCCATCAAAAAAGCGTGGGTGATATTTCGTGCTTAATTGAAATTGTTTGACGAAACATATTTTTGAAACCCGGCGTGAACGGCAGCCCGATCTTTGAGGACACGGTGAAAGTTTCACGAAATCGCAGCACCGAGGAAAAGCACGCATTTAAAGTCGCATCAAAAGAAGCATTGAAAGCAGACGCCAGTACGGAGTTTTCTTTCGATGCGAGCTGCGCTGCTTTACCCCGGTGCTGCGATTTCGTAGAACTTTCGCCGGGTCCTCAAAGATGAAGCTACCATTCACGCTGGGTTTCAAGAATCTGTTTCGTCGAACAACTTCAATCAAGCACGAAATATCACCCATGGTACAGTGTACTAGATCTACGGCTATTCTATGGCAGCCTTCTGCCATTGTGCTGTCTGCCATATTACTATGATGGCTAGAGATGATATAACTCTACCAAAAAGATGGCCAACCGTGGCCGCATTCCCGTCCATAGGCAGAGCTGGTCAAGCGCAATCCAGCAAATAGACATAGAGAACAGTGCCTTCTATATACTTGGAAAAGAGGAGCGAGTATGTGCAGTATTACATCTCAAGCCATTTAAAATTTTGTGCAGCTACAGAAAAGATTGTATGGCATATTGCTAGGCAATTGTTTTGCATATGTGAAACGGTCAAACATCAAAAACGTTTCTATCATTGTTTAGCAGCACGTCTAGCCTGCTCAGTCAGACACCCAAGTTCACGGAGCTCTTCGTCACATAATTTTACGCCAGGCATGAGTAAACTTGAAATGATAAACTTGGTGATCTTCCGGAACCTTCTAACCCACTTCTCCTCTGCCACCTCGCCAACCTCTCCTCTCACTCCACGCCTGGTCACGTGACCTTCCCGTTAACCAATCGGCGTCGAGCGCCTCACTCCTCCTCTCCTACCCGTCAGCCAATTGGTGTCGAGCCTCACAGCCACGCTTTTATCCAGGCTTCACTTTTGGACTTCACGAAATACCGAAAACCTAGCCAAAGAAAGTTTCACGTTAAAAGAGTGGCATGCTTACTTTAGAAGAGGAATGGCTATGTTGTCCCTCCAGGCACAGTCCTTGGTGGAGCCCCCGAGGTAAATGTGGCTCCAGTAGGCTGGCAGTGGGACGTCTGCTTCTCCTTTCGACAGCGCAGTTCCCGGTAGGATCCAGTCTGAGAGTGAAAGGAAGAAAAACACACTAATATAGCAACATGCACAAGCCTGCCACACTTTGCCTTTATATTTATGCACATATCGAAACACTGTTAGCTTAAACACTAAATTGCCACTAGCTTATCGCATCCTCACAAAATTTCAGGGTAAACACCAAACTACCGCCAAGGAAAGGAAGGTCAGACAATAGTTCGGAACATTTACCGTTTGTAAACGAGCCGTACAGAATAAATTAACCCTTTCAAATGCGATGTACACAAATGAACATTTAAAACCCTCACATCTATTGATGCTAGAGTTTTATCGCATTTGTCTATTGAGTCATTTTAACAATTTTAGTGGAATTCTATACTTTATGTCTGGCACCCAAAGTCTGTGAAGAAAACCTTTGTGAAAATTTTCTTCACAAGCAAAGTTTTGAATGAAAATACTTTTCAAGATAAATGGCAAGCGGCATTTGGGAAAGTTAAGTACAGGAAATGAGTGATTATATATTCACGCTGACAGTGGCATTATTCAACATCGGAAAATGCTTGTGCAGTGAATACTGGGCTGAATGATCAGTCGGAATAATGAAAGAGTAGAGTCAATTTAGTATGCACTACTCACCATAAACACGAGTGAAGAGATGCTGGACAGAATTGAGGAACTCCGAGAATTTACTCCCATTTTTCGACTGAAAAAAAGTTGTAAAAGGAATAAGTAATGCACACTAAGGATGCAACCCGAGAACAGTATAAATCGACGAGCCTAACTGAAAAGTCCATCGAACTGATAAAAAAGTCAGCAGTGCCAGTAACTTTGGGGGTCTGGTGGCTAAGTAGATTATTAACACACAGCACAGCAGTGTGCGGAGTAAATGCCCACGCTTTACCTCCCTCCCGCGAGCCTCGATACATGCATTTGTGTAATTGCTACCATAGGATGCACGCTAAGGATACCAGCTTAGCAGTCATACTACAATGGTCGAGTTTCCTCTTTATGGACAATTTTGAAGCAGTACACTTTCCCAGTGTCGAAACGTCGATACTATCAATTTTGTGTTCGAAAGGAAAAAATGTGACTATCGGCTCACCTGGTGTTTGAACTCCGACACGATGAAGCAGAACTGATCAAATGTTATGGGAATGTCGTCAATATCCCCGTCAGCAATGTTTTGTGTCACCGGGCACTGCTGACTGCTTGTGAGGATGTCCAGGCACTCCTGGGGAAGTTCTCTTCCGGTGAGCACCTTGAATGCCATTCTGACCTGTCACGACAGAGACCATTGCCATTAGACCCTTGACAACTTCGGCAAAAGTTCTATCTACCTAAAGGAGGGGTTCCCAAATTTTGTTTTAATCTCGAGGCCCCTCTTTCCTAATTGGTAGTCGAGAAGCTCCTCCTAGCCTCGGCATTAATTAAATAAAGCAGTGCAGAGGATAGACCTTGTAAATGATTTTGCACATACTCGTTTCATACTTTGAGCCAAATATACATGGTTTGCTCAGAGTCGCACATCACCTGGGGGCTCAGATAAGCTAAAATAGTGCCTACACTCGTAGAACGTCTCATTTAGGAACAGTCAAGAAAACTTGGAAGCTCAGGGAACCCATGGGAGTACTCTTGGAGGCTCCTGGGTTCCTAGGATTCCAGTCTGAGAATTTATGACCTTTAGACAAGGATATCTAAAGGCGTCTAGCCACCACCCCCTTTTAGTACACTCGGGGTGGAGGCCGCCAACATACAAGCTGATGTGCCCATAGTTTCCCTATTGCAACCTTTCGCTAAAAGAAGGCTGGGCTACAACAGGTCACGGTTACAACAAAGCACTGAACGCACTTACATCTCTGATGCGCACTTCGCCATCGTCCGAAGAGAAACTGTTGAATGCCTCTTGAACTTTCCTGGAACGGGAAATTGTACTGCCATCAGTCGGGTGGAAATATCTATCACATCAGTCCAAAAATGACAAAAAATGCTAATAAAAAAAACAAACATATTTTTTGGTCAAGACTGAAAATTTTCAGTCAGCAAATAAAAGTTGCAATTGGAAAATACCCAGTGCCCCATTCGTGCCACATATTGTACAATGTATTAAGAGCTCTTTAAATTCACAGGGAGCTTAATCAGGATGCATTATGATTCCTTTCTTGCTCTTTGAGGACTGCCAATGTTAACTGAGGGTTTGACTCATTCAATGAAAGGAATGCCATCTCATATAAACCACCAGTAGATCAATTTCAACATTTTGTTGAAATTGATCAACAACAATACAGGAGTAGTAGTAGTAATAGCGTTTTAACACGGACGACATTCAGTCTAGTTATATTCCGTTAACAAAAGGCAGCACCTATAAGAACGTCTGGTGGGACTATAGTCAGTGACAGGTAAAGAAAAGTTTTTTGGCTGGGAGGGAGGAGGCAGACGGAGTGCTAAAGAGAAGAGGTGGTTTCCTCCTCTCCTCTCCAGCAATCCATCTGCTTCCTCCTCCCCTGCCCTCCTTTCCCTCGAAAACTTTTTTTAACGTGTAACTGACTACAGACAAACGTTAAATTATTTCAAGGAGTGGTTCTGACATCTAAAATGGCATAACGGCAGCTTTCCAGACAAACACGACAATGAAATTTAAGAGTTCTATGTGCCAAACCAAAAAAGGGCATATGGTATGCCCCAGCGGAGGACTACGGAATAATTTCAACCACTCGGGGATCTTTGACATGCAATCAAAATCTCGGTTACACAGCAGCACCTTCTCCGCAATAAACCTCAATCAAGTTGCAGGCACCTCGGCGAGGATTCGAACCTGCTGTGGGCCAGAGTTCGGAGCCACCGAGGTAGCTACCAACGTGATGACGACAATGATGACGCCCCGAGGGCACAGAAGCGTCAGAGAAACCCGTCCACCACACTGACACTCCGCATGGCTTTCGAAACATTGGAAGGCACGGGATGTCTACTCACAGGTACTTGTCGCCAAGGGTGGCATGGGGCACGGCTATGGCGCCTTCTCTCCGGGGGGGCCTCACGTCCTGGGGTCTGAGTTCCTCCTTGAGGACCTTGTTGGTGACTTCGAGGGCCTCCTGTATGCCCTGGAAGACTGGGATGCCCTGCATCTGTACAATGTCCCGCAGGTAGTCTCGCCCCTGTTTCAGGTCCACGTATTCCTTCTCGGAGATGGGCTCCCCGAGGACCAGACTGCCTGGGGGCGACTGCTCGTTCAGGATCAAGATCAGCTTGCGCTGGGTTCCTGCCAGGAGGAGGGAAAAGGTGGGGTCCGGGAATTAGTTGCACAGTGACGCTGCTGAGCATGTTACGACGCTTTCCGAATTGCCGTTAAGGTCTTCCGAAGTTGGAACAGACTGCAATGTAACCATTGCATGTTCTACAGTGGCTTTTCCGCAGAAAAAAAAACAAGAGTGTTAAGTTTCGGGCATCCTTTGATCAAATATTGCCCGTTTCGAAAGTGAGGCAGGCTGAAAACTCGTCACGGGAGCTTATTTCCTCAAACGTGCCACCACAAGTTGGTAAATTTTGTTACTTATTTTTAAGATCTGGGATGAAATCCCAGCTCCCAAGACCCTAGCTCAAAACCTGGAAATGAGGCACAGACCAAAATGAGAATATAATACCCACAAAAGATTCAGAGACTCTGCATCAACAAGTTTGGGTTTTATCCACTACCTGCCTCGGGTTTCTAGCAGTGTTTAACAGCGAGCAACTTGCTTGCGCACTTTCCCTCACGACAGAGATACTTTCAATACAACAATTAGCAGAAATCTAATTAATTTTTGCACACTGATGCAGACACATCACTGTAAAAGAGCCCACTTTAGAATATGTATAGGGCCAAGCAAACTTACAAATCTGCATAGCTAACAATGTTATGATTCTACACAATCAATATAAACAGTTGCAACAATGATTTATCCTAATATATATATGAATTATCTTCAACAAAGCTGTTACCCTCAAAATCAAGTTCCTGAAAGTAAGTACCTATACAGACCCTTTTCAAAACTCCAGCAAGGAACACTGGCAGTTGCAATATTTTAGGCACTGCTTCCAGTGTGAAGCATGGGATCGGACCTTAGTCCTCGCCGACTGCTGAAGGTGAGATCATCAATATGTTCTAAGCATGTGGATAACTGGTGCAGCAGCTACTAGATGGCCTTTGGAAAGGGCCTGTGCAGCCGTGCCTACATCTGGCTTTATAACAGGGTTTGAGGGACGGAAGAGCATTGAAGATTGAAGTGAGGCCTCTTGAGCACACACCTGCTATATGGGCAGTCTCAATCATGCAAGCCACAGATCGTGTTTGGTTGTCGATGACAAAGAACATCACTTTGGCATTCTGAAAAGCCAAGAAAATACGACACTCAAAAACTGCCCTTCAATAAAAGAATGCAAAGAATAGACTCGAGCAACAGGAAATGATTTTCACAGAGGCATAATTAATGAAGCTTACCTCTTTTGCTTGATTTTCAAGTTCGATCAGCTCTGGTATCCATTGCGTCACCTGCTGTTGATAAGAATAAAAATATAAATAAATATAGGGGAAAAAAAAAAAGCACAGTGCACGGCAGATGCCAAAGGAAGGTGTGGCGATTCACTTACAGGATTATAGTAAGAGATGCCGTAGGCCTTGAGTTTCGGAATGGCCACATCTTTCCTCCATGTGGTGGGGTTGCAGGAACCGCCCAGAAAGACTGTGGAGAGAAAAAAAAGCAGTTTGAGATTTCATCACTGCAAAGCTAAATAACAACAAGCACTCTCAACACACTCTATATCAATTCTGAAATAAAGGATGAAGTTTGAGACTTACCATCGTAAGAACTTTCCACTGAAAACAAAAAGAAACTCAGAATTAGTAATTCGCAGAGTAGAGCCACACGAGCCACCGAATGACGTCCCATACCACAAAGAGGACTTATGGCTAGCAACTGCGCAAAAGAAGCGATCTCGAGTGCTGGACGATAGCTTACAACGATTACATTGTCTGAGGCAGAGTTATCACTGATATCCCAGGCATATGTGTTTCCTACCTGTCAAGATATTTTTCATCGATGCTTTGTGGCACTAATTACCCGTCAAAAATATATGTAAAAAGACAAAAAAAATCTATAGTCACTGAGAGGACGAGAACTGCAGGATGTCTCTCTCAGATGCTCAGCATCCAGCACGCACTTACTTCCCTTCCTACACGCTTTGGCGGCGCGTGCATGTTTGAGGCTCACAAGAAGCTGAAGCGTTGTCAAAAGGCGAAAGCTAGCGGTAGAGGTGGAAACTTTTCCCTGTTGTTCTCAACCTGTTAGTGACTACAGAATAGGGAAATACTTCAGCAACTTTAACCAAACTTCTGAATTTGTTAGCACTTACGTGAACCAACAGAGGTTCAGATAATTAATCCTGGTTAAGGCCCTGAAATTCAGCGAGATTACTTTTCCGTCTTTCCGAGGGGTTTATGCGGCCTTGTACAACATGTCGCATATACTAGCCTACTCTCCAATATCTGAAAGCTAGGGAAGCCTCTCTTCGTAAATGCGACCCAAAACCTGCGAGTTGCGGCTTTAGCAACACTCGCAAATACAAAACCAAAGAAAATCAACACACACCAGATTCTGATCTCCTTTTCATGTGAAGTTTACGAGAATCCCTTGCGGGCTTGGACAGTGGTTGAGTTCTGGATAACCTACAAATAAAGAGCTAAGGTTAACACACATAAGCAGCTCTACAATCGGGGCAACAACAAGCCCAACTTTCGGATGCATGATGCAAACAGTTCTCACCGTCTCTCGTGAGCGTATTTCATCTCCGAAGCGAAGAAACAGAAACTCCCGACAGTGAAAATGTTGTTATGAGTGTGTGAGCATTGCCACATTTCATGAACTGCAAAGAAACAAAAACAACATGATCACGAATTAACAGCTGGTACTCCAAACGTAAGTGTAAAGAAAGAACAAACATTTTTCTGCTAAATGCATCAGATCCCCCCCTCCCCCCCCCCCCCCTTTTTTTTTTGTTGTTCCCTTGGTTGCAGGTTTAAGTATCTCTATCTTTAACCAGCTTGCCTGCAGTATTACTCTTTCTTCATTTTGCTGTTGTAAGTAAAACTACAGTGTATTCCACATCAGCAGTCAACATGAGACAATTTAAGAATGTGTAATGAAAATTTTTAAATCTCAACATGCACCAAAAATTAAAGTTTGAGGTCTCAACTTCCTTTTCTAACTTGAGCTGATTCATGGGGCTTGGTCTGCACTGTCCAAAAGCTTGTGCATCTGTTCATGTTCATATACAGATGAACTAACTTCTGTATGCAAATTTTAGGATATTCATGCTCGTGACTGTACACAGCACGACACTGCTAGTGTGAACAGGCGATCACCAGTTATTTCTACTTTTAACTCATAATCCAAAGTTTATGATAAAAAAAACAGGTAGTGTGGTGGGCACATGGGTAACTAACCTAAGTGACAAATTTAGTTGCCCACCACTACCCCTTAAGAATGAAATCCAAAAAAGCTTTGATCTTGTGCTTGTGCTGACAGTGTCACAGAATGTATGCTATAAAAAAAAAAAAAAAAAAAAAAAAAAAACTGTGCATGCACTTTTTACTTTAAGGACGTTATTCCACTCCATGATTGACAAAGCAGTTGTGAAGCCATGCCACCCTCATGCAACAATTGAGTGTCCTTTAGGCCAAGCAAAAAATTGAGGCAATGAAATGAAACAAAGAAGGAACACAAACACTACAAGCAGGTCATGCTTACCTTTACACAGTATTTTAAGCAAATCCTCGCTCAGTCCACTTCCATGGGAAAATAACTTACAACAAGCACACAAGCAAAGCGGAGGGGATGCTGCATTGGTACTAAAGAGAACACTGAAAAGTGGCAAAAGGAGGAGGGAAAAAAAGAAAAAGAGGAATCAGGCATTTGAAGGCAGTTTACCTTGGGATTCAGATGGGTAGATGTCCAATGTGTGAAACAATGGGAAGATATCCTGTTGCGTTAGGGTCCCAGCTTTCCCACTAAGCTTGCTCCATGCCTCTATTGCTTTGCTGAAAATTGCCAGATAGCCACAGATGCCCAAGTATAAGCTAGTACCCACATCCGACCAATCACGTACGACCTTTTGAAATTAATCTTTTACTGTACTGGCACTATAATGCACTTCACGTTACAAGTTTCACCCTAACAAAGTCTACAACGTGACCAAGAATTCTCACATGCATTATTAGCAGCATGGACCGCGGCACGCTACAGGTACATACGGTTCTCAGTGTAAATTAATTCAATTTCTTAGCCTTAAAATAACAATTCGATCGGCGAAAAAGGTAGGAAAGCTCACCTAGAAAGCAGACCAACTGGAGCCGCAGTCATGATGAAGACGCTTTCTTTGGCCGTTTTTAGAACATTCAACAGAAGCAGATGCAAAATCTGCAAAGATCAAGAGAAGAACCGAGCCTGAGAACATGAAACGCAACGCAAATCTAATGGGCACAGAGACATTTCTTTTTCGTCACTGCACCGACTAACGTTTACAACGTTCACACCAGAAACTGGGAACTGCACATCATTTTCAGGAACTTTGAGAATCGAGCTACACCGCCGCTCAACTCTCTCTGCATCGCTCACTTGCGATCGTTGAGGAACCTTAGACTTACTTTTTATGTTCCACATTTTTGCAGGGAGGTATGGGGGCAAATCGCTCGAGCTAGTTAAATGTCTCCGGCAGCGCTCCATTGGAGCCTGTACAGCGTGCAACCGCTGTGCAATCAACGGTTTCGCAACACCATTTAGCGATGGAGGGCTTATTCAAAATTTGGGACGCCTTATATGTTCGTCATGATTCCGCGTGAATAGTAGTTCAAAAACGGGTATTCAATATTGAGGACGCATCTGAGAACGCCAGGCCCTATGCCCCCAAAGTTGACATCACGTGACCTAAGAGTTAAAAAAAAAAAAAATCTAGGCGCGAAACGTCAGAGGCCTCTTGTGGAGTTTGCTGGAACAGAATTTTCTGGTAAATTTTAGGTAAGAGCTCGGCTACTTACAGCAATTTTAAAGTTTGCAAAGTACAGAATTAGTCGCTTAGATGAGGGCTTTGACAGCAACGTATGCGATATTTGACGTAATATAAAGTGTTCGCACGGTTCGCACCCCCGTCAACAAGCTATAGTAAAGTTTCGTTTGACGCGCCGAAGTACGATTTTCGCGGCGCATTTATCTTGACACCCGTAAGCTTCGCCAGTGACTGCGCAATAATGTTTTGCTGCAAACAGTTTAAGTTCATAAACAGATCAAAGCACCGAGCTCCTCACTAGTATAAATGTCAAGCGTACGTTTCAGATCTCGGACTAAAGTAAGCGAGTTTTTTTTTTTTTACAGGTGATTCTAACATCATACGAACCCCAGATGGCAAATTACCAATGATGAAGATTCGCGTGCATATAAAACGTAGCACCTCCGAATGTTGCCGAAACCAAAGAAACAAACAAACGTACCGAATACACGAAAAAAAAAAAAAAAAGAAAAAAGGTTAGCTTCACACCCTTAAAAATTATCCGGAACCACGCTGTTTCTGCTACACACGCACAATGCGGGTACGATGCTCGGTTGAAAATCTAACATACGTACCACCGATGCATCGTTATTGCATCCAGTCAGGCCGAAGAGAGATCGAACGAACGGGGTTGTGCGCACAACAAACAAAACGTGGTTCACGTAGTAGTACTCCTTTGAGAAGCTCTCGCGGCGACCTCCGCACGAAAATTGAAGGAAACTTCTCAGTCCCGCATTCGCGCCGGCACTCGGTTATATCTGTGCGGCCTGCTTCGGTGTGACATCATGATTCCGTGACGTCAAGTAAGAGAGGAAGGAACCTCTCCACCTTGTGTATATAAGGCTGTCCCCTTATCCCCGCAGCTCTGTGGCCGTATTGTGTCGCACGTTCGATAGCCCCTAGGCAACTATAGGCCGTGCAGCCCTCCCGCTCTTGGCAGCTGTGTCTGGGGGGTATTTTTTATATATATATGTATATAACAGAATTTCGATGTTAGACGGGAAAGCAGATATGTGAGCGATAGTTGTCGGCCTGAGAAAATTGCGCTGCGCGCGTGTGGGTACGGAAGCGTCTCGGTTATTTAACCTTTGTAACCTTCTTTCTGCCCTCCGCATCAAAGTTTTTCTTTGTGTGATGATAAATATGACTCAATCGTAGTTGACCTCATGGGTGTCTCAGATACTTGTGAAACATCATGCTTGCGTATTTGATTTGTGTGCTGTTGCGACGAGTGTTGCTTGTGAGGTGCGTAATGGAAACCTCACGCGCCTGATATCGTCTTAAAGATTTACGCGATATTTGTTCAGTGGATGCATAGATAAACCACGAGAAGAAATTAAAATAAAAAGTTGGGAGAAGGGAGAAGAGATCTTGATGTACACGGGTGAGGTAGATGCCTTTTCACCAACCGTGAAACTGTTGCAGTGGTTACAGAAATCACAAGCCCCGCATGTGAATTTACCACATTGACCGAACAGTCAAATACAGAATACTTCCAAACGCCTATTCTGGTAAACCGGCAACCCCTACAGAACCCTAATAAAAAAAAAAAAAAAAAAATCCGGCTTCTTGTGGAACAATTTTAATTTCCCTCTTCATGTGTGTTCAAATAAGATATATGTAGGTGCGTCTTAGATTAGCTTTATACTATTTTATCAAGACATGCACGTTTTAAATGCCAAATTCATCGTTTCTCCCTTCGACAACCAAGTCTTGTAAGAACTACTTCGCACGGCGCATGAGTAATGCGCAAAATTTCTTTTTTTTTTTTCTTGGTGTGACGAGTATAGTGCATACGTTTTGCAAATCCTATACGCGTTAGTTACCTGAGTTTACTTTCTTGGCCCTGTTAATACCATACTATACTCCATGGAGCACAGAAGAGGCTACACGAAGCTATACAAGGGACACGTGCTCGCGCTTGTGGCATCGGCTACGTCGGGCACGTATGCACAGGATTTCGTGCTTTCGGAATATATTTCTCGTGAAGTCCGGAGGATGTTTTTCGGAGTTTATTTTTCTCTGGAAATTCGGGGTTTATCGGAGTTTATTTTTCTGCGAAAATTCGGGGTTTATCGGAGTTCATTTTTGTTAGATTTACAATTCTCTGAAAATCGGAGTTTATGGTACTGTAAACCCAATTTTTAAAAATTCAAAAACAATATAAATAAAGTTCGGGCACCATGACCCGCTGTCCCGAAGGAATCTTGACGAGCTAAAAGGCAAGCCCTATTTGTCAGTACTTCAAGATTTAAAAGAAAACTTTACGGGCACCTCCTCAGAACCAGGGACTCTGCGGTCTTGTTAAGTTTATTTGTAAAACACCGTCTTTTTATTTTTATTTTGTCTTTGTTACCTCAAAATTCTGAGGTTTTCGGATGAATCCGACTTGAAGGAAAATTTATTGGCGAGTGTCCTTCGGATTTTTTTCGGATTTATCCGAAAACACGGAACCCTACTTATGGGGCATCAGCCTCTTCCCCCCCCCCCCCCCCCCCTTTTTTTTTTTTTTTTCAAAATCCAGCCGATTCTATGACACACAGATGCATTTTAACCCTCCCTCCTCCCTTCTGCACTCCAAGTCATGAACATTTCAGCCACCTCAACCCCCTCTAACCCCCTCTCCCGAAAAAAAAAACAAAAAACTATCATGTGTGAAATCCTACGGCCTCGCGAGAGCCAGAAGGGGCAGCCACCGGGAATTTGCTCCAGAGCCCCTTCCTGCACAAATCGTTCAACTCGCGTTATAAGTAATATTTCGATACCTACATGAATCGCATACCACGAAAGATATCAGGCGGGCAGCTCTTTCAGATTATGTGACCGAAACGCCTAGCAGGTTTACACAAGAAAGCTTGTTCTCATTGCGTGCATCTGTCTTAGACCTCACAAGTCTGCAAACCGGCCTTTAAGCATTACAAATGTTTTCTCGTTCGTCGCGCATGTTGTCGATGAACCGTTCTACCGATATATCTATACCAACCAAGCGTGTGCCGGGTACCAAAGAAGCATGTGCATGCTAATGACATCTCTGGAAATGAAGCACCTAATGGACGAGGTTTCGGCGTCTTTTAACGCGTGTTTCTTAGGGTCGTAACATCAGGCGCTTCATTATCTTCGCGCTGTAAACTTGAAGAAGCGTCTGCCCATATTGAGGAGTTTCAGCGACGGTGTCACCGCCCTGGCGGCCGGTCGCTGAATGAGAACGTGGGGGATAGGTTCGCTGGGCGTTGGCTTTGTGTAAACGCGTTGGTCGCGAACGTAGGCTGATAAACTTCGACAGCAAGAATATTACGCGGCTCTAGTGTTCCGGTACGAGCAACGGAGATCACACGAACTGCTACGAACTGCTACGACTAGCTACGACCGCTACGACCACCCGCCGCAGCGATGCAGGCGTCGAAGGAGCGCAACCTGTGTACTATATACGCAGTCAGTCGCCGTCGCCCGACGCCGGTCGTTGGGCATTCAGGGCTTTTCGACCCGGGTTCTTCGCTTGTACTTGGAACCGAGTATTATTCCCTGTGCTTGTGTATGTGCTCAGTGGCTGGATATGGACCTCATAGAGCAAAGTTCTTCAGACTCGACAGCGACTCAAAGTTGACGGCGGAGGGGCTTGCAGCAACGCTTTCGGTTGGTGCATGGCAGAGCCGTATATGGTGCATGGGTGCGACGACTACACGGATAAATTTTTAAGATTGCTGCTAGCAAGGTGGGCCATAGTCGCTTTATGTTGACACGATTTTGAGTGTAAGTACTCCGTGCAAAGGCGCATCTATCGCGTTTCTAATCCACCTTTGTTTTTGTAGTTGTTTTTATCACGCACGACCGATTGAAAATGCTCCTGTACCGATCACGGGGTGAATGTCTTCGGCCTTGCATTGCGGAACGCCCAATAAAAAGTCATATTCGCTCAGCGAGAAAACTTTCCTTTCGAGTGACCTTCTTTGATTGATAATTTCGCCCGTACTTTAGTGCTTTAATCAACACGATCGATTAAGTTTGCTTCCCTAGTTAGGACATTTTAGTGCCACATGCGGCACTAATGCTTGGCACAATGTACGCTACTGGTGGTATTGTGAATTGGTTTACTTCCAAAGCTAACAGTGTGACAGGTGGGACCATTCAATTTGCTAAGAATGTGATGATATGGGAATGTCGTTGCATAACTAGCGTTTTACGTTTAAGATTGATAAGAAACATGCTCATGTGATGATGCATGTCTACAGCATAAGCTTTGCAGATTCAGAATGGATGTGCTACAGGCTATAGGCTCAAGACTTTGATGGACCAAATTGGTGATTACTCGGCAATAAATATTTTGGTGGAAAACTGCCCATTGACTCGGTGAGTTTTGATCGTGACCATTGGTGTG